CTCTGTGTCGGTACAAGTAGGGAGGGGTCTCACCTCAAGCTCTATTAGCAGATTTGGCGGTGGAAGGTGCTTAAGTACTCTGGAGCTTGCAACTTCTACTATAGAGGCAAAAGGTGTGTTCCTTTGCAAGGTCTCACCTGGAGTTCTATTGCTAGATTTGGCAGCAGAAGGTGCTTTTGTACTCTGGAACTTGCAACTTCTACTATAGAGGCTGAAGGTGTGTTCCTGTGCGGTAGTGTGACAAGAGCAAGGTCTCACCTGCAGTTCCAAGATTTGGTAGTGAAAGGTGTATTTGTACTCTGGAGCTTGCAACTTCTATTTCAGGGTTGCAAGGTGTTTTCCTAGGTAGGGGCTCTGCCATTGTCACTGTTAGTCCAGATTTACACTTGTTTCATTGAATTAGGAATAAAGGGGTGTTTTTCTCACTTAAGTATCCTTATCAGTTGTAGTATTGTATCATTTCAAAGATATTTTATTTTAATATTAAAATAGAATTAAGGAACTGAAAGAAATGCTGAGAAGTCTTAACTTCCCATTTGTTAGACAAAACTTGGACGTTAAATTCTCCTAGAGAAAGACAAATGAAGATAATCTATTTCTGAAATCAATGATTCTTTGAGCCAGGGATGCTTCCACTCTTCTCCTATTTCCTTCCAGGTGTCATTCAAAGGAACTTGCCCTTTACAAACTGACAAAGATCTTAATTCAACCATTGGGACCAGAGGTATGTTTTGATTGGTTTTTGTTCTAGCCTTGCAAGTGCTTTTCACCTCTTATCTAGCTTGAATGCTTTAGAGTAATGCAAACAACACCATTACTACTGAAAGTAAAGTAACCAGGAAAGTTTGTATACTAAATTAAATTAATAAAATTGTACACTAAAATGGTGTTAATGACCCATTTTTCATCTTGTTTAAAAAGAGTGAAAAATAGATGTGATCCACCATTATAATTGGATAGTTACAAGTAGATGTACACAGAAAATATTAAGATTTTTTCCCAATATTGGAATGTTATTTGACTTTGGTATACATTAAAGAATGTCCTCATCATTTGGAAGTTTAGGTCATCAGTTTTTTAAACTTCTATAATCAGGGTGACCACAAAAATAGTGTGGTCAATAGCCAGGACTTGATTGAAGAAATACAAGTAAATAACATTACATATTAGTTTAACAATACTTTAAAAATTCAATTTTGCAGATGATAGTAACAAGAGCATTGGAAAGAAAGTTAAGAAGATGAAGAAGAGAATAAAAGAACTGGACAAAAAGGCAACAAAAGGGGAATCAAAAGACACAGATGACAAAAAGAGGAAAAGAAAGAGAAAACCAGAAGACAACAACAAGTCAAACTTAAATGCAAAAAAAATGAAAGCCAAAGAAGATGACATTGAAATGAACAAAATAAGTAGACGTCAAATGAGAAGGCTAAGAGCTTAAGAAAAAAAGAAAAGTAACACTAATAAGTAGGAAAATCTATCTTAGGTTTTATTGCAAGTGACCATCTATATATATGTATTTCCATTAAAACATTTTTTAGCTATTTTTCTCTGAAGTAAACTTGAAAAAAGGAAACTTTTTATGGACCTTAGCTAGTTATACAACACAAATGTGAGAGAACGAGTCGTACTGCGACTTGCTCCCTCACATTTTGGCTACAACATTTAATGAACTGAAATCAAGAGTCTTAACCCTTTAAATCCCAAGATCTGATAGTTAATTCTCCCCTCTAGCTACTACTCATTTCCTCGCTAATTATTTATGAGAACTTGCTGCTAGATCAAGATAGCAGCTTCAACCTGACAAGATTGAATATTCACATTATCTGTTTGCTGAATAATGTATGGATATTGTAGGGAGAAGTTTTGTGTTAATCACTTCCAGGAGTTAAAGGGTTAATGCATTGTTTTTATATCTCACTCGTAGGGAATTAATTTATCATCACCTCTCTAAAATACTGAATGTCATTGTATAATTTCTTTCGTTTGATTTCAAAGCAACAGGTGTAAATTAAGATTTTTTCACTGATGATGATGTTTAATTTCGTTCTTTTTATTTAAGATTTTTACCTGATGTCCGCTGAATTGTACTCTGTTTGCAAGACAACTTTTTGCTTTAAATACACAACCATTAATACAAAAGAAAGAGAGCCCATAACATGTCATTAACCTTGCTGTTTTAAAATAAAAGATGGGCTTTATACATTGAATTCCAGTTGAGTGGTTACTGATCCCTTGCTTAGTTTGAGCTGGTCAAGTGGTTAACCCTTTACACTCTTACATTGTCAGTCATATTCTGTACCCTGTCTTCTTTGCATCCCATTGGATCCCATTTCTTATAGTACAGACAAGGAGAATTTGTTTGACAATCAGGAGCCTCTTAAATTGGAGTTAATTTCCACCATTGTCTTGACTTTTACATTTGATCCAAGGGTGATACTGTAAGCAGAAAGGAGAAGCTAGTCGCAATTTGGGGGTTTTAAGGGTTCACTGATGGAAACAGCGAATGATAACCGAAATTTAGCATTTTCGTAGACCGTGCTTGAGATAGTGCTGTCAAATTACGCATTTACTGAGCAACAGCAAATGCATAATATTTAGTTTGACGTTCATTGAGCCGTAGAAGGCTAGATTTGTGAAAAATACGACGACTTTTTTGGTTTAAAACTAATGTACAAGCACACAATATTCGTACATTTTATGTGTTTCGGGTTTCAATTATCAGCTTATGTAACCGCGTGTGCCAGGTACACATAGTTCAAGAGTTTGCTGCACAAAGGTATAACATAACTAGTGGCTAGATTCTATGTGCATACTACGAGTAGAGATTTCATAACCCTACCTCAACAGTCATAACCTCCAAATCAGTGCTTGCTTCAATACTTGCGAAGAAGTGGCGCTTGTCGTTTTTGTAAACTAAGTGGACAACTACCCCTAGCCAACGGTGTACCGTGGGAGGTCTGGGACGGAGTCAACCCTGGATAATCCGACTCGTGATTGAGGAATTAATCAAACTCGATCAAACACTCGATTAGTGATGTAGGTTATTATAGGCCTCGATTCTCGATAAGTCTTAATATAAAGCACGGTGATAAGTCGAAATCCATTTAAATAGTAAATACAGACATGGGAAATAATATCAGACACGGAAAATAATATCAGATCACGGGAAATAGCAGACAATGAGGAGGTCTGAAAGTGGCCAACAATAACGGACCCTGTTAATTGATTTCCGACACGAAAATTAATTTTTCGATAGGGAAAATACCCTGACTGAATTTTGAACGGTATGTTACGCCATACTGACTGAATTTTGAACGGTATGTTACGCCATAAGTCAGGGTATTTTCCCTAATGAAAAATCAGTTTTCGAAATCCACTTACTAAATACAGACATGGAAAATAATATCAGACACGGGAAATAATATCAGATCACGGGAAATAATATCAGACACGGGAAATAATATCAGACACGGGAAATAATATCAGACACGGGAAATAATATCAGACACGGGAAATAGCAGACAATGAGGAAGTCAGAAAGAGGTCAACAATAACGGACCCTGTTAATATATTTCCGACACGAAAGTTGATTTTTCGATAGGGAAAATACCCTGACAGAATTTTGAACAGTATGTTACGCCATACTGTGTTAGTGATACGTGATGTTGACATGACTTCCCAACCCTTCTAAATGTAAATACCTGCCTGCAAGTCGTATGCAGTCAGGTGTGAAGTAGCGAGAAGAAGTAAAAAATAAAACAAAATTATAAAGCAGAAAACATATTTTAAAATTAACTGTTATTTAAGCTCCATGCTATTCATTTTAACAGGCACACGAAGATAGCTGCCAGTACGGTAATGTGAAATGTCAAGCGTGTGGTGAAACTGTGGAGAGAAGACACCTCACCGCGCACAGAGAGCAAAATTGCAGTAACAGGGTTGTGGCGTGTACTTTCTGTGGTGGTGAAGTTCGGCATAACAATACCAAGGTAAGATGATCAGCTCTATCGTTAAAATAAAAACAAATTATGCAAAATCTATATCTTCAAGAAACCGATGGACTAACACTGACTTGCTAGACGTTTGTCTCAAAAGATGAAGACTGTAGAGAAATACCCGCTGAGGTTCACGTCAGCGCATACATATGCGTGAAGTTTACATCTTCGAAAATATACATCAACTTTGTTTGGTCTGATATGAACAAGGAGTTAATAATATAATCGTATCGTCTATATTACATAAAAGCTCAACTTGACTTTATATTCAACTTATATTTGATATCTTTTAAAGGACTATTTTGATGTCTGCCCTAAGCTTCCTTCCAATCCAGTGCTTTTTGAACTGTGGTGAGGAAGGCATACCAAGAGACATGATGGAAGACCACGTGACCACACGTTGTCTTAAAGCTGAACATCTGTGTCCTTTCAGTGTTCATGGCTGTGAATTTAAGGTTATTTATTTACTTTTTGTCTATTTTGTTTGATCTTTCGTCCCAATAGGTGATTTATAAGTTTCTAAGTGAGCAAGGATATAAGAGCAGAAACTAGCGTATCGGACCCAATATAAAGACTAACTTATGTAGTTGGTATTGTCAAGATCCAAATAAGTTTTGCGCAGAGATGTTTTAATGCTTTGCTATGTGAAAGGCAGGGTCTTTTGGAAAGAGCAGTAATATGTATTTTAATATTTCTTTTTCTACAGAGCACTAAACAAACAATCGATCAACACATTGCTGAGGATTTCGAGTCTTATCTTGAAATGATGAACCATTCAAGCCATAAATGTAACGAGAAATCAACACAGATGGAAGAGAAGAAATCAAAAAAAAATCAAGCAGAGGTGTTGGCAGCTGCAAGACAAAACATACAACCGCAACAGACAAAATTGTCCCACGTAGAAAATTCCATCATCGAACAAAAGAGGACAACTGAGAAACTGCTGGCTGATTTGAAGGTTTTGAGGCATCTAGAAGTAAAGGGGATGTTATCACTTCTCAGATGGAAGAAATAATGAACACGCTGCGAAAACATGAGAAGGAGGTGAGCAGTCTCCAAGGTGAAGTGGTACGTTTGAAATTATCCCCTGCCACTTCGAAAGGTACGAGTAACTACTGTCCAAAATCCGGCGTGTCTCTCACTCGTGAGTCCGAGCGTCGGCTGGACAGGAATGAGCACCAACTGCATGAAATTCAACTGTCAGATCATGATATGCAGATTCAAATTCTGGAGGCTACATCGTATAATGACACCTACGTTTGGAAGATCGACCGCTGCAGCTTACGCTTCCAAGAGGCTGTCACTGGAAAGACTTTATCTATTAACAGCCCTCCTTTTTATGTAGGACGGTTTGGGTACAAAGTTTGTGCTCGACTCTACCCCTTTGGAGACGGCACTGGCAAAAGAACTCACGTGTCAATGTTTTTTGTCGTCATGAGGGGTGAAAACGATGCTTTGTTACCTTGGCCGTTTCACCAAAAGGTCCACTTTCGAGTGATCGGCCAAGACAGCATCCGGGACGCGTATGATGCGTTTCACCCTGAGCCTACCAGCTCAAGCTTTAAAAGACCCACGTCAGACATGAACATAGCATCTGGATGGCCGGTTTTTATTTCTCAGAAGGATCTAAGACAAGGTGGCTATATTCGGAATGATACAGTTTTCATCAAAATAACTGTAGAAACCACTGGTCTGCAAGGAGACATATGGCAGTAAATGCTTGCCTTTTGTAACCTCTCAAGTCTTACATAAGACCTGAGTGCCTGCAACAGAAAATACCCTAGCCGAACGGTTTTCTTGGTGTGGTTTTCAAATTCTCATGATTGTGTCTGTTTCTTTGATTGATTTTTGATTTTACAAATTAGTTGATTGACATTTGATTTTAGTCTTGTTTGACAGGCGGTGGCACAATCGTTTTAGTAAGTTTTCCTTTAGATCAATTGACTCGTTTTTCATATGTGGAAGAGTAAGTACTGTTCCTCGCTGATCTGTTTCTTTCCCGCTTCGCTGACCTGTTCCGTAGTAATTTCTAACTCAGGGATAAAGTCCCAGAAATAGTTTGATTTTCAGTATTGTAATTTTGCATTTTCCGCATGTAATTTCATGAATCGCTCGCTGATAGATTTCTTCAGAATTATGTATTGTCCCTTACAGATCGAATAAAATCAAAGAAAGAAATATACGATTCGTATCCAGTCAATTACTCGATGGCCACTTTATCCTCGAACCAGTGTCAGAAGATTTTCACGGTGCAGTTCGTTGCATGTTATCTGTCATCTTGCAGTTTGCATCTGTTATTTATTGTTTCAAAAAAAAAGCTCCCGAGTCAATCTTAAATTATTTGAATATCTATTACAATGAAATGAGTTATAAGCTTTCAGGGACAAACGAAAATGGCTCATGTAGGCCAATGAAAAGTACTAGAAATTATAGGATATTTACAAAGTGTATTTAAAAGGTAAAAGACATCATAGTATTTATATATGGAAAGAGAGGTTATTGACACATAGGAATAAATTGATGGATGATTCATGCTAACCCTTGAGTATCATTTAGCACTGGCACATGTATGACTCAACAGTGGAGGATTGAAAACGAGAATTGGTCATATTTTCAATAACAATTATGGTCCAGTGTTTAGGTGCCGGTTTATATTTGCATGACAAAAAATAGAGAAACGCTACGGCCCAGCGCAAAAATTTTGACGTAAAAATAGTCAGTCAAATCACCGCTTAAAATAATATGTACGACTCACAGAAAACTCCATTAATCGGTAGCAGTTACTTATACATACAGTTATATATACATATAATTATATACATACTTGTGCCTGGTAACTCATTCCTATTCTGATAAACTAGTTTTAAGAAGGATACAATATTTTATTGCACAAATTCGATGCACAGTCTGTGCGAAAACTTTAATTTGACTATACTTTTATAGCCAACACCAATCCCTTCACATGATAAATGTTAGGAAGATCAGAGGAAAAATTTGATTCACTGCATTATATTTCAGTAAAAACTCTTCGTGCAAATTTGATACAACGGCTGCGAAAGCCTGAGACCGGTAAATGGCAGTGCTCGACAATTTGAACGACCGCTTGTCCCTCTTAGCCGGCTGAGCCTGTGCATGAGGAACAAGTGCCCAGCCGGCTAGGAGGGACGGGTGACTCTGGGGACCAGTATGCTCCGTCGCGCGCCACGCCATTTAATGCAGGCATGCTTTGGGGTTTGTGATGGGATTTGTTTTGGGATTTGTCACGGACGGTTTTTAAACTTATGTTTCCCCTGGAATAGAATCGAGGAGCACTGGTAGGTGAGTGGCTTTGGGGGCTCTATTTGGGGTTTGCTAGCTATCGGGTTACGCTTCATTATAACACAGCAATAACAAATGATGTGAAATCTAACAATATATGTGAGATTCCTGTCAGGCTAAACCAGCTTAATTCTAAATTCCGGAGACTCTGGCGGGTCTATCAAATGATAAATTACACAAGTTTTCAGCTTATTTCATTCACTGTAACTTTTACGACACATTTCTCGACAAATATTGAAGACACCCTCAGTAAGACGTCTTGCATCTAGTCAGTAAAAGTGGCGTAGTTAACTGGCGAAGTACCCCTTTTTCGGCGTAAGACAGAGTGGGATCTGGGTACGAGATTAATCATCAAATCATGGACGAAGACATCGAGGTTGCCATCAAGGGGTTTCTGGAATACATTCTATTTCTGGGGTATTTGGAGTTTACAGAGCCAATACTCCTAAGCCGAAAAAGTTTCAGCACACTAAATAGTTTTTTAGAAGTCGGAAGAAAATACGAGGAAATCGAGAACATTAAGGTAAGTGTCAGGTGATGCGCTCTTCATCATTAAGCTTTTTTGACCTCATAACTCAGAAATATCAGCTAACCCTGTTTTATTCCTCCACTTAATTTAATCCGCTGAGTGTTCAGTTACTTTGTTCCACGTCACTTACATGTGTCGTAGCGCTTTGAAAACTTTTGCAGCATACTTATATAGCGGAAAGCGAGGTAACATATTTATTAGAATCTCACTAGTCATGTATTCAAGTTTACATCGACGAAGCGTTGCACACCATGCATAAGGAGCTCGGGAATTCTGTCAGTTGGAACTTGCGACCATTTTGATCTTCAAATGGAAAGAAATTGGAAAAACAGAGACCTTTTGCTTCAAATTCTTAATGCATTATTTTTGTTATTGTTTGTTTTGATTCACTGTGTGTCACCATGTTATTTTCATTATGATACGTCTCACCTTTTTTAATAATTTTGTTCTGTTTTGCTTTGTCTCCTCAGACCTCTTTTGAATAATTTAGTGCTTTTTAGCCTGGAAAAATTAAACCAGGCAAAATAGTCTACCCAACACATTTTTTTAATATGCTTGCTAGATCAAGCAAACACCAAAAATGCTAAAGAAAATAACAGAAAGGCCATCAACATTGAGTTGGTCTTAAACCCAGCATGTTGCCATTGTAACACAATTAATAATCTTATCTTGAGGAACCCATCTAATAGAGTCTTGTTGCCAAGAATCAAACATTTCTGATACAAATTGGTTTAGATATCTTGCAGTCATCTATTTGGTTGAGTATATGACATCATCATTCAAAATGGCTAAGGTTGGACAGTTGCAAATTTGATTATAGTAGCACTTTAAAAATGTCTTTCAAAATTGTTTTCTCTTGTTCCATTCTTCTCAATTTTTACTTCACTGAGTAGGATTGTATTTATCCAACAATGTACTTGTGGTGAAATGATAAAATAAAATGCATGATAGATTCACCTCTTAAAAACCAGAATTTAGTTTTAAACTTTGTTTAAATTTCCTTTATGATTTGAACAGATAGCAAAGGTGTTCCTTTCTTGACAATATTCCAAAAAGGGAGGACTGTTCTGGAGAAAAAGGTTCTTAAATACCACTCAGACATGGAACTTACAGATGCTGAGGAGAAAGCTGTGATACATCTTTTTTGCATGATAAATACTGATCTACATGTGAAATTAGATGAAGTTACAAGAATGCAGGCTGCAAATGAGTTCAAGAGGAATGTTTCAATTGCACACAACATTCTTGGACCTCTTACTGGAGAGTGTAAATATTGTAAATGATTCCCATGAAGCTGAAATGTCTAATTTCAAGAAAAGCTGTCAGAAATCCTCATGCCGGAGTTGTAAGGTGATATTGACAGCATATGCTTGTGGTCTGGAGGGCCTTTGTATGGGTAAGTGGTGATGGTCATTTGTTTCTCATAAATGGGTCATTCTGAAAAATGAAAATGGTACTTTACATGTCAGTAGCTGGTTCGCAGCTTGATACTATTAACCCTCGGAAGTACAAAGCACATGGGGGGGGGGGGGTTGAGGTGGATGCCCTCTCCCCCATCCTCTCCCCCATCCTCCAAAGGAAATTTCAAAAAGAGGATTTTCGCTATAATACTGAATCTTTCTTTAGCTGTTCATTCATCCTTTGCAGAATTTTTGATTAGTCAAATGGTGTCCATGATGAATGGCACTTCCATGACAACCCTCTAATTACATGTATGTCATGCAAAAAATCAACTGTTTTGACATAATTCTCTATTCCAAACATAACTAATCAATGATCAATGACATAAATGGGTAATTAATGAGTAAACAACTGATTACTCTTTGAGTATTGCTAGTATTCAATGAGTAATCAGTGAGTAATTGAACACCAAAGTTTTGTGGAGCATCAATTACTCATTTATCCATTGATTTATCCATTGATTTGAAAACATTTTAACATATGTCTAATACTATTGTCTGGTAATTTGTGAAGGGGGTTTCTGACACTATATCTGTTGCGACGGTAATGATTTTATACTGTGAAAAGAGCCCTCAAAACTCAGCTTTTACACAATACCTCAAAAAGCAATTTAGCGACCTGCCATTGTTTCCCCAATTTTTGAAAGCCCTTCAGATTTTCTGTTGTCTTTTGTGAAGAAAAAGTCCCTGAAAAACCTGAATTTTGTATGTGATTTGTAAGCACAACTTGGGATCAGTGCACACACATTAGCAAAATGGCAGCTTTTCTCTGATACAGTTTGGCTGTTAATGGAGATATATTGCGGTTTGTTGTTAAAAAAAGCATTTTGATGAATATTTGTTATTGCACAATAATGGTGCATTAATCTTTCTCATTTTGTTAAGAAATTTAAAATAAATTAATGGCTTTTGTTCAGACAGGCATATAGACATAGCTGTCATGAGTGGGAAATAATAATGTGAAAGATGTGATATCATCAACATGTCATGACTGTGGCACAAAGGAAGGTCTGAGTCTATAATGGGAGTCAAATCTATGACCTCCCAAACACCAGGCATGTATGATTTATTAATTATCACATCTTTCACATGACACTGAACTCGTTAGAATGTGTTATGAAAATGAATTTGAAAAAAATTATATATTTGCTACAAATGCTGTTCCTTTCGCAGTTGCTTGCGATGAAGGTAATGATACATTCAACAATGGCAAAGAGTCACCTGGAACAGGAACAAGTATAGAGGGTGAACATGACGATAAAAAAGTGTGCAGCACGTTTGAGCAGACAATTTCTGCTACAATTACTTTTTACCAATTCAAGAGGTAGGCTCTGTAACTCTTTCTATGATCTCAAGACTTTCCTACCGTTCCAACTCTTGTTTCACCTTCCGTAGGTACTCGTTAAGGAGGATGGACCACTTGCTCAGCATTTTCTTCAATATCCAGCTTGTACTGGCGCTTCAATTTTCCAGTGCCTTGAAACACATCAGGGTACTCCTTCAAGACTTCTTCCATTGAAACGGGGCACTGTCTACTGCGCTGAACCTCTATATTGACGGCTATAACATTTTTGTGTTGCACCCTGACCAAATCCATCTGCTGCATCGTTGAATTTCCAAGCATTAAGTGTATATTGTTACAGGTGTGATGTTGTAACGATTTGTCTATACGACGTGTCAATCAAATGCTCGCTAACCAAAAGGTTTCAATCACCAATGATTGTGTAATAAGATAAATAAAAAAGTGCAATAATGTTCTATTATCAAACAAATCGAAATCAAACGATCGGGTTTGATTGATTTTTTGTTCGGTTTTGTTAGATTGACCACGCAGGTTTTAAAATGCGTATGTGATTTTTCGCCTGGTGAGTCAAGATAAACAGGAAATGCAATGGTAGTATTTAATAATATAAAATTCGGTTTACACTTCTTTAATACCTAGATTTATAATCAGGGACTACTTTTTATTACTTTTACAGGTAAACAGAGAACAATGAAATCTTCACAAAGAGTTGAGCTGAATTACAGAGAGAGTGATGAGGTTACAACTAAGTCTTTCTTTTCCAGTCAGTCAAATTAAGGTCCAACTTGTAAGGAACTTATTGTAATTTTTTTTTTTTTGTCAGCAAGGTTTTAAGAAAAAACGGAAGATTAAATGGAGTTCCAGTACTCATTGATATGCTTTTCACTCATATGGAAGTTCTACTATTCAAGCTAAATATAGCTTTTAAGCTATTAAAATTAGAATTTAAGATATATCTATAAATGGTGTGTGAAAAGCACCTTACTAGACTTATCTTTTTGCGGAGGTCTTGAACTTCCTTAACCAGATTGGGAAATAGATATCATCCAAGGAGGTAAAGCAAGCCACGACAGCGACGGCAACGAGAACGTTGCGAAACAAAAGATCTGATGAGCAGAACAATAAAGCAGCACATGTTTTTTTAAAACTTTTTACATCTCTTAGCCTCCCGTACAGAACAAAAGCGTGAAATCACCATCATTTACGTCCTCTTAGCGCGCGATGGCCACAGCAGTTGAATCACGCGTCAGCAATTTGGTCACGTTTTCACAAATTTTAACTCAACCCTACATCACATGCTATGCAGTAGGGAAGGTCCGTCAGAAACGGTAAAGGCATCGAGCTACTGGCGAAATTCGATTCTTCAGGAAAAAGAAAGTTCGTATTTTCGGTAAGATTTTAAACTCCCTAATATTACGAGGCCGTATCAGGTATCAGTCACATACATTTCACATAATCACGGGAGAGTCCAAACTTCAATCATGCGGAAACTTCAGCTTTCATTTCCCTCAGCATTACCGACTCACCTTCGGATTACAACTTCCCTTTCTTGTGGACAGAAACACTAAAACTCGAAAACTACTCTTTCAAATCACTTGTCAAGAAACGAACATCAAGACTCAGTTGACTCCGCATCAGGCCGGCGGAAATTTCAGGCAGGTTAGAGAAATACTACTTAGTTTAGACGAAAATCATACGCTTTATTGTGAGCTCTGTTATGTTTTGATATGTTCGCTATAATACGCATGGTGTAAGTTAAAATTGGCGTGTTTTGCAATCGGTTGCGGTATCATTGTATCAGAGTCCTTCTCTTGGGTAAGGAGCTCAACGAGGCAGTGTTTTATGTCACATAGGAAAGAAACCTGAATCCCTTTGAAGTTCAAGTTCCATGAATGCAAAAGTAATTGCAAAGACTTTCGATCGACGGTCCCATCGAAAAAGAAAAGGGGAATCCCCTTCTGCTGAGGTCATGATACAGTTCGTAATTTCTCTTTCCTTAAACGGCATAACAGCATCATAGTGAAATAATACGACCGCCGGTCATATTAGTTTTCTATAGCTTTCTTACGTCCTTTTAACACGAGCTCAGAGAATAGCAGTGGTTAAAAATACCTTTTTGTCTCTAAGAGTAAACAGCAATGTCAAGATGCACTTGAATATTAGCGGCAAATCGCTACGCATCGCCATTTCCTCAGCTTTTGCGACGTTCATCAACCATTGACTGTGAAAAAAAGGTCTTGCTTAAGAGGGATGGACAATTTTCAAGAGGTGAAACTGAAAAATCTATATAAGCAAACTTTCTTAAAACCCCATGGTTTTAATTCTGCTCACGTTTGACTTTCATTTCGTGTGCCTATTTATAGCAAATTGGACAAAGGGATTCCAGGCTTTCCCCTTTCCTAAATTTTCCAAATCAGACGGTCATTGTCTATGAAACAACTTTAACTCTTCTTTGAAATATGTGTTGTCAGTAAACTTCCTGAATGCGGTATGACGAATTCAAGGAGATTCCCCATCACTAGGTATATATATATATACACCATTTTGATGGTGTATATATATACCTAGTGATTCTCTGGCGCAATGAAACTGAAACAGTCGAATACGTACTTTAAGAGCGGTTTTAGGTCTTAGATAGAAAATTTACACCACCCGCTAATCTAGAAAGTGACATAAATCTTGTAGTGATAAAAGGTTTTGGTTGACGTCGATTTCAAGCTTTGAGGAGTTGTTGCGGCTGAATTGGAACGTCGCATCGTTATTGAAGTATTAAACTTGATGATGAAGGGAGGCAAGTGATAGAAGTTGGATAAAGGTAAGACTTTCTGTAAATAATACTCTATCTTTTAATGCAATTTTCAATTAAGAGAGAACAACTTGCTTGTTGATCAGAGTGGATGAGATTCAGCGCCCATTGCGTCTGAACTGTTGCGTGACTTCGGCCCGTATCCATACTTGTATAAAATTATTGGCAGAAAACGTTTGAATAATCATATATTTATTGTAAACTAACGTCGGAAACGTTTATTCATACATCAGAAACTCTAAAGAAGCAGTTTTGCACTTTGATCAAGGCCTTGCCTGAAACAAAATGGAACCATTAATAAGTAGTGAATGTTTGTATGTAAACCTGGAAGGCAAGTTATTCGTGACATCAGCGTTATTTTGAGAGTCTGTTGCTCAATCCCTTACGTCACTCTAATTTATGCAAAGTAGTGATACGTGATAATATTTTTTTACGAAGTGGTACGTGTTAATGTGAAAGTTATCGAGATAAACACCACCACTGAAGTGGATTTAATTTCCATTCTTTGGGTAAATTTGCGATTCAGCGTCCGAGTTCAAATATATACTTTGCTTTGAGGATATTGGAAAAGATTATGAGCGATTTTTGGATAGAGTAAGAATAGGACGATGTTCGATTAGCACCGCGCTGACGAAACAAGATTTCAACATCTACGCGGTTTCTGCTTGCATTTGTAAACAGTGCCACAATCGTCGAAAAAAATTTGGATCATTTGCCGATGAATCTCAAAGTTTGAACGGATTTCTCTTAGAGATAGTTACGCTGCGAGTGTGAAGAGAGAGCGACTCTTTTCTTAGTCGAAAGAATCGCTGAAAGAAACAGCTAGTTGAATTTAAACGTGATGTTTACATCCCATTTCATGGTGATGTGACGTCATGCAGGTCGTAAAGTCACGCACATTCTGGAAACGGACGTGACGAGGTACAGGTTCACTCTACTTATAGATATCTACAAAAATTGGAGAGTAGAGGCTATATATGCTTAAGTTTGTGCGTTTATCCTCATATAGAATTTTCATTCAGAGGAAAACTGTGGGCACTTTACTGACTCATTTCATTGGCTGAACTATGGTTGTCACAATCGACGCAATTGTGGATACTGATATGAAATTCGTAAACGGAGTAGACGAAAGGCTTAATTGCCCGATCTGTCAGAAGGTTTTTGATGAGCCCTGGCAGACATCGTGTGGACATCGATTTTGTAGGCATTGTCTGGAACGTCTTTTAGGGTAGGTCGAAATTCATCATTTACTACTAAATTCTTATCCACTCCTGCTTTCCGCCTGAAACGAAATTGCTTCAGAAAAAATTGAAATCTGCTTTATTTACATTTCTATTTGGCGGCTGAAAGTTTCCACTTACGGGTGTAAATGAAACCACTAGCTATTTCCGAGTTACGTCCGACACTTTTTCCGCCTCGGATGGGAAAAGCCATCTGGTTCTGTCGAATTACCGGGAATAAGTGCTGAATGAAATAATAGATTTTATAGTTATAGTTAACTTCGAATTTTCTCCTTCAGACAAGAAGACCCAAGATGTCCGATAGACGGTGAATCAATTTCAAGACAGCAATCTTTTAGGGATAAATGCTGTGAGAGAGAAGTTCTTAATCTCCAGTGTTTCTGCCGATTTAATAACAAAGGATGCGATTGGAAAGGGGAGCTCAGACATCTAAAGGTAATTTGTGTAATATTTGCATGCACCCTAATCGATCTACCCAAATAAAGTGGTGTTGTGAACTTGCCTGCCTTCAACACTTAAACAAAGCTTTTGGCTGGTTGAAATCAGCAAACTTTCGGGCAATTAACTTGGCTAAGACGTACGTGAGGTATATCTCGCCGCCGAAAGGTGCAAAATCTTCGAAAAGCTTCTAGAAAGTACAATAACCATGGCTGGTCACGCACGCAAACATGTTGCGAAATTTTCAATCAACGGTCTCGGCTAGAAATTTCTAGCAAACATGACAGCCTAAACAGGTGCTGAATTCTGATATTGTGAGAGCTTATTGCCCGTGTAACGATGAAACATAGAGACCTATTTAAAACTTTAAGACTATCCCAGACAAACTCTTATAATTCACATGATTAGAGTGGCGTGACTTCCTAAGACTTCTAAAATGTAAATACCTGCCTGCAAGTCACAAGTGAGGTTTGAAGTAGCGAGAAGAGGTAAAAATAAAACAAAATTAAAAAGCAAAAAATATTTTTAAAATAAACTGTTATTTAAGCTCCATGCTTTTTTTTAACAGGCTCACGAAGATAGCTGTCAGTACGGTAATGTAAAATGTCAAGCGTGCGGTGAAACTGTGGAGAGGAGACAGCTCACAGCGCACAGGGAACAAGATTGTATCAACAGGGCAGTGGCGTGTACTTACTGTGGTGGTAAAGTTCGGCATAACAATATGAAGGTAAGATGATCAGCTCCATCGTTAAAACAAAAACAAATTATGCAAAATCTATATCTTCAAGAAACCGATATGGATTGACACTGACATGCTCGACGTTTGTCTCAAAATATGAAGACTGTAGAGAAATACCAGTTGAGTTTCACGTCAGCACATACATGTACATGAAGTTTATATTTTCGAAATTTACATCAGTTTGGTTTGGTCTGATATGAACAAGGTGTTAATAATATAATCGTATCGTCTATACTGCATAAAAGCTCAACTCGACCCCAACTTATATTTTATATCTTCTAAAGGAACATTTGGATGTCTGCCCTAAGTTTCCAATCCAGTGCTTCTTGAACTGTGGTGAAGAAGGTATACCAAGAGACATGATGGAAGAACACATGACCACACGTTGTCTTAAAGCTGAACATCTATGTCCTTTCAGTGTTCATGGCTGTGAATTTAAGGTTAGTTATTTACTTTTTGTCTATTTGTTTGATCTTTCGTCCCAATATATTTACATAAATGTCTGAGCGAACAAGGATCTAAGAGCAGAGAATAGCTTATCGGACCCATTGTAAAGACCACCTTGTGTAATTTGTATTGCCACGATCTAAATCAGTTTTTCTTTTTCTACAGGGCACTAAACAAACAATCGATCAACACATTGCTGAGAATATCGAGTCTCATCTTGAAATGATGAGCTATTCAAGCCATGAATGTAACGAGAAATCAAAACAGATGGAAGAGAAGATATATCGTCTAGAACAAGAAAAGAGTGCTTTGGAACATCAACTACAAAATCAAGCAGAGGTGTTGGCAGCTGCAAGACAAAACATACAAACGCAACAGACAAAATTGTCCCACGTAGAAAACTCCATCATCGAACAAAAGAGGACAACTGAGAAACTGCTTGCCGATTTGAAGGTTTTTGAGGCATCTAGAACTAAAGGGGATGTTGTCTCGTCTCAGATGGAAGAAATAATGAACACGCTGCGAGAGCAAGAGAAGGAGGTGAGCAGTCTTCAGGGTGAAGTGGTCCGTTTGAAATTATCCCCTGCCACGCCAAATAGTGCGAGTAACTATTGTTCAAAATTCGACGTGTCTGTCACTCGTGAGTCCGAGCGCCGGCTGGACAGGAATGAGCACCAGCTAGCATTGCACGACATTCAATTGTCTGATCATGATATGCAGATTCAAATGCTGGAGGCTACATCGTATAATTGCACCTACGTTTGGAAGATCGACCGCTACAGTCAACGCTTCCAAGAGGCTGTTACTGGAAAGACTCTATCTATTTACAGCCCTCCTTTCTATGTGGGACGGTTTGGGTACAAAGTATGTGCTCGTCTCTACCCCAATGGAGACAGCATTGGCAAAGGAACGCATTTGTCAATGTTCTTTGTTGTCATGAGGGGTGAATACGATGCTTTATTACCTTGGCCGTTTCTCCAAAAGGTTCATTTTCGATTGATAGACCAGGACAGGATCCGGGACGCGTATGATGCGTTTCGCCCTGAGCCTAACAGCTCAAGCTTTAAAAGACCCACATCAGACATGAACATAGCATCTGGCTGCCCGACGTTTATTTCTCACATGGAACTAAGGCAAGGTGGCTATATTCGGAACGATACAATGTTTATCAAAATAACTGTAGATACCACTGGTCTGCAAGGAGATATGTGGCAGTAAATCCTTGCCTATTGCAACCTCTCAGGTCTTACATAAGACCTGAGTGCCTGGAACGGACAATACCCTTGCCGAACAGTTTTTGTGGTTTAGTTGGTCAAATTCTCTTAATCGTGTGCAAGATTTGCATGGTGCAGTTTGCTGTTATCTATTATCCTGAAATTTGGATCTGTTATTTATTGCTTGAAAAACCAAGCTCCCGAGTCAATCTTAAATTATTTGGATATCTATTGTAATATAATATCAATTAGTTTTCAGGCACTAGCGAAAATTGTTCGTGTGGGTCCATGAAAAGTTACCTGTAATTATAATATATTTATAAAGTGTATTCGAAAGGCAAAAGACATAGTATTTATTTATGGAAAGAAATTTTAGGAAACAAAGAAATAAAATTTCAACTTCAAAGTCCAAAATGTAATTTATTGCAGAAGTCAAAACGGTATTCATAAAATTTCCCTCGTTTTGGGCAACACTAGGAACAACCCTTTACCAAAACATATGCTTGAACAGTGACTGATTACAGAGACGTTTTTCCCAGAAGAAAATATGTCATCTAAAAATGTGTTTTTGGAAAAAAATTGATATAATATTTATAACTTCAAATATCATGATTTATGTTTTGAAAGCGGCCTGGATAATATTTATAATGCTTTATATTTCTTATGACTCTTAGATAATATTAACTGTATATTTAATATATAACTGGATATTTATTTTTTATTTGTAATTTTTTAGATAGCTAAAAATATACAAATAAATCATTTTGAAAGAATATTGATATGAAAAATTGACTTTATTAAAAAAAAACGATAAGTAAGGATACATCATCGATAACTTTGATTCGGTATTTCAAACTCATTATAGTACAGTGTGTGTTGTGAATTTTTCCAAAGACGTTATAAGTGAAAGAGTGTGGCTCAAAACCATCCACTTCGTCGTGATGTGTAGCCTCAAAAATTTTGTAAGCTGTGACACTTGGGGTCTTACCTCCTTGCCCTTGATAAGTTGAGAAAAGTTTGACAGGTCTCAGGTGAGAGGAAAGACAGCATAATGCGCCTGGACCTTTATTTAGGGGGAAGTTAGTATGTGAGCATTATGTCGCCCCATGTAAGGTAATCCGGATTCCAAAATCCAGGAAATTTTTGCTCGTGGAATCCGGAATACTGGGCATTGGAATCCAGAATCCAGCTTTTGGAACACAGAATCCCGCTAAAAAGTGAATCCAGGATCCATTTCTTGAAAATCCATTTCCTGAAAATCCATTTCAAGTCGTATTAACGGCTTTCACGCGCATCCACACAACCCGGTCATGCTAAAATACAGACTGCAGACCGTGCAGACTGCGCTTATTTCGCCGAAGAATTTCGACTGTTATAGCTCGCTGTTACCTTTAAATCAGCATCACCGTCTACACAAATTACGTCTGCAATCATCTTGGCGCGTGGGGCTAATCTCCATGTGCTCGAAAAACTTGAGCCTGCGATTTTGTTTTGCTAGGTAACGTGGGCTCCGAAATAATCTCATAAAACTTCGTTATGTGGTGTCCAATAATTGGAAAAAGTTCCAACGTTATCATGAGTAAGGAAAAGGCGTTCGCACCTTGATCATATGTAAATCACAGTTTAAAAGAAAAGAAAAAAAATTGCACAGTTTGCATGGTCTGCGGTCTGCGTTTTATCGTGACCGATGCAACCACTGTGTAGTGCAGTTTACTCACGTGTTCAATTATATTTCAATTTTCCCGAAAGAAAAGTTTATCCCTTAATTTGCTGCAATATATTTCTTGTAATTATCAAATGTTGTCATGGAAATATGAATAGAGAAACATGCATTCACAAACATGTCCTTCAATAAATAAATCCGCCATTGAAGTCATTCCTAGAGAACGAAATGCGAAAATTAGGAGCAAACCAGAAACTAAAATCTGGAATATTTTGTGTTTTGGAATCCGGAATCTGCAGGGATAGAATCCGGAATCCAGCACCTGGAATCTGGAATCCACAAAGTGGAATCCAGAATCTAATACTGTCCTGGATTATCTTACATGGGGCGAATTATGTTGTAACTACTTCATCTCGTTGAGAAAAAAGATTAGCTCATTTTGTTTACTGAATCCCTTCCGTTTAGCTTTTGCCGTCTTCTGATTAAAGCTACCAAAATATATCATGAGAACGAAAGAGAGTCTACCTGGTTACGTTGCAAAGCAATGGTCCACACGGGAGAGAGGAGAGCTTGCGTCATGTACGGAATGACAAAAACAGCCTAGATCTTCAGACACATGGGGAGATATGGGCTTTGATACTCTGGGAATAAGTAAAGGCCACTGGACTGGTCTTAGTGAACTGGTAAAACCTGATGGATTAGTTACCTCATGTACAGGACATAACAAGGAAACAAATTAGCGGTGTAACCCTTGTAATATCAAGAGATAGCAAGCGCCTAATCAGAAAGAGAACCAACGAGTCATAGGATGATCAGAGCTCATTCCAACTAAAATTACTTTAGACTAAATACTCTGTTTTACAACCGCACTCCAACTAGTGAAGTTGATGACGAGAGAAAATATGCATGTACTTGTATGACATTTTGCGTATGAAAGGTACCTCGGCATAATAAGTCCATGATCATTCGAAACTAAAAAGGTTGGAGCTAACAACATCAACTGTTAATGACCTATGGAAAAAAACGTCTTGTTGAGATTAACGACTTTTTTTTAAAAAAAACTGTTTCATTGGCAGAACAATCTTGCCATGAAAGAACGTTCATGAAAGTACGCATATGGACCTCCCCCAGCGGTCAATGAGCTGCAGCGAGGGGCGGTACTTGTGAAATATTAGTATAGGTAATCACATGATTTCGAGTGCAATTTGGTAAAAATAAGCACGAGTAAATTTTTTCAGACTAACGAGTCCGTAGGGTGAGTGAAATTTATGATCTAACGAATGCTTATTTATTCCAAATTGTACGAGAAAAATCATGTGACTACGTGTTAATAATATACATGGAAAATACGAGATAGCTTATCATAGTTATCCTTAAGCAAAGCGCGCGCACCAAGTGCAAAAATTTTTAATTCAAATCGTGCGTTCGGTCAAAACAACCGCGCACGATCATATTAACAATAATATACAAAGATATTTTCGAATCTTTAAGGCGCAAAAAAGTTCAAAGTCTGGCTAAACAGTTAAAGGAATTGTTCAGTCTGTGTCCGAATCACTTTCGATGAAATGGAATCGTCGTTTGCGAGGTTTAATCATGTTTGTTTTTAATTTCGGCGTAGAATCGCTAATTCTCGATTTCCTTGGCAATTCCCTTCTTTAAACACCGCTTTTTCCAAACCGACGACCAAACAGCAGTGCTTTTTATAGTGTTTTCGTTGTTCGAGCTGTTTTTCAGGTGCTGTATTGTTGTTGCGCTGGCATAAGAAAACCTAATGAAAACGCTGGCCATTGTTTGCTCGTAATTTTCAGCGTGTCCAAATGTTGCGACATCCAAGGCTCGCATTTGATTGCTATCTGTGAGTTTTTTGATTATTGACCAATAAGAATGTCTAGTTTGTTACTTCTTTGCACTGAATTAACCATCTTCTGCTTTGAATCACCTGAAAACTGCATTAATCCTAGCCAATCAGAATCGAGTAATTTTTTCATATATATTATTAAAAGGGTAAAAGTGAAGATGGTAACTTGAGTAACAGCAGGTATTAAAGTAGTAATAGTACTTCTAGTAGTAGTAGTAGTAGTAGTAGAAGAAGAAGAAGCAGCAGCAGCAGCAGCAGCAGCAGCAGTAGTAGTAGTAGTAGTAGTAGTAGTAGTAGTAGTAGTGGTAGTGGTAGTGGTAGTGGTAGTGGTGGTGGTGGTAGTGGTAGTGGTAGTGGTAGTGGTAGTGGTAGTGGTAGTAGCAGAAGTCGTTGAAGCAGCAGCAGCAGTAGCAATAGCTATGAAAGCATTAGTAGAAGTTTCTATCTTAGCTATAGTAGCATTTACCTTTTCAGAATTAAGACATAATAATTTGAGCAAAGCTGAAGTTGTCGTCTTATGTATGAATATCAAAATGTCAAGAAAGTTAAAACGTGATATGAGACATTTCAGTGCTTATAAAGCTTTAGATGAAACTATAAACAGTCATAGAAAATTAGAAAGCAACATCATCTGGTCTACCTCTGACAAAGATAATAGCGACTATAACTCAACAACAGAGCGCTAGCAAGCAACCAGGTTGGCGCATAAAACCAGCCTACATTCCACGAGGGAATTCCATTCCCTATAGAATCCTTTTTCTTGTCACTAGTGACTAGGCTATGAGGACGATCACCAAAGGTTATCTAGGATGCATAAAATGGAACTTTTTTCTCCTTTGGTAGACATAAGGACTCAACAAAAAGCGTTTCAGCTTATAGGATAAGACTAAAAGAATGGAGGCCTATGCTAAACAAAGAGGTTCTGATATCAACACAGCCCAAACCCAACGCACCGACACCGATCGAAGTCAATGCAAACCCACTTAAATTTGTAGACTACAGGCCAGTAATATACGTTGACCACTGGACAGACAGACCGTATGTCTATTATTATCATTAATATTGTTAAAATAACAACTACCACCTAGTAGTCGAATTACTTGCTCAGGATACATAATTTACATTAATTTAAAAAGCATATGTTACAAAAATATAAATCGTATAGTAAAAGTTTAAATATAAACAATTAAAAATATTAATAAAAATAATCCTACTTTCAAAGGAATCCTACGTTTCAAAGGAATTGCCAATGGTCTCAATTACAGTGACCTCGTTTGGTTTCCTGGCACAAAAAGATTTCAAATAAAGGCCTGGAAAGCTGGTTGTGCTTTGGCTACCTCCTACGTGGAATTAAAATCAGTGTTTCTGCTGACCTAGTGTATACAGTTTATCTTCTTGTGAATTCATTGTTTCTACGGTGATCTCGGCCGTCCCCATCACTCATTTGTCGATCGTTGGCTGACCGTAGGTTTAAAAATGCGTATGACCATGTCATAGGGTGATCCTACATGTTGAGGCGAGACGTATTCACCGATACGTCCCGGGGGAAGTAAAAAAAAACGCATTGATACTATATGCCCCATTTTCCCGTCATTTAGAGCGAAAAGTTCATAGTAAATGATTTGGTTTTCCTTTTTGTGCGACATCATGTAAGGGCAAGGAAAGGGAGAATACTCGCCAACTAAATATTTAATTGAGCTGGGCCAAGGATCTTAATCAACGGCAGGATGCCCTAAGATTTGTAAGATTTTCCTGCTGGTTACTAATTTGAAAATACCTTTTGCACTATGTATGAAAAAAAAAATCCCTAAGAGTCCCTTACTCTTATCTCAAGGAGGCACCATATCCGGCGCGTCTAGGTACTATTGTTTTTTACTTCCCCGACGTAACTCAAACGGGATGTTATGAAAATGACGCAGGTTCCAAAACATAGATGAGAGTATTTTTACTCTGTATACAGAAAGACACCAACAGTTTCCTATTTCAACCACGGGGAAGCACCTTATTCAGCGTGCCTAAGTTCATTTCTCTGACGTAACTCAAGGGGAACTTTACGCATGTCTCAGTAACGCACAGACAAGACTATTTCGTCGGAGACGTGCAATTATGCCTTTCCTCTCTGATGAGATACGCTTGGGAACTGTTTAATCACGAGAAGTTAATATTTATCGAAAAGGTTTAAGATTTTTTATTTTTGTATGCGGCACTCTTCATACCACTAGAAGGGCTCGACTTGAGCAGAGTTTCTAGGCCGAGAGTGAGATTTTTGTATAGAATTGACGATTTTCGCCGGTTAGACTAAGACTTAAGTTTTTGTTGGAGTAGTAAACTCAAATATGCAAGGAATCAAGTCATACAGGTTGGACCTAAGTTGCAGATATGGTAGATCTGTACGTTATGTTGTTCCGCAGTTCACAAAACAGGCATGATTTTCACAGATTGCAGGTTTAAACTGTTCCTTTCTTTTCAGCACTTAGAATTTGATCCGACTATATAAGGCCTTGAAGTTTTGCCGAATCAGTTTAGACTGACCTTATCCCGTGGACAAAACTCTCTCGGTTTCCGCAATCTCAATTGACAAAAAGATGCTTTGCGAAGCAGGTCACGCTGTGATAATTAAAACATACTATTAACAGCTAGTCCGACCTGACTCGTCACCAGAGCGAAGTTGAATTATGTAGATAGGCGTGGTAACATGCACGTGCTGTCATCTAAAGCCTAGATCGACTTAGTGAAGGATAATCAAATCCCTCAGTTTGATACGAATCAGCGGTAATACCATAATTGTTAGTAAAATATTCTTTCAGTGTCCTTAATTACATATGTTTTCCAATAAATGAGCTAAACTCACTCAAGCATTGTTTCGTGCATTGCGTGAGCGCTTAAAATATCTTGACCTTTCTATTCCAGTGTATGACGTCATTTGCCACGATTACACAAGCAAAGTCATTTGTTGAACGAGTGAATTTCTAAGCAAGAATCTCTTATCAGAAAAGCAGGATAAAGGCGTTTCTGAGGTAAACCATGGTTGTTATAGTCGACGGACTAGATGAGAGGGTTAAATGTTCGATCTGTGGGAGCATTTTCGACGAGCCATGAAAAACGTCATATGGACTTCGCTTTTGTAGAAACTGTCTCTTCGGCCGAAAATTAGGTAGGTCGGGAAAAATCTAATATCTTCACCCTTTAAATTGATGTATTTGTTGTGGTGGTCGAAGTTTTCGAAACTCCAAGTACAGGCAATCCTAAATTATTAAGTAAGTTTGACGAAAAGAAGGGACCCGGCCAATCCAAACAAAATATAACATATGTTGTTTAAGATACACAATGAGAACCTTTAGAGATCTTAAATCTCCCGCTCAGTTGCGCTGAGTGCAGAACATGGAATCATAGTTGGTGACATTTCAAAACCTCGATTAGCTGGCGGTCACTCAGCTATAGCGTATTATCAAAAGTCGCCACGCATGGACTTGAATGGGCCATTTGCGCATTAACTTAAGTGCGACAACTTTGTCGTTTCGTGAAGGAAATGCGAGTCTGATTTCTTTGACTTTTCCGCAAATAAGCGTTGAATATGTTGTTTATGTGTATTTCGACATCAGTTTCAACTTTCTGAAAAAAGGAACCATTATAATTTGAATTAGCGAAAAGGGAAATTATCGTTGGCATAGGGGCCTCGAGGGTCTCTTGATTTTGTTCGCAAGTCTTAATCAAAAAGACTCATCTTGTATTTCTGTGCCTCAAATACACACTTGTGCAGCGCTTATCGATGCTGTTTGTACCAGTATTTCGCCGGAAACGTTTGAATAACTATGTATTTGTTGTAAAGTAAGTTATGAAACATTTACATACATCAGCAACTCTAACGAGGCAGTTTTGCACTTTGGAAGAGGCGTTATCTTAAAGGAACTGGAACCAGCGGTGATAAGTAAATATTTGCTTGTAAATATTTGCATGTAAACTTTGAACGCAATTTATTCGCGACGTCAAGGGTGTCTTGAGAGTTTGTTGCTCGATCGTTCGGGAATGGTATTCGACATCACAAAGGCTCGTTAAGCTATCATAAGCTTTAAATATGGCTAATGGGGCCTTCAATTCTGTTTTCCGCTCGAATTCCGTAGCGCAACTCGAAATGGAGGGTTATTCATCGACGTCTTTGGCAGCAGAAAGAATGAAATGACAGGTCATGTCACGCAAATTAAGTGGAGTTACGCAAATTTGCATGATGACACTTAAAGTGTATTGAGGTCTAAATCGGAGTAAGACGACTATTTCCCTATGTGACTATTGAACAAAAAGGACCGATCAAATCTTTTACTTTCTGATCAATATTTAAGGTTGCTTCTCGTAAATGAACAACACATGCCTTTTTTAATTACCTAATTTTTCTGCGTCGTTAGTACGTGCATCATGTAACTCCGTAAAATTGCGTTCATTCTGGAATAACGTAGAGTGGGTACATATTCATTGTAATTATACACATATGAATATGGAGAGTAGAAGCTATACTGAAGTTTGTGCGTTTATATTCTAACAGAATATTTATTCAGTGGAAAGCTGTGGGCGCTCACTAACTCATTTCATTGGCTGAACCATGGTCGTCACAATCGACGTTATAGTGGATACTGATATGAAATTCGTAAACAAAGTAGACCAGAGGCTTAATTGCCCAATCTGTAAGAAGGTTTTCGATGAGCCCTGGCAAACATCATGTGGACATCGATTTTGTTGGGATTGTCTGGAACGTCTTTTAGGGTGGGTCTAAGTTTATCATTGACTACTTATTTCTTATACACTCCTGCTTTCCAACCGAAACGAAATCGCTTTAGAAAAATTGAAATCTGCTTTATTTATATTTCTATTTGGCGGCTGAAAGTGTAAATTTACGAGTGTTAATGAAACGACTATGTCCGACACTTTTTCCGCCTCGGATTGGAAAATCCATCTGGTTCTGTCGAATTTGGATATACCAGGAATAAGTGCTGAATGAAATAATGGTTTTACAGTTATAGTTAACTCCTTCAGACTAGATGACCCAAGATGTCCGATAGACGGTGAATCAATTTCAAGACAGCAATCTTTTAGGGATAAATAATGTGAGAGAGAAGTTCTTAATCTCCAGTGTTTCTGCCGATTGATAACAAAGGATGCGATTGGAAAGGGGAGCTCAGACATCTAAAGGTAACTAGCGTGATATTTGCATGCGCCTTAACCGGGAGAGTGGCGTTGTGAACTTGCCTGCCTTCGACACTTAAACACAGCTTTTGGCTGGTTGAAATCAGCAAACTTTTGGGCAGTTAACTTGGCTAAGACATACGTGAGGTATATCTCGCTGCGGAAAAGGGCAAAATCTTTGAAAGGCTTCTAGAAAATACAACAACTCTGGCTGGTCACGCACGCAAACATGCTGCGAAATTTTCAATCAACGGTCTCGGCTAGAAATTTCTAGCGAACATGACAGCCTAAACAGGTGCTGAATTCTGATATTGTGAGAGATTGCTGCCTGTGTAACGATAAAACTTAGAGAATGGTATTGAAAACTTTAAGGCTATCCCAGACAAGCTCTTATAATTCAAACAATATGAGTTGCGTGACTTCCTAACACTTTCTAATGTAAATACCTGCCTGAAATAGCAAGAAGAAGTAAAAAATAAAACACATTACAAGGCGGAAAACATATTTACAATTAACTGTTTTTTAAGTTTCATGCTCTTTATTTTTTACAGGCACACGAAGATAGCTATCAGTACGGTTTTGTAAAATTTCAAGCGTGCGGTGAAACTGTGGAGAGAAGACAGCTCACGGCGCACAGCAGGGAGCAAGATTGTACCAACAGGGCAGTGGCGTTTACTTACTGTGGTGGTGAAGTTCGGCATAGCTATATGAAGGTAAGATGATCAGCTCCGTCGTTCAAATAAAAACAAATAATGCAAAATCTATATCTTGAAGAAACCGATATGATTGACACTGACATGCTCGACGTTTGTCTCAAAATATGAAGACTGTAGAGAAATGTCAGTTGAGGCTCAAGTCAGCAAATACACGAACATGAAGTTTATATTTTCGAAATATATATCAGTTTGGTTTGGTCTGCTCAACTCGACCCCAACTTATATTTTATTTAGTCAAATTTCATGAGTTATGTTTCTTAAAGCGGCCTGGATAATAGATAGATAGACTAGATAGATGGATAGATAGACTGTTTATTCACAAATACATCGCAGTCATTAGACTGAATTGCGTATTTCACAGAGAAACATATAAATAGGCAAATGTTAAAACTAATCACAAACATATGTACATGATATAAAAATATAAGTATCTAATGGGATTAAAATATGTATACAATTAGTTACTAGCTAAGTAGTACGCGTTGTTTGTTGCTAGGCATCTTTGGACATTGCATACACAAATGACTGTCTAAAGCGGTCTGTGCGCGAGCGTGGTAGATTATATGTTCTCTGTTGTCGCAGGCAGTAGCTTTGTTCATTTCTTGGAGTAAGTTGTGTAGTTTATGCCCCGAGTTGTTGGCGATTGAATCAAAGAGTCGTTTACATAGTTCATTGCGTCTCTCTTTTAGCGTTAGCAGGCCTAGTCTGTCCAAGCAGTCCTGATATGACATATCTGGGAGAATTATGGAAAGAACTCTTTTCTGTATTCTCTCTATATCCTCACTGAGGTAAGCGGGAAGCGCGTGATGGAAGAGGGGAGCGCAATATTCTAGAACAGATCTGATTGTTGTACAATATTTATAACACTTTACATTTCTTACGACTCTCAAATGATGTTAGCTCCATATTTAATATATAACTGAATATTTTATATTTTTATATGTAATTCTGTAGATAGCTAAAAATATACAAATAAATCATTTTGAAAGAATATTGATATCAATGTAGACTTTAAAAGAAAAACTAACGTCATATCGTCAATAACCTTGATCCGGGTTTTTCAAAGTCATCATTGTACAGTGTGTGTTGTGGATTTTTCAATGACGTTATAAATAAAGGAGTGTGGTTCAAAACCATCCACTTTGTCGTGTTGAGTAGACTCAGGTGCCTCAAAAATCCTGGGAGCTGTGACACCTGGGGTTTTAATTCCTGGCCATCCTCTCTACAATCCTTTTTCCTGTCACTGGTGACTACGCTATGAGAACAATCACCAAAGATTATCAAGGATGCATGAAATGGTACTTTTTTCTCCTCTGGTGGACATAAGGACTCTACAAGAAGAGGGTAGCAAAGGGGTTTTTACGTGACTCGTGATGGCCCCAAAATTTGCAGGGTGACGCGTGATTGAACCCAAATTATCCGCGTGGCGCGGGACCGGACACCACAACGTGATGCGTGATTTGCTGTTTTACAAACGCGTGGCTCATGATTTACTAGACTTACAAATTAGCTTTCCGTGATGTGTAAGTGAACGCTCTTTGAAATGTTTCCACGCAGATTTATTAGATTTATTATGAATTTAATTGTGTATTAAGTGAGTTGTAATTTCGTTACCATGAAGTACAGAGTTAACGTTACCATTTGGAGTAGCATGAGCGGCATAGGGTAATCAAATTAGTTCTGCGAGCAGTGATGTATGAAATTAGGTATTTGCAGGGCGGTTAAGCACGTAGGAACTTAGCAGCATGATTGTCAAGTAAAGCCATGGTTAATAGGAAATAAGTGCCCACGAATCGTTGTAGATCGTGAGTGAATCTTGAGTCCTACACGGAATTACGTATCTGGATGTGGATTTCCTTAGTTAATATATGTTACATTTTTGTAACCCTAGGATTGGATTGTAATAGGGTAGACAGATCGCAGAACAAAACGTGTAATGCCGAATTGTCGTCAGTAAAGCCTGAATCGAGAGAAAGTGTACAGTCCAAGATTACTGAACCAGCGTGTGCGGAATTCTCAGCAACGCAAGTGGGAAATTCTGCGAAAGAGACCTATGCTAAACAAAAAGGTCCTGAAATCAACACCGTCCATACCCAACGCACCGACACCGATCACAGTCGATGTAAACCTACTTAACTTTGTGGATTACAGTCCAGTAGTATACGTAGACTATTGGCACAAAAATATTTTGAATATAAGCTGGGAAATCTGGTGATTTTCCCTATCTCCGACGTGGAATTCAAATCAGTGTTTCTGCTGACCTGGTGTATACAGTTTATCTTCTTGTAAATTCATCGTTTCTACGATGATCTCGACAATCCCTATCACCCATTTGCCGATCTTTGGCTATTATAATTTTTTAAATTTCGGGTTGACCGATAGTCCTCTAGTTTAAGACAAGACGATCTGAGATCGTAAGTCGGGCTACAGGTAGACGCGCTGTTACAAGTGTTGACCATTCACGGTGCGTAGTGGCTCTAAAAGAAATACAGTGGTCCTGGTTTGTGGGCGTGGCGTATATTTTCTCACCCCTGAGAGGCACCAATTCTACAACAACACACTGTCTTTTTGAGGCTGAACAGCCCAAGAAGTACTAAAGCCGCCCTTTTTAACCTCTAAAAGCTATGATGAGCACCTCAGTCCCTTTCTAATAACGTGTAGTCAGAACGGGTCAATTTTTCGGTGTTTGTTCAAGCGTGAAAAATATTCAACTTTGTCTAGACAAACTGTCGCGCTTCATCATTTACAGTTATGGAAAATCCGTACTGTCAAGCACCGACTTTAATTTGAACGCGTGAGAAGGCTATACAAACGACATTAAATAGGATTTGGCGGAAAATGAATGTTTGTTCTCTCCTGATACAATGCTATAAATTTCATTTCCTGATGACTGTTCAATATTATCATCTACCATCACAGATAGTTAGGGATAATGGATTTCAAGCATATTTGATCGATTGGCATTCTATGCTCATTTAAAGGGTCTTCAATTTTTTCATTATTATTGTTTGAGTCATTTAAGTCATTAATTTGATTTTGGAATGAAGATTTTTCCTGGTTTACTGGTATTGAATCTTCAGTGTCTTCCACACAATCATCTGTAACTGAATTGTTTTTAGAACCTGTTGCTTCATTTACAGTTATAGAATTATCTGTATCGTGTAGTAGAGTCAGATTTGTATCAATATTATTAACATCAATTTGTATTTCTTTATACAATGTATTATTTGCCTTAAGCCATTGCAAGGCTTGTAAGACAAAGTGAGGCCTTGCTGCTTGAAAGTATACATGACCTCTGAATTGTAACTTTCTTTTGAGTTTTAACAGGATTATACCAGATCTCTCAGGAGGGCATGGCAAAAGACCACTTGTCTGATCACATTCAACCGGTACATTACAAATTGCACCTTTTACTTTCCTCTGTTGACCTTTGGGCATAACAATAATCTTTTCAAATACTATTCTCTGAGCTATTAGTATCTGCTCTAGTTTTTCAAGAGAGGCAAGCTCAACTGGTGTCTCATCAACATACATGTTGTTTATCACAGCTTGACAAGGAACTTTACTTTGTTTAACTTTTGAGTTACATGTGTTATAAATATATACTCCTTACCATCAAATGAAGTCTGAATGCTAAAATAGTGTTGATTGGAGTATTTAGTATTTAAGAAGTTTTTAACTGATTTCTTATACAGCATTCTATTGTATACACAGCATACATAATAAGGACCTCTGAGTTTCTCTTTGAATTCCTTAATGCAGACATCAATAGTTGGGATTATCTCACTCCCATGCTGTAGTCTAACTTTGTATTTGATTTTTTTTAGAACTTATCTGTTACAGTCTTTTCTTTTTTGGAGCAGGTTCCACGTTGTCATTACATTTTTGTCTGTGCTTTTCCATGATGTGTTTGATTTGATGAAGGTCCATGTTAGATGTGCAAGACAAAAATTGCATTTCATAGTGAATAATACCTGTTTTAAGTTTCTTTGTAACAATGTTAAAAATAGCTTGTACTAATCGTGGTATACCACTTATGTTTATTTGTTGTATTGCAGGTTCACAAGTATCTTCATAGGTCAATAAGGAGAACATGTACTTTGCTATGACTGTTTGTTGAAAAATACAAGTAATACAGTAACTTGCAAGCCACAATAAAAAACCTGTATTTCCACTGTAGTTGTTGAAAATTAAGTTTTCCAACTTGTTTTTTGTATTTTTCAATTTAGTGGATAACATCCCATAGCTTTGAGCTTTAAGTTGAACTGATATCTCAACTCCACAAATATCAAGACTCGTGTATAAATCTGCCATTTTTAGACACCTGTTGATGCCCATGTTATGATATAATTTATTTGCTTGGCCAGCTATGCAACAAAGAGTTCCGGAATTTCAATAACTACGAGACTTTGCCTCTGAGTAACACATTGCATAAAGCCCCACAGCAGAACATTGTTTGCAAGAGCAGTTGTGTTCTTCTCTCAAATTGTTCACTCTAAATACTTCATATGTACTAATCTGCACTCCTCTAAGTTCATAATTGTCACTGAGGGAGTGTATAGTCTGGAAACACTGTACTAAGCCCTGAATAGATGGTACTTCTAATAGTACACATGTACCTGAGGGATGGCTTCTGCCATATTCGTCTCTTGTATGAGAGTCAAATATCTTATAACTCCCATTATCAGTATGATAGATACTGACATCGATACATTCTATTGTCAGAATAAATGAAGAGTAATTTTGTGATAAGAGTGATTGAAAAGCCCTGTCTCTAGACATACTGTAATGATATCCCTCAATTATTGAATTACAATGATGTAGATTACCAGTGTAGCTTTTACCATAATTAAACTGGCAGTTTTCCTCAGACAAAGCAATCATTGATAGTAATTCAGTTTGCATTAAATACACCTGCCCTGTACATTGTGACAGTGTTGAATGCAATTGATTACCCATCTCCAAAATTTGTACCAGGTCATCACAAGTATGTATTCCTTTTATCTTGTTATAAATCAAAGCAATCAAACTCATTACAACACATTGTTTTCTAGCATTTTCACCAAAGTCCATAATATCACCTTGACTATATGGTGCCTTGATTGTTAGAGTAGGATCAATACCATATATAGGAGGCCCAGGATTTATTTCAATGTCATTACACAGATACAGTGTAGCACAATGACCTCTGTGGCTTGCATTCTTGTACACACTTATTAATGTATTACAGCTATACAAAGATAGATATTTGCCCAAAGACTCTCGACAACTCGACGATTTTCGATTCAGTGTTGACCGTATAGAATGCCATATTTTTCTCATCTTTTGAACAAAATTAAAACTGTCATTATTGCTCACTGTTCTAAGTCTGCATTTGACGTAGCGATACATTTTTGACGAGACAGGGATGTTTTTAAGAATTCGCCTGTACACTAACTTCTTTATTTGTTTGTTTTTACGTAAGAACTTTTCTAGTTTTTTTACAGGGATTCTGCTGGGCTCACGATCGAATTGTCTCCGCACATGGTAATCACCATTGTTAATATTAATTTGGTACCAAACAAACATTCCTGCTCAACAATATGCGAATATACTTTTTGCAAAGATGTCATAATGGCGGAAAACAGAATATTAGAGGCATTTTTCCTCACTTTCCCAGTTAACCCTTGTAAACCCGTTTAAAAAAACGCATTGATACTATAAGCCCCCATTTTCCCGTCATTTGGAGCAAACAGTTTATAGTAAATCATTTGGTTTTTTTTTTCGTGTGTGTGACATCATGTAAGGGCAAGGAAAGGGACAATACTCGCAAAGGAAATCTTCATAGAGCTGAGCCAAGTATTGATACCTTTTGCACTATGTACGAAAAAAAACCCCATAGTCCCTTACTCTTATCTCAGGAAGACATCATATCCGGTGCGTCTAGATACATTTGTTACTCACTTCCCATTATGTAACTAAACGGGATGTTATGAAAATGACGCAGGTCCCAAAACACAGATAAGAATATTTTTACTCTGTATACAGAAAGACACCCTGAGTTTCCTATTTCAATCGCGGGGATGTACCATATTCAGCATGCCTAAGTACTTTTGTTGTTCATTTCCTTGACGTAACTCAAACGGGACTATACGCACGTCACTGTGACGCACAGACGAGACTATTTCGTCGGACACGTGCAATTACGCCGTCGCCTTCTGATGAGATATTCATGGGATTTTTCTGATCAAGAGAAGGTAAAAATTACTGGAAGGTTTAAGATTTTAATATTGTATGCGTGGCTACACATATAACCAGAAGGGCTCGATTTTAGCAAAGTTTCAAGGCCGAGACTGAGATTTTCGTTTAGCATCGACGATCTCCCCGGTTAGACTAAGACGTCAGTTTTTGTTGGAGCTGTAAACTCAATTATGCAAGGAATCAAGTCATACAGGTTGGACCGAAGCAGAACCTAAGTTGCAGACAAAATTTTCCAATTTCCCGTAATCTCAAATGAAAAAAAATTGCTTTGCTAAGCAGGTCAGATTAGGATATCTGCATATAACAAACTATTGCGTGCTACGACAAAATAAACCTGAAATGTCACTAGAGTGAGTCGAATTACTTCCAACAGTGTAACAGCACGTGTTATCTTCCAAAATCTTGATCAATAAAAGGTTATCAATCGCCTAAAATGGATATAAACCAGCAGTTATATCATCGTTGTTCACCTTTGATCAACCATGATGATCTGACGGTCTCTGGATAGTTGAAAATACTCGTTCATTAAATAAGACAGCTTGACCCAGTATGTCACGATGTTTTTCCATAAATATTAGTTTGATGAAACCTTTTTGACATTTTGTATATATTTTGTGCCTTTCCACAAAAAGAAGATATCTAAAATTAGGAAAGAAAATCAAGCGAATTCCCCTATTTCTCTGTCAGGGAAAAACCTTGCTCGTCGTTTCTAAGAACTTTTGGTATTCATTTCCTTGGGGTAACTCAATCTTGATGTCACGAAAGTGACGCAGATAACAATTAACGCACACCGTGAATAGCATCTCCGCTGGTATGTAAACTGTGATGCAAAGAGCTTCACTTGAAATACCTAAGGGAACTGTGTGAGCAGGTAATAATTACCGAAGAAGTTAAGATATGGTAGATGTATACGGTATATCATTCCACAGTTCACAAAAGAGGCATGACTTTAACAGATTGCAGGTTTAAACAGTTCCTTTTTTTTCAGCACTCAAAATTTGATCCGGCCATATTAGGCCTTGAATTCTTACCGAAGCAGTTTAAACTGACTTTATCCCGTGGGCAAAACTCTCTCGGTTTCCGCAATCTCAATTGAAAAAAAAGATGCTGTGCGAAGCAGGTCACGCTGTGATAATTAAAACATACTATTAACAACTAATCCGACCTGACATGTCACCAGAGCGAAGATGAATTACGCAGATGTGCGTAGTAACATGCACGTAAGGATAATCAGTTCCCTCAGTTTGATACAAATAAGCGGTAATACCATGATTGTTAGTAAAATATTCTTTCAGTGCCCTTAATTACATATGTTTTCCCACATAAGCTAAATTTGCTGATACATCGTTTCGTGCAACATGCACGTACTGTCATTACGTGAGCGCTTGAAATATCTTGACCTTTCTATTTCAATGTACTGATTACGTCATTTGTAACGATTACACAAGCGAAGTCATTTGTTGAACGAGTATGGACCTTCAGCAAAATTTCTAAACAAGAATCTCTTATCAGATAAGCAGAATAAAAGCGTTTCTGAGGTATACCATGGTTGTCATAGTCGACGGAAAGTTAGAAACAAAATTCGTCGACGGACTTGATAAGAGGCCCAAATGCCCGATCTGCAAAAGCATTTCCGATGAGCCCTAGCGGACATCGCTTTGGCAGAAACTGTCCGGAACTCCTTTTTGGGTATTTATAAAGTCTATTCTTTAATTGCATAACTCTCTTCCGCCGAAAATTAGGTAGGTTATTAAAAATTTAATATCTTTACCCTTTGAATTTATATATTAATTGTGGTGGTAAATTTTATCCAACTAGATAAGGCCTTGAGTTTTTGCTGAAGTAGTTTAAACATAAATATAGAAGGAAATCCGCGGGAGACCTTATCCCGTAGACAAAACTCTCACGATTTCTGCAGTCTCAAATGACAAAAGATGCTTTGCGAAGTGGGCCACGTTAGCATGATTAAAACATACTATTAACAACTAATCCGACCTGACTCGTCACCAGAGCGAAGTTGAATCATGTAGAGATTGCACAGTAACATGCTCGTAATGCCATTTAAAACCTAGACCGACTTAGTGAAGGATAGTCAATTCCCTCAATTTGATACGAATAAGCGGTAATACCATAATTGTTAGTAAAATATTTTTTCAGTGACGACATATGTTTTCCTAAAAAGCTAAATTTGCTGATACATCGTCTGATGCATTGCGTGATCGCTTTAAATATATTTACTTTTTGATTGCAACATTTGACGTCATTTAACGATTACATAAGCACGAGTATAAGAATCTTTCATCAGAAAAGCAGGATAAAGGCCTTTCTGGGTTAAACCATGGTTGTCAAAGTCGACGGAAAGTTAGAAACAAAATTCGTCGACGGACTAGATGAGAGGCTCAAATGCCCGATCTGCAAAAGCATTTTCGATGAGCCCTGGCAAACGTCATGCGGACATCGCTTTTGTGGAAACTGTCTGGAACTCCTTTTAGGGTATGTATAGAGTATATTTTTTAACCCTTTTCCGCCGAAAATTAGGTAGGTTGAGAAAAAATTAAATATCTTCACCCTTAAATCATCTATCTGTTGTGGTGGTAGAGGTTTCTACCAGCAATTAAGAAGTTTGACGAATAGAAGGAACCCAGCCAACCCAAACTAACATAACATATGTTGTTAAAGAAGCATAAAACGATCCTACGGACCTTTATAGATCTAAAATTTCCCGCTCAGCTGCGCTGGGTGCATAGTATGGAATGATAGTTCGTGACATTTGAGAACCTCGACCACCTGGCGGTCACTCAGCTACTGCGTGATATCAAAAATCTCCCTCATGGAGTCGAATGGGCCCATTTCCGTGTTGACTTAAATCCGACAACTTTGTCGGCTCAATAAGGAAATGTCAAGCTAATTTCTTTGATTATTTAAATTCCAAAATGAGTGTTAAATATGTTTCAAATGTTTTCGACTGAATAACCTTAAATGTACTTTATTCCAGATCAGAAAACGCTAGATGTCCGATAGACAATGAGCCACTTTCAAGGGGGCAGTCTTTCAGGGATAAATGCTGTGAAAGAGAAGTTCTTAGTGTCCAGTGTTTCTGCCAATTTAATGACAAAGGGTGTGAATGGAAAGGAGAGCTCAGACAACTGGAGGTATTAAGCGTACCAAGCTGCCTAGGCAATGAGTGTCGCAATATAGGTCTTCCTGCCTTCGACATTTTCTTCTTATGACTAGCCTGAGGTTTGGAATCCACCTATTTGAGGTGAAGTATTACGCAAAGGTCACACGTAACTTCAAAACTTAGGGGTTAGATTTAAAGCGGTAAATCTATGATATTCAGATGCAAAGAGTAACGTGACCTCGCCAAAAATCTAAAGGTTTAATAGCCTGCAGGCTTGTGACTGTAAACCAGCGGGGAAAATAAAAAACGATCAGGAGGCACAGGAGTCAATAGGAGTCAGTTCCTCAATGTTCCACACTCTTTGTTTCAACAGTTACACAATTTTAGCTGTCAGTACGGTGATGTGAAATGTCAAGCTTGTAATGAAACTGTGGAGAGAAGATACCTCAAGGTGCACAAGAATCGTGATTGCATCAACAGGCATGAGGCGTGTACTTACTGTGGTGGTGAAGTTCTGCATAGAAAAATGAAGGTACAATTATTATTACCGTGGAAAATACAAAACATAAACAAGATGCAAAATCACCATATTCAATAAACCAGGGGATAAACTCTGACACGCTGCTAGACGTTTGTCGATACTGACACAAGGTCCGAACACAACTACTTACTTTGATAACAAACTCTCAGATTCTCGCACGTCACTTCGGTTACTTCATTTGGCAATATGCATGATTGCTGCAAAACAGTTCAGTTTCGTATGGAAGTAGCTACATTAACGATCTCGTATTAAAGCTCAACTTGAACTCAACTTGTATTTTATGTCTTTTGAAGGAACATTTGAATGTCTGCGTTAAGTTTCCAATCGGCTGCATCCTTAACTGTGGTGAGAAATGTATTCCAAGAGACATGATGGAGGAACACTTGACTGCACGTTGTCTTAAGGCAGAACATATGTGTCCTTTCAGTGTTCATGGCTGTGCATTTCAGGTTAGTGGATAAATTCGTCTATCTGGTTTATCTTGTTGGAGATATTTTGCGTATGAGATGCTGAAAATAACGGGGGTGGGAGTTTCTAAAAGATACAGTGAGCCGAAATTTGTACTTTACAAAGGCAAAAAGGATTTATTATTATTACTATTATTAATACTGAGAGAAAAAAAACATTAAATAGTAAAAAAGGGGAAACTATCGCCTGTTGGAAAAGAAAATAATCCTAAAATTTCAGAGCAAACACTTGTCTACGAGCGGAAAAAAACTTATCGAAATTGCAGATAAACATCAGCATATGTGAGTTAAATTGTCAAGATCGTAATCTCAAATATACTGAGACCATTGTCGTGATCTAAATCGACCGAATCTGATTATCGGATGGCTTGTAAAACAAAAAATAAGAATTATTTGTATACTCTCAACAGGGCTCTAAACAAATAATCGATCAACACGTTGCCGACGATATTGAGTCTCACCTGGAAATGATGAACCATTCCAGTCATAAATGTGGCGAGAAAACAAAACAAATGGAAGAAAAGATATGTCGTCTAGAAAGAGAAAAAAGTGCTTTGGAACATCAACTACAAAATCAAGAAGAACAGGTAGCAACTACAAGAAAAAACATAAAAACGCAGCAGACAAAATTGTCCCACGTAGAAAATTCCATAATCGAACAAAAGAGAGCAACTGAGAAACTGCTTGCTGATTTGAAGCTTGCTGAAGCAACCAGAACTAACGGGGCTATTACCTCATCTCAAATTGAGGAAATAATTAACACGCTTCGGGAACATGGGATGGAGGTGCGCAGTCTACAGGGTGAAGTGGCCCGTTTGAAATTGTCTCCTGCCGCTCCTAAAGGTGCGAGTGATTACCGACCCAAATCCGGTCTGTCTCTCGCTAGTGAGTATGAGCGCCGACTAGACAGGAATGAGCATCAACTGGCATTACATGACATTCAACTGTCCGAGCAAGATATGCAGATTCAAATGCTGGAAGCTACGTCATATAATGGCACCTACATATGGAAGATCGACCGCTACAGCCTTCGCTTCCAAGAGGCTGTCGCTGGGAAGACTCTATCTATATACAGCCCCCCTTTCTATGTAGGACGATTTGGGTATAAAGTTTGTGCTCGTCTCTACCCCAATGGAGACGGAATCGGAAACGGAACGCATATGTCACTGTTCTTTGTTGTTATGAGGGGTGAATACGATGCTTTATTACCTTGGCCGTTTCTCCTAAAGGTCCACTTTCGACTGACAGACCAAGAAAGGATCCGGGACGCGTATGATGCGTTTCGCCCTGAGCCTAACAGCTCAAGCTTTAAAAGACCCACATCAGACATGAACATAGCATCTGGCTGCCCGACGTTTATTTCTCATATGGAACTGAGGCAAGGTGGCTATATACGGAACGATACAATGTTTATCAAAATAACAGTCGATACCTGTGGTCTGCAAGGAGATGTGTGGCAATAATATGTTTGCCTGATGTAGCATTCCATATCTTACAGGGAGTCTGGAGCAGGAAAAATCCCAGAAAATTAATATTTGAATTGTGAGGAGAGTGTTTCCTACAATAACCAGCCTATTTACGTTATACCTTTGATCAAGTTATCTAAATCTAGTGCAAGGTTTGCACTACGCGTTTTTGTTGCTATTCAAATACTCCTCCTTCGAATTTTGTTCTCTCAACTCTCAAATACCAGGCTCACGTGACATCTATGATGTATTTTAGTATGTTTTAGTTGACCATCACACAACTTTGCCTTTTAAAAGTTAAGGATAGTACATTATAAAAGCTTCAAGATAGAAAATTTCAGTAAGTTCGACGACGAATGCAAAATGGCTCAAATATGTCCATAGGAAGCTATCACAAACTATAGGACATCTATTTTCAATGATTTGTAACCTCTCTTTCGTAACCTAACTTTTAAAATAATGATGTTTCGTTCATTGCTGAAGCTGTGGTTGAAAACATTCATTTAGTTCAATGAACGAATAAACATAGCTTAGGCAGGTCCACAAAATATATATTAAAACTGAATTCCTAAGACATAAGACAGTGTATTGAAATACAGAAACAAAATTGAAGGAAGCAGAGTAAATTATTTTCACCTTAAAATATTTAAAACATTATTGATCATGACAGAAGCCAAAATGACATATTTTTGTATGGGGAAATGAGGGATTATCGGATTTCAAACCATTTTCATTACCGAAGAAGGTCGAAATTTCCAAAAGAATATTTAATGTGGAGATATAAAAGCATGTTTTATTTAATGCAAAAGAATTAATTTGAATTAAGATACCAAATTGATTGCAAAAAAATAGTTTTTTAACATTAAACACCATGAGTTAATATAATTATGGCAGAGGCAAATTTAGCATTATTTATAAATTCATCACTCCTGTGGGATGCTGGTCATCGAAATATAAATATATCATTTTGGAGAACTTTGTGTTTTCATTTTAGGCGGTTCCACACACTTTCCCATGACATTTCCGATTGAAGCACCTCTCTGGCCCAAAAGAAACACTAAATACCTATTCTGAACAAAGTTGATCCGGTTTTCCCGAAACTCAAGATTTTTTTCAAGGCTTAAAAAATAGCCTGCGGAGTATATGTTTTCAATCCCTCCACGTACACTGTGACTGTGTCGTAATGTTTAAGCTATGTTGCCTTGAAGATCCTGTGTGAACTATGCATGCAGCCCCAGGGAAGGTTTCGCAGTTCCATTCTTCGTCCCGTACAAAAAATATTTACCTAGTTCCAGTAAGTTTTTATCAGGGCCAACTGCCTCATAACAGACCACCTAATTTAACCTTTTGTGATATAAGCCCACCACAAGACTTCAGGAGCGTGCAGTCGATGTAATTAGTAGTGATAGTAGTAGTGTAATTAGTAGTGATAGTAGTAGTTTGTATGATTCATTACAGTTACATACAATTTATAGCGCTGCTGACAATATACCTAGGGCGCAGTTTCCCGCGCCATATGCGTTGCTTGAGCGTTGCTTGCAGTATTTTTTTCTTTTTGCCGTTTTTGCCATTTTTGCCGAGTTTGTTGAAGCGAAGGATTTTAGGCTGTGTAAGAAGCAATAACTTCGAATCGTCGCCGCATAGATCCCTATTTGTCATTCGTTTTGATTATCTTGTACAAGAATGCAAGGAATCTGAACGCATATAAGTTGTTGTGTCGTATTTATTTTGCAAAGCGTAGCTGGCCCCTACACGCTTTGTTGTTGCTGTTTTTTTTTTATTATTATCTGATTCACGACTCAAACAAAATAAAACGCAATAAAAAGGATAATTAAAATTCAAGTTCTAAAAATCTATTTCAGAAGCCTAATTAACTATTTCAAAAGCCTAGCTACCACATCAGATGCTCTGCAGTTAGCAAAGAAAGGAAGAACATTGCTTTAACCATTTGACCATTTAGCGACACAAGTAGGCAACCACGTCGATGCAGCACTTGATCACGAGTTCATGCAGTTAACAGCCATTAGCTTATAATGTCCTCTTGTTATGAGTAATTGTTGGAAATATAAGCTTCTAGAAATCTCCAGACTGCTGAGTCATGCTGACTTGACATTTCATCAAGTCATGCATTTATTAAGCAATACTACTAAAATAGTACTCCTGTGAGCTTCTGGGATGTTCCAGAATACTTTGTGTATATATATGAAAACTCACTTATGTAGTAGTATGTAGTAGTTATTTTTGTCGGAGCGACGACTGTTTTGAAAGCTATATCGATAGAGTTACTGCGGAAGATTACTTATTTTAGGGAACTTTGGAGACAGCAGTGAGGTTGTTTTAGTAGTGAGCTGGGTTATAGACTGTAAAGGGCTTAACTAAGTTTATTAACGATAAGTATCGTACTGTTGCAGGAGCCCATTACATGAAGCGTTCAACTGCCATACCAAGCCATGTCACGGCATTTCCACAAAACGGTTTATTTTTATGCTATCTTTTCGCGGGAAATAGGCTACTCGAGCTCACTTGTGTAATACGATCCACGAAACGCGAAGAAAAAAATTGCGGCTTTATGTGGGGAGGTCTTCATATTCCGCCTTTCTTTTGCTGTATTCCAGTATTCCAGTATTCCAGTATTCCAATCTTCCCTTAGCTTACATATCCCACTATCCTTTGCAAATTTTTCACACGTGCGAAAAAAACTAGTAGGAGTGTGGATCATCATTGTATTTTTTAAGAATTTTCGTGTGTATCAAAGGCTATCCGTCTTCTGATTCTGGCCCTTTATAAGAAAATTTCAGATCCTCGTCTTGAATTTTAAAAATTCATGAAGAGGCGCAATCCCAACGATGATGGAGAGTGCGGAAAAAGGAAATTGCGTGAGGAAGCTGTGTGCCAGTCGTCTTCATCTCAAGAATCTTCATCCACAACGTACGTAAAGGACATTTTGAGACGCAGGATAGAACAGAAACGGGTGAAACAAAACGAGGAGCGTTTTTCTAGATCGGAGCATGATGCTATTCTTTTGAATTGGGCTTCGATCTTGTCAAATCTTGGTTATTTTTATGAAGTGCGGTCGATAATGGAGAGTGCTTTACTGCTGCATTTAGCAGAATTCCCGGTACCTATTGTCGCTTTGATCATTGAAAAGCTAAGAGTCAGGTTTATCTTCAACAGAACTTTCCTCGGAACTGCTGCTTCCCGAGGTATTTTCAAAATCTTCACACCACAAGTGTCCCAAGCTCACGTCTCGACAAAAAGCAAACGATTAACTCATAAAAGCGTCACGCGTTGTGTAACTCGATGTTATTATTCCTGTTATACGACAACGGTCGAAATTAGAGTATGTAGCTTTGACTGCGTCTTATAACAGGAATAACAGTGATGGCAAAGGAAGCTTAAAAAGGCAAAGAACGCCGGAAACCACGAGGGACACACAAGATTTGAGTAAGTTCTATTGATTTGACGCGTAATATGTTCATATTTTGAAATATTTATCGTTGTAAATCGGCCATATTTCGTCCCCTATACTATTCCTTATAACGTGTTCAAATTCTCAACGGTTCCTCTCGTAAGTTACCACCGAGTCACACAACGCGTGACGCTTTCATGAATTAATCGTTTGCTTTTTCTCGAGATGTGAGCTTGGGACGTCTTCGTTCACATGAATCTGCACTCGAACTATCGCAAGAATCCTTGCATCTCTCTGCCATTTTTCTTTCGATTTATTAACGAGTAAAGTTAGAAATTAACCAGGCGCTAATCTTGATTGGTCGATGTGCCCACGTGGGGAGTCCTAATTCGCGGTAAATTCAAACTGAATATGACTTGTGTGTGGAAAACGCCGTGGCAAAAATACAGGGCGCTGCAGTTGAACGCTCCAAGTAATGGGGTTCTCACTGCTTTTAGTAGTCCTTCCTTGTTAAGAACATTAACAAATTTAAACTGAATGAGACTTGTGTGTGAAAACGCCGTGACAAAAATACAGGGCGCTACAGTTGAACGCTTCCAAGTAATTTGAAACTCCTTGAATGAACCAATTTCCGTTTTCGAATTAAAGGTTTAATCCTTTTTCAAAAAACGTCCCCATCCACGATACGTATTTTTACGAGGCACGTAACTGGAACCGAGGCTCACAATTTCAAAACGAGGTTATCAGTCACGCAACTCCAAAAAAAGAAAAAACAGTCACGACAAGAACATTACTTGCTGTTTAATAAAGTAATTGAGTTTGTTGGATTGTAGTGTTTTTCTGTCGGGTAGATTATACCGAAACACCCTAATAAACACAAGCCCATCTTCTGAGGCTGACGTTAGAACTACCATCCCGGCTTTGATTCTATATGGTTGTAAATGCTGAAAGCGTACTTTGAGTTATTACTGACTGACTTCTTCATGACTATCTCTACAACGGCCACTACCCTACCTGACTGGATAAGGATGATTGTGTTTGTGCACAAAGGTATTTATTCAACACAGTTATGGCTGGGAACAAAAAGGGTATTAGCAGAATTGTGAACGTCACCAAATTGTGTAAAAAATAAATAGATTTTTAACCAAAACGAAGTCGTTACGAATAACAGCCCGCAACATTATAACTTTGCATATTGCGTTTCTTAAATACTTTCTGCATGATTTTGCCATTCGTTTCTTTAACTGAAAGCGAAATTCGTTGAAGGACATCTCATAAGATAAAGAAATACCACGCGGTGATAAGATCATTTTCACGCCGATTTCTGTCGGTCTGAATGCACTAAGCGAGTTCATTGGCATATTCATCGAGCTTTTTTTTTACGTTCAAAGAAGAATTTTAAAATAAAGTAGAAGGGGTTTAGAGTAGAGTAGTTTCTTTCATCCTCGCTATCAATTAAAGACATAAGGTGACACATGTAAGTTAAATATTACTATGAATTTACAAACTAAAACATGTTAAGAAATCAATTATATTCATCTGTTATTTCTGTACGTGAATAGCATCATCTGTTTTCCATGTTAGGGTGAGAAAACATTTTGAGATCCTTCTGGTCTGGATGGAAGTATTCGAGATCATTTGCCTTTAATTTTTTAACTGCCTAAAGCAGATGTTTCTTACGTTACTGAGGGTCTTAATGTCTCGAAATATGACACAGGGAAAAGCAAATATTATTCACTTTATTTAAAACAAGCCTTCGTTTGTCAATTAATCAGTTTATCGATAGAGGCCAAGCACAAACGAATAAAACATAACTTAAATATGTCACCTGTATTCTTTAATTAACAACATGGATAAAAGAAACAAATTTACTATAAATGTCCTCTCCTCAGCTCAAACTCCACAGTCAATTTCAACATAGACTAACTGAATATGCTAAAGAGCTCGTAACGTGCATACTAATCGGCTGAAATTGCCGCGGAAATAAATTAATCACCATGTTGTGAAAATTTACCTAATGTACTCTCTATTGATAACTTTCCCTCTCAGTCAACCGATGAAATGAAAGTTTTAATTCACCCCAGCTACATTAAATCCCTTTAAAATCTCGAGAAAAATAAAATAAAACCTTGCTCAGAGTATTAAAAAACAAATTACATTCATAGTTGTAGCATCGTGGGCTATATTTATTGACTTTCCTTTCCTTTCAAGTAACAGTCCAGCTCCACAACAAGTTCATAAAGTCCTTATTCGTGGTATTTTTTTTGATGAATCACCTTGACAAACTCTGCCAAATTCACGACAAATTTAAAGGCAAACTAGAATTAAAGCAACAGAAGTAGAGCGATGTGTACTTCACGGCCAAATAAATATAGGGAAAAGACTGCCACATTAATCGATGACAATGCATGATAGTTTGTGTTCAAACACGCGTCATGTATGAGACAATTATCAACTATCATGAACGTTTGCCTATTGTTAAACTGAATGGCGTTAGCCTTTAATCTTCTCAAGTGATGGTGTTTCCACAAGGCGTTTCTTGTGTACCATATAAGAATTCGTTTCTTTTTCCGAACCATTCAAAGCTTAATTTGTCCTCTAGCAATACAATGTTAGGGCTAAAAGTATAGCACATCGCTATACCCTTATTTCATCATAACACACGGAATTTTATATTAGTTTCTTTCGCCTTTTTCTAAATTTCCTGTCTACTCTTTCCTTCTTTTCACTTCAATTTTTAGGCTTTCGGCCAAAATCTCTCTAAAGGACCATTCTTTTCTTGCATAACTCAAGAATACGAGAAATTGATACTTGTGAGGGTTATAACGATCGGGGAACTTTGTTTTCTAATGAACCCTTAGATTTTTTGCAAGATCTTGCGAAAAAATTGTTTCGATTTAATTCTAGGTTAGAACTCTTTCATTCGTTTGTCTACAAGAAAAAAGCTTCGCTGTTTTGAAAACTGCCGTTCTGAGCTCGGTCATACGCCAACAATACAAAAATGGATTGATGGAAGAGTTCATGAATGCTACAGTGACTGGGAAAGTCCGTATAACTTGTAGATCTAAACTAGTAAAACCTGAAATAATTACAACAATTGAAAATGGAGAGTAACATAAAATCATTGTTAGGAAATATATAAACATATTTTTTGCACTCTTAGTTGATTGTCGTATTTGCTGTTTATGTGTGTCAGTTGAATTTTCCACTACTTGTTGTTGAACGTGAATTTGCAACTGATGCCGACGTGCAATTCGGTAAATCTTGATGAAACAAACCAAGCAAACTAAAAGGCAAATTGTGATACAAAACGTTGCAAAAAATAATAAATACTCAGCGACCAAAGAATTGAAAAAGAGAACAACGTGATAATACACCAAATAGTTATTATTGTATAGATTGCCCGGCTTGTTGTCATTAAATTTGGGTACTGCAGGTGATAGTGGAGAGCTAAGAAACGATCCACTGTTATGGCTGTCATCGTGCAAAGAGAGACACCGCACCCAACAAATCCCATTGCTCCTACTGCTTTTTGTAGTGCTGGGACGGTTCTCACTATTTGTTCTGCTATATAAGCTGGTTGTACCACCAATCCCACAAGAAGATCTGAAACAGCCAAATTGCAGAGAAAAATGACAGACGGTGAACGAATTGATGGCGTCCTCATTATGGCGACTAACAGAAGAGCGTTACCAATGATTGATAGTAACATCAAAGGTGCATTGAGGATGCAGTTTGCAAGAACTACTGTCTCAAAACCACTCTTGGGATTAGCCTCTGCGTTGCTGGAATAGTTCGCTTTAAACTTGCTTGTCATCATTGTGAAAATAATTGAAGTTTTTGTTCAGCGTTTGATGGAATATCTGAAGGAAGGATAATGATAACTCATTTGAATATGGCCTTTTGGAAAAAAACAAATATTATTTTAGATTCAAATTCGGCCTGCTGTCAGCGAAGATGTTTTCCACAAAATCCAGGTCATAACTGTGTCTGCAAATAACCCACTAAATTCACGTTATATCCACTTTGAGGTGACTGATAGCTGCAAAAAGCGAAGCGTTAAAGTATTATGATTTAGTATTAGAGGAGGTGATATGCATTTCTTTTAATCGCAGCATTCATATTAATATGAATAAAAAAGGTCACGAATAAGATCGCAGCGCACATTGGAAAGGGTGGGTGTAATTCCGTGCAATATGCAAATGATATCCTGTTTTCTGATTGACCGTAGATTCTATGGTATGATTTGAAAACTGTGTATCAAAAAGAACCAGAAAACTACAAACAGTAGATTCTAGGAACCTTAACTATAATTACAAAGAATAAAGGAAATTAACATGCATAGGAGAACGATAACTTGCTGTCTTTGTTTCTCTCATTATTTTAATTTAGATTCATCTGTTATCTTTGTACGAGTGTAGTTTCTTGTGTTTCCCAGTTTGGATAAAAAGTCATTATATGCAGATTACATGCTGATCAGCAGAATAACGTTTTTAGATCCCTTTTATTTGGTTGGAAGTATTCGAGATCGTTTCAGCTTAGTTTGAATTTTGTAAACTGCCTATAACAGATGTTTTGCTCCTCAGTTAATGTTCTTAATATGTAGACACACGGCTCAGAGAAAGACAACATTACTTAATGTCATAATTTGTTTTCGTTTTTCAATTCTTCATCACTTTATTGAGAGAGAAGCCATGCAAGGACAAGCAAAACCTAACCAGAAAAAGTTACTCTACAATAACCTGTTTTCCTTTGTTTTTTAACTCTTCTTCCAACGTTGAAATAACTTGATAAATATGCCGATGAGCTCGCACAGCTGAAATTGACGTGGAAGTAAATTCACGACCATGTGGTAATAATTTGCAATTGGTGACTGAGTGGAAGGGCCACACGGTAAAATGTTGGGCTTGAGGTCATGACGCAGGGACCGAGCACAGCGAGGTTCGTGCGTCATGACCGAGGCAACAGAACTGCACCCTATTTATAATTTCCACCCGTGTTACAACTTTGCATGACACATGAAAAATGCACCCGTTTTCAGCCAATCAGACGCGCGTAATATTTCTATGTTTACAAACGTAACCAAGAATTCGCGAAGAACATACCCAATGAATCTGCTTGCCCATGGTAAAATATATGGCGTCAGGCTCGGTTGATTACATTAACTGATTTGGTTTTATCAAGGCATTTGATACAGGCTTCCTGTGTTACATTCATTAAGAATGTATAGTTTTTATTCATTTTCTTGACAACTGGAGGTAAAATTGTCCTCTTATATTGACATTTTAGAGCTGTAAGTGTTGAAAATCGTTGCACCTTCCAGGCTTTTCTTATCGTTTAAGGGATCCATAGTTCGCTATATTTCGCTTCCTTTAGTCCTTGTCGGTAATATAAAGACGTTTGGCTGAAACCTTTCCAAACGATCACCTGCTGGTTGATCAACTCGAGGATACGAATTCAAATGCCTCACGATGTCGTAACTGTGTGGGTTACAACAGTCAGAGGACTTTTTTTGAGCAGAAAAGACTGTAAGATTATATATGTGTTAATGACCAGGCGCGAGGTCAAGATGATCGGATTTACCCGAGTTCTTTTTCCTTTTCTTTTTCTTTTTTTTTTTTTTGCGTTTTTTATGGACCAAGGCGTGGTCGAAAAAAATTAAAACGGAGAAAAAAGAGGCTATTATTCAGCCATCTTGACCGATAAAGCTTGGAAAATAAAGGATTTATTGTATGGCAAAAATATTTCGCTTTAGTAAGAATCAAGAATCAAGATAGAGGCTGTTTATAGTCGCTAACTGTAGTCAACTGGATGAAATTGCTTGAAGCCTCGGGATGGTTTTGCCTATCTTGGAACCGAGGTGGGAAATGGAAGATTAATCATACGATTTCGATATTCTTGTCTGCTTTCCTGTCTCCATTTTTTTCCGTTTCTAGTCTTTCTTTTATTAGTCACATCTCAATGAGATTCCTTGTCCCATAGTTAAACTTTCTTCATATAAGAGTTGCTGCTTGAATAACCCGTGTGCTCACAATGGAACCTGTCTCGACGGATATACAGAGAAAGAATACTTTTGTCAGTGCAGAGTTGGCTTCAATGGAGAAAACTTTGAAACGGGTTAAATCATTTATTACATCCGTATTTAAATCACGATGATCCTTGCAATCTGATTGTCTCTCATCGATGCGATTTGTATCAGTAATCACATGATTTCGAGTGCAATTTGGGATAATTTACCACTTGTAAATTTTTTAAAGGCTAACCAAGTTGCACGAGCACTGGAAGCGAATTCGATATGAATTTGCTTTCCTTTTGTGTAATGGTTTACCAGCTCGGCCGCGAGCCTCTACCTTGATGACGGAATGGTCAAGCTTTTCCTCTTCCTGCTTCAAATCAGTTTTTAAAACCTCCCTCGAAAATTTTCGAGAGTTTGTATTCCTTCCCTTTAAGAAATTGTTAACTGCAGAAATCATCACAAAGCTATCACGCTCGTAATCTTCCCTGTCTTTCATAAGAGCTGTTGCGTAAAACTCCTCGAGAATTTTATTCAGAGCCTTCTGTTCGTACTTTCATATCCATTTTTCGAAAGCACACTTTTAGCCAGTTGTTTTTCCCCTGGTTGGATTTTTTTTAACATTCTGTCTTAAACTCTGAATTTAAACGTTGTTACGTTCTCCTCGCCCGTCCGCCTTTTTGTTTTGTACCGCCGTCGCCACTTATCTGTTAATCAATTTAACTTCAACTTTTCGCACTCGATTTCAACTTCCTCCACTGTTTGAGAATATTTGCCGCGTTCTTAGCCAATGAGCATGCTGAATTTTTTGCCTTTGAAAAATTTACTCCTACTGATTTATCCCAAATTGCACTCGAAATCAAGTGTTTATTTGTACAAATTGAACTCTTCTCAGTTCAATTACAGTTCAATTATAAATTTTCGCGCTAAATGGCTCTAAATTAAAAGTCTTACATAATCAATTAATTGCAACCAAAAAAACCTTTGAAGAAGGGTGAACGCTCGAAACGTCGGCATTATAGATTCTGTACGTTGAATTCTTTACTTTATCAACTCAGTTGATAAAATCCAATTATTTTTAATACCCCCCACCGAAGCAGCAGTGTATTTCTTTCAAAAACTTTTCCCCCAAAATTCATTGCAAACATTTGTTAATCTGTGTGGCTGAGGAGACCGACCTTCTGATTTGCCTAAAGAAGAACTGATTGACTTGACACGCCAAACCTCTATATTGATAGATAATAGATAGATAGATAGATAGATAGAGGGAGGTATATGGTATATATATATATGTAGAGGTTTGACTACTCCATATATATAAACGACTGTGAATATATGAAGGTCACATATTTGAACTGCGGATAAAGGCGTGAATACGAAAGTGACCCTCGCAGTAATGAACAGTACTTAAGCAGTAGCGAAAATAAGGCCTGAAAAAAAAAATCAGGCCTGTACGGGATTTGAACCTAGGACCTCTGCGATACCGGTGCAGCGCTCTACCAGCTGAGCTGACAAGAAACCTTTGTCCAAGATCTGCCTTAACTTGTATGAGAATCGTAAATCAGGCCATTTCCATAGACATTCACATGGAGGCAATCTCCCTCTACTCATTAATCGCTCACGGGCACTTTCGTGCCCTTTCAGTGGGTCGTATAAAATGGAAGTCGTTGATTGGTTCTCAGGCATCTTTACAGCCGGAATTCAACAAGAAAGGGTTTAATGCCCGGGGTTCTTCGTCTCATTCTGAACAAGCATTGGCTTTCCAGGCAATGAAAACGGTCACTGCTACACTTGGGATTCCAGACTCGGGTTTGGCACGGTTTCATGTGGAAACGTGGCCAGACAGAGGGCTGATAATGGAGACATAGCTATCCAGGCAATGGGGTATATTTTGCTACAGTGACAGAAAGACGAAACCTCTTGACTGAACTCAAGAGCGATATGATTTCGGAAATATATATTTACTAAAAGATGTGCCATGAACTCATGCCTCTGTAAATCCAGAATCACCAATCTTCAGTAAATATGTGCGACGGAAAAGTCTTTTCCTTACTCTGCATTTCCTTAACATATGTGCGAAGTCTCACAAGCAAGCCAGAGACTACATTTAACTGACTGCAATTATTGCTACGTTTCAAACATGTCAATGAAGATGTTACTAGTTCTGCTCTTTCTTTGAAGCACTGATTTCGTCCATTTCTCCAATAGGTCGAATTCTCGCCTAAGCATTCCTGCTCCTGTGTAGAGTGAGACAGTCAAATAGGAAAGTGCCTTGCATAGGTACAAAGTTTACCCCAGACAAGGATCGAAACCAGAACTTAACCAGAATCAGGCATCTTCCCTTTCCCCTTCATTCCCCCCCCCCCACCCGAACTTGATACTCTTACACGCAGGTGTTCTTTCAGAGGCGAGTTCGTCTGTTTTGAATTTTTGTATGTTACTCCAATAGTAAATTTTACAGTTGTGTGCTTGGTTGCCAAGCCTTTGAGTAAGAGTGAGGCTGAGGTCGACCTCGTTATGATACAAACTCTGCTCACTTTTCAGATGCAAATTACTTCGTTATCATGCTAACTAGATACTGGTCTCTATCACAACAAGGCTACCTTCAGCCTCAATCCAAATCAAAGGCTTAGCAACGAGGTACACAACTGTAAAATGGCTCTTTGCTAGATCTACGTTTATAGAGTTCATTACCAAATAAGAGCAAAGCTGACTCATTTTAAAATGCCGTCCACGCTATGAATGGAGAAGAAAATTCCTTAATTTCCCAGACTTTACTTCAACGCCCTGAAAGTCTATATAGTGTTTTTAACCTAGTATTTTGATGCTATTCCTTCATTAAAATTTCCAAGGCTTTAAATATGCATGTTGTTTTGGCGAAAGATTAAGAAAAACAGTGTGCATATTTTCTTTCCTAGTTAAAATTTCGGCAACCGACTGACATCTTTAAAGACAAAACTTTTAATTAAAGAAACTAAGATGTTATAATTTTACGACACCTTTTAGCAAATTACTTTAGGAAACAATGAACCAAAACGAAAGAGTCCTGGAGAGATTATTTTTAGCTTTTAATTAGAACTGACAAAAACCAAATCCTTCTCCAGCAAAACATTTCTTCTCAAATGAAACAGATTCTTATACAAGACAAGGAAATATTTCTAAAGTACCGTCAATGCCAAGGTAGGTATCAAAAATCTAGTTTATTCCTGTAACCAAAAAAGACATTTTAAGTAGTAGGTGTAGTTTGGATTGAAAATGCAGGTTGTCGCGGCTTAAGTCCAGTCCCACAAAAAAAATTTTAATTTGGGTTGATGATCAACTGATCTTAACACTTTTTTCTTAAAAGTCCATCACTGAATTAACAGCACTAAATCTTAATGGGTATTGCTTTGAGCGTGGTCTAAAACATAGCCTTTGCAAGGAAGGTTGTTGGCGCCGAACCCTTGGTTTATTCAAATTCATGTTCAGGTACACTTGTTTCGCGAAACCTCTCAACATCCTAGCCTGTAAGTTTTGATTTCCAGTTTTTTTTTTTTTATCCCGGCTGGAGGGATTAGCCATGTTAGTTTGTGGCTAGTTATTCAAGTTCGGATCAGGCTAACTCATAAATAGAAAGGAAAACAACCAAACAGTGAATAAAGCTGAGAAAGACTGTAGATTCAAATATTTCGATCACAAATTTGATTTATTATAGTTTCCATTTAGGGAATGAAGCAAGCCATAACATTTGTTTTCTAGGAAAATTGAAGTAAAACTAGAAAGTACTGCATTCAATCCAAACTGCATGATAAACATAAACATGCATGTAAACAAAGACGCAATTTACCTAAGATTTCCTTAGAATTTTTTCCTCATTTCTGAGGAAATGATCCAAAATTGGTTAGTTTCTTCGTTTACCTAGTTGTGTGGTTGTTGATGGTCCTGTTTGACATTTTTGATATTTTGAAATGTGTGCCTGCTGTAAAAGTAAATTAAAAACAAAAATATCAGGAGTAACGTGAGGGATCAAACTATGCAAATGAATTGTGGCAGTATCCATGGTAATGATATTGACAGCTGTACGTTAGTCAAATAAAAACCGAGTAAGTGATTTATTGAATTTGAAAAGAAGTGAAAAGACACTTGTCAGCCGAAATTGATAAGATTTAGGTCAATAATTAACAATTACTTACCGACACTTAGGTGCATATTTGTTTTAGTATATACTCTTTTATTTCTGTCAGTATACCGAAAAAGGCCGCAAATTAAACTCTTAATTAAAGAGCGATAGCGTCCCTCCGGCTGCTCGAAGGTGAATAGGACTTGATAATCAATACCGGAGAAGCCGATCACCACGTGCGAAGAGCACTTTTCACCGTGTGGTATATAGTAATACCAGTTCTGACAAAATCTAACTCAATCTATTCAGGACTGCAATCACCCTTCATATTTCATTAAGGCGGCCTCGCACAGTCATAAATACTCATAAATCACTGCTCATACTTTGATCAATTATATCGCCTTCTACCATCTACTTGCAGCGTCGTTGCAGAATATTAACAGATCAACATAGATTTGAGTTAACATGTAATGTCAGTTCATTTTAGGGTCACTAAAATGTATCCAAGATGGACACCTATTTTTTGAACAGAGCCAAGTAAACTTCAGGAACTGTCAGTTAATAAGATTTAGCCATCAAACGATTATACTGAGAAAATGAAAACCTTGTTCTTGTCAACTGTTTGTGCGCTGGTCGTTGTTCTTCTTGCTCGGGATAATTGGTCTCATTACGGCGCAGTTGCGACCCACGGTAAGGAAACTCCGTTTTAACACTATAACGCTAATTTCTACAAAGTTTTTTTTTTTTTCAAAATTTAAATAATCTCCTTTTGGACTGATTATCCACAAAAACGTGCAAAAAAAGGTCTAACATTCCAGCTACACGTATTGTAAGATCCACAGCATTGACCACACCAGTGTGATTCAAATGTGAAAAAAAAAAGGCTTGTTAGAAAAATGTTCCAATCACGGCTCCAAACATAACATCCTGTCAGGAAGTACTCTCAAATAAAAAAACAAACAAACAAACAAGTAAAGAAAAAAAAAAAAACAAGGAAAACAAGCAAAAAGAGGAGACACTGAAAAGAATGCAATAGCTCCTTGGCATACACCAGCATTTTCCACAAAATTCCATAAATTGGAGATATAAAGCTAGACTTCTCTAGATTCCTAAACAAGAAAACGCCTTGAGAGTATCTCCATTCCTTTTGTAATTGTGAATGCACATGATACTAAAAAGAATGTATAACTCGAGACATATTTACATACTTTTCAATGGGCAATTTTCGTTATCATGCCTTTCAGACGTGTGCGGACGTCATGTGAAATTTACTGCTGTCATTAAGGGCTATGCTCTTTATGGTCACGTGATTCAGAACCTTACGCTTCCGGTTGATATACAAGACCCCTGCAGGACTCAGTGTGTTATGGAAAGTCGCTGCGTAGCAATCAATATTGGTCCACACTTCGGCGATCACATAATATGTGAACTAAGTGATTCAGACGGAACTGAATACCCCCAAGATCTCAAGCCTCGCAATGATTTTATTTACATTGGTACTGAGGTAAGAGTGTGGATAAAACAAAGACGGCATATTAAATTTCTTTTTCATTTTTTTTTTTTTTCAAGAACGAATTTTTTTGTTTCTCCAATAAGAACCGATGCAGCAATAACCCATGCCTTAACAATGGGACTTGCCTTAATGGGTATACCAAGAAAGGCTACATTTGTCTCTGTGGATCTCTCTACAGTGGAGAAAACTGTGAAACAGGTAACACATACATTTTATGCTGGATATACCAGAAATATAAGATTATTCAGTACAGTCGAATGTACCAAATTTCTTTAATTTGTTTGAAATGAGTGGCTGAATAGCTTGTTGAGCGACCGAACAATGATTGAATGATAGTCGTTTCAAGACGTTACGTTACATTACGTCACATCACCTTTGTTACATTACGTAATGTTATTTAATATTACTTTGCGTCGTTTGGTTTGGGTTTGTTTTGTTTTGTTTTGTTTCTCTTGCTTGCTTGCTTTTTTGTGTGTTTTGCTTTTTGTTTTGGTTTTATTTTTGTTAAAAAAATAAAAATAAAAATGAAAATAAAACATGTCACTCACATGCTGTGAGGAATTTTACACAGCTGAACATCTTGTGGAGTGCAACTCCAGCGAATGGACGCTGATAATAAAGATGGACGGTAATAAGGTACAAACTTGCTTTCAAATGTTTATTTTTCGTCTATTTATCTAGCTGTCAATGAATGATATCCGTTCAAATATTCATTCTCACGTATCCATCATTTATCTACTACTGTCAATGATTGATGGTCATTCAAATATTCATTCTTATGTATCCATCCATTGATCTACACGTAATAAGTTGAGTATCTCTTATCACTTTATTTCTTTTGCGAAGAAAATAATCTGAGAAATTGCTTATCATTGTGTCCCTATCTTTCGTCATATTTTGGCTCAGAAATATACAATGTTCCTTTCGTCGTTTTCGACCGCTACGTCAGAAGGATCTCAATATATTCGCGAAGTATGTTGTTTTAAAACAGCAGAGAAAAGGATTTTAGATTCAGATAAAAATACACATGTTACACATGTTTATGATTATATCAAATCGTGAAATAATAAACTCAAACATTCAGTTAAATTGATTTCTTGCTTTTTGATTTAAGTGATCAGCGATGAAGGTTGTTCTTTCCATCAAGATATGCGAAAAACTAACCTATTTGAGGAAAACTGATTTTATTTCCCCGTCTTTTTCTTGTTTTAAGTTCTAAAAAAGTCAAAGGATGTTAGTTAGTTGATAAAAGACTCACTAATTTGGATATGTTGTGAGCCGTATTCTGAGTTGAAGTGATATTAACTACCGTTCATTTGTTTTTCCTGGATGCTATGGCCCTAGGACACTTTTTCCTATGATTCCGTTCTGTGGACCAATAAGGATACTTTCAACCTTCCCGGAGGAAAAACTGGGCTCGACACACAAGAAACTAAGCTACCAAATTACTGGGAGAAACCTTTCTCTAAGATCTGCCTTGGTATGAGGATCGGAAGTCACACCAATTTTATAGTCATTCACATGGAGGCACCTTCCCTTTATTCACTAATCGCTGACGGGCAGTATCGTGCCATTTCGCTTGGTCGTGATAAATGGAAGTCGTTGATTGGTGCAGACGCATCCCTGCAGCTTAACTGCAACAAAGAGGGCTTCAACTCACAGGGCTATCCCAGTAACTCGAAAGCAAGGATTGGTATTATTGGTAACGAGCAATCTGATTGTGGAAGCACTGATTCCAGAATCGGTTTTGGTACAGGAGGCAACCCTGGCAAATCAATCACGTGTGGCAATGTGGCTAGTTATGGACCAGATAATGGAAACAGATATATTAAGGCAATGGGATATATCATGGTACAGTGACAAGGAAACTGGTACAATAAATACTTTAAAAATTTCTTATTTCTCAGTACAGCTACAAATCGTCTATTGAAGACCGCTTTTGTGGCAAAATTGTTTCAACACAAAGTAATCACCGATGAAAAGCAAAGATGAGAGGGAGAACTGCATAAATGCATTCCCCACATAACTTAAAATGGAAAAAAATGATAACAAGTAGGAATGGTATGATCATCTATCTCAAGAGCTCGTTATTTCCCCCATATTTACAAAGGTTGCGTAAGTGTACAAACCATGTTGGATTGTTTGAACAGCGGCAGTTACTCATAAAGAAATAGCTCACTCGTTTGTACCCAATTCCTGTTAATTTCAATGAGTTGTCCACACGTTTTTTCTCAAGTAAAACAATACAGACCACCATGCATTTTTAATTGGATATTTGATGTTTACGGTAAATGCCAATAACACGAGCAAATTATGATTTTTCCCAAAATCGTTAGACCAACCCTGTAAAAAGTAATAAAAATGATGATGATAATAGCGATAATAGTAATGATAGTAATAATTATGATGATAATACTAATAACATCAATAATGATAATACATGTCATTAACATGATAATAGTAATGATGATAATGCCAGCAAATAAAAAAAGACGCCTAAAAGTAGCAGGCAATACATTTGATTTTTACTTTTGCTGTTTGTTTTTGTTGTTGTTGTTGTTACTGACGTTATTATCATCATTCACGTACAATGCCTGACTGAGGTAAATAGACAAAATTCTACGATTATCAGGTTTCTTATCATCAACAAAACAACCCTATAGAAAAACCGACCAGTTTAAGAATTACTGGGTCCTTCTCTTGTGATTTGCCCAGTTTTTAAGAAACTGTGTCCTCTTCGACCTGCCATCAAACTCACAACGAGCGCTATTGACAGACATCAAATGAATTATCCCTGTGCGAGTCAATAAACACATTATCTTCAGGAATTGCATAATCAGCTTTGCCAGCCGCACCGTGAGACACGCTGCTCGCCGCCTGTTGTTTAGTGTGTCATTTTAACGTATGCGTGTTTCAACCTTAGTACACTGTTTTTCCATTGTGGGTCACATGTGGCAAATGTTTCTTTAAGTTTAGCACTGATTGCGTGGATTTCCAAAAAAACAATTGTCTGTTCCGCCGAAAAAGAGTTCTTGACCGAACCTTCACCTGAGAATACTTGCTGTACTATTGGCGTTTTTCTCCGCAAGTGTAATGATTTTCAAAACAAAGGTAATAATAGACAAATATTTGAATGAAAGCTTTTGTGACTTCTTGGTTACCACATATTGAGCAAAGCAAACAAATGATGATTGCCTTAGAGGAAAGGTACATTTTCCATTTTTTTTTTTTTTTTTATTTTTTAGTGCCCTAGCTAACTTTTAGTTTTCTGCGATTTTAAATTCGTCTCTCCGATTTATTCATTAGAACATGCGGAAAATAAAACTACAGAAACTTAGAAAGGCGCTAATGAAGATGAAACAGCACAGAAACGCTAACGAGGGCGCGAAAACTGACAGAAAGGAATAAACACTTAAATTAACGCCAAAAAAAAAGACTAAACAAATGGACGAAAAGAAGTATAAACTAATTTGCGTACGCAAAGGAAAAACAAATTACGCAAGAACGAATAATAGAAAAAATTTACACTTGGATCTTACAGTAATAATAGACAAATATTTGAATGAAAGCTTTTGTGACTTCTTGGTTACCACATATTGAGCAAAGCAAACAAATACTGATTGCCTCAGAGGAAAGGTTTTTTTTATTTTTTTTATTTTTTAGTGCCTTAGCTAACTTTTAGTTTTCTGCGATTTTAGAACGCAAAGCAAATTGTGGAATAATTGATGAGATACATTCCACCCCAAAGAGCCTTTCTGTCAGTTTATGCTTGCTTCCAATCCCAAGATTATATAATAATAACGAAAATATTCGCTAAATTTAAAGCTGCACGCAAACACGGGAAAGAAGAGAGAAAAAGGGAGGTGAATAAAAGCTATTCAAACTTTTAATGATTTTTTTAGCTCTGTGAGAAGAGATGCTCTAAATCATAATTGATTTTAACCGGAGACTTGAACTTCTTCTTTCTTATGCGCACAAGTGAGCCACGAAAAGGCCGAATCACCACTAAAGTTCACCTTTAAAAGTCCTGTTTCATATTTTTTCAAAGGCTTTGCACAAAACTTGAGTATAGAAGAAATGTCTTCGAGGGATATTATCTATAATCAATTTTAGACCAAGATCGTTGTTATCAAAAATTTATGAACCTTTCTCTAGGTTCTAAGAATTAATTATCTTTGCGAAACCAAAATTTAAGCTTTTCTTGCTGTGATGTTGCACTGAATCGGTAGTTCATAGTCAGGTTATAGTGGTTTGGTCTGGGACGAATAAATTTAAAGGTTAGTTTAAAAAAACTGTTTCTTTTTAATTGCATCATATGCCATAATGTTATGTGACAACGGTTCATAAATAGACATTAAATCGCCGGGAGCGCGTAGACAAGTGTAGATCAGAAGTTCGCATTGAACCCTTTCGCAAAACACATTCATTTAATCGTACTAAATAGATCCTGACGAAGGAGGAAGATCTGATCTCTTGAACCACCAAAAGGCTAGTCCAACAGCCTTAGCCTTGTCCATCACAATGGAGATTTCTTCATTGGTAACTTCGCTGTTGTGTCTCTTGGTCGCATCGAGTGGAGGTAATGAATATATTTTATAACAAATGGTGTTGAATTTTACTCTAGGAATCTTATTCGTGACTTTTCTTTAAGAAAAAGTGACGTCCATCCAGTTTATAAAAGTCATCCACGTACATCGTTCTTTTTTTTTCTTTTTTCCATGATTGGAGACTTCAAATCATTTTTAACCTTCGTTTGAAATTCTCTAAAATCTCCAACTTCGTGTATTACGTAATAAGTATTTTACAAACTCATAAGTATGTTTTCTTTGCAAAAAGTTAGCAATATGCAGCTTCACTTCAAAGCGATGAAATATTGATTTTTTTTTTTATTTATTGGAGTTCATATCTTTCTCCGACAACAGCGTCAAGAATACAGCAAACTTCTCACCAACATGTATTCATAAAAGACGAGTTCCATTTCCTAGATGTTCCTGGAGTAGGAAGATCCTCAGCTCTCGACATCTATGATTGCATATTTAAATGCCTTTTGAATCCTCAATGCAATTCTGTGAACATGGCAGAAAACGCCGTTAGAAAACTTTTCTTCTTCCTTCTACAAAATTCAAAGGATTCAACAAGAACATGATTTCACATCATTTTTCTATGCAAGTAAGTGCTTCATTCTATGGTGCTTTTTCGTCAAAAACATTTTGGGGCTATGTTGTCGCTTTCTTTCATATACTTCCGTTTTAATTTCCAAGACTATGCTAGTTTCTCTTCTTAGGACCAGTGTATCAAAGTGTGATCAAGTGATAAATAGAAATGAAACTCAACGATGTAATGAATTGTTCTGATGAAAAGACCGCGACTTCAATTTATTTTGTTTCTTACAAATATACCGATAGAAAAATTATTTGCTGGCACAATTATCGTCAGCCGACGTTGGGCGCGAAAAGAGAGAATTTCCATGATGCTGAAAAATATGAAACAGATAATGTCAAGTAGGAAGCTCAAGCAGGTGCCTAGGGGGAATAATAGAGCGAGGGTGGAATGATATGATAACAAAAGTTGTTTTTTAAAGAGTAGCTGTTCTGTTATAGCAAGGAAGTTGCTTTCAAACCAAAATATAGGTGATTAAAACACCGTTAACTAAACTTGACAAGTTTCCTCTCAACTGAGAGTTTCTCCCTGCCAATGTAGATGGCCTTGAAATTTTGTCTTTGTCCAATACCTGATATGCCAGCTCTTCATCAAGAATGCATTTGAAGACATAGGTATTAAAAAGTGATTTGCAAATGAAAAATGGATTGAAAAAGTCATTTGATAGGGACATGTAAATTATCTTTGCGATCAATGTGATTGACAGGGAGCTCTAGTAGAAATAAATGGATGTCACAAGAGTAACCCATCGAGAAACTTGACTTTGCAGATGCCTTTTTTAACCTCTGGAGACTGGTGTTTTATGATAAAATGTTTTGCTACTTCTACAGACACCTTGTTCTTCCTCTCCCTGCCAAAATGGAGGTACGTGTTTAGCAAACTACAAAGAAGACACCTATCACTGCCTCTGTGGAGACGGCTTTATTGGAACATATTGTGAAAAGGGTAAGCATTTTTTTTTTCTTGCAAACTCTGGGACGCAATGGTGGTGGTGACAAGTGAGACGAATTTCAAGTAAAAAAAATAGACAATATGCAATAATGATGAAAGATGGGATATTCTGGAACTAAGCAATAGTCTGTGTATAAAAATCCTTTCCTTAAACAGAACCTTTTCGATAAAAATCTCCATTGTCATTTTATTCACGTTAGTTTAGCCAGGCAGAAAGTTTACTTATTTTTCAATAGAAAAAAATATTGACAAATCTGTGAACATAAATCCCTGTATAACACCACAGTTTATGTGATAAAATAATTATAAGGTTTCATTTATTGTAAGCACGATAAAATTATATTGGTGGTAACGATAATCACAATGATTATGATAATAACAAAAGAATAATATACAGAGGGATGATGATTATAACATTAAGTGCCACAAAAAATTTAAATAAAAGTAGCTTTAAGGTGTTATAAAGGAAGACGTAAGACCAAGCGACATCAAACTGTTACAAATCCAAAAAGCGCTGCTGCCAAGTACAGTGCACAGACTGAGAAGAATTATTGCCATGGAGTTTAGAAAATCCTTCCAGCGTCAGAAAACCAAATCGACTCCAGACACAGTTTTTGCTCTGAATTCTGTAAAAGTTATTTAGGTAGCTTAGATGTGTAACGATGTGGCTTTTTTTAATAAATGTAATTCAAGAAAGTAATTCAAACAAAGTCAAACTTTTTTTCTCCTTCCAGGTGCGGTTTCATGTAAGGAATTGCATGACGCCAACATGTGAGTTTTTGAGGAAAGCTGCGAACCAATATTCAACTATGCGATAAAGAACACTTTAATTTTTAGAGAATTTTTTATTGCTCTGTAATGGACTGTGGGAGGCGTAGTGGCCTTATGACGAGTTATAATGGCCGAGGGTCCTTGTGGTTACAAGGGTCGAGGGTCCGATATGGCCGTGTCAATGTCCTTGTCGATGGTAATAGTCGACTAGTATCTCATAGTCGCCTCATGCTATAAAAACCGGGATAAGCTCCGGCTGGATGAGCCAGTTGAGTCGAGTATATACCTCTGTACCGACCTGACGATCTATCTTTGAAAGACTTTTTATGAAATTTTCGTGCTGTTCAAATTCATCACTTTGTGCCTCTTTCAACAGGTTAAACAGGAGTCAAGTGGTTATTCTTCGCTTTAACTCAGAACCCGTTTACGTTCTTTGTCAAATGGGAGATTTTGGATGTGGAGCAGGACCATGGACGCCAATTATGAAGACTGATGGCAACCAGGTTAGACATGAAGTGTGTAATCAATATGTCTCTGTTTAGTCAATTTCTGAAGCATATATTAGGTGTGAATTTGTTTGCTTGCCACTTACGTCAATAAAGGTGTTTAAATTTCGCGAATCTTGGCCATAACTAAGTGAAAAAAAAACTTGCAGACGTTAATTCACTGCTAATTAAGATCTACAAAAATGTTACGTGATTTGATTTGTGACAAAACCTCTTACGGTAAGCTCTTGGACGTTCGTTGAATTCAAAAGTTTCTAACGCAAGCTGGATGGCACAAACTGTGAAAATAGGGAAAGTGAGGCCATGTCCCAAAAAAAGGAGGTATCTGAACTATCATCATGCCTCGAATGTTGAGACCGGTTCTTCTTCCTTTTTAGAATACCTTCCATTTTGACTCTGTTTACTGGAATAATTGAAAAAGTTACAACCTCCCAGGAGGGCAGACTGGCTTTGATGGCTATGAGACCAAATTACCGACCTATTGGAGTACATCTTTCTCCAAGATCTGTCTTGGTATGAAGGTTGACCAACAGTTCAGATTTATTGTCATAAACCACATGGCTGCCTCTTTGCACTCACTTTTCGCTGATGGGCATTACCGCGCCACTTCACAGGGTCGAGATTCATGGAAGTCCCTCCTTGGGTCACAAAGCTCATTGCAGCTAAACTGCAATAGGGAAGGCTTCAACTCTGATGGTGCGATTGTTAAAACAAGAATTGGTATCGTGTCTTACGAGGGGTCGGATGGCTGCGACAGTTGTGATTCAAGGATAGGGTTTGGTGGTGCTAACGGGGATGATGACTCCAACACGTGTGGAAACATAGCTTACTGGTACCCGGATAACGGTGAGAAAAGTATCAAAGCCATGGGATACATTTCGCTCAATGATAAAAAAGGAAGTAATACTTAAACGCGCGAGAACACAAACTCGACTTGAAAGGACCCATTTTTAACGGACGCTCAATCATATACGTGTATCAAAACGATTCTTTGATATTTTCTTCTTCCTGGAAGATGTAGCAAGCACAGGAAATGATGTTGTGTCTCAGTAGCTTCTTATTTGAAAGTAAGGGCAAGGACCTCTAAAGAGTGTATTCCTTTTTTAAAATTTATTTGGTTAATTTATTAGGTCTGTTCCATCAGAGATCAATTTTATCGATTAACAGGAATACAATTGCTTGTGGGGCGAGACAGCACTAAAGCTGGGGCTTTGACAAGTATGTCTCTCTCACAAGCAAACCCATACTGATATGAGCTTTCACCCCAAAGCATTTGCATATTGTGCAAGGGTGTAGGAATAGGGGCGTCTCTCACCTTTCGTAACTTTCTGCTTCTCCTGTTGATAAAAAAAATAATAATAAAAAATAGAAAGTTTGAATTTTACCTAATTGTACTCTGAATTTCAGCAGCTGAACCTCACCTTCCTCTTTTAATGCACATTATATCAACTACTGCTTCATAGCTCACATTTTCTCCAATATCTTCGGGACATATCGAACAATTTCGTCCAAATTTTACGAGAATAATTTACGTAGGGCAATTAAACAGTTATTTTGAGTTCTTGATACTAAGTCAAAGTCCCTACAGAGAAATATGCTGAAGCAGAGCATGACATCCCCTCTCTTCGTACGTCATACTTCAGACGGTTTGATGATAAAGCCAACTCATGCTGTGAAAGCTTGGACGCCGTTGTTTATATACCCCCTAAGGAATAACTTAGGACCGCAAAAAATAGCTTATGGCAATGAGTTACAATGAGTAATTAGCACTACTATTTTTGTATTTATTCATTTTATTTTTTTTGTGGTGTCTAGACAGTGAAACACTACCCAATACGAGTCGCACCTCGATGTACAAAAACTACCTCATCACGTTTAGAATACTAGAATACCTTTTAGAAAACGGTGATGTGAATCAAAAGCGTCAAAAATAAACTACGAAATGGAACATATCTCCCCACCCCACCCCCGCGATAAGTGGGTTTGTACTGATTGCGCTCGGCAACTTTTGAACATCTTTGGGCATTAGGAGCAACTTTTTGCTGCTATAGCAACTTCGAACAATTTTTGCTTATCAGAGCAGTCTTTTAAACAAAATATTGGTTAAGAGCACAATCATATCAAGCGTAAAATAGTCAACGATTTTATGAGAAACTATCACATAACCTGTCACTTGACTTGGCACGCCTATCGCGATCTTTATATCTAACATCATAACGGATAATTGGCTGAGATGATGTTTGGCAAGACTTCAAATAAACCATGTGTTTTGTTTCATCAGACTTGGGTATGCCTAAATTTCGCCCATATTTGCGAGTTTCTGTTTAAAACTAAGTTCAAGCGATTTTTGTTTTCTTGACTGAAGTTGAAAATTATAGTCAAACGACGAAAAATAAAGCTTGTTTGATAAATAACCAACCAACAGCCAATTGTTACAATTTGGCATGCACACATTTCGAAATTTTGCGATATTTCATATTCTTCTACACCGCATAACTCACCTTGTCCCTAATATCTCCAGAACCCACCAAATTCTCGCCAAAAGTAAAACGTCCATGATTGACATGCAAGGGAATGATTTTAAACAGCAATTAGAAATAACCGATAAGCGCTTCTTTATTCAAGTTGTTGAAGTGGGCTAAAGGCACGATATTTCCTCTTCAGCTTGTCAATACTCACTCGGGGGCTAATGAACAATGCCAGAGCGGTATTGTAGAGACTTGGACCCTGTTGGTTGGGCGACATCTATGTATTTTAATAAAACATTTCACGCGACAGGAACCATTTCTCTGTGTGACAGATTTGTTTTATCACGTTTAGTCTTTAAAAGTCTCAAAAAACAACTAAGAGAATGAAATTCAGCTGTCTACTTCTGCGCTGCCTATTCTTTGTAGCCGTTCTCTTTTGGGGAGTGACTTTCATGCTCTAAGGTAAGAGACAAACTTGACTGCATTGCATTCGCTTGCATATTTTCAAGCTTTTTCTTCCTATATCTTTATTCTATCTTTTATGTTTCGCTATTCACGAGATTCATCACAAAACGCCTCTTAGCTTATCAGGCGTTTAAATTTCCATAGATATTGCTTAAGCTTAATCTACGAGAACATCTAATAAATAGCGAATATATTTTGAAAAACTTTCCACTGTCAAGATACGCTTCTGATCTGACGAAAATATGTTTATGAGTAAGCTATTTTGGTCTTTGTTGATATACGAAAAGTAAAATATAAGAAAGAAATTCATGAGAGTTGAAAGGACGGTTTACACTCTGCTGGTAACTGCTTTGTGAAAAGATAAAGCCAAAAGATCCGCGCGCTTCTGTTGTTTCGAATGTGCGCTCCCCTGAACTTCGGTAAAATTTCGTTTTCATATTACAAGAAAACATAAAAACAGGAAGGAGAAACTTGTAGTTTTCGCTATTGTCATATAGAGCCAACGATTACCATATTTAGTAATGTTTCACGATCGTTTTTTTCAAATGTAAGATGAGAGAGTTGTGTTATTTTCGTTCTTTTCCCTCTCTCTCTATCGGACACAAATTCCAATCTGTTCCCTTACGAACGTTTTTGGGCATTTTTTGTCAATAAGGGATGGGTCACTCTAGAGCGAATTCAACTATTTACTTATTTTTCGCTAGTCAAATATTGGCAAAATAATTTGCAGTTTCCTATTTTTGGCGGCGGTCGCATTAAACTAGTATCTTCTAACCAAAACTTCATTGATTGACACATACGTCAATCACAAACTCATCTCCCTCTATTAAAAGATAAAGAAAAATTCTCGATCGAATTACTGGGCAAGAATGGAGCGTCGTCGAATGATTATCTCTGCATTTTTCGGGTTTTGTGGAATTTTGCATTTCTTTCTCAGCAAAACAAAGAAGCGTTTTTTACATTGTTGGCACAATATCAGCAGGTTTTTAAGCGGCTAGCGTCAGCTTTTAGACGTAGAAGACGAAGACCTCGCTTAAATAGAGCTCGCTTTCCTAATCTTCCCTGGTCGAGGTCTCCTCGTCCAGCGTAGTCACGGTTCGAGATTGAGATTATATATCGTACTTCACTTTCTTTTTTCCTTGCCGATCTTTTTGGTTGAAGCTTGCACCACTTGTGCTGGTTTCGATAATTCCAGTGGAAGGAGAAGTACTCGTTGAAGCCGATTGCTCTACAAATTGCCGCCAATGACCGGGCCCAGGGTACGTGTCAGACATTCGTTCAAATTCCTCGTTCCGCTCAAACGAAAACTGAGGGTCAGATGGACAAGGAAAAAAATTGTATCCTTCCATCGCAAGCGGCAGATCACACTAGCGGACCACAGTGTATTTTTCCCGCTTAAATTTTATCTAGACAACTCTCGCGGACGATGACAGCTAAATGGTTTAAAAAACAAGATTGTTATCCTAGCCTGTAGTTTTGATTTCCAGTTTCTTAGTCTTAGTCTTAGTCTTAGTCTTAGTCTTAGTCTTAGTCTTAGTCTTCGAGAACTCGCCATTTTATCTCGGCTAGAGGGATTAGTCATGGTTGTTTGTGGCTAGTTATCCAGGTTTGGATCAGGCTAACTCATGAAAAGAAAAGAAAAGAAACAAACATCGAATAAAGCTGAGAAAGACTATAGATTCAAATATTTCGATCACAAATTTGATTTATTATAGTTTCCATCTAAGGAATAAAGCAAGCCGTAACATTTGTTTTCTAGGAAAATTGAAGTAAAAACTAGAAATTACTGCATTCGATCCAAACTGCATGATAAATATAAACATGCATGCAAACTAAGACGCAATTTACCTAAGATTTCTTTAAAATTTCTTCTTCATTTCTGAGAAAATGATCCAAAATCGGTTAGTTTCTTCGTTTACCTAGTTGTGTGGTTGTTGATGGTGCTGTTTGACATTTTTGATGTTTTGAAATGTGTGCTTGCTCTAAAAGTAAATTAAAACAAAAATACCAGGAGTAACTTGAGGAATTAAACTATGCAAATGAATTGTGCAGGATCCATGGTAATGATACTGACAGCTGTACTTAAGTCAAATAAAAACCAAGTGAGTGATTTATTGAATTTGAAGTGAAGTGAAAAGATACTTTTCAGCTGAAATTGATAAAATCTAGGTCAATAATTAACAATTACTAACCGACACTTAGGTGCATAGTTGTTTTAGTATATACTCTTTTATTTCTGTCAGTATACTGAAAATGGTCGCAAATTAAACTCTTAATTAAAGAGCGATAGCGTCCCTTCGGTTGCTCAAAGGTGAATAGGACTTGATAATCAATAACGGAGATGCCGATCACCACGTGCGAAGAGTACTTTTCACCTGTGTGGCATATAGTAATACCAGTTCTGACCAAATCTAACTCAGTCTATTCAGGACTGCAATCACCCTTCACATTTCATTAAGGCGGCCTCATACAGTCATAAATACTCATATATCACTGCTCATACTTTGATCAATTTTATCGCCATTTACTTGCGGCGTCGTGTTAGAATATTAACAGATCAACATAGATTTGAGTTAACATGTAATGTCAGTTCATTTTAGGGTCACTAAAATGTATCCAAGATGGAGACCTATTTTCTGAACAGAGCGGAGTAAACTTCAGGAACTGTCAGTTAATAAGATTTAGCCATCGAACGATTATACTGAGAAAATGAAAACCTTGTTTTTGTCAACTGTTTGTGCGCTGGTTGTTGTTCTTCTTGTTTGGGATAATTGGTCTCATTACGGTGCAGTTGCGACCCACGGTAAGGAAACTCCGTTTTAACACTATAACTCTAATTTCTACAACAAACAAACAAGTAAAGAAAAAAAAGGAAAACAAGCAAAAAGAGGAGACACTGAAAAGAATGCAATAGCTCCTTGGCATACACCAACATTTTCCACAAAATTCCATAAATTAGAGATATAAAGCTAGACTTCTCTAGATTCCTAAACAAGAAAACGCCTTGAGAGTATCTCCATCCATTTTGTAATTGTGAATGCACATGATACTAAAAAGAATGTGTAACTCGAGACATATGTACATACTTTTCAATGAGCAATTTTTGTTATCATGCCTTTCAGACGTGTGCGGACGTCATGTGAAATATACTGCTGTCATTAAGGGCTATGCTCTTTATGGTCACGTGATTCAGAACCTTACGCTTCCGGTTGATATACAAGACCCCTGCAGGACTCAGTGTGTTATGGAAAGTCGCTGCGTAGCAATCAATATCGGTCCACACTTAGGCGATCACATTATATGTGAACTAAGTGATTCAGACGGAACTGAATACCCCCAAGATCTCAAGCCTCGGAATGATTTTATTTACATTGGTACTGAGGTAAGAGAGTGGGTAAAACAAAGACGGGATTTTGAATTTTATTATTTTTTTTTTTTTTTAAGAACGAATTTTTTTGTTTCCCCAATAAGAACCGATGCAGTAATAACCCATGCCTTAACAATGGGACTTGCCTTAATGGGTATACCAAGAAAGGCTACATTTGTCTCTGTGGATCTCTCTACAGTGGAGAACACTGTGAAACAGGTAACACATACATTAATGTTGGATATACCAGAAATATAAGATTATTCAGCACAGTCGAATATACCAAATTTATTTCATTTGTTTGAATTGACTGGCTGAATAGCTTGTTAAGCGACCAAACAACGATTGAATGATAGTCGTTTCGAGAAGTTACGTTACATTACGTCACACCACCTTTGTTACATTACGTAATATTATTTTATATTACGTTGCTTCGTTTGGTTTGGGTTTGTTTTGTTTTGTTTTGTTTCTCTTGCTTGCTTGCTTTTTTGTGTGTTTTACTTTTTGTTTTGGTTTTATTTTTGTTAAAAAAATAAAAATAAAAATGAAACATGTCATTCACATGCTGTGTAGAATTTTACATAGCTGAACATCTTGTGGAGTGGAACTCCAGCGAATGGACGCTGATAATAAAGATGGACGGTAATAAGGTACAAACTTGCTTTCAAATGTTTATTTTTCGTCTATTTATCTAGCTGTCAATGAATGATATCTGTTCAAATATTCATTCTCATGTATCCATTCATTTATCTACACGTAATAAGTTGAGTATCTCTTTATTTCTTTTGCGAAGAAAATAAACTGAGAAATTGCTTATCATTGTGTCCCCATCTTTCCTCATATTTTGGCTCAGAAATATACAATGTTCCTTTCGTCGTTTTTCGACACCCTACGTCAGAAGGATCTCAATATATTCGCGAATTATATATATTGTTTTAAAACAGCAGAGAAAAGGATTTTGGATTCAGATAAAAATACACGTGTTACACATGTTTATGAGTATATCAAATCGTGAAATAATATACTCAAACATTCAGTAAAATTGATTTCTTGCTTTTTTATTTAAGTGATCAGCCATGAAGGTTGTTCTTTCCATTAAGATATGCGAAAAACTAACTTTTTTGAGGAAAACTGACTTGATTTCCCCGTCTTTTTCTTTTTTTAAGTTCTACAAAAGTCAAAGGATGTTAGTTATTTGATAAAAGACTGACTAACTTGGATATGTTGTGAGCCGTATTCTGAGTTGAAGTGATATTAACTACCGTTCATTTGTTTTTCCTGGATGCTCTGGCCCTAGGACACGTTTTCCTATGATTCCATTCTGTGGACCAATAAGGATACTTTTAACCTTCCCGGAGGAAAAACTGGGCTCGACACACAAGAAACTAAGCTACCAACTTACTGGGAGAAACCTTTCTCTAAGATCTGCCTTGGTATGAGGATCGGAAGTCACACCAATTTCATAGTCATTCATATGGAGGCAACTTCCCTTTATTCACTAATCGCTGACGGGCAGTATCGTGCCATCTCGCTTGGTCGTGATAAATGGAAGTCGTTGATTGGTGCAAACGCATCCCTGCAGCTTAACTGCAACAAAGAGGGCTTCAACTCACAGGGCTATCCTCATAACTCGAAAGCAAGGATTGGTATTATTGGTAACGACCAATCTGATTGTAGAAGCACTGATTCCAGAATCGGTTTTGGTACAGGAGGCAACCCTGACAAATCCATCACGTGTGGTAACGTGGCTGGTTATACAGCAGATAATGGAAGAAGATATATTAAGGCAATGGGATATATCATGGTACAGTGACAAGGAAACTAGTACAATAAATACTTTAAAAATTTCTTATTTCTCAGTACAGCTACAAATCGTCTATTGAAGACCACTTTTGTGGCAAAATTGTTTGAACACAAAGTAATCATCAATGAAAAGCAAAGGTGAGAGGGAGAACTGCATAAATGCATTCCCTACAAAACTTAAAGTGGAAAAAAATGATAGAAAAGTAGGAATGGTGTGATCATCTATCTCAAGAGCTCGTTATTTCCCCCATATTTACAAAGGTTGCGTAAGTGTACAAACCATGTTGAATTGTTTGAACAGCGGCAGTTACTCATAAAGAAATAGCTCACTCGTTTGTACCCAATTCCTGTTAATTTCAATGAGTTGTCTATACGTTTTTTTCTCAAGTAAAACAATACAGACCACCATGCATTTTTAATTGGATATTTGATGTTTACGGTAAATGCCACTAGCACGAGCAAATTATGATTTTTCCCAAAATCCTTAGACCAACCCTGTAAAAAGTAATAAAAATGATGATGATAATAACGATAATAGTAATGGTAGTAATAATTATGATGATAATACTAATAACATCAATAATGATAATACATGTCATTAATATGATAATAGTAATGATGATGATGTCAGCAAATAAAAACACGCCTAAAAGCAGCAGGCAATACATTTGATTTTTACTTTTTTTGTTTGTTTTTGTTGTTGTTGTTGTTACTGACGTTATTATCATCATTCTCGTACAATGCCTGACTGAGGTTAATGGACAAAATTCTACGATTATCAGGTTTCTTATCTTCAACAAAACAACCTTATCTAAAAAGCGATCAATTTAAATTTTACTGGGTTCTTCTCTTGTTATTTGCCCAGTTTTTAAAAAACTCTGTCCTCTTCGACCTGCCATCAAACTCACAACGAGCGCTATTGTCAGACATTAAATGAATTATCCCTGTACGAGTCAATAAACACGTTATCTTCAGGAATTGCATAATCAGCTTTGCCAGTCGCACCGTGAGACACGCTGCTCACCGCCTGTTGTTTAGTGTGTCATTTTAACGTATGCGTGTTTCAACCTTAGTACACTGTTTTCCTATTGTGGGTCACATATGGGAAGTGTTTCATTAAGTTTAGCACTGATGGCGTGGATTTCCAAAAAAACAATTGTCTGTTCCGCCGAAAAAGAGTTCTTGACCGAACCTTCACCTGAGAATACTTCCTATACTATTGGCGTTTTTCTCCTCAAGTGTAATGATTTTCAAAACAAAGGTAATAATAGACAAATATTTGAATGAAAGCTTTTGTGACTTCTTGGTTATCACATATTAAGCAAAGCAAAAAAATGCTGATTGCCTTAGAGGAAAGGTACATTTTCCATTTTTTTTATTTTTTCGTTATTTTTTAGTACCTCAGCTTACTTTTAGTTTTCTGCGATTTTAAATTCGTCTCTCCGATTTATCTATTGGTGCGTGTTAGACTTGAAATTGATAATAGCCAAATGGCGCCCTTAGTATAATTACCAACAGTAGGCATCCAGAGTTTTCGTGTCTTTAAATGAATTTCTGTCGCTTCTTAAGAAAACGAGGCCTTGGTTGTTAAATAGATAGCAGGCAGAACGCAAAGCAAATTGTGAAATAATTGATGAGATACATTCCATCCCAAAGAGCCTTTCTGTCAGTTTATGCTCGCTTCCCATCCCAAGACTATATAATAATAACGAAAATATTCGCTAGATTTAAAGCTTCACGCAAACACGGGAGAGAAAAGAGAAAAAGGGAGGTGAATAAGCGCTATTCAAACGTTGAATTATTTTTTTCAGCTCTGTGAGAAAGGATGCTCTAAATCATAATTGACTTTAAACGGAGACTTCTTCTTTCTTATGCGCACAAGTGAGCCATTAAAAGTCCGAATCACCACTAAAGTTCACCTTTAAAAGTCCTGTTTCATATTTTTTTCAAAGGCTTTGCATTTGGGATACAAAAGAAAGTATAAAAGAAATGTCTTCGAGGGATATTATCTACAATCAATTTTTGAGCAAGATCGTTGTTATCAAAAATTTATGAACCTTTCTCTAGTTGCAAAGAATTAATTATCTTTGCGAAACCGAAATTTAAGCTTTTGTTGCTGTGATGTTGCACTGAATCGGTAGTTCATGGTCAGCTTTATGGTGGTTTGGTCTGGCACGAATAAATTTAAAGGTTAGTTTAAAAAAAAACACACATACACACACACGCACACTTGCAAATAAAAGTCTACCCTCAGTTATTATATTGTTTCTTTTTAAATTGCACCATATGCCATAATTTTATGCGGCAACGGTTCATAAATAGACAGTAAATCGCCGGGAGCGCGTAAACAAGTGTAGATCAGAAGTTAGCACTGAACCCATTCGCAAAACACATTCATTTAATCGTACTAAATAGATCCTGACGAAGGAGGAAGATCTGATCTCTTGAACCACCAAAAGGCTAGTCCAACAGCCTCAGCCTATTATTTATTACTAACTTCGCTGTTGTGTCTCTTGGTCGCATCGAGTGGAGGTAATGAATATATTTTATAACAAATGGTGTTGAATTTTACTCTAGGAATCTCATTCGTGACCTTTCTTTAAAAAAAGTGACCTCCATCCAATTTATAAAAGTCATCCACGTACATCGTTCTTTTTTTTTCTTTTTACCATGATATGAGACTTCAAATCATTTTTAACCTTCGTTTGAAATTCGCTGAAATTTCCAGCTTCTTGTATTGCGTAATAAGCATTTTACAAACTCATAAGTATGTTTCTTTTCAAAAGGTTAGCAATATGCAGCTTTATTTGACAGCGATGAAATATTGATTTGTTGGTATTTATTGGGGTTCCTATCTTTCTCCGACAACAGCATCAAGAATACAGCAAACTTCTCACCAACATGTATTCATAAAAGACGAGTTCCATTTCCTTGATGTTCCTGGAGTAGGAAGATCCTCAACTCTCGACATCTATGACTGTATATTTAAATGCCTCTCGAATCCTCAAGGCAATTCTGTAAACATGGCCGCTGAAACGAACGCCGTCAGAAAACTTTGGTGCGAGCTTCTTCCTTCTGACATATACAAGAATTCAAAGGATTACAACAAGAACATGAGTTCACATCATTTTTCTATGAAAGTAAGTGCTTCATTCTATGGTGCTTTTTCGTCAAAAACATTTTGGGGCTATGCTGTCGCTTTCCTTCATATAGTTCGGTTATTATTTCCAAGGCGATGCTAGTTTCTCTTCTTGGGACCAGTGAATCAAAGGGTGATCAATTACTTTTTTTCTTACAAATATACCGATAGAAAAATTATTTGCTGGCGCAAGTATCGTCAGCCCACGTTGGGCGAGAAAAAAAATAATTTCCATGATACTGAAAAATATTAAACAGATTATGTCAAGCAGGAAGCTCAAGCAGGTGCCTAGAGGGAGTAACAGAGCGGGGGTGGAATGATATGATAACAAAAGTTGTTTTTTAAAGAGTAGCTATTCCGTTATAGTAAGGAAGTTGCTTTCAAACCGAAATATAGGAACACTGTAAACTAAACTTGACAAGTTTCCCTCAACTGAGAGTTTCTCCCTGCCAATGAAGATGGCCTTGAAATTTTGTCTTTGTCCAAAACCTGATATGCCAGCTCTTCATCAAGAATGCATTTGAAGAAATAGGTATTAAAAAGTGATTTGCAAATGAAAAATGGATTGAAAAAGTCATTTGATAGGGACATGTAAATTGTCTTTGCGAACAATGTGATTGACAGGGAGCTCTAGTAAAAATAAATGGATGTCACATTTCCTTTACAAGAGTAACCTATTAAGAAACTTGACTTTGCAGATGCCTTTTTTAGCCTCTGGAGACTGGTGTTTTATGATAAACTGTTTTGCTACTTCTACAGACACCTTGCTCTTCCTCTCCATGCCAAAATGGAGGTACGTGTTTAACAAACTACAAAGAAGACACCTATCACTGCCTCTGTGAAGACGGCTTTATTGGAACATATTATGAAAAAGGTAAGCATTTTTTTTGCAAACTCTGGGGCGCAATGGTGGTGGTGACAAGTGAGACGAATTTCAAGTAAAAAAAATAGCTCATAGACAATATGCAATAATGATGAAAGATGGGATATTCTGGAACTAAGCAATAGTCTGTGTATAAAAAATCCCTTCCTTAAAAAGATCCTTTTCGGTAAAAATTTCATTATCATTTTACTCACGTTAGTTTACCCAGGCAGAAAATTTACTTGTTTTTCAATAGAAAAAAATTGACAAATCTGTAACCATAGATAATAATCATAAGATTTCATTTATTGTAAGCACGATAAAATTATATGGGTGGTAACGATAATAATAATGATTATTACCAATATTCAACTATGCGATAAAGAACACTTAATTTTTTGAGAATTTTTTTATTGCTCTGTAATGGACTGTGGGAGGCGCAGTGGCCTTATGACGGGTTATAATGGTCGAGGGTCCTTGTGGTTACAAGGGTCGAGGGTCCGATATGGCCGTGTCAATGTCCTTGTCGATGGTGATGGTGGACTAGTATCTCATAGTCACCTCATGCTCTAAAAACCGGGATAAGTTCCTGCTGGATGAGCCAGTTGAGTCGAGTGTATACCTCTGTACTGACCTAACGATCTATCTGTTAAGGACTTTATATGAAATCTTCATATATTATAGTGCGTACTGTTCAAACTCATCACTTTGTGCCTCTTTCAACCAGTTAAACAGTCAAGTGGTTACTCTTCGCTTTAACTCAGAACCCGTTTCCGTTCTTTGTCAAATGGGAGATTTTGGATGTGGAGCAGGACCATGGACGCCAATCATGAAGACTGATGGCAACCAGGTTAGACATGAAGTGCGTAATCAATATGTCTCTGCTTAGTCAATTTCTGAAGGATATATTAGGTGTGAATTTGTTTGCTTGCCACTTCCGTCAATAAAGGTGTTTAAATTTCGCGAATCTTGGCCATAACTAAGTGAAAAAAAGCTTGCAGACGTTAATTCACTGCTAATAAGGATCTACAAAAATGTTACGTGATTTGATTTGTGACAAAACCTCTTATGGTAAGCTCTTGGAAGTTCGTTGAATTCAAAAGTTTCTAACGCAAGCTGGATGGCACAAATCGTGAAATTAGGGAAAGGGAGGCCGAGTCCCAAAAACAGGAGGTATCTGAACTATTGCCATTTCATCAAGCCTCGAATGTTGAGACCGGTAATTAAGAGAAGCAAAATAACATTTTCTTCTTCCTTTTTAGAATACCTTCCATTTTGACTCTGTTTACTGGAATAATTCAAAAAGTTACAACCTCCCAGGAGGCCAGACTGGCTTTGATGGCAATGAGACCAAATTACCGACCTATTGGAGTACATCTTTCTCCAAGATCTGTCTTGGTATGAAGGTTGACCAACAGTTAAGATTTATTGTCATAAACCACATGGCTGCCTCTTTGCATTCACTTATCGCTGATGGACATTACCGCGCCACTTCACTGGGTCGAGATTCATGGAAGTCCCTCCTTGAGTCACAGAGCTCATTGCAGCTACACTGCAATAGGGAAGGCTTCAACTCTGATGGTGCGATTGTTAAAACAAGAATTGGTATCGAGCCTAACGAGGGGTCGGATGGCTGCGACAGTTGTGATTCAAGGATAGGGTTTGGTGGTGCTAACGGGGATGATGACTCCAACACGTGTGGAAACAAAACTTACTTGTACCCGGATAACGGTGACAAAAGTATTAGAGCCATGGGATACATTTTCGCTCAATGATAAAAAAGGAAGTAATACTTAAACGCGCGAGAACACAAACTCGACTTGAAAGGACCCATTTTTAACGGACGCTCAATCATATGCGTGTATCAAAATGATTCTTTGATATTTTCTTCTCACTGGAAGATGTAACAAGCACAGGAAATGATGCTGTGTCTCAGTAGCTTCTTATTTGAAAGTAAGGGCAAGGACGTCTAACGAGTGTATTCCTTTCTTAAATTTTATTTGGTTAATTTAGTAAGTCTGTTCCATCAGAGATCAATTTTATCGATCAACAGGAATACAATTACTTGTGTGGCGAAACAGCACAAAGCTGGGGTTTTGACAAGTATGTCTCTCTCACAAGCAAACCCATACTGATATGAGCTTTCACCCCAAAGCATTTGCATATTGTGCAAGGGGGTAGGAATGGGGGCGTCTCTCACCTTTCGTAACTTTCTGCTTCTCCTGTTGATAAAAAAAAGTAATAATAAAAAATAGAAAGTTTGAGTTTTACCTAATTGCACTCTGAATTTCAGCAGCTGAACCTCACCTTCCTCTTTTAATGCACATTATATCAACTACTGCTTCATAGCTCACATTTTCTCCAATATCTTCGGGACATATCGAACAATTTCGTTCAAATTTTACGAGAATAATTTACTTAAGGCAATTAAACAGTTATTTGAGTTCGTGATACTAAGTCAAAGTCCTTACAGAGAAATATGCTGAAGCAGAGCATGACATCCCCTCTCTTCTTGTACGTCAGATGGTTTAATGATAAAGCCAACTCATGCAGTGAAAGCTTGGACGCCGTCGTTTATATACCCCCTAAGGAATAACTTAAGAACGCAAAAAATAGCTTATGGCAATGAGTTACAATGAGTAATTAGCACTACTGCACTTCAAACAACACCGTTCCTTCTATTATAATTTCCATACTCGACGATTTTTGTATTTATTCATTTTATTTTTTTGTGGTGTCTAGACAGTGAAACACTACCCAATACGAGTCGCACACGATGGACTTTACAAAATCTACCTCATCACGTTTAGAATACTTTGAAAACGGTGATGTGAATCAAAAGCGTCGAAAATAAATTACCAGATGGAACATATCTCCCCACCCCACCCCCGCTTTTAGTGAGTCTGTACCGATTGCGCTCAGCAATTTTTGAAGAACTTTGGGCATTAGGAGCAAGCTTTTGCTGCTCTAGCAACTTCGAGCAATTTCTGCCTATTGGAGCAATTTTTGAGCAAAAGATAGGTTTAGAGCACAATCATATCAATCGTGAAAAATTTAACGAAAACCTGTCACTTGACTAGGCACGCCTATCGCGATCTTTATATCTAACATCATCACTGATAATTGGCTGAGATGACGTTTGGCAAGACTTCAAATACACCATGTGTTTTGTTCCATCAGACTTGAGTATCCCTAAATTTCGCCCATATTTGCAAGTCACTGTTTAAAACTAAGTTTCAAGGGATTTTTGTTTTCTTGACCGATGTTGAAAATTATCGTCAAACGAAGAAAAATAAAGCTTGTTTGACAAATAACCAACCAACAGCCAATTGTTACAATTTGGCATGCACACATTTCGAAATTTTGCGATATTTCATATTCTTCTAGACCGCATAACTCACTTTGTCTCTAATATCTCCAGAACCCAGCAAATTCTCGCCAAAAGTAAAACGTCCATGGTTGACATGCAAGGGAATGATTTTAAACAGCAACTAGAAATAACCGCTAAGTTCTTCTTTATTCAAGTTGCTAAAATGGGCACGATATTTCCTCTTCAGCTTGTCAATACTCACTCGGGGGCTAATTAACAATGCTAGAGCGGTAATGTAAAGACTTGGAGCCTGTCGGTTGGGCGACATCTAAGTATTTTAACATTCCATGCAACGGGAAGCATTTCTCTGTGTGACAGAGATTTGTTTTATCATGTTTAGTCTTTAAAAGTCTCAAAAAAAACTTCGAGAATGAAATCTGCTGTCTACCTCTACGCTGCCTATTCTTTGTAGCCGTTCTCTTTTGGGGAGTGACTTTCACGCTCCAAGTTACGAGACAAACTTTACTGCATATTTTCAAGCTTTTTCTTCCTATATCTTTATTCTATCTTTTATGTTTCGCTATTCACGAGATTCATCACAAAACGCCTCATAGCTTATCAGCGTTTAAATTTTCCGTAGATATTGCTTAAGCTTAATCTACGAGAACATCAAATAAATAGCGAATATATTTTGTACAACTTTCCACTGTCAAGATACGCTTCTGATCTGACGAAAATCTGTTTATGGGTAACTATTTTGGTCTTTGTTGAGATACGAAAAGTAAAATATAGAACAGAATACCTCTATAGTTACACACAAAGCGGCCGCACATTTTTTTCCTTTTTATTTCGTCCCTTCTTGCGGAAAATACAAGCAGCTCACTGGTTGGATACACATTTCAGAGTTAATTGAACGTACTAATCAGAATTGCACTCATACATCAGCGATCTGCTTAAAAGAAAACCATGAAAGTTGTAAGGACGATTTACACTCTGTTAACTGCTTTGTGAAAAGGTAAGCTAAAATATCCGCGTGCTTCTGTTGTTTCGAGTGTGTGCTCCCCTGAACTTCGGTAAAATTTCGTTCTCATATTACAACAAAACATAAAAACAGGAAGGAGAAACTTTTAGTTTTCGCTATTGTCAGATAGAGCCAACGATTACCATATTTAGTAATGTTTTACGATCGTTTTTTTCAAATGTAAGATGAGAGAGTTGTGTTATTTTCGTTCTTTTCCCTCTCTCTCTATCGGACACAAATTCCAATCTGTTCCCTTACTAACGTTTTTGGGCATTTTTGTCAATAAGGGATGGGTCGCTCAAGAGCGAATTCAACTATTTACTTATTTTTCGCGAGTCAAATATTAGCAAAATAATTTGCAATTTCCTATTTTTGGCGGCGGTCGCATCAAACTAGTATCCTCTAACCAAAACTTCATTGATTGCACATACGTCAATCACAAACCCATCGCATTGTAGTTTTGATTTCCAGTTTCTTAGTCTTAGATATTTCCGAGAACTCGCCATTTTATCTCGGCTGGAGGGATTAGTCATGGTTCTTTGTGGCTAGTTATTTAGGTTCGGATCAGGCTAACTCATGAAAAGAAAAGAATCAGACTAACATCGACTAAAGCTGAGAAAGACTGTAGATTCAAATATTTCGATCACTAATTTGATTTATTATAGTTTCCATCTAGGGAATGAAGCAAGCCATAACATTTATTTTCTAGGAAAATTGAAGTAAAAACTAGAAATTACTGCATTCGATCCAAATTGCATGATAAACATAAACATGCATGTAAACAAAGACGCAATTTACTTAAGATTTCTTCAGAATTTCTTCTTCATTTCTGAGGAAATGATCCAAAATCGGATAGTTTCTTCGTTTACCTAGTTGTGTGGTTGTTGATGCTGCTGTTTTGAAGTGTGTGCTTGCTCTAAAAGTAAATTAAAACAAAAATACCAGGAGTAACTTGAGGGATCAAACTATGCAAATGAATTGTGGCAGTATCCATGGTAATGATACTGACAGCTGTACATAAGTCGAATAAAAACCGAGAGAGTGATTTATTGAATTTGAAGTGAAGTGAAAAGATACTTGTCGGCTGAAATTGATAAAATCTAGGTCAATAATTAACAATTACTTACCGACACTTAGGTGCATAGTTGTTTTAGTATATACTCTTTTATTTCTGTCAGTATACTGAAAATGGTCGTCCCTTCGGTTGCTCAAAGGTGAATAGGACTTGATAATCAATACCGGAGAAGCCGATCACCGCGTGCGAAGAGCACTTTTCACCTGTGTGGTAGATAGTAATACAAGCTCTGACCAATAACTAAGTCTATTCAGGATTGCAATCACCCTTCATATTTCATTAAGGCGGCCTCGTACAGTAATAAATACTCATAAATCACTGCACATACTTTGATCAATTATATCGCCTTCTACCATCTACTTGCGGCTTCGTTGCAGAATATTAACAGATAAAGATACATTTGAGTTAACATGTAATGTCAGTTCATTTTAGGGTCACTAAAATGTATCCAAGATGGACACCATTTTCTGGACAGAGCGGAGTAAACTTCAGGAACTGTCACGACCCACGGTAAGGAAACTCCATTTTAACACCATAACTCTAATTTCTACAAAGTTTTTTTTTTTTTTCAAAATTTAAATCACCTCCTATTGGACTGATTATTCACAAAAACGCACAAAAAAGGTCTAACATTTTCCACAAAATTCCATAAATTGGAGATATAAAGCTAGACTTCTCTAGATTCCTAAACAAGAAAACGCCTTGAGAGTATCTCCATCCATTTTGTAATTGTGAATGCACATGATACTAAAAAGAATGTGTAACTCGAGACATATGTACATACTTTTCAATGAGCAATTTTCGTTATCATGCCTTTCAGACGTGTGCGGACGTCATGTGAAATATACTGCTGTCATTAAGGGCTATGCTCTTTATAGTCACGTGATTCAGAACCTTACGCTTCCGGTTGATCTACAAGACCCCTGCAGGACTCAGTGTGTTATGGAAAGTCGCTGCGTAGCAATCAATATCGGTCCACACTTCGGCGATCACATTATATGTAAAGTAAGTGATTCAGACGGAACTGAATACCCCCAAGATCTCAAGCCTCGCAATGATTTTATTTACATTGGTACTGAGGTAAGAGAGTGGGTAAAACAAAGACGGGAAGTTAAATTTCTTTTTTTTTTTTTTTTCAAGAACGAATTTTTTGTTTCCCCGATAAGAACCGATGCAGTAATAACCCATGCCTTAACAATGGGACTTGCCTTAATGGGTATACCAAGAAAGGCTACATTTGTCTCTGTGGATCTCTCTACAATGGAGAAAACTGTGAAACAGGTAACATATACATTTTATATTGGATATACCAGAAATAGAAGATTATTCAGTACAGCCGAATAAACCAAATTTCTTTAATTTGTTAGAATTGACCGGCTGAATAACTTGTTAAGCGACTGAACAATGATTTAATGATAGTAGTTTCAAGATGTTACGTTACATTACGTCACGTCACGTTTGTTACGTTACATAATGTTATGTTATATTACGTTGCGTCGTTTCGTTTGGGTTTGTTTTGTTTTGTTTTGTTTCTCTTGCTTGCTTGTACAAACTCGCTTTCAACTGTTTATTTTTCGTCTATTTATGTAGCTGTTAATGGATGATATCCGTTCAAATATTCATTCTCACGTACCCATTTATTTATCTACTGCTGTCAATTATCGATAGTCATTCAAATATTCATTCTTACGTATCCATTTATCTAAATGTAATAAGTCGAGTATCTCTTAAGCTATATATCACTCTATTTCTTTTGCGAAGAAGATTGCGAAGAAATTGCCTATCATTGTGTCCACATCTTTCCTCCTATTTTGGCTCAGAAATATATAATGTTCGTTTCGTCGATTGCGACACCCTAAGTCAGAAGGATCTCATTATATTCGCGAAGTATATTGTTTTAAAACAGCAGAGAAAAGGATTTTAAATTCAGATAACAATACAAGTTACACATGTTTATGAGTATATCAAATTGTGAAATAATAAATTCAGACATTCAGTAAAATTTATTTCTTGCTTTTTGACCTAATCAGCGATGAAAGTTGTTCTTTCCATTAAGATATGCGAGGCAACTGATTTGATTTCCCAGTCTTTTTCTTCTTTTAAGTTCTAAAAAAGTCAAAGGATGTTAGTTATTTGATAAAAGACTTACTAAATGGGATATGTTGTGTATTCTGAGTTGAAATGATGTTAGCTACCGTTCATTTGTTTCTCCTGGATGCTCTGGCCCTAGGACACGTTTTCCTATGATTCCGTTCTGTGGACCAATAAGGATACTTTTAACCTTCCCGGAGGAAAAACTGGGCTCGACACACAAGAAACTAAGCTACCAACTTACTGGGAGAAACCTTTCTCTTAGATCTGCCTTGGTATGAGGATCGGAAGTCACACCAATTTCATAGTCATTCACATGGAGGCAACTTCCCTCTATTCACTAATCGCTGATGGGCAGTATCGTGCCATTTCGCTTAGTCGTGATAAATGGAAGTCGTTGATTGGTGCAGACGCATCCCTGCAGCTTAACTGCAACAAAGAGGGCTTCAACTCACAGGGCTATCCCATGCACTCTAAAGCAAGGATCTCAAGTAAAACAATACAGAACACCATGCATTTTTAATTGCACATTTAATGTTTACGGTAAATGCCAATAACACGAGCAAATTATGATTTTTCCCAAAATCCTTAGACCAGCCCTGTAAAAAGTAATAAAAATGATGATGATAATAGCGATAATAGTAATGATAGTAATAATTATGATGATGATACTTATAACATCAATAATGATAATACATGTCATTATTATGATAATAGTAATGATGATAATGACAGCAAATAAAAAAAAGACGCCTAAAAGCAGCAGGCAATACATTTGATTTTTACTTTTTTTGTTTGTTTTTGTTGTTGTTGTTGTTGCTGACGTTATTATCATCGTTCACGTACAATGCCTGACTGAGGTAAAGGGACAAAATTCTGCTATCATCAGATTTCTTATCATCAACAAAACAACCATATAGAAAAACCCATCAATTTAAGAATTATTGGGTCCTTCTCTTGTGATTTGCCCGGTTTTTAAAAACTGTGTCCTCTTCGACCTGCCATCAAACTCACGACGAGCACTATGCGAGTCAATAAACACGTTATGTTCAGGATTTGCATAATCTGCTTTGCCAGTCGCACCGTGAGACACGTTGCTCGCCGCCTGTTGTTTAGTGTGTCATTTTAACGTATGCGTGTTTCCACCTTAGTACACTGTTTTCCCATTGGGGCTCACATATGGCAAATGTTTCATTAAGTTTAGCACTGATTGCGTGGATTTCCGAAAAAAATCAAAGTGCTCTGTGAGCCAACTCGTGAATTGGATTATGTTCAACGTTATCTGGTTTAGGGAATTTTGTGGTTGATTGTCATATTTAGAGTACGGGAAGTAGTTCAGTGTTCGCTAATGTAGCAAAGAAACAAAGTAACGTTGGGATAAGAAGGCATTACAAATGAAATGATCACGCTATTACATTTGACAAGGGTGAATGATGTCATGTGTTTTAAACATATATCATTTTTGTTTCTGGTTCAAAAGAAAAGGTTGGAAGTAAATGTGGGTGAAAAGTGAAATTTACTGTCTATCATTGTAAATATTGGAAAATAAAGGCAATACTGTCTTAACGAAAACATTAATGATTCCCTCTTTATCAAATGAGACAAACGGTAACGAGTTTTGAGTGATATAACTAAGCCCAGAGTCCCACCGTCATTTTTGGATTTCCGCCTGGGTAGATTTTGGTCACGTGCAAGACAACGTATAATCAAGAACAATATTGAATTTCATTTCAGGCCTATTTATCAATTTTGTGGTGTATAACTTTCGCATTTTAGTACGTAATATTTATTTTGAATCTGCAAATTGTCTTAAAATTTAAAAGAAAATTGTTCTTTAAAAATTAACTGAAAATCGGTAGCCAAAATTATTTGTTTAGGTGTTATTTGATTTTCGTGTTAACTTGCAATTTCGTCAGTCGCCGGCACCTTTCGTCGCTTCACACAGGAAAAAACACACGATACGAAATGTAATGATCGATTTTGTCCCCAATCTCAGGCCATGACAGAAAAAGCTTTTGAACACCTGTAAACTCCGAGCGCTTCGGAGTAAGTCATATGTTTAATGAATCTTCGGATTGTTTTCGAGTTCAAGGACTGTAAATTACAATTTTATGAAAAACGAAGGTTGTTCTCTTATTCCAGTGTGAATCCTCGCACGCCTGCCAGTCGCTGGCGCCGCTTGTTGAAACTAAAATGAAAAAAATTAACTCTTCTAAGATTATCATTGGCTTCTTTTTCACCCCACCGCTATTCTTAACAATAAAGGTCGCCATTTCGTTTGTTTATTACTCGCCAAAAACTATCAAATGCACTCAAAAGCCTAAAATCGAAAAAAGTTTTACAGGAATCGACCAATCAAGCGAGTGAGCGAGCGGGTGAGCGGGTGCCATTCTCCACCTCATATCTACACTCGCTCTTGCGCATGCGCGCAATTCACGAGTTAAAAATTGTCTGTTCCACCGAAAAAGAGTTCTTGATCGAACCTCCACCTGAGAATACTGGCTATACTTTTGGCGTTATCTCCGCAAGTGTAATGATTTTCAAAACAAAGGTAATAATAGACAAATATTTGAATGAAAGCTTTTGTGACTTCTTGGTTACCACATATTGAGCAAAGCAAACAAATGCTGATTGTCTTAGAGGAAAGGTACATTTTCTATTTTTTTATTTTATTTTTTAGTACCTTGGCTAACGTTTAATTTTCTGCGATTTTAAATTCGTCTCTCCGATTTATCCATTAGTGCGTGTTAGACTTGAAATTGATAATAGCCAAATGGCGCCCTTAGTATAATTACCAACAGTAGGCATCCAGAGTTTTCGTGTTTTAAATCCATTAAGTGAGGCCTCGGTTGTTAAATAGATAGCAGGCAGAACGCAAAGCAATTTGTGGAATAATTGATGAGATACATTCCATCCCAAAGAGCCTTTCTGTCAGAGTTTATGCTTGCTTCCAATCCCAAGAAACCGAAATTTAAGCTTTTGTTGCTGTGATGTTGCACTGAATCGGTAGTTCATGATCAGGTTTATGGTGGTTTGGTCTGGGACGAATAAATTTTAAGGTTAGTTTAAAAAAAACACACACACACACACACACATACACGCTTGCAAATAAAAGTCTACCCTGAGTCATTATACTGTTTCTTTGTAAATTGCCATATGCCATAATGTTATGCGACAACGGTTCAACAGTAAATCGCCGGGAAAGCGTAAACAAGTGTAGATAATTTAGCACTGAACCCATTCGCAAAACACATTCATTTAATCCAAATCCTGACGAAGGAGGAAGATCTGATCTTTCCACCAAAAGGCTAGTCCAACAGCCTCAGTTTCTTTATTAATAACTTCGCTGTCAGAGTTTATGCTTGCTTCCAATCCCAAGACTATATAATAATAACGAAAATATTCGCTAGATTTAAAGCTGCACGCAAACACGGGAAAGAAGAGAGAAAAAGGGAGGTGAATAAGCGCTATTTAAACTTTTAATGATTTTTTTCAGCTCTGTGAGAAGAGATGCTCTAAATGATAATTAACTTTAACCGGAGACTTGAAATTCTTCTTTCTTAAGCGCACAAGTGAGCCATGAAAAGGCCGAATCACGACTAAAGTTCACCTTTAAAAGTCCTGTTTCATATTTTTTTCAAAGGCTTTGCATTTGGCATACAAAACTTGAGTATAGAAGAAATGTCTTCGAAGGATATTATCTAGAATCAATTTTCGAGCAAGATCGTTGTTATCAAAAATTTATGAACCTTTCTATAGTTGAAAAGAATTAATTATCTCTGCGAAACCAAAATTTAAGCTTTTGATGCTGTGATGTTGCACTGAATCGGTAGTTCATAGTCAGGTTTATGGTGGTTTGGTCTGGGACGAATAAATTTTAAGGTTAGTTTAAAAAAACACACACACACACACACACATACACGCTTGCAAATAAAAGTCTACCCTGAGTCATTATACTGTTTCTTTGTAAATTGCATCATATGCCATAATGTTATGCGACAACGGTTCATAAATAGACAGTAAATCGCCGGGAGCGCGTAAACAAGTGTAGATCAGAAGTTAGCACTGAACCCATTCGCAAAACACATTCATTTAATCGTACTAAATAGATCCTGATGAAGGAGGAACATCTGATCTCTTGAACCACCAAAAGGATAGTCCAACAGCCTTAGCCTTGTCCATCACAATGGAGATTTCTTTATTGTTAACTTTGCTGTTGTGTCTCTTAGTCGCATCGAGTGAAGGTAACGAATTTATTTTATAACAAATGGTGTTGAATTTTACTCTAGGAATCTTATTCGTGACTTTTCTTTAAGAAAAAGTGACGTCCATCCAGTTTATAAAAGTCATCCACGTACATCGTTCTTTTTTTTTTTTCCATGATTGGAGACTTCAAATCTTTTTTAACCTTCGTTTGAAATTCTCTGAAATCTCCAACTTCGTGTATTAAGTAATAAGTATTTTACAAAATCATAAGTATGTTTTCTTTGCAAAAAGTTAGCAATATGCAGCTTCACTTCAAAGCGATGAAATATTGATTTTTTTTTTTGTATTTATTGGAGTTCATATCTTTCTCCGACAACAGCGTCAAGAATACAGCAAACTTCTCACCAACATGTATTCATAAAAGACGAGTTCCATTTCTTAGATGTTCCTGGAGTAGGAAGATCCTCAGCTCTCGACATCTATGATTGTATATTTAAATGCCTTTTGAATCCTCAATGCAATTCTGTGAACATGGCCGCTGAAACGGACGCCGTCAGAAAACTTTGGTGCGAGCTTCTTCCTTCTGACATATACAAGAATTCAAAGGATTACAACAAGAACATGAGTTCACATCATTTTTCTATGCAAGTAAGTGCTTCATTCTATGGTGCTTTTTCGTCAAAAACATTTTGGGCCTATGTTGTCGCTTTCTTTCATATACTTCCGTTTTAATTTCCAAGACTATGCTAGTTTCTCTTCTTAGGACCAGTGTATCAAAGTGTGATGAAATGATAGATAGAAATGAAAATCAACGATGTAATGAATTGTTCTGATGAAAAGATCGCGACTTCAATTTATTTTGTTTCTTACAAATATACCGATAGAAAAATTATTTTCTGGCACAATTATCGTCAGCCGACGTTGGGCGCGAAAAGAGAGAATTTTCATGATACTGAAAAATATGAAACAGATAATGTCAAGCAGGAAGCTCAAGCAGGTGCCTAGGGGGAATTATTGAGCGAGGGTAGAATGATATGATAACAAAAGTTGTTTATTAAAGAGTAGCTGTTCCGTTATAGTAAGGAAGTTGCTTTCAAACCGAAATATAGGTAATTAAAACACCGTAATCTAAACTTGACAAGTTTCCTCTCAACTAAGAGTTTCTCCCGGCCAATGAAGATGGCCTTGAAATTTTGTCTTTGTCCAATACCTGATATGCCAGCTTTTCATCAAGAATGCATTTGAAGACATAGGTATTAAAAAGTGATTTGCAAATGAAAAATGGATTGAGAAAGTCATTTGATAGGGACATGCAAATTATCTTTGCGATCAATGTGATTGACAGGGAGCTCTAGTAGAAATAAATAGATTTCACAAGAGTAACCCATTAAGAAACTTGACTTTGCAGATGCCTTTTTAGCCTCTGTAGACTGGTGTTTTATCATAAAATGTTTTGCTATTTCTACAGACACCTTGCTCTTCCTCTCCATGCCAAAATGGAGGTACGTGTTTAGCAAACTACAAAGAAGACACCTATCACTGCCTCTGTGAAGACGGCTTTATTGGAACATATTGTGAAAAAGGTAAGCAATTTTTTTTGCAAACTACAAAGAAGACACCTATCACTGCCTCTGTGAAGACGGCTTTATTGGAACATATTGTGAAAAAGGTAAGCATTTTTTTTTGCAAACTCTGGGGCGCAATGGTGGTGGTGACAAGTGAGACGAATTTCAAGTAAAAAAAAGAGCTCATAGACAAAATGCAATAATGATGAAAGATGGGATATTCTGAAACTAAGCAATAGTCTGTGTATAAAAATCCCTTCCTTAAACAGAACCTTTTCGATAAAAATCTCCATTATCATTTTATTCACGTTAGTTTACCCAGGCAGAAAGTTTACTTATTTTTCAATAGAAAAAAATGTTGACAAATATGTTAACATAGATAAAGAGAATAATACATGGACGCGCGTAGATATGGAATTTCTCTTCGAGTGTTTAACTCCATAGCTCACGAGTGAGCGCAACGAACGAGTGAGATGTCAAGTTGAACACGAGAAGAGAATTCCATATCTACAAGCAACCATGTATTATTTTGTTTATCATATAAACACAAGAGCCCTTTACTGCGAAGAAAAGCCGACTTCATTAATGAATGAAAATAAATAAATCGACAGTCTCCGAATAACAATCGTTGAGTACGTTGGCGCTAACTCTTAAGATGGAAAAATGCGTTGAATCATGATTATAAAAACAATAATGGTCGTAATTTTCAATTTACAAAATTCTCATTCATTGACTTTGTCCTTACCGACAGAAGAAGTCTCTCAGGTAAACGGCAAAAATGGGCCAGTGACAAATCTTCTCGTTGTTGATTTTCATTCTCAGCTGAGAGAAATGCTAACACTAAAGCCACTGAATACGTAACTTTCGGTTTTTCTTTTAGTATATTGGTTTTCTTCCCCTTTTAAGAAAGTTTGAACCTCACTGTCTGTCATCAATAGGGTTTTTTTTAGTGTTTTAGCCGCCATAAAATTCGAGGAAGCTCCGACAAACAACTTGTATTGAGAATCGTGAAGGCTTTGCCGTTCACTCATTAACCTGACCGAGTGGTGCCAAAGGCGAGTGACGTGTCAGCGGCTGATTGGCTATATCAACACACGTGGAAAAATACGATATTTTTTCACGCGTGTTGTTACGGCTTTTCTCAAGGCTGGAAATCCCTGTTTAACACCGCAATTTATGTGATAAAATAATTATAAGGTTTCATTTATTGTAAGCACGATAAAATTATATTGGTGGTAATGATATTCGCAATGATTATAATAATAACAAAAGAATAATATACAGAGGGATGATGATTATAACATTAAGTGCCACAAAAAAATTTAAATAAAAGTAGCTTTAAGGTGTTATAAAGGAAGAAGTAAGACCAAACGACATCAACCTGTAACAAATCCAAAAAGCGCCGCTGCCAAGTACAGTGCACAGACTGAGAAGAATTGTTTCCATAGAGTTTAGAAAAGAAAATCCTTCCAGCGTCAGAAAACCAAATCGACTCTAGACACAGTTTTTGCTCTGAATTCTGTAAGTTATTTAGGTAGCTTAGATTACTTTAAATAACGATGTGGCTTTTTTTTAATAAATTTCCGTAGTGAAACTATCCAGGAACCCTTTTGAATCATGGAAAAAAGATAGTAATTCAAACAAAGTCAAACTTTTTTTTTTTCCTTCCAGGTGCGGTTTCATGTAAGGAATTGCATGACGCCAACATGTGAGTTTTTGAGGAAAGCTGCGAACCAATATTCAACTATGCGATAAAGAACACTTTAATTTTTTGAGATGGTGAAGGTGGACTAATATCTCATGGTCGCCTCATGCTATAAAAACCGGGATAAGCTCGGCTGGATGAGCCAGTGTATACCTCTGTACCGACCTGTACCGACCTGACGATCTATCTGTTAAGGACTTTATATGAAACTTTCGTGCTGTTCAAATTCATCACTTTGTGCCTCTTTCAACAGGTTAAACGGGAGTCAAGTGGTTACTCTTCGCTTTAACTCAGAACCCGTTTCCGTTCTTTGTCAAATGGGAGATTTTGGGTGTGGAGCAGGACCATGGACGCCAATCATGAAGACTGATGGCAACCAGGTTAGACATGAAGTATGTAATCAGTATGTCTCTGTTTAGTCAATTTCTGAAGCATATATTAGGTTTGAATTTGTTTGCTTGCCACTTCCGTCAATAAAGGTTTTTAAATTTCGCGAATCTTGGCCATAACTAAGTGAAAAAAAGCTTGCAGACGTTAATTCAACGCTAATTAAGATCTACAAAAATGTTACGTGATTTGATTTGTGACAAAACCTCTTACGGTAAGCTCTTGGAAGTTCGTTGAATGCAAAAGTTTCTAACGCAAGCTGGATGGCACAAACCGTGAAAATAGGGAAAGTAAGGCCGTGTCCCAAAAACAGGAGGTATCTGAACTATTGCCATTTCGTCAAGCCTCGAATGTTGAGACCGGTAATTAAGAGAAGCAAAATAACATTTTCTTCTTCCTTTTTAGAATACCTTCCATTTTGACTCTGTTTACTGGAATAATTCAAAAAGTTACAACCTCCCAGGAGGCCAGACTGGCTTTGATGGCAATGAGACCAAATTACCGACCTATTGGAGTACATCTTTCTCCAAGATCTGTCTTGGTATGAAGGTTGACCAACAGTTAAGATTTATTGTCATAAACCACATGGCTGCCTCTTTGCACTCACTTATCGCTGATGGGCATTACCGCGCCACTTCACTGGGTCGAGATTCATGGAAGTCCCTCCTTGGGTCACAGAGCTCATTGCAGCTAAACTGCAATAGGGAAGGCTTCAACTCTGATGGTGCGATTGTTAAAACAAGAATTGGTATCGTGTCTAACGAGGGGTCGGATGGGTGCGACAGTTGTGATTCAAGGATAGGGTTTGGTGGTGCTAATGGGGATGATGACTCCAACACGTGCGGAAACATAGCTTACTGGTACCCGGATAACGGTGAGAAAAGTATCAAAGCCATGGGATACATTTTCGCTCAATGATAAAAAAGGAAGTAAAACTTAAATGCACGAGAACACAAACTTGACTTGAAAGGACCCATTTTTAACGGACGCTCAATCATATGCGTGTATAAAAACGATTATTTGATATTTTCTTCTCACTGGAAGATGTAACAAGCACAGGAAATGATGTTGTCTCTCAGTAGCTTCTTATTTGAAAGTAAGGGCAAGGACCTCTAAAGAGTGTATTCCTTTTTTAAAATTTATTTGGTTAATTTATTAAGTCTGTTCCATCAGAGATCAATTTTATCGATCAACAGGAATACAATTACTTGGGGGGCGAAACAGCACCAAAGCTGGGGTTTTGACAAGTATGTCTCTCTCACAAGCAAACCCATACTGATGTGAACTTTCACCCCAAAGCATTTGCAAGAGTTACCCATGTAAAAAATAATAATGGTCTATATTGTGCAAGGGGGGTAGGAATGGGGACGTCCCTTACCTTCTGTAACTTTCTGCTTCCCCTGTTGATATAAAAACAATTATTATAATAAGAAAGTTTGAATTTTACCTAATTGTACTCTGAATTTCAGCAGCTGAACCTCACCTTCCTCTTTTAATGCACATTGCATCACCTAATGCTTCATAGCTCACATTTTCTTCAATATCTTCGGGACATATCGAACAATTTCGTTCAAATTTTACGAGAATAATTTACTTAGGGCAATTAAACAGTTATTTTGAGTTCGTGATACTGAGTCAAAGTCCCCACAGAGAAATATGCTGAAGCAGAGCATAACATCCCCTCTTCTCGTACGTCATACGTCAGAAGGTTTTATGATAAAGCCAACTCATGCTGTGAAAGCTTGGACGCCGTCGCTTCTATACCCCCAAAGGAATAACTTAAGAACGCAAAGAATAGCTTACGGCAATGAGTTACAATAAGTAATTAGCACTACTGCACTTCAAACAACACCGGTCCTTCTATTATAATTTCCATATTCGACGATTTTTGTATTTATTCATTTTATTTTTTTGTGGTGTCTAGACAATGAAACACTACCCAATACGAGTCGCACATCGATGCACTGTACAAAAACTACCTCATCAGGTTTAGAATACTTTGAAAACGGTGATGTGAATCAAAAGCGTCAAAAATAAATTACCAAATGGAACATATCTCCCCACCCCACCCCCGCGATAAGTGGGTCTGTACTGATTGCGCTCGGCAACTTTTGAACAACTTCGGGCATTAGGAGCAACTTTTTGCTGCTATAGCAACTTCGAGCACTTTTTGCTATCAGAGTCTTTTAACAAAATATTGGTTTAGAGCACAATCATATCAAGCGTAAAAAAGTCAACGATTTTATGAGAAACTATCACATAACCTGTCACTTGACATTGGCACGCCTATCGCGATCTTTATATCTAACATCATAACGGATAATTGGGCTCATCCTCGGTGTAAAAACCTGTGAAACTCACGAGTGACGTAAAACAAAGACAACAAAACATTATAAACAATAGCGTACAGCAAAACAATACGTCATGAAACAAAGCAAAACCTCGTCAGGTTTTTACACCGAGGATGACCCGATAGTTGGCTGAGATGACGTTTGGCAAGACTTCAAATAAACCATGTGTTTTGTTCCATCAGACTTGAGTATCCCTAGATTTCGCCCATATCTGCGAGTTACTGTTTAAAACTAAGTTCAAGCGATTTTTGTTTTCTTGACCGATGTTGAAAATTATCGTCAAACGACGAAAAATAAAGCTTGTTTGATAGATAACAAACCAACAGCCAATTGTTACAATTTGGCATGCACACATTTCGAAATTTTGTGATATTTCATATTCTTCTAGACCGCATAACTCACTTTGCCCTAATATCTCCAGAACCCACCAAATTCTCGCCAAAAGTAAAACGTCCATGATTGACATGCAAGGGAATGATTTTAAACAGCAACTAGAAATAACCGCTAAGCTCTTCTTTGTTGTTGAAATGGGCTAAAGGCACGATATTTCCTCTCCAGCTTGTCAATACTCACTCGGGGGTTAATTAACAATGCCAGAGCGGTATTGTAGAGACTTGGACCCTGTCGGTTGGGCGATATCTAAGTATTTTAATAAAACATTTCACGCGACAGGAACCATTTCTCTGTGTGTCAGAGACTTGTTGTATCACGTTTAGTCTTTAAAAGTCCTTTAAAAAAAAACTAAGAGAATGAAATTCAGCTGTCTACTTCTGCGCTGCCTATTCTTTGTAGCCGTTCTCTTTTGGGGAGTGACTTTCACGCTCCAAGGTAAGAGGAAAACTTGACTGCATTGTAATCGCTTGCATATTTTCAAGCTTCTTCTTCCTATATTTTTATTCTATCTTTTATGTTTCGCTATTCACCAGATTCATCACAAAACGCCTCTTAGCTTATCAGGCGTTTAAATTTCCGTAGATATTACTTAAGCTTAATCTACGAGAACATCTAATAAATAGCGAATATATTTTGAACAACTTTCCACTGTCAAGATACGCTTCTGATCTGACGAAAATGTGTTTATGGGTAAGCTATTTTGGTCTTTGTTCAGATACGAAAAATAGAATATAAGAAAGAAAATCATGAGAGTTGAAAGGACGGTTTACACTCTGCTAACTGCTTTGTGAAAAAGTAAAGCCAAAAGATCCGCGCGCTTCTGTTGTTTCGAATGTGCGCTCCCCTGAACTTCGGTAAAATTTCGTTTTCATTTTATAATAAAACATAAAAACAGGAAGGAGAAACTTGTAGTTTTCGCTTTTGTCAGATAGAGCCGACGATTACCATATTTAGTAATGTTTCACGATCGTTTTTTTCAAATGTAAGAGGAGAGAGTTGTGTTATTTTCGTTCTTTTCCATCTCTCTTTACCAGACACAAATTCCAATCTGTTCCCTTACCAACTTTTTTTGGGCATTTTTGTCAATAAGGGATGGGTCGCTCTAGAGCGAATTCAACGATTTACTTATTTTTCGCGAGCCAAATATTGGCAAAATAATTTGCAATTTCCTATTTTTGGCGGCGGTCGCATTGAACTAGTATCCTCTAACCAGAACTTTATTGATTGACGCATACGTCAATCAATAACCCATCTCCCTCTACTAAAAGATAAAGAAAAATTCTCGCTCGAACTGCTGGGCAAGAATGGATCGTCGTCGAATGATTATCTCTACAATTTTCGGGTTTTTGTGGAATTTTGCATTTCTTTCTCAGCAAAACAAGGAAGCGTTTTTTACATTGTTGGCACAATGTCAGCAGGTTTTTAACCGGCTAGTATCAGCTTTTAGACGTAGAAGACGAAGACCTCGCTTAAATAGAGCTCGCTTTCCAAACCTTCCCTGGTCGAGGTCTCCTCGTCCAGCGGAGTCACGGTTTGAGATTGAGACCATAAATCGTACTTCGCTTTCTTTTTTCCCTGCCGATCTTTTTGGTTGAAGCTTGCAACACTTGTGCTGGCTTCGATAATTCCAGTGGAAGGAGAAGTACTCGTTGAAGCTGATTGTTCTACAAATTCCCGCCTATGACTGGGCCCAGGGTACGTGTCGGGAATTCGTTCAAATTCCTCGTTCCGCTCAAACGAAAACTGAAGGTCAGATGGGCAAGGAAAAAAATTGTATCCTTCCATCGCTAGCGGATCATAGTGTATTTTTCCCGCTTAAATTTTACCAAGACATGTCTCGCGGAAGATGACAGCTAAATGGTTTAAAAAACAAGATTGTTTGGAGCTGATGTCCGTGGCATGACATCAGCTCTTATGAATACTGGCGAAATCTTGGCGATCCGCAAATATTTGACAAGTTTTTAAAATTGGAGGTCGCATTTATTTTACGCTACTTGGTTTTTTTTATTTTTTCTTTGCTGAAACAGACAAAACAAGCTCTAAGTGACCCAAGCCTAAATACATAATTTGCAAAACTCCACATTATGTTAGTTCTTCTATATGTTTATATCCTGAGATTAGTTTTGAATGTTGAGACCATTTGTTTGCGAGGATCGAACTATTCTTGAACGAGAATCGATACCTCAGGTGCCATGCTGAACGGCCAGTATCCGGGTGAGTTTGGAGCTATTTTATTTGGCGGGAATGATTTTCATTATCTTACGCGCATGGAAATAAAGCCTCTTGGACTCACAGTTGAAGAGCCACGTTCAACCAGAGCGCATTGCGCGCCTTTGTTCTTGTTATTATTTGGTAACGCAATACTATTTCTCGCAAATCCATGGAGTGGCCAAGGTCGTAGCTTTTGCCACTATTTTCATGCCAAAAAAAAGGAAAAAATGAATTTTCAACTTGAGCACAACTAAACCGCTAGTTTGGACGATTATTGGCATTATGACAACGTTTTTGTCTGTATAGCACAAACCAAAAACAAAATAGAAGAATTTTTAAGACGCGCAAACTGCATTACAATACAATAAAATCTACGCCTGAATACAAAATTCTGAATTCATATTCTTTGGACACGGAAGTGTACGGTAGCGAGACGTTTAGCAGGGAGTCGACTTTTGATGTGCAAACGAATTACAAAGAGACAGGTATATTCCAATACTTGAATTTTCATTAGTGTCATTCACCAGGCGTAAGGAGAAGCGCTACGCCCTATTACGCCTCCTAATAACAAATTTGTCACTCTCCACTTTGATAGAAACGTAAAGAATTTTGAAATACGTCTAAAGAATAAATAGCGTCTTTCCCCCTGAGAAGGACGATCACTTTTTGATGGCCTCATCATCGCGAACGTGCAATGAAAGCGAAAAAAAAAGCGGGAAACAGAGGCGCTAGACACTTGAATAAGCTAAATTAGCTTCTAAGAAGCCGCGTCTGTATCAATGTTGCAAAGACTGAGTTGAATTAAACAACAATTACAGTAGGCTTCTATTCGTTTCAGTAATACAGAAAATAATGAGACTGAACAACTCGCCCGCAATGTATTGTGGTTGAGCGTGGCCCGTTCAGTGAATATAAAAGAAAAGTAACTAGGCCTGAAATTTATTAGTTAAGAGATTCCTGGCAAGATTAAAATCCAAGATATTACAACAACTGACCTAATTTTTCAGCAAGGGGATATGGATTAAGTGTGAAAATTAGCAAGTAACCTGGGAAACGCGAAAAAGCGAATGAGCTCGCTTCTTAAATAGCTGATAGTGTCAATTTTAAAATTGGCGAGAATCACCTGAAGACAAACAAAGCAACGGCTGTTTAACCTGAGGGAAGGTAAAGATTAATTTTTACCTTTGTTTTCCCAGGTCAATGCCGAAGACTAAGGTTTGCCTCACCATTTCATAACAAAGCCCTTGTTGGTCATGTGATTAAGAACCTAACTTTAACATTGGGACTGCGTAGTTCTTGTAGAGGGCAATGCACTCTGGAAGACAACTGTGTGTCTTATAACATTGGTCCTCCGATAAAAGACCAAGTTTCGTGTCAGCTGAGTGATTCTGATCACGTCCAGCATCCTGATGATCTTGTAACTCGAGAAGGGTTCATGTATCAGAGCAGTGAGGTGAGATACTTCAATCCATATTTGAGCAGTTCCCGCTGCACTTCCACTTCAAAAAAAGAATTTCTTAGATCATTTATTGATTTTCACCAGCCAGCACTTCCACAAAAATTTGTTTAAGAACTGGGAACTCTGATCTTATACCAATTTTGTGGTTAGCTTGTTTTCTTCCTGTATTTGTTTCTAGTCTCGCATGGTTACCTTTTTTCAACTACCATAAGACCAACCCCTATCAAACTTTACACTGAGCTGGTTGTTTAGCATATTTCAGTTTATTTTATAAGTTTAACGGTATATTAGTAGCCTCTACGCTTACCCAACAGAACGTATGCTCAAGTAACCCTTGTCTTCACAATACGACCTGCTTAAACGGATACACGGAAAAAGGATACCTTTGTCTGTGCCAGTTTGGTTATACTGGGAAGAAGTGTAAAATAGGTAAATATACCCGTAAACATGAACATGAATACTAAACCACTTGCTTTACCAACGGGAAATTCTGAAATCTGATTGGATTGCCGAATGGGTACGAGGGAATTATCAGTTGGTCAATTTTAAGTTACAATTTACTTATGCTTTCTGGCTATTTGTCAACATAGACATCGGTAATGGCTTACATCCCAGACGTCAATTTAGGTGCTTTTTTTTTAGTTTCGTGAAATTATCAAACGGGTCTTTGTGGTCAGTCTAGAAATGCTTCAAGCATATCTTTGTACAGATATTTTTCACAATCCATGGGCAAGATGGCAAAATGCGGATGAGATGCTTAAACTGCTTGAAGAACTCTTAGGAAAAGTTTTCAATTCTTATCGGAATCGTAGGTGCTTAAAAAAATTCTTATTTGTGTAAGGCAATGTAGTATAGAATATTCTATTTCTAGAATATTCTGCTAGACTCGTAAGTCGCACTCCTTTAGTGAACTGGTTTAAATCAACAGATAAATCCGGCCGAGAGACTGAGTTTTCAAAAGAACCTATCCCAAAGCTAATCGCGGAGCTCAAGTTACATCTATTACCTATCTAGATATTCTAGATATTCTTGCAAGAATATTTCTTTTAGCAACTCAAACATTTCTTGAATATCTTTGTGTGGAGAAACTATTAAACGCCACAATAATCTATATCTCTTGACCCAATATTTACTGTATAGTGACCTAAGAAATAATTTCAAGAGACCATTTTTGAAATACGAGTTGGGCTTATCCCAGTCTCTTGAGCTCATCTTCTTTTTTCTTGACCCTTGACCCTTCCTTGACCCTTGAACGAATGAAAGACATGCCTTATCAAGAGGACTTTTGGAATGGTGCAGCCAATATTGATCTGACGCGCTACATCTTTGACGAATATTTGATGTTAATGGATGGTCCCCCTTAAGTAGTATCAAGGAAGTAGCTTCAACTAAACTCATTTACATTTAGCATACCTAATGAATTATCATACTGACAACCTGCAAATACAGCCCCCTCTGAAACTCCTGTCAATGACCAAATTGGGTCTTCACGATCCTGGTGTGAACAACGTTAGTCGCTTTTGCAGAAAGAAGTTTCTCTTGGCAAGTTCTCCCAATTTGATCCAACCCACCACAATATCTAATATGCTGCTCTTGTTGTTCAGGTCCGAAGGTAACCGAGCCTATTCCTTGAAATTGGGACCAGCGTCACTTCCAGTGTATTGTCACATGAGCAGTCTTGGAGCATGCGGGGGTGCTGGATGGACGCTGGTTATGAAAATAGATGGCACCAAGGTACTGTAAATTGTTCAAAACCTTTTCAAAATGGCGTACATGTGGGTTTCAAGGAGTCCTTGTCGAAGGGAAGTTATATGTGAGATGTAGTCTGTCTGATATAAAATTTTGTCAATGCCTTTCCAGTTTGCCTGACTTAACAATCTCAAACCCAGAGGTAACAACCACAAGGCAGAAACTGCTAAAACCATATTTTTCGCGAATATTTTAAGTAAAGAAACTTGTTGGCTTAAAGTCCAAGGGATTTTTGTTGAAACATCTGTAGGTCATATAAAGGTTTTTTATCTGAAAGTTTGAAAAAAATCTTCTGTCTAGGTTACGCTTGACTTTGTGACATGCAACGAAAAAAGCAGCAAACACTATCATTTTACAGAGGAAAGGTGCGAAATTAATAGGTCAAATTCCTCTTCGTGATAATTGAGAAAACTGGGGTCATTTAATTTGATATAAAAAAAGTTGAACTCAAAACATAGATACGTGGACTGTCATAAAGTCTCATCAAATTTAGAATGTTTTTATAGGAAAGGACTTGGTTTAAGTAACATTGTGGTTATCATTCCAGAGAACTTTCCATTATGATTCCAACTATTGGAGCGACAAAAATTCCTTCAACTTACCAGGAGGAAAAACTGGGTTTGACTCGCAAGAGACCAAGTTACCGACATACTGGAATACACCTTTCTCCAAGATCTGTCTTGGTATGAAGGTTGACCACCAGTTCAACTTTACTGTCATTAACAGAGAGGCTGAATCTTTGTACTCACTGATTGCTGATGGAAACTACCGCAACACCTCATTGGCCCGTGACACCTGGAAGGCGCTGATTGGCTCCCAAGCTTCCTTGCAGTTTTGCTGTGACATAGAGGGCTTTAATTCTGACGGTGGTAATGCAAAAACAAGAATTGGTATCGTTTGTAATGAGTGTTGCAATGCAGGCTGCGGCTCTCATGATTCAAGAATTGGGTTTGGTGGAGCGGGCGGGATGGATGATTCCCACACGTGTGGAAACTTAGCTTATTGGACACCCGATAACGGTAACAAGAATATCAAAGCCATGGGATACATTTTCATCCAGTAATCAAAAGCACGTTGATGGAAGGAAGCCTGCCTGAAAATAACCCATTTTTAGCACATATACTTCCTTTTCACTAGACCAGGCAACCAGGTAGAAAAAGGATGCCTTGATTTCATTCTCAGAGTAAATTTGCTACTAAAAAGTCGATAGAACTGGGTACGGGTAGGATCTCTAATGGTTTTATCCCCTTCCAAAGTTAGTATTACAATTGCTTTGTTGTATTGCTTAGCCTATTTCATTAAAAAAGAAAACCGAATTTATCCGTCAACTGGAATATAATTGTTTGTGCAGTGAAACAGCACCCTTTTCAATCTAAAAATAAAGTACATAGGAACGACAAAGTTGGGGTTTTGACGAGGCTGTCGCTCTCGCACACAATTTCGTGCTGATTAAAACTTTCGCTTTGAAACTTATGCAAGAGTCACCAACGTGAATTTGTATCCGAGTTCTGGAGAAAAAGAAGGAAGGGAGGTGTCCCTCCACTTTCGCAATTTACAATAAAGCTTTGTATAGAGCGTTCTACCCGATGGCCTCGAGTATTCTATGACTTAGTTGCCAAACAAAGGACGACGATTTATTAACTAGACGCTTCTTTATACTCCGAAATGACTGCTTCAGTAAACCAACTTCGCCGAATTCGTCCCTTTTTACTCTAATTGCGGTGGTTTTATTTTGATCAAAGAAGATCACCCACCATAGCATCTCTTTAATATGTGAAATGGCTGGCCATTCTACGCGATGTAGTATCCAACAAAGGACGATAATTCACTAACCTGACGCTTCTTCCATATATTCCCCCACCCACCCACCCAACCCCCCTCCTCCTCTTTTTTCCCTCTGGCCAAAGCATGTTTTAAGGCAGTTAGGAAACGCCTGATAACGCGACAAAAATGTAATGTTCTAGAAATACGAAACTAAAAAGTAAAATATGCAAACATTGTATTCAGCATAATGATCTACACTGCATATCGCTTTTTATGTTGTTCAAAACTTCAATTTAACTCGGCTTGTTAAAGTTCTGTAAGCTCTTAGAATTTTTATGGTTATTTGATCGGCAGGGCTGTTGTTGTTAACAGTTTACGGCAATTTGCGAAACCAAATGAAACTAAACGGAATGACCACCTCATCCTTCTGGCCGGCGATGTTTTCCGCACATAATTTCGTTTTGCAAATTGCACATTTCCATTCTTGAAATTACAGATTTCCGTTTTGCAAATTATAGATTTCCTTTTCGCAAATTACAGATTTCTAATTTCGCAGGCCATAGATTTAAAGATTTCCGTTCCGCAAATTACAGATTTTGAGTTCATTTGCTTAATTAAATCTAGTTCGCATACTACTGATTTCCATTTCGCACCTTACACATTTCCATTTCGAAAAACTACAGTTCTTCAGATTTCCATGTTTCCATTTTCCAAATTAAGGATTTTCATTTCATTTGGCTAGTTACATGCAGTATTTTCATTTCGTTACTTGAACACCGTAGCTTGGGTTCCTAATGAGTTTTGATTTTGTTTTGCAGTCTGAGACATAAAGTGCTCACGATCGTAAAACATAACTTGTGTTCTTACATTACAGGAAATTATTTGCATTACAGAGCTCCAAGGCAGTGTAGATTTTTTTTTTAATAAATCTTAATCCACTTTGTACCTTTGATCTCTTTACCTAAATCATATATTTGCAGTCTAGAATAGGCCATCAAAAAATATAATTGTTAGAATGTGCAACAAAGGAAGCCTTGTAAATGATAAGGTTAACATCTAACTATAACACAGACATCTCGTGGTCCTTCGAAAGATTGCGAGGAAATAGACAATTATTATATGTTCTGAATGATTAAGCTCAGAAAATTTCTTGACAAATCTCAAAAAACGATCGGTGGAACTAAACTAACTGACCGTAAATTTTAAAATCAAAAGATAACTTTCACTGTAACACAACTCCTTCATAAAAAAACAAATATTTTTTTCTGTGCAAAGAGTCTGTTCGATAATTGGAAACGAAATTTGACCTTTTCCTTGACACGAAGAACAGCTGTTTAAACTGCAATATTGCATATCATCGGAAAAAACCCTCGACATGTAAATCTTGAAAACATATAAGCCAAGATCTCTGAAGATACTCACAACCTTTCTGGGAAGTTTATATAAATATACAAATTGTCTTAGAGTTCATGGTACGAGCAAACCTATCTAAAGATGTCGGAGAAGATATCCAAACATTGGAAAACATAGTTTGCGTTGCCGGCTGGAAAGATGATATAAACAACCATTTGATGATCATCGCAACAACAAACATTTTTTTATCCTTTTTGGCTTTTCTCGGCAATACTCTGATTTTGGTCGCCCTCAGCAAGGAATCTTCTCTTCATCCGCCAGCCAAACTGTTGTATCGTTGTCTGGCAATAACTGATCTCTGCGTCGGTCTCATATCAGAGCCCTCGTCTGTTGTTTATTGGCTGTCCTTAGTTCGTGAGGATTGGAAACTTTGTCACCATGCTCTGAAGATGAGTTTTCTAAGCTACTATATTCTTTCTTTAGTTTCTCTCTTAACGATGACTGCAATAAGTGTGGACAGACTTCTCGCCTTGTTGCTGGGGCAGAGATTCGGGCACGCTGTAACTCTGAAACGAACTTGTGTAATTGTTGTCATCATTTGGGCTTTTTCGATAACCGCTGGGATATCGCACGTTATAAATTACCGCGTAGCCGGCTGGTGTAGCTATGGTGTTGTATCGCTTTGTATCATAACAGCAACGTTATCGTACATAAAAATTTTCTGTGCTCTCCGACAAAATCATGTACGAGGGCAAGTTTTTTTTCCACCACAGCCGGGCGAACCAGTTCCACTGAATATGATTCGATACAGAAAGGCTGTAAACAGTGCACTGTGGGTGCAGTTGGCATTGATCGTTTGCTATCTGCCATATAGCATAGCTACAGGACTTTTTCAATCTCAAAATGAACTGTCCTCGTTGGAGTTTGTAGTCTTGGAAAGTACAGTAACTTTAGTTTACTTAAACTCATCGCTTAACCCGTTTCTTTATTGCTGGAAGATTGCTGAAGTAAGAAAAGAAGTGAAGGGGGCAATCTCAAAAGCACTTTCCACTCTGCTGGGTTATTCTATTCAGAACAATTAACAACTGATTAAAAATCTCTCTAGCAAATTGGTTTTCGTATCAAATTCAATAGAATAGAATGAGAAAAAAGACTCAGTCCGCCGACGAGTTTTCCGGATCAAGATGATGGACTAACGCAACTCGGAATAGGAGGAATAGTAGTGAAGGACTACAGTATTTTCTTGGTCCATGCTAGTAGCAAGATGAATAACTCTTCTCTTCAAAAGTAATAGCTTGCTCCAACACATACAACCTTCACGTAAACACGCAGAGGGAAGACTTTGATCGAAGAGCTCTTTTGATGTATGCCTAGGTTACATGTATGCTAAAGATACCGAAAAAAATAACATTCTAATAAGGGTGTTTGCGCTCTCGCTAAGATTTCATTGGAAAGAAGGGGAAAAATTTAATCTTCTAGAGTCCAGCTTCACACATCTTTAACACGACTCCAAAACTGTATAATAAACATCCCCAATCTCTTGAGTCATCCTCTTAATTCTACATGAATCCCTAATATTTGATGTTATGTCTTACTATTATTAACATTATTTCTAGCATTATTTCTTTATTTCTTTGATTTAATTTCTTTCAACAGTACCTAACTTAAACAAAAAATTCGTGACCAAAGTCACTCGGCGCTAATTGTTTATGTTAAAGTGAATTTACATTAACAATTGCAGTAAACAAGTTCTTCTGTTTGTTTCAGTTATAACTTTAACTATCCTTATAGAGCCTTTGGTGATGAGTGCTTTTATTCATGAATATTGTTGAACTTTTGAATAAACAGGACATTATTATGAATGTTATTCAAACTTTTCTCAGCTGTTCCTTGCTTGACATGATTTCTAATTAGTTGAGCTGAAAGATAAATATGACTTTCTTGACACTTGGATCTTTTCCCATGCCCTAATGTAAAATTTTAGAACGCCGAACGTGTCTATCGTTGATTATTTCATAGTTACCCACAGCCAGTTAAGTTTTTTTTTTGTCTTTTGTTTTTTTTTTGCCAAGAAGGAGAATTAAAAAATTTGATATCTGAAGTGACCCCATAAGTTTTTTTTAAGGAGTCTCCATGGGGTTTTTTAAACTCGCGCCTGAAAAAGAGTTCAACCGAGAAGAAAACACCATGGGAAAGATTGCGAAAAGCGACAGATTCGAAAGTTTACACTTGCTCAGATAAAGATCTTGGCAAAGTTCTGTTCTATTACGTAATGTCTTGTGATAAAGACAATAAGGATCTGTCGAGCAAGATTTATCGCGTTTTCATCTGTGGAATTTCCGAAGATTCGCTGGAATGTTAAACATATTTGTGCCCTTCCTAGTGCCTGTTCATAAAAAAATTAAAAAATTTAAAAAAAAAAAATTTATAAGACCAAATTTGAGATAGACGAAGAAAGCACAAAATTCCAAATAGCGAGGAAAATGCCTATGAAACCCCTATTTCTTTTTCGGCTTCGAAATGATCGGCAGGAAAAATTTCACAATTTGTGAAAAATTTGAGAGATTTCACCGAAGCAAATTGAAGAAAATCAGAGGTAAAGCCAAACTATCACTGGCGAGCGCCTCCCTTCGTGGAGCCTTAGCTCAATAACGAAAATCATTTTGATAATATTTTCTACAGAAAACGACAGTCCCAAACCTTGCTCATCGCCCTTTCGATGGCTTTTAGTGGCCTAAAAAAGCGAAAACATAAAGATTTTCTAAAAAAAAAACAATACGCTGGCGCGCGCGCCAAGCTTTGGTAAAAACCCTATGGAGCCTCCGTAAGTCTATTTCACCAATGGAAAAAAATACATTACTTATGTTTAATTTTTCACTTCTCTTTCAACAACTCCAGGATTGGAGGACCATTTGGGGTTATAAATGTGATCTTCCCTCTTTTTGTACACCAGAGAGTTTTTGAAAATAATGACGTAATTTTATGCTGTGGACACTAAGACGCCGTCGCTTACACGCCACCTGAATCTTTGCCAAAACTTTTTATTTAAAAATCATGCAAGAATAACGAGAATTAATTAAACATTGTGGCAATATTTACAAGGAATTATCAACACTACTGCTCTTCCGACCAAACCGTGAAACTCTGGAACAAACAAATGAGATGCAGGAGTCCTTTAACATAATTTTGAATCATTTTTCTTTCGCTCAATTATCTGCAACATTCTATAAATTTTTTTTTTAGTTGAGTAAGCTAGCGTCTGGACAGTAAACAACTGCTTAATATCAGTCGCAGATCGATGAACTGTACAATAACTGCCTTATTACGTTGAAACTTGTTTGGAAACAGCTATAAAGTTAATTAAGAAAGAGATTCCATAAACTGGAATACAGTTTTGCGCTAGTAGATAGTTTGATGTTTCAAATCGCCATGCGAAAGTTATATCTCACGATGAAATTCTGGATCGAATCTTTCAAAGGAAACTACAGTAATGAAATTCAGTTCTCCCCGCCTGCAAAGGTTGGTGCTTTCTTTTCCGCGACGAGATAAAAATATATTAAACTTCATTAGATTTCGCGGTTTATATTGGTTTTGCGCAATTTTCTCTTCTGTTCTATCTTTTCGAGATATAAATATTGTTAAATACCTTAATATGCGAAGCACCGTGACAGGAATTTATTACTGTACCCTGCACATAATTGTTTATAGTCTCTTATACTTATGTAATTTTCATTATTTTCAGTATTTTGTAATTGTGCGTGCGCATCGTAAACTAGTATGCTGATTGCTCTTAGGCGTTGTGTGGATAAATAATCTATCTATCTATCTATCTAATATTCCCCCACTTTGTACGCCCTGGCTATTTCAAAAGTGGGTGATGGCTGCCTACAAACGAAAACCTAACGGCTGGTGTTTTCATTGTCAATTGCAGCCCTCCCCAAGCTAGCTCCTTTGGACGCTCAACCATCATTTGTTCTTCGCCCACCAATTAAAGAGAGCAGGGGAAAAAACCTGTCAGCCGGTCATACATAACAGTAAGTGGAAATATAATGATGATAAGCTCTTAAGATGACCTTGAGGGCATGACATCTCCTCCTCTTCTTATAAATACTCGCTCCAGGGTTCATTGACAAAGCCAAATTTATATTGTGCATCGTGGTTATGTAGACGCCGTTATTTGTGTTACACCTGAAAATCTGCATAAAATTCCACTCCTGCAGGACTTACGAATGAGGATGATCACTGAATTGTTTCCATGCTTTTAAAGAAAATGGTTCACAAGGCAGCTTTTTATCCAACGTAAGGTGTAAGAAATTAATTTCAAATCAATATTTAGTTTCTCCATTTTATAAATGGGTTTCCTTAATTTATAATTTGTTCTTCTTTCCATAAAACAGGTGATTAATATCTGACAGTCTAATTCCTACATCGAGGCGCCACTCAAAAATTGGTTCGTTGCTGTTGCATCAATTTGGCAAGGGCGATCTGGAACAAGTGTATTTAAAGAAAATCCGAGAATGAAATTCAGTTTTCCAACCATGAAATTCTTGCTTTTTGTGCCCATCTTCTTTTGGAGAACGACTTTTACACTTAAAGGTAAGTAGAATTCAAGCTTTTCTTCCTTTATTGATTTCTATTCCTTTACAATCTTTCCCTTTTTCTTTTTTTGCTGTTCACGAGTTACATCTAAAGCCTTTTGTTACATTTAAAGCCTTTTTATTTTTTTCGTCATAGACGCCATAAATCTTTAGTAAGGTTGATTTATAAGAACTATTTATGGATAGTGAATCTGTATTCAAGACTTTCTTCAATATTGAGGAATATAAGTTTGTGTTTTAATAGGAAATTTTGTTACCAAACTAGCTATTTTAGTTTCTATTGTGATGCGAATGGTAATTTCATTTAGACAGAAGACCTTTACACTTAGTTACAAACCAACGGCCATGATTTTTTCCTTCCTTTTTCGGTTTTTTTCTTTTCTTTCTCGCATTCTCGTGTAAAATTCGAGAAACGTTTTTGAATTTCATCAAACAAATTAATCAGAGAAGCATTTGTACATCAACTGTTTGTTCCAAAGAAAGTCATCACTTATAGTCATTCGTCGCTTAAACCTTATTCCACCTGCAAACTGTTATTGCTGATACTGGCAGACATTGTCACTAACGATTGCCATTGTCATTAATGTTCGTTTTGGTTGGCTCATGTTGTAAAGGCTCGTAGGACTTCCGTGCGTGGGTTCTGGCCCCAGACTGGAAAAACACTTGGGGTCTATCATAATAATTGAGACAAATATGCTTTGTAGTGAAACTCAACTGCACCTGCATAGTATAGTTTTCGCTACTGGCAGACACTGCTTATAACGATTGCCTTATATTCATTGACGTTACGTAATCGTTCTCTTAATTTTGAGAAACGAACTTAATTCTTTTATTATTTTTTTTTTAAATTAATTTCATTGCGTAACCTTAGTGAAAAAAGAAAATGCTGATTTTTGTATTTTTGCCATCCTAGATCATTGCCGGCGGCTATCGTTTGGCTCACCGTTTCATAACAAAGCACTTGTTAACCATGTGATCAAGAACATAACGTTAGGATTGGGAATGCGTAGTTCCTGTAGAGGGCGATGCATTTTGGACGACAACTGTGTGTCATACAACGTAGGTCCTCCAATAAAAGACCAAGTTTTGTGTCAGCTGAGTGATTCTGATCACATCCAGCATCCTAAAGATCTTGTTACTCAAGAAGGGTTCGTGTATCGAAACAGTGAGGTGAGATATTTCGACTTCATACGATTCTATCTTAATATTTGGGTTTTCCTGCTACTTCTTGTTTATCTATCCTTTCATGAAAATTTGTAATCTTTTCATCGACTTTCAGACTAACCCCTTTGAAATTCAAGCTGAAGCTTTAGGTTAGGATATATTCTCTTCTTCTCAGAGTTTTAATAATTTCTGAGTTGTGTCTGTGATTTATCGACAGGACTCATGCTTAAATAACCCATGTCCTCAGAATATGACCTGCTTAAATGGATTTACGGAAAAGGGTTACCTCTGTGTATGTCAGTTTGGTTATACTGGGAAGAAATGCAAAATAGGTAAGTATACCTATAAAAATGAAGATGAATACTAAATTCTTAGCTCTACGGGTGACCACACTGAAGTGGAGTTCTAAATTCTGATTTGAATTCCCAAATATGCAGGAATTGCTCATAATTTGATCAACTTGTGTCAATTCTGATAAATTTGTTCAAAAATGAAAAGGGACCATTTTGATGGTGTGAAGCATGACAACTGGTCTCTAAAATAGTTTTTTTGTAATTCCCAGATATTTTTTCAAACTACTCCATTCAGAACTAGATTTCTGAACAAGATGCAAATATGCTAATTGCGTTACCAAGTCGCTAGAATGATTTTTAAGAAGTCCAAGTTCCCCTAAAAATTTTTATGTGAGGAACTATACATGGCATGGTTTATTCTCAACAATTTTTTATTAATCTCATCTTTTCCCTAGGAACTAGCTGCAGCGATCTGCTTGACTCGTAAGTGACAATCCTCTAGTGAACTAATTTACCGCAACTGACGAATTAGGCTGATAAACTGAATTTAAAGACCAATTCCAAAGCTAATCGTTCAACTTACGTCATGTCAATTCAAATTTAAGTTTTGTCGAGAATTATTAAACTGTGTCTGTTCCTCGAGCATTTCTTTAACAGACTTATGACAGGGTGGGTCTGACTGTTTCACGTCACAATGATTAGTTTAGTATATGTCATGATCACGAACTGAATTCAAGAACCCAGCTTTGGAAGACGAACTCTCCCTGATCCAGTCTTTCTTACTAATATCCTATCTAAAGCTTAAGTTGAGTTCCTGAGTTGAGTGCTAGATATGCTATATTAAGAGGAATTTCCACTGGTAAAACACAAATTGATCTTACGTCTAACAAGAATGATTCATGTTTAAAAAAGATTCGAATTTACTTATTTCAACTATTCTCTCATGTGATATCGAGCTCACTGACTTAATCATTCTATCTCAGTGAGTGTGAAGAACGATATGGGTAACATAGAGGAACGCAAACTTTTTCTTTGCTAGTTTGAAATAATTGCTATACAACCTGTGAGTATAGTCACATTGAAATTCCCATCAAGGCCCATATCGGTTTTTTTTTGGATACTTTAAAATCAGCTGCTCCTGTTGTTCAGGTCCGAAGGCAACCGAGCCTATTCCTTGAATGTGGATTCATTGTCATTTCCTGTGTATTGTCACATGACTGGTCTTGGTGCGTGCGGAGGTGCCGGATGGACGATGGTTATGAAAATAGATGGGCGCAAGGTACATGAAAGTTTTCAAAACACTAATAACTTCCTATCTCTTTAGTTGAGTCTGTAAGTATATTTTTTCCTAGAGGGAACTCAGGCGAGTGTGGTGGAGTCATGCATTTGCAGAAGAAAAGTCATGTAGCAGATTTTTTTTAAATTTTTTTAATAAATAAATATAGCTGGCTTTGAGCAACCATGCAGGATGAACTGAAAAACTGTTGATGATAAACCTTTTTCTAATTCTTATAACAAAACAACTTGTCGGCCTTAAGTCTGTTCAGAGGGTCGTGTAGACGACATTTACATGTCATATGAGGCCTTTTTTTCCAAAGTGTTTTTGATTTAAGGAAATTTGAGACCCGTATAGTTTGAGTGACACTCCACATTGAGACATGCAAAGTTTACAGGAGTAAACGCTGAGTGATTTTTCATTATCGGGGCTTGTCTTCATATCACGCGAAAACTAGAGTCAAATAGCTGAAAAATGAAATCAAAGAACTGATATCCAGGCTGTCATATTATGGGATCAGATTTAGAATGCTTTTGTGTGACTGATTAAGCATATTAAGAATGGCGAGAGAACTGAATTGAAGTAACCGAAATTGGTGTTAATGTTTCAGAGAACTTTCCATTATGATTCCAAGTATTGGAGCGACAAAAATTCCTTCAACTTACCAGGAGGAAAAACTGGGTTTGACTCGCAAGAGACCAAGTTACCGACATACTGGAATACACCTTTCTCCAAGATCTGTCTTGGTATGAAGGTTGACCAACAGCTCAACTTTATTGTCATTAACAGAGAGGCTGAATCTTTGTACTCACTGCTTGCTGATGGAAAATACCGCAATACCTCACTGGGTCGGGACACATGGAAGACGCTGATAGGCTCGCAGGCTTCCTTGCAGCTTCACTGCAACATGGAGGGCTTCAATTGTGATGGTGTAAAGACTAAAACAAGGATTGGGATCGTTTCTAACGAGTATTTGAATACCTGCGATCAATGTGATTCAAGAATTGGTTTTGGTGGCGCAGGAGTATATGACGATAATAACTCGTGTGGTAACGTTGCTGTTTGGAACCCTGACAATGGTGACAAATACATTAAAGCCATGGGATACATTTTTGTTCAGTAGAATAGCTTTTAAATTTTACCTGTGATATGTACAACAGACCTTTTAAGGAAGCGTCCACCCTGATGGCCTGATCCATTTGCCAGTCGTCAGCATCTAAAAAAATTTGTTTTTTTAAAAAGGCTACCTTTCCGTAAACGTTACATAAAACCATCGAGATTCTTGTAGAGGACTGTTGAAAATTATAAAAGCCATCTTAAGGGTTTTTAATGTGTCAAACTTTGCTCCCCTCCAAAGCGGCTCTTCATTATATCATGGTCATTTTATTGCAGATGCTTTCGTTATAAACACGGTTGAGGTCTCAAATAAGGAAAAGACAAACATGTCATATTCCATCACGTTTCTGATCGCAGCGGAAGCACAGGGTTATATTTTCGTAAGAAATGCGGAAAATAGCGCAATTTCACAGAAGAGAGAAAATCGATGGCACTACGTTTATTTCTAATTTATTTCTAATTTATTTCCTAATAGTTGAGTTGGTGCAGGTTGATTTGTGTGGTTCAGACAATGGCAAGCCGAGTTATGGGTACTTTTGTTGCTATCAGTCGTCGCGAAGCTACATCGCGTCTTACACTTCGACACTTATTTAAGCGGATTAAACTCCGTGCAGTAATTTTCTTGCTTTGCTTTTACTGATATTTTTAGTTAATTATCCTTTATTTATGCATTCGGAATGCAAAGTTAAGACTAGAGGGCTTAAAGTGTCATCGATCCCCCTTCATAAAGCGATTTTTTGAGTCTGATAAATCGCAACTTTTTTTATGTTCTCTTGGTACTGCTTACCTTTGAAATTTTCATTTGTGACCTAATGCTGACAAAAATAAGCTGTCATGTAGGCTCTCTCAGCGGTTCTATGAAGTGTTTTGTGGTTTTCAAAATTTTTTCATCATAAATCACTATAATTTAGGGGCGTGATGTCGACTCGAACCCTACTTGCAATTCGCGGGAAAAAAAAGAACCTCTTTACCACGTTTCTCTTAAGGACAGACAAACTGTGAAGGGGGCCCTCCGCCATTCATATTTTAAAGCCATATTTTATCTTTTCACTTTCAGTGAATAATTGCCATGGTCATGCATTCCAACGTGTTTGTAGATTTGCTTGAGATATTTTCGTAAACTGATGTGATTTTAGATCAAGCCTCCAATGTTGGCTGCGGTGATTAAAGAAAGGGAGGACAGAGTGAAATTTTCCCGTTAATGGCAAAATGTCTCTAGAATAACTTTTATTTTGAGTCCAAATAATGGAACTCTTTAAACAGTTAAACCTTCCCAGATTGCCATATCAGCTATGATCGCCATGCGACCAAATTGCCGATCTACTGGAGTACACCATCATTAAGGTCTGTCACGGCATGTTGATTAACTAACAGCTCGGATTTACAATCATAATCAAGCCAGATGCCTCTTTGTACCAACACGGGCCACTTCACCGAGTCGTATTACTTGGCCATGGATGACCATCCATAGTACACAATAATTCACAATGCCAGAGTTGTATTTTCGACACTTGGACGCCGTCGGCTGGGCAACACCTGAACGTTTACGTAAAACTCACTTTGAAACACAAATTTACAAAATTATGTACACGTGCAATAGGCAATTGTTCAAAAAAGTGCTCTCTATTTAAGGCAAAGCTTGAATATTATAAACGGACAACTGAGGATGCATGTCTTTGCAATCAATTTCGACTAGTTTTTTTTTTGTTATTCTACATTTGTTAATGGGTTTCCTTTACTCTTTGTGGTGGCCAATTTATGTTTTCCACCTAGTTGTTAACACTAAATTATCTACTAACTCTCCCACCGACGCAGCACCATAGTTTCTTTAGAAACTTACCCCCTTTATTCCTGAAAGAAAGATTGGCATGAATTGTTTTGGCTTTGTTTCTTTCAAACAGGTGATGAGCACCGGGTTGTCTGATAATTATAATAATAGATCGTAAATCGTTGGGCCGTTGAAAAATTTACTCATCACGGCCTCTGCAATGGTTGGTGATCGTGTTAATTCTCTTTTGGAGAATCGGTTTTACCTTGCAGGATAAGGAAAGGCCAAAGTGCATAGCATTTTCTGACATCTTTTCAAGCCTTTTTTATTTTCCGCTGTCTATCTTTTCTCCCTTCACTATTCGTGCGTCTTGTCACAAACTCACTCTGAGGCAACAAACTGTAAATGAATTGTAAATCTGTTGTCAAAGCTCTCGTTGAGAGGCGAAGGCAATATTGTGATCTCGTGAAATTTGTTTTTAAACGGTTAGAGGTTTGAGGTTAGGGTTATAGTGAGTTTTTTTTTGTAATTTAGTTCAAAAGTTAGAAGAGATAAATTTGTTGCTTTTCCTTCTCTCTATTGGATGGCCAACTGAATGTGTTAACCGGGCAATCTTTTTCGGTATATTCTTAGTCTGTAATTTACAAAATATTCATCAAGTTCCTCCATTTACTGAGACTGGAAATGAATGTTGAGTACCAAGACACTTAGTTTGCGAGGATCGAAGGATTCTTGTGCGTGAATCGACACCTTAGGCGCCAGGCTCTACTCATTTTCTGAGTGAGTATGGTGCCCCTTCATAGTGGTGGGTATGCTAATAAGCCATCTTTGCCTCGCATCTTAGTGAATATTATATTGTTTTATTCAGGTTATGAGGACTTATTTTCACGAATATAGATGAATTGCAATTAAGCCCGCCATTAATGAAAGAGGTTCCCAGTATAATTGAAATCGAAGGTATGACAACAGCTAATTGCATTTCCCTGAGAGCCGATAAGAACTACGAGTGAATAACACCAAGCTTCCTGAAAAGGGAAAACGGGAAGGAGAACGACTTTTGCCTCGCAATGGTGTTATCAAGCTTAAATTGGCGAGAACCACATGAAAACTAGTAAAGCAACCGATGTCTAAGAGAAAAAAATGCTACTTTTTACCTTTTCCCAGATCGTTGCCGACGACTTAAGTTTGGCTCACCAGTTTATAACATAACCCTTGTTGGTCATATAATTAAGAAAATTATTTGAAGATCGGAAATGCGTAGCTCTCATAGAGAGCGATGTTCTTTGAACGACAACTCTGTGTCGTACAACGTCGGCCCTGCAATAAAAAACCAAGTTTCATTTCAACTGAGTGATTCTGATCATGTCCAGCATCCGGAGGATCTTGTTCCTAGAGGGTGGTTTATGTATCAGAGCAGTGAGATGAGATATTTCATAGTTGTTTATATTTCAATCAAAAACGAATTCATGCAACGCTGTGAGCAGTTGCTGCTGCACTAGCTGTTGAAAAACAAAGAAGCGTTTTTATATTGTTGGTACATTATCAGCAGGCTTCTATGCGGCTAGTATTAGCTTTCAGACGTACAAGACGAAGACTTACGAAGACGCTTACATAGAGCTCGCTTTCGAAACTGTCCTTGATCGAGGTCCTCGCGTCCGGCGGAGTTATGGTTCGAGATTGGAACCATGTATTTTACTTCGCTTTCTTTTTATCCTGCCGATCTTTTGGTTGCAGCTTGAACCACTTGTGCTGGCTTCGATAATTCCAGTGGAAGGAGAGCTACTCGTTGAAGCCAATTGTTCTTCAAATTGCCGCCAGTGAGTGGGCTAGGGTACGAGTCAGACACTCGCTTAAATTCCTTGTTTCCCTCAAACGAAAACTGAGGGTCAGATGGACAAGGAAGAAAATTTGTGTCCTGCCATCGCGGGTGAAAGACTACACTAGCGGACAAAAACGTATTTTTCCCTCTTAAATTTATCTAGGCATGTCTTACGGACGATGACAGTTCAATGGTTTAAAAAAAAAACTCGTTTGGTTTGCCAAAATTTGGAAGCCTCCGATGCAGGATATCGGCTCCTTTGAAGATTGGCAAAATTTTGTTCACTCGGGCCTAAGTACGTAATTTACAAAACTCCACATTAGTTCTTCTATTTGTTGATATCCTGAGAATAGCTTTAAATGTTATGAACATTTGTTCGCGAGGATCGAACAATTATTGTACGAGAATCGACACCTCAGGTACCCTGGTGAATGGCCGGTATGCGGATTAATATAGAGCTATTAAATTATGATGGGCATGATCATCATTATTTTATGCGCATGTAACTAAGGCCTCTTGGACACACATTAAAGAACAAGTCTCTGTAAGAATCAAACATCTTGGGAAATGAAAATTTTCTACCATCCTTCAAATTTTGCATGCAGTTAGGCACTCAGGGGGTATACACAAAAATTCCATTTTTAAAGGTTGCAGCATTCTTGTGGCCATGGTAATAACGGTTGCTTGTTCGAGGGCTGGGGCCTCATTTTCATACAAAAACGTTGCAAAAATAGAGTGAAATGTTTATTTCTCTATCTCAAGCTAAATACAACATTACAAATTAGCACTTCTAACATACATAGTGACATCATTCGTCTTCACACTGACACATTCAATTTTCCCTGGGAGTGAATGTGAACACACCAATAGATTATTCATCCCCGTACAGTTTTGGTCATTTTTGTTGTCGTGTAAAACAGGGAAGACGTTTATCTGAATTTCTCCAAAAGTACACCGATTCTGGAACTGAAACTACCCACCTAGCTGGTTATAATATTCTAGTTTTTAAATATGTAAGAATCTCTGCGGGCCTGACTCTACTTTCCATAGGGGTAATTCGCGAACGAAGCTCAAAAATCAGATATTTCAGACAAATGAAACGTGCAAGGCTTTGAAAGAATGTTATCTTATGAGCAATATCCCGAAGAGAAATCTCGCCTCTGGTCGTCATCTTTTAAAAAAAATTGATCAACCCTCATGGAGGACTACTCGACGTAACTACAAACATATACCTCAAATCGTGTGCATATCATCCAGACTCCGAGTGCTGCATATTCTTTCACGGGAATTTGAGCGATCCGAAGTCCTCTGAGGATACACTATTATACTTGCATGTCATTTAAAACATGTTGAATTCGGCTGATGTACACGAAACTATCCTCACACCGGTCATTTGTCATAAACATGTACGTTGTCACGATGGCGTGACGCTGTATTTCTCCGTGAAGTTTCCATCGGTTGCTCCAAAGAAGACGAGAAATGGATATTTTTCATATATGTTATAACTCCCAGGGAAAATTGAATGTGTCAGTGTTATGACGAATGATGTCACTATGTATTTTAGAAGTGCCAATTTGTAATGTTGTATTTAGCTTGAGATAAAGAAATAAACATTTCACTCTTTTTTGCGACGTTTTTGTATGAAAATGAGGCCCCAGGCCTCGAACAAGCAACCGTTGCAACCATGGCAACAAAAGTGCTGCAACCTCTAAAAAGGGCATTTTTGTGTATACCCCCTGAGTGCCTAACTGCATGCAAAATTTGAAGGGGGGTTGAAATTTTTCATTTCCCAAGATGTTTGATTCTTACAGAGACTTGTTCTTAAAGAGCCACGTTCAACCAGTGCACTTTGCACTTTATTATCTGGTAATGCAATGCTGTTTCGCGAAAACCATGAAACGGCAGTGACCGTAGCAAAAATAGAAAAAAAAAGTATTAACAACTGGAGCACAAATAAACCATTAGTTTGGAAGAGTATTGGTATTATGACAACGTTTTCTGTTTGTAGAGTACAAACCAAAAACAAAATAGAAGAATTTTTCAGACGTGCAAACTGCACCACCATAAAACCAAATTCATGGCTGAAATACCAAACTCCGAATTCATGTTCTTAGATACTAAAGTGTGCAATGGCGAGAGGTTTAACAAGGAGTCGACCTTTAATATGCAAACGAATTACAAAGTGACAGATATTCCGGTATCCAAAATTTCTTGACAAATCCCAAAAAAACCATCGGTGGAACTAAACTAACTGACTGTAAATTTTAATGACTGATTTCGCAATCTTGATTTTAACAATTTCTCTCTGATTTAAATCGGAGAGCGTTCTTGACTATGTTTTTACGGCTTACTGCAATGGAGGTAAAAGGGAAGTGATTGAAAATAGCAGGTGATCAAAATACATTCCTTCATAAAAAGACAAACATTTTTTCTCTGTGTAAAGAGTCTGTTCGATAATTCGAAGCGAAATTTGACCTTCTTCTTGACACGAAGGAAAGCCGTTTAAACTGCAATAGTGCATGTCATCGAAAAAAACCCTCGACATGTAAATCTTGAAAACATACAAGCTAAAATCTTTAAAGATATTTACAACCTCTCTAGGAAGTTTATATAAATATACAAATTGTCTTGGAATTTATGGTGCGAGCAAACCTATCTAAAGATGTCGGAGATGATACCCAAACATTGGAAAACATAGTTTGTGTTGCCGGCTGGAAAGATGATATAAACAACCATTTGATGATCATCGCAAGAAATAACTTTTTTTTTTTCCTTTTGGGCTTTTTTGGTAATACTCTGATCTTAATCGCCCTTAGCAAGGAATCTTCTCTTCATCCGCCAGCCAAACTGTTGTATCGTTGTCTGGCAATAACTGATCTCTGCGTCGGTCTCATATCAGAGCCCTCGTCTGTTGTTTATTGGCTGTCCTTAGTTCGTGAGGATTGGAAACTTTGTCACCATGCTCTGAAGATGAGTTTTCTAAGCTACTATATTCTTTCTTTAGTTTCTCTCTTAACGATGAGCGAAATAAGTGTGGACAGACTTCTCGCCTTGTTGCTGAGGCAGAGATTCAGGCACGCTGTAACTCTGAAACAAACTTACGTAATTGTTGTCATCATTTGGGTTTTTTCGATAACCGCTGGGATATCGCATTTTATAAATTACCGCGTAACCGGCTGGTGTAGCTATGGCGTTATACCGCGTTTTATCACATAAACTGCGGTGTTATACAGGGATTTCTGGCCCTGAGAAAAGCCGTAACAACACACGAGAAAAAATATGGTATTTTTTTTTAAGTGTGATGATATAGCCAATCAGCTGCTGACACATCACTCGCCTTTGGCGCCACTCGGTCAGGTTGGTGAATGAACGGCAAAGCCTTCACGATTCTAAATACAAGTTTTTTGTTAGAACTAAAACGCTAAAAATTCCGTATCGTTGACAGACAGTGAGGTTCAAACTTTCTCAGAAGGGGGAAGAAAACCATTATACTTAAAGAAAAACCGAAAGTTACGTATTCAGTGGCTTTGGTGTTAGCATTTCTTTCGGCTGAGAATGAAAATCGACTACTGGAAGATTTGCCACCAGCCGATTTTGGCCGTCTACCTGAAAGACTTCTTCTGTCGGTAAGGACAAAGTCAATAAATGAGAATTTTGTGAATTGAAAATTTACGACCATTGTTGTTTTTATAATCATGATTCAACGCATCTTTCCATCTAAGAATTAGCGCCAACGCACTCCACGATTGTTATTCGGGGATTGTCAATTCATTTATTTTCATTCATTAAAATACCTTGACGGCATGACATCTCCTCCTCAATTTCAAATCAATATCTAGTTTCTCCATTTATGAATGAGTTTCCTTAATTTATAATTTGTTCTTCTTCTTTCGATAAAACAGGTGATTAGTATCCGACAGTCTAATTCCTAAATCGGGGCGCCACTCAAAAATTGGTTCGTTGCTGTTGCATTAAGTTGGCAAGGGCGATCTGGAACAAATGTTTTCAAAGAAAATCCGAGAATGAAATTCAGTTCTTCAACCATGAAATTCTTGCTTTTTGTGCTCCCTCTCTTTTGGAGAACGACTTTTACGCTTAAAAGTAAGTAGAGTTCAAGTTTTTCTTCCTTTATTGATTTCCGTTGTTTTACAATCTTCCCCTTTTTTTTTTTTTTGCTGTTTTTTTCAGTGATAGACGCCATAAATCTTTAGTTAGGCTGATTTATAAGAACTGCTTATGGATAGTGAAATCTGTATTCAAGACTTTCTTCAATTGGGGAATATAAGGTCGTGCTTTAGTGGGAAAATTTTGACACCAAACGAGTCGTTTTAGTTTCTGTTGTGATGTGAATGGTAATTTCATTTAGACAGAAGACCTTTACACTTAGTTACAAGCCAACGGCTATGAGTTTTTCCTTCCTTTTTCAGTTTTTTTCTTTTCTTTTTCGCATATTCGTGTAAAATTCGAGTAAAAGTTTTTTGAATTTCATTGAACAAATTAACAACTGTTTGTTTGAAAGAAAGTCATCACTTATAGTCATTCGTCGCCAAAAACCTTATTATACCTGCAAACTGTTATTGCTGATACTGGCAGACATTGTCGCTAACGATTGCCATTGTCATTAATGTTACTTAAGAGCAAGTCTCTGTAAGAATCAAACATCTTGGGAAATGAAAATTTTCAACCCCCTTCAAATTTTGCATGCAGCTAAGTACTCAGGGGGGATGCACAGAAATGCCTATTTTAAAAGTTACAGCACTCTTGTGGACATGGTAACAACGGCTGCTTGTTCGAGGCCTGGGGCCTCATTTTCATTCAAAAACGTCACAAGAAAAGAGTGAAATGTTTATTTCTCTATCTCAAGCTAAATACAAAATTACAAATTGACACTTCTACCATACATAGTGACATCATTCGCCTTCACTTTAATACATTTAATTTTCCCCGGGAGTGAATGTGAACACACCAATAGATTATTTATCTCGGTACAGTTTCGGTCATTTTTGTTGTCGGGTAAAACAGGGAAAACGTTTATCTGAATTTCTCCAAAAGTATACCGATTCTTGAACCGAAACTATCCACCTAGCTGGTTAAAATATTCTATTTTTTTAAATATGTAAAAATCTCTGTGAGCCTGCCTCTACTTTTGTATGTCATTTAAAACATGTTGAAGTCGGCTGATCTGCACGAAACTATCCTCACACCGGTCATTTGTCATAAACATGCACGTTATCGCGTGACGCTGTATTTCTCCTTGAAGTTTCCATCGGCTGCTCCAAAGAAGACGAGAAATGGACATTTTTCATACATGTCAGCAGGTTTCCGCTTTCTGAAGTAAAAACAACCAAAAAAAAAAGAGGAAAACCACGATCGAACGCTCGTAAACACTTAGAATCTGAGAGTATAAATCGTAACTTGTCAGTGGTAACTGCAACTGTATAGTATAGTTTTCGCTACTGGCAGACACTTCTTAATTCTTTTAACTTAATACTTTTATTATTTTATTTTTTGAATTTATTACATTACGTAACCTTGGTACGAAAATCTGTCAATTAATACAGCAGTCTCACTAGAAGAAAAAAGATCTAAAGATCTTAAAGTGATGTAAACAACGGCCTACTTAATCAACCAACGATACCTTGTTTCCAATTAAATGTAATTCGTGTAAAGCGAGATATTAAGGCAAGATTGGAAAACACGACAAGGGCCGAGTAATCTTTAAGAACAAGTAATCTGTGCGAAAGAAGTGAAAAATAAAAACCGAAAGTTGCGTATTCAGTGGCCTTGGTGTTAGCATTTCTCTCGTCCGAGAATGAAAATCGACAACTGGAAGATTTGCCACTAGCCGATTTTGGCCGTTTACCTGAAAGACTTCTACTGTCGGTAAGGACAAAGTCAATAAATGTGAATTTTGTGAATTGAAAATTACGACCATAGTTGTTTTTGTAATCATGATTCAACACATTTTGCCATCTTAAGAGTCAGCGCCCACACTCTACGATTGTTATTCGAGGATTGTCGATTCATTTATTTTCATTCATTAATGAAGTCGGCTTTTCTTCCCAGTAAAGGGCTATTGTGTTTATATAATAGACAAAATAAGACATGGTTGCTTGGAGATCTTCTCGTGTTCAACTCGACATCTCACTCGTTGCGCTCACTCGTGAGCTATGGAGTTAAACACTCGAAGAGAAATTCAATATCTACGCGCGCCCATGTGTTATTTTCTATGTCTTTCAAACCTTCGTTTCATATATAACTATATATTGCGACGTTAGGTTTTCGCGCATTAAACTGAACTTCGCGAGAAACGTACAATAACGGGAGAAAATAATTCTGTAGAGACCACTCGGCTTGCGAGAACGGAAACTCGTCACGATTCCCTGGTACACGACGATCTACTTCAAATGAGCTTTTACAGAAGACAAGGATAGGACAGCGCTTTTGGTTCCACAGTAGACTTTTATTCGTAGCGCACTCTAACATACATCATGTCAGAGTCAGAAATAAACTTGTAGTCGGCTCCCAGTCGTCTATGTAATCGAGAAAGCTTTACAAAGTACTTGCTTCAATATGAACTGGTGTGAGGTTCCAGTGTTCTCTAAATCTACCATATTTGAACAGTATAACAAAAGAAGCGGAAAAGGTCTCTTTGAAGTAAACGATTTCTACTTAAATATTCCATCTATAAGAATTAAGGAAGAGGATGCAATAAACTCTAGACCATTAAAAATAGGAAACTTAGGCGAGAATTCACAGCTGTGATATTGAAAATATACCTATCTTTGGGGTTGGAAGCTGATTAATGAATAACGAGGTTTAAGTTAAAAGTAAATAATGAATAATTGGGTTTGGAAACCTCGGGAATAATGAATAACGTAGTCAAGCCAATGGAATAATAAATACCACTTTCCTATTCGATTGCCTTGTTTATGTATTTTCTGATATATCTAAAATCAACAATGTGCAGAGTAAAACTACAATAGACGCAAAAAGTCTCCCGGCGAAACTTCTAGCCGAAAGTGTTTCGAGTTCTAAGACAACTTCACAGCTTGGCAGCTTGACAGGTTTTCTGTCAAATGTCCTATTATGGCACCGTTTGACGTTTAATTCGCGAGTTTGTGTCTGGTCGGTTGTCGAAAGGGTAATAATGGTAAAAGCAAGAAAGAAAAAAAAAGAAGTCGCGATCAATGGTAAGGCAATTTTATATCTATATTGGTTTGTGCGCCGATTTCAAGTCTATTCGAATCTATCTTTTTAATGCTTTGGATATGATAAAAGTCTTTCCCTCGGCAAACGTTCATGCACCTGGTCACCTGAAAGACGGCGCCGTCCAAGGCGGTCAACCAGCAGGTCAGTACCAAACAGATTTTGCGATCGATTTGTGATACGATGATGACAACAATGAAAAGTGAATCAGAAACTTCGAATAAACTTCTTCATGACATCAGTACAAAACTTTTTTGACTATTCACCCTTTTTTCTTTCTCCCTATCCAGGTCGCAATCCCCAAAGAGACGCCGGAAGGATGAATCGAGGTACGGATTTCCATTCTGTGTGCGTATTTCGACGAAATAATCAGAGAATTCCAGTAAGAAATTTCCTCGCATCATGATCATAAAGTGGCGCGCATCGCCTTTGAGAAACGACTACGTCCAGATCAAGTCAACAATTACAAACGCTGCGAAGCAATTCCCTTGTAGATCGATTATGATCGAGTAATAGTAAAATAAATTTGGAGAAATTGATTTTGAAGGATGTAGTTTCCTAAATTAGCACCAAAAGTTTAGAGTAACTCATCTGGAGACAACTTTCCAAAATATCGTACATCCCCGCTGGGAATAGACAGCCAACCGACTTGACCTTTCGCCTGTGCTTTATTTTATCGATTCGATGTCCTGTCTTTAATGAAAATTAAATCTCCACTTGTTGAGTCAAAGTTTGGTACTGAGTTTCCAAGCTTCATGATTTCAACATGGTTTACAAAGATCGCTTTTTTTTCTCTGTCAATGGTAAGTCGATCGCCGCCGGTGCGGCAGCATACATCATTTATTCCAAATTTACCTCACGCTGTGGAGATCGCTTACTCTTTCTGTTTTCTCAGGATTGATGTGCGAGCGAAAGGTGAGCCACCTGAAAGAGCGAAAAAAAGGCTCTTATGTTCGGTTCGTTGACGCTTTGGCAGAGCTGCGTGCGATAAAGATAGCATGCTCATTTTTACAAAAAAAAAATGTCCGCGCAAAAATTGCCATCGTTATTTATTGCACTGAGATGATCAACCTCGGCAACGGTAATAAACATGTCTTAAACTATAAACAGGCCAAATCAGCATGGAAAAACAAAGGCAAAATCAAGTTTTTGGATCTAAAGTAGGGTCCGCTTCAGTGAGGATTACGATAATATAACACAACTACTCCATTCTGAGAACCACTGTCTGTGTTCTTGTCTATAACGATTCTCGGCATCGATCAGGATAGCGATCTCCATTTTATGTCTCAGAAAAGGACTTGCTTTAATGATCAAGGTTTGAAATAATAAAAGGTACACAGCAGTTAAATATGTTCACCATGACTCCGGATCCACTCGTACGAGCATCTTGTGTTAGAGAACTTGAATAGAAAATGTATCGAGGTCATTTCCATTACTTCACCGGCCCTAAGATCTATTACCCGAACAAAGCCATGGATTCCTCTCCTCCTCTCAAACCACCTGTAACTTTGATTGAAAAAGGAATAGCGAGAATGACCCTTAAGGAAACAAAAGACATGAGGGAATTTGCAACATCTCTAAGGAGAAGTGTCAGACAACATTCTGTCAGGGACAAGAGCGAAAAAAGACACTGCCCATCTTCCTTATGCGATATCGTTTTCGTTAAAAGAAGGCGAGCCTTCTTCCAATGTTGAAACAACCGCTTTGATGGAGGGCCAAAATGACGCACAACAGCAAGACCGAGAGCAGCCGTTTTCATCCATTTCATCCATCCGTTATTTCAAGTCAAAGCAAGTGATCGCTGTAAAGCTCAACCGCAGAAGAGAATATTGGCAGTTTTTCCTTGCCCTACTTTTAAAGGATCTCCTCGTCAAGGAGAGAAAGGGAAAAGAACTATCGTTTATTGACAACGTCGTGTACATTTTGTGGCTCGACAACGTTTACATTGGTTACAAGCTCGTTTTCTCTGAGGCTTACCAAGACGATAGGAACTCACCGCACACCATTATAGACCGTGCGCGTATTGACGAGATCATTAATGATGCTTCCGGATTGAGATCTTACAAGGTAGCTCCCTCAAGAGAAAGCGGATAGAATGAACGACTGTTTAAAGGTGGCGATAACAGTGACATTGACTCAGAAGACTCGTCGAAAATGAAGGATCCGACGAAGGGTCCGATGAGGATTTGTGTGTTTTTCAGCACTAGGTCGGGACGTTTAGCAACACGCTTACAACTGTTTCGATTAATAACCAGACATGTTGAAGATACTTTTCCCTCGTTCAAAATGGGTAGACCGGATAAACGGGCTGGGTCACGTATTACTTATCAGTATTTATTAACTCTTAAAATGAAACTGGAAATATAGCAATCACATTGTCGAAATCACGAGAACTTAATGAACAAGGAGATTCTAAAGCTTTGTAATTTTCACGTTCGTACTAATTGATCTTAACGCGACCAACATTGGTCTAGTGTTTGTTAAGCTTATCTTCGACAACAGTCCGCTCTGATCTCCTCCTGTTTTTAACACCTGTGTCTTTTTTCTTCGGTTTTTACTGACGTTCTTTTGACGTTTTGAGCTGTTGTTGAAATGTTTCAGTTGATTTTGTAACCTGCTCGTCATTGTTACATTACCTGTCAAGATAGGTATCATAGTTATTTTTTTGTCGTCTTTTGACAAATTTTCCAATCTACTTGCTTGCAAGTTTGGGCTCGACCTCAAGTTTGCAAAAACAGCCACTGATATTACATTTGGAGCTATATAGTTCTATCAAGAATATCAGAAAGAATAAATTTATTTGATATCTTGTAATGAACAGTTTTCCTTTAACTTTAGTATCAGATTGAGGAAGTCGGAAAAGCTATAAACGAGTGAACACAAGTAACACAAGAACAAGCATTATGCTTGTTAATAGAGATAAGTCATTTTTACCTACAAAGTCCCACTTCATTACATAAAAGCTCCATACAGATGTTTTTCTCTTTTGCCTATTTTGTGGTTTTTCCAAGCATCATTCAGGTCATGTTTGTAAAGATTTGTCATCAATAACTAGAGCAAGGAAGGCATGTGCGACGATGGAGTTGCTTGCGGAAGAGACTAGTTGCCGTTAGAGCGAAAATTACATTATAATAATGACCATAGCACCGAAAAATACAACATCAGCTCAGTTTGACAAAAAGATCGCCGTGTGTAGCACGGTGTGGCAGTAGTGTGTAGTATGATGCGACAGTGTGATACCTATAATCAAATGTATAATCATGAATTAAACCTGAAATCGAATTTAACGAGGAAAAATCTGGCTCACGTTCAAGGGGTAAAGAAGAATGAATACCAAACAAAATTTAAAAAAGAATAATGAATAATTCGAAAAAAAAACGAAGAAGAATGAATAATCAAGGTCCATTATTCAGCTTCCACCCCCGACTACCTTAATTAGAACAGAGCAGCTTAGGAAATAAAAGTGGAAAAGCAACTTCAAATTTCTGCTTATCTATGCAAGATTGGTGTGGGAACCTATCGTATGAAAGGAAATTAAAATTATGAGCACAAACTCAGCTGCCAACTATCATGAGAACCAATTTTTCCAGAAAGACCATTAACAATTATATTTATCTAAAACTTCACTAGTAATGGTGAACAAAGTACCGACATGCAGGTGTAAAATGACAGCAATAAACAAAGCAAAAAATCTTTTGGTTTACTATTCAAAAACTACTGTGGCTTTTTATACATTTTTTGACTTACTAGAATGAAAGAACTTGACTGAAATCGAATGATTAAATATGGAAAGTTAAAGAATACTTGTGTCTCAAACAAACACACGGAGGAATCAGTAAATTTTCCCATAACAATATTTTTAGTAATCTTTTCTTATTCGCATCTGATAATAATGACATGTCGTTGCCAAAAAGTCATGTCGTCGACTCGGCTAGAAAGACTGATTTGCATGAAAACAAAGGAATAGCCATGTGACCCACCAGTAAAATACATTAAAGTTCACATGGCAATCAGGTGGATAATCAGACATGGTTTGGTGCTACTCTGGTTTAAAGATTTAATGAATGCAACCTATGAGGTTACAATTCACAGATCCAACCTTTCGATACTCCTGTCTAGTGCCTTCATCAGGTGGGGAGGAGCGTGGGCGGAGTCAATATGTTAGAGTTCCAGACAAAGGCGCTCGCCGATTACTGGTGATAGTTTTAGACTTATCCCACCCAATTGTATGGTTAGTCAGGCATGTGTGCTCCGATAAAACTGAATTTTCTTTTTTGCAAAACAAAATCGCGTTTTCAAACGTGTATTCGTTGTTACAGTCCTTGCAAGGAATAGAATAAATGGTGTCGGTTTGTTGTTCTTTCGTAACAGGGTCCCTAGCTTTGGCAAAAATATGCCCTGAAGTCTGAAAAGGGTCTTGAGCAATTTTAACGTTGTGGCTATTCAAAATTATCTTGATGGGTTCCGTAACAACCTGAATGTAAGGAATAACAGCAAAACCAGTCGCTGGTTCCTTTTCATCAGAAGTGCTATTAGTTGTAACTAGAGAATTTTGAATTGAATTTTAGAATAACCATACAATTGGGCGGAATAAGTTTAAAATTATTACTACAAATCGGCTTTACCACCAGCGCCTTTGTTTGGAAGCCTGACATGTTAACTCCGCCCGCCCTCCTTTAAATCGTGATGATGGCGGCTTATCTCCTAACTCCTTTTTGCACCTCGTCAGAAAAAAAGCAGCGAGTTTGTGATCGTATTAAAGGACCTCTTGTTGCAGCGTTAAGATCACCCCTGATAAAGGCACTAGACAGGAGAGTCGAAACGTTCGGTCCATGAATTGTAACTTCTTCGGTTACATTCATCAAATCTTTAAACCAGAGTAGCATCAAACCATGTCTGAAGTCTACAGTAAATTTAAGTCGATGATATTAAAACAAAGTCAGGTAAAAAAAATACATATTTCTCAAGAACCAATTGTGAAACAAGCGGACCACTAGAAACATGGGAAGACATGAAAGAGCACGACTTGTAAATACCTATTACCCTCATCGGTTTAAAAACTGGCTATAGTTTTCTGGCCGAAAAAATGGCAACTGAGAAAGCAAATAATATTTTTAGCCAAGAAAATGCTGACTTTTTATTTTTGTCTTCCCAGATCATTGCCGGCGGCTCTCGTTTGGCTCACCATTTCATAACAAAGCACTTGTTAATCATGTCATTAAGAACATAACCTTGGGATTGGGAATGCGTAGTTCCTGTAGAGGGCGATGCACTTTGAACGACAAATGTGTGTCATACAACATAGGTCCTCCAATAAAAGACCAAGTTTTGTGTCAGCTGAGTGATTCTGATCACATTCAGCACCCTGAAGATCTTGTTACACGAGAAGGGTTTGTGTATCAAAACAGTGAGGTGAGATATTTCGACTGCATATGATTCTATGTTAATCTTTGGCTTTCCCTGTGTTACTCCTTGTTTATTTATCCTTTCATGAAAATTTGTAATCTTTTCGTCTGTTTCAGACTAACCCCTTTGAACTTCAAACTGAAGCTTTAAGTTAGGATATATTCACTTCTTCTTAGAGTTTTAATAATTTCTGAATTGTGTCTGTGATTTATCGACAGAACTCATGCTTACATAACCCATGTCCTCAGAATATGACCTGCTTAAATGGATTTACGGAAAAGGGTTACCTCTGTGTATGTCAGTTTGGTTATACTGGGAAGAAATGCAAAATAGGTAAGTATACCTATAAAAATGAAGATGAATACTAAATTCTTAGCTCTACGGGTGACCACACTTAAGTGGAGTTCTAAATTCTGATTTGAATTCCCAAATGTGCGAATTGCTTATAATTTGGTCAACTTCCAGTCGCAGTTAACTTGCACTTGTTGGATTTGTGTCAATTCGGATAAATTCGTGCAGAAATGAAAAAGGGTAACTTCGATGATGTGAACCATGAGAACTGGTCTATACGATATATTTTTCAAATTCCCAAATATTTTTTCAAACTACTCCATTCAAAACTAGATTTCTGAACAAGATGAAAATATGCTAATTGCGTTACTAAGTTGCTGGAGTGATTTTTATGAAGTCCAAGTTCCCCTAAAAAAATTTTTATGTCAGGAACTATATATGGCATGGTTTATTCTCGACAATTTTTTTATCAATCTCATCTTTTCCTTAGGAACTAGCTGCAGCGATCTGCTTGACTCGTAAGTGACAATCTTCTGGTGAAATGATTTACAGCAACTGATGAATTAGGCTGAGGGACTGAATTTAAGGACCTCTTCCAAAGCTAATCGTTCAACTTACGTCATGTCAATTCAAGCTTAAGTTTTGTCGAGAATTATTAGATTGTGTCTGTTCCTCGAGCATTTCTTTAACAGACTTATGATAGGGTGGGTCGAACTATTAAACGCCACAATGATAAGTTGAGCATATGTCATGATCACGAACCAGGATTTCCAAATTAAATGTACTGACTTAAAAATTGAATTCAAGAAACCAGCTTTGGAATACGAACTGTCCCTAATCCAGTCTTTCTAACTAATATTCCATCTAGAGTTGAAGGTTCCTGAGTTGAGTGCTAAATATGCGTTATTGAGGGAAATTTCGACTGGTAAAACACATATTGATCTTGCGTTTAACTAGAATGATTAATGTTTAAAAAAGACTTGAATTTATTTATTTCAACTGTAGGGTTCTCTTATATGATATCAAGCCCACTGACCTGATCATCCTATCTAGTGAGAGCGAAGAACGATATGGATAAAATAGAGAAACGCAAACTTTCTCTTTGATAGTTCGAAATGATTGCTATACAACCTGTGAATATAGCTTCTCTAAAATTCCCATCAGGATCTATATCGGTTTTTTGGATAGTTTAAAATCAACTGCTCTTGTTGTTCAGGTCCGAAGGTAACCGCGCCTATTCCTTGAATGTGGATTCAGTTTCATTTCCAGTGTATTGTCATATGACTAGTCTTGGTACATGCGGAGGTGGTGGATGGACGCTGGTTATGAAAATAGATGGCCGCAAGGTACTTGAAAGTTTTCAAAACACTGATAACGTGTCATATCTTCAGTTGAGTTTGTAAGTACATTTTTCTCAGAGGGCACTCGGGCGAGTGTGGTGGAGTTATGCATTCGCAAGAGAAAAGTCATGTAGCAGATTTTTTGGATTTTCTAATAAATAAATATCGCTGGTTTTGAGCAACCATTCAGCATGAATTGAAAAACTGTTAATAATAAAAATTTTTCTTGTTCTTATAATAAAAGAACTTGTCGGCCTAAAGTATGTTAAGAGGGTCGTGTAGACGATATTTACATGTCATATACGTCCTCATTTTCAAAAGCGTTTTTGATTTATGGAAGTTTGAAACCCGTATAATTTGAGTGACGCTCCACATTGAGACATGCAATGTTTACAGGAGTAAACGGTAAGTGATTCTTCATCATCAGGGCTTATTTTCGTATCACGTAAAACTGGAGTCAAATAATTGAAAAATGGAATCAAAGAACTGATATCCAGACTGTCGTATTATGGGATCAGATTTAGAATGCTTTTGTGTGACAGACTAAGCATAACAAGAAAGGAAAGAGAACTGAATCGAAGTAACAGAGATCGGTGTTAATGTTTCAGAGGACCTTCCATTATGATTCACAGTACTGGAGCGACAAAAACTCCTTCAACTTACCAGGAGGAAAAACTGGGTTTGACTTGCAAGAGACCAAGTTACCGACATACTGGAATACACCTTTCTCCAAGATCTGTCTCGGTATGAAGGTTGACCACCAGCTCAACTTTATTGTCATTAACAGAGAGGCTGAATCTTTGTACTCACTGATTGCTGATGGAAACTACCGCAACACCTCATTGGCCCGTGACACCTGGAAGGCGCTGATTGGCTCCCAAGCTTCCTTGCAGTTTTGCTGTGACATAGAGGGCTTTAATTCTGACGGTGGTTATGCAAAAACAAGAATTGGTATCGTTTGTAATGAGTGTTGCAATGCAGGCTGCGGCTCTCATGATTCAAGAATTGGGTTTGGTGGAGCGGGCGGGATGGATGATTCCCACACGTGTGGAAACTTAGCTTATTGGACACCCGATAACGGTGACAAGAATATCAAAGCCATGGGATACATTTTCATCCAGTAATCAAAAGCACGTTGATGGAAGGAAGCCTGCCTGAAAATAACCCATTTTTAGCACATATACTTCCTTTTCACTAGACCAGGCAACCAAGTAGAAAAAGGATGCCTTGATTTCATTCTCAGAGTAAATTTGCTACTAAAAAGTCGATAGAACTGGGTACGGGTAGGATCTCTAATGGTTTTATCCCCTTCCAACGTTAGTATTACAATTGCTTTGTTATATTGCTTAGCCTATTTCATTAAAAAAAAAAAACCGAATTTATCCGTCAACTGGAATATAATTGTTTGTGCAGTGAAACAGCACCCTTTTCAATCTAAAAATAAAGTACATAGGAACGACAAAGTTGGGGTTTTGACGAGGCTGTCGCTCTCGCACACAATTTCGTGCTGATTTAAACTTTCGCTTTGACTTATGTAAGAGTCACCAACTTGAATTTGTATCCGAGTTTTGGAGAAAAAGAAGGAAGGGAGGTGTCCCTCCACTTTCGCAATTTACAATAAAGCTTTGTATAGAGCGCTCTCGCTGATGGAAAATACCGCAACACCTCATTGGGTCGGGACACGTGGAAGACACTGATAGGCTCGCAGGCTTCCTTGCAGCTGCACTGCAACATGGAGGGCTTCAATTGTGATGGTGTAAAGACTAAAACAAGGATTGGGATCGTTTCTAACGAGCATTTGAATACCTGCGATCAATGTGATTCAAGAATTGGTTTTGGTGGCGCAGGAGTACATGACGATAATAACTCGTGTGGTAACGTTGCTGTTTGGAACCCTGACAATGGTGACAAATACATTAAAGCCATGGGATACATTTTCGTTCAGTAGAATAGCTTTAAAATTTTACCTGTGGTAAATACAATAGACATCTTAAGGAAGCGTCCACCCCGATGGCCTGCTCCATTTGCCAGTCGTCAGCATCTAAAATTTGCTTTTTTTCAAAAAAGGCTACCTTTCCGTAAAACGTGATATAAAAGTATCGAGATTCTTGAGGAGGAAGGTTGAAAATTTTAGAAGCCCTCTCAAGGATTGTAAATGTGTGAAACAAGACTTAAATCATCCCCCTTCCCCTCAGTGTTTCGCGAAAAAAAGGTTCCCTTTGCTCTCTGACTCCGCTGAAATGTTGTTGCTCCCCTCCAAAGCGGACAAAGAAAAGTTAAGACGCAGTGAAATATAGCCCATTCGCAATTATCTCAAATTTTCTGTCATCTTGAGTGCTAAGTTGCGCTCTAAAAGTTTATTAGAGGAAATTTAAGAGCAATGAAGGTATTTTGCATGTAAGCTCTCTCTCCGCATTTTTTTCATATAAGCATTTTTCGCCAGAAGAAACTTTGTGAGTATAGTTTTGTTTGTTTTTTAAGAATCCCCTCTTCGTGAAAAAGATATAGCCAGTAATCATAAATAAGTGATGTACCTACGTGTTAAATATACAGATTAAAAAAAAATTTAAGTATCATATTTAGCACATAGAGAATAGTACATAGGTGTGCGTAGATATGGAATTTCCCTTCGATTGTTTACCTCGATAGCTCACGAGTGAGCGCAGCGAACGAGTGAGATATCGAGATGTCGATTTTGTGACAGTTTGTATTGAGAATCGTAAAGGCTTCGCCGTTCATTCATCAACCTGATCGAGTGGCGCCAAAGGCGAGTGACGTGTAAGCAGCTGGTTTGCTATATCAATACACGTGAAAAAATGCGATATTTTTTCACGTGTGTTGTTACGGCTTGTCTCAGGGCTGGAAAATCCTTATATAACACCGCAGTTTATGTGATAAAATTATATCCACTGTTTTTCACTCTCTATATTGTGTGTTATTGAAAAGATCAAATCAATAAAGCTTTTAATAGTTCTATACGCTTTTCATTATGCCATAGCCATTTGATTGCAGATGCTTTCGTTATAAACGCTTCGACGGATTCGAATAGAAAAAACGTCTTCGAGACGAAATCAGCTGAGGTCTCAAATAATAAAAGGACAAACATGTCATATTGTATCACGTTTTTGATCCATATTGCATGTTGGATTTTGTGTGGTTCAGACCATGACAAGCCGAGTTAAGGGTACTTTTGCTGCTACCAGTCGTCGCGAGGTTACATCGCGTCTTTTACTTCGACAGTTATTTTAGCGGATTAAACTCAATGTAGTAATTTACTTGCTTTACTTTTACTGAAATTTTTAGTTAATTATCCTTTATTTATGCATTCGGGATGCATACTTTAGACTAGAGGGTTTAAAGTGTCCGCCTTCATAAGGCAATTTTTTTAGTCTTTTGTAAACCCTAACTTTTTTATGTTCTCTTAGTATTGCTTACCTTTGAAATTTTAATTGGTGAACTAATACTGAAAAAATAAGCTGCCATGTAGGCTCTCTCGGTGGTTCTATGGAGTGTTTTGTGGTTTTCAAAATTGCTTCATCAAAATCACTCTAATTTAGGGGCGTGATGTCGACTCGAACCCTCCATGCAATTCGTGGGAAAGAAAAATAACTTCTTCATCACGTTTCTCTTAAAGACAGACAAACTGTGAGAGGTACTTTCCACCATTAATATTTTGAAGCCAGATTTTATCTTTTCACTTTCAGTGAATATTTGCTATGGTTATACATTTTAACGTGTTTGTAGAGCTCCTTGAGATATTTTCGTAGACTGGTGTGATTTTAGATGAAGCCTCCAAATGTTGGCAGCGGTGATTAAAGCGAAGAGGAACAAAGTGACATTTTGCCATTAATAGGAAAATGTCATTAGAATAACTTTTATTTTGAGTCCGGATCATGGAACTCTTTAAACAGATAAAACTTCCCAGATTACCACATCGGTGTGCGTCTTTGCAATCAATTTCTAGTAGCTTCTTTTCGTTTTTCCACATTTTTAATGGGTTTCCTGAATGAAAGATTGACATAAATTGTTTTGTCTTTGTTTCTCTTAAACAGGTGTCGAGCACCGGGTTGTTTGATAATAAAAAAAATAGATCGTAAATCGTTGAGCCCTTGAAAAATTTACCCGTTACGGCTACGACAATTTAACAACAGAAATCTGGATGGAGAGTTTTTAAAGAAACTCCTGGGATGAAATTCAGTTCTAGACCCCTACAATAGTTTTTGAACGTGTTAATTCTGTTTTGGAGAATCGGTTTTACCTTGCAGGATGAGAAAAGGCCAAAGTGCATAGCATTTTCTGACATCTTTTCAAGCCTTTTTTATTTTCAGTTCTCTATCTTTTCTCCCCTCACCATTCGGGCGTCTTGTCACAAACTCACTCAAGACAAGCTTGTAATCTCCTGAAATTTGGTTTTAAAAGCCTTTTTTTTGGATTAGGGTTAAAGTGAGTTTTTTTTTTATTATTATTATGATTATTTACTTCAAAAGTTAGAAGAGATAACAAGACAAGCTTGTAATCTCCTGAAATTTGCTTTTTAAACGCATTTTTTTTGGATTAGGGTTATAGTGAGTTTTTTTTTTTATTATTATGATTATTTACTTCAAAAGTTAGAAGAGATAAATTTGTTGTTTTTACTTCTCTCTATTGGATGGCAAATTGAGTGTGTTAACCGGGCAATGTTTTTGGGCCTATCCTTAGTCTTAAATTTGGAATATGGAAATGAATGTTGAGTACCAAGACAAATAGTTTGCGGGGATCGACGGATTCTTGGGCATGTGCGAGAATCGACAGGCCCTACTCACTTTCTGAGTAAGTATAGTGGCGGGTATGCTAATAAGCCATCTTTTCCCCGCATCTTAATGAAAGTTATATTGTTTCAAGCAGGTTATGAAGGCTTATTTTCATCAGCATGCTCAATATCGTTTCTGACTCGTTTAAGCATAAGAGCTGATTACACAAATATACCATACTAATCGCAATAATCAACATTTTCTATCCTTTGTGATATTTTTATGGAATACTCTAAGCTTGATCGCCCTAAACAAGGGATCCTCTCTTCATCCGCCATCCAAAATCCTGCTTCGTTTCGTTGCAACAACTGACCTGTGCGTCGACTTTGTATCAGAGACTTCGTGACGATCATTTGCCGACGAGCTGACCTTAATTGACAAAGATTGCCATCTTTGTCACTACACTCTTACCACGAGTTTTCTGTTAGGCGGACTATTTGAGCCCAATATTTCATCTCTTCATTTCTGTCTCATCGCAGGTACAACTAAATCTATGTTATTTCATAAAGATACAAATCATTAAACTGTATAAATCATAACACATAAAAGTTGGAGTGTATAGAACAAACCTGTACATAAGCGATAGTGATAAAGATCTTAATGAAAAAAATTATAAAACCTAAAACGTAGAAAATATTACTGATCTTGAAAGGTGTGTTGATTGGAATAAAGCACATGGAAAAAGATGGAAAAAAATCACATGAAATTCTTCATTGTTTCTACAAATAAAAGCCAACTGCATCTACATAATATTATATTCCTGGTTAGTTTCACAGTGAATGGAGAGAAATCGATTTTGAGACTTTTACCGCTTCAAAGTACAAATAAGTAAAGTCCAAATAAAATAAACATTAGCAATTATTTACTAATTATCAACCACATTATTACAACTACACTATTATCATACACTACATAATCAATTATTAACTAACTTGACATGACGCCCAGTAAAATATTTGAATAAATTAGTAGTATCTATTGAATTACATGACAGTTGGCACAATGATGAAGGGGACCATGCTAAATGGAAATCAACGACATCTTTGTTTCATTAGTTTAACGAACGTCAATGAGTTTAATCATAGAAGTGTGATCATAAATAATAGAAGATATTCCACAGCAATTTGTAAGTCTCTCGGGAAGTCAGTCTCAGAATGCGTTCCCACACCGCGTCAGATTCGATTCCTATGTATCTTCTGTTACCGGTTTACCTTTTGATGTCTGATTCTGTCACGTCGCAAGGTCAGTAGTTTCACTCATCCTCATGATAAAAAGTTTCTGTATATTTCCTATCTAGCACATAATTTGTTATGTCAGTTATTTACCCGTGTTCCATGCCACTCAGTGAGTTGTTATAGAATCGATGAGTATGAGGCATCAGTTTAGGCAAATTAGCACTGAGCGGCGTTTATGTCAGTCGTGTGCTTTTAAACGACTCCTTCATTCAAATTCTTTGAATTTTTTTTTTATATTTTTGGAATTTTATGATTGAAAAGTTGTTATTTATGAAAAGTGTCTTCTAAGGACGAGGGGGGGAATTATCTGTTTGCTGGGCAGCTCTTCTTGTTTGTGTTCACTGCATCGGTTTCTTCGCTAACAGTGTCCGATATTCCCTCGGATGGAATAAACGTTTTCTCCAACATCCTGTTGATAAGCAACACGGCTGGAAACCACAAACAAATTGCCGACTTTTTTTGACACTTAAATCTTTTTAAAAGCGGGTAACACAAGTTTTCCCAACAACGGTAAATTATGATGGTAATTTAGTATATTTTGACCTGAAAGTGAACTGAAATATGACGCGTGCTATCCGACAGTTAGCCACAATATCTGGTGCAATTCCTTTATTTTCAAGCAAATACCAAATAGGAGTTTGGCCGACAAATAGATACAGTATTCTGTCCCTTTATCGTTATCGTTATCACTATCATTATCTTCATCTATTGAGACTTTTAATATTTCTAATACTATAAATAGAGAATAATACATAGGCGCGCGTAGATATGGAATTTCTCTTCGAGTGTTTAAATCGATAGCTCACGAGTGAGCGCAGCGAACAAGCGAGATGTAGAGTTGCACACAAGCAACCGTGTATTATTTTGTTTATCATATAAACACAATAGCTCTTTACTGACAAAAAAAGCCAACCTTATTAAGGAATGAAAATAAAGGAATCGACAATCCCCGAATAAAAATCGCACAGTGGGTTGGCGCCAAGGCTCGAGATGGTTAAATGCGTTGATCACTACAAAAACCAAATCGGCCTGTGGCAAATCTTCCAATGGTCAATTTTCGTTCTCAGCCGCGAGAAATGCCATTAGCAAAGCCACTGAATACGTAACTTTCGGTTTTTCTTTTCGTATAGTTTTCTTTCCCTTCTAGGAAAGTTTGAACGTCTCCGTCTGTAAGTGACACGGATTCTTCAATGTTTTAGCCGCCATAATCCGAGAAAATTCCGACAAACGACTTTTGACTCAGAATGGTGAGGGCTTTGCTATTCATTCATCATCCTGACCGAGTGGCGCGTGAAAAATATCGTATTGCTTCACTTGTGTTGTTACGGCTTTTTTCGGGGCTGGAAATCCATGTGTAACACCGGCGAATCCACGGAGGAAAGATACAAAACTGTATGATACTGAGATCGATATGATATTAAATCGATACCGAAAGCCCGTTTCCAGCTTGCTAAGAAGCGCATTTAATTGCCTTCTGCCACGATCACTAGCTTTCTTGACAGCCTTCTGAAGCATATCAAACTCTTTCCCCAGTGCGACGAACATTTGTTTTTCTCGGTTCCAGGTGCACGCAACCACTAACCTCAGGTAATGCGCATGCTCTCCGTTACGAATTTTCAAAATGGCGGACAGGTCAAAGAGGGAAATTAAAAAACACAAAGCGATTTTGCAATGAATTCTCAACATACACCCTCGTTAGAAAGGCGAATCCACGGAAGAAAGATACAAACCTGTATGATATTGAGATCGATATGATATTAAATCGATACCGAGGGCCCGTTTAATTGCCTTCCGCCACGATTATTAGCTTTCTTGACGGCTTTCTGAAGGCAGAATACTTTCTTTCTGAAGACTTCTGATATGCGGCTATTGATTATTACACCTCGTATACCTGATTGCTCAAACACTTTGTTTACGATTGTTGAAAGGACCGACTCATGGTTCTCCGTCTTCGTCTTGACATTGCTTTGAAATAGTATAGACTAGTAAGGTGAAACGAAAAATTAATCAGGGAAGTTTACGAAAAATCCAGCAAACAAGCTTAAAAAAGGCATTTATTTAGACTTCATACTTCAACGAACTTCACAAATCTTACTTGTTTATCTTGTAAGTAAACGATGGCAGATTAATTCCCGAAGCGCTTTCTGAGTTTCCCGATCCCTCTCCTACTGCTTTCACGCTTACAAAACAGGAAAAATCAAAAGGAGGAAGATACAGCTGTTTTGAAACGCCATTTGACGAAGGTAAATCTGCTTTTTGTTCGACACTTTACATATCAAAACAAAGGAAATTTGTTCCTTTTTTTGATTCTGGCGGTACATTTTTAATTTGTGCCTGCGTAAAAGAGATATCGCCCGAGACCCTTCGCTCGGTCGTATTTTGATCAAAAACGCCTTGTTAATTTTACGCAACCGCTCGGAGAAAAGGTAAAAATGACGAGGGAAAAACTTTACCTTCAAGTTAGAAAATTAGCGAAATAGAAAGCCACAATATTATAGTTTAATATTTCAGAGGTACATTGAGTGCTTTTTCCGTAGAGAATCCGCACGATGGTAAAACATTCGAAAATTACACTCGATTTGAGTGGGGTGTTGAAGTGGGCGTGGTCACTACATTCATGTTAAGACTATTTGTACCCCATGAGTTTGATATGTATTATCTATTCATTCTGACTGTCCAGACGCAGACCAATGCCGTACTTTAGAGTTCAGGCCTGGGATGGTATTTGCTGGCAAACGCCTTGTGAACCACAGGATCCGTTCCATTGAAGTCATGGAAAAACGATTTTGCAGAGCGTTGTGTTTCATGGAGCCCGACTGTGTCAGCATCAACCTTGATAAACGAGTTGATGGAAGTGGAAACTATAAATGCGAATTGAATAATGTTACTCACGAAGGACACGAACATGAGCTGAGGGAGGAAGAAAATTCGTCTTATCATGCAGCTAAGGTTGGTTTATCGTTACCTATACGAAAGAAAACATTTTCGCGAAAAAGGAACCAGGCTCATGATCAAGATCATAAATGTTGAACTGATCGCTTCAATTTTTTTTTCGTCTTCCCGTCTTTTTGTTTTTTATATAATTCCCCGGTTTTGCAAATGAGTTTTTATCGATTCTCCCTCGCTTTAAAATTAAAGGGATAAATTTCAGAATCGTTGATGACCCAAGCGACATCGTTTACATTTTAATGTATATGTTATGGTTGTAATTATAATCTCTCTTACGACCTCAGAGCGCTTGTGTTAAAAACTCTTGCAAGAACAACGCCACTTGTCAAAGCGGTTTTAACGACAAAGGATATCGCTGTTTGTGCACTGCTGAATTCAAAGGTCGACACTGTGACCAAGGTAAAATCTAAAATGTGGTTTATAAATAATTACAAACCGGCGCGGCTCATGGAAGCTGATTTTATAGCCTACGCTAACTTATCATTTTGTTCAGAAAACTGCCGGCGGGCATATTTTTCTCCGAGCTTCAAATATTACACAATATCCAAACAAACAATTACGCCATCATATTTTCAAGGAGCATGTGGGCTTTTGTCTTTGCTATTCTTCAAATATTCCTTACAAAAGCACGGAACAAAACTTTACAAATAACCTATCGCCAGAAACGGATGTCCACTCTACCATGTGTTTACAGAGTGACTTTGATATACGATCCAAACTGTTTCTTCTTATGCAACCTGACATTACACTTCAGACTTGAATTTCCTTCTAAAGGAGGACTGCATTGTTTATCATTGTAATGGACGCTGTTCAATGGTTCAATGTATCAGTAGGATAAACGGCAGTACAGCTAAAGTTTTTGCGCATCTTTCAATGAGTTTTGAAAGTAGACATCCTGATTTGTTTTCTTTTTCCACTCGTTGTTGTGGTTTAAACAACTTGCTTCACTTTCTAGAACAAACACTTGCAAAATCCTATGACAAAAAGTTACTTATTATGCCTATATTCTTGTTCAGAGCTTGTTCTTAACTCACGATGCACGTCTCGGAGTGTTTTGAAAATAAATTTTGAGTACCGTCTTTCAAGTTGTGTGTGTTAAACTCGTTACATTTTCTTCAAACGGGGAATGCATAATGCCGAATTGAAGAGGCTTTAAAGCAGAAAAATTTGAAACAAAAATAAACTAGTTCCTTTGAAAGAATTTGGCTCTTATCGAAATCGTTTTACGTTCAAATTACATTGAAAATGGCTGAGGCAGGTCAAACCCGCTGAATACTTACCAAGGTGGCTAAACCTACAACTAACTATCTCACATCCCGCTATTCAGGTGGTTTAAGATTCCAACAATGCTGCAGTCCGTTAGGCATGAAATATAGATTATGTCAAGATCCACTGTTGTTTTCTGTTTTGTTTTTTTTTTTTTTTTTTTTTTTTTTTTCATAACAGAAAAATATTTAGCCTTTTTGATCCAATCGTGAGTAGGCATTGAACTAAAACAGGGGCAATTCTTTCCAGATGTCGATGAGTGTTCTAGCGGATTTCATAGCTGCAGTGCTGATGCCGTGTGCAACAATACCAAGGGATCATACTATTGTACATGTAAACCTGGGTATTCCGGAGATGGATGGTCTTGCAATGGTAAAATTAATTTGTCCACGATTATTGTCCCTTAGTTTAAAGAAAGAAATTGATCAAAAAAATCATTTTGTAATCCGTTGTATGACCAATTTTGTTAAAACAGAAGCAAGTATTTGACTTTCCATGCGAAAACACCGGTTGCGAATCTTGCAGATATAAACGAGTGTATTGAGGGAATATCCAACTGCAGTATCGATGCTGTGTGCAACAATACCAAAGGATCCTACAACTGTACATGTAAACCAGGATATTCTGGAAATGGACAAACGTGCAAAGGTAAAATTTTTGCTCCCTTCCGAAGCATCCAAATAAAAATTAACAGTAGATGGTTTAAAAGCGTTGAAAGGTCTTCCACACAAAAAATATCCCATTCAACCGTAGGAGAGTCGCATTCTGTAAAAATCATTTTCAACTTTTGACAGTAAAGACGAGTTTAAGGTGTTTTATAAACATCTTTGTTTACACAATCATAAATGAGCCTGTGGTTCCGTTAAAAAATCGTTTGGCGTATCCTATTGTAAATTCGTAATTTTCCTTTTGTCGCATTTACATTCAACCCATTTGTTCTGTGCGCATTACTTTCAACAATACTCTGATGATTAGTGTACTGTGGGATACGGACGGCTCCTTCAGCAATCAGCGAAACTTGAAAATGCCAATAAAGACAATGGACACTTAGTACGCAGTTTGGCGCCGTTTTACTAATAACAGTGATTGATATACTACACATCAACATTCAAATTAGTTGTCAGCTTTTAACTACACGCACATACTTAGTGCAGAATGTGTATAAAGTCATTTACGCCATCAGATTGGTGTTAATATTTTTACAGATTTACCTTAACAATACGCAAACAAGGTGTGTCATCAATTATTTTTACACTTGATCTTGATATAGGTCCATCCTTTTACACATGTAAAGAAATTTTCAAAAGTCAAAGGTAATATGTTGTTGATAGCTATTCTAACTAAGGATCAAGAGAGAAAAAAATTGTCGCTTTGCTTTCGTGGTCAACATTCAATACAAAAGAAAGTAGTCATCTCGACCGTCTTATAGACGGGAGACTGCGAAATTAAAGAAATTAATTTGTCCTCTTATCAGTTCAAATGAAAACAGAGCTTATGCACTCCAAGTGGATAATGAAGAGGTTGATGTTTACTGTCATATGACTAATGACCTAATGGGCTGCGGGGGCGATGGATAGACGCTGGTCATAAAAATGAACGGCACAAAGGTATCGTGTCTTCTGTCATACAAAGGTGAAAAATAAACTCTCATTAGTTCATTGAAAGGGTCTATCAGACTAAGATCTGAGGTGGATCATAAAAGGAATTTCAAAGCTTAAGCCCGCGTAAGGTAAGTAATCACTGCAAACCGATTCACTTTATCTCTCTTAGTTTAAAGCTGGTTTCCACAGACGCCTTTTGTTTTTTCCACGCGCGTGAACGTGCACTGAAAAAATATTATGTTCTTTAAAATGAAAATTTACCTGCGTTCACGCATCCGTTGACTAAAAGTCGTCATCTTTCTACGTGCATTTTTTTTTCTCGGTTAGGGTCAGGGTTGTTTAGTTAGGTTAGGCAAGTTGCAATCGCGAGAGTGCAGAGAAAAGTTAAACACGCTTCAACTTTAACGCACGGGCCTGCGTTAATCGCACGTAAAAAAATCGTGTGATAGCGTTTTTTTTTTACGCGGCGGTGTAAATTACTTTCGTAAGTTTTCTTTGCGCACGTTTTAGGTACGGAGCAACGTAAGCCACACTGGAAATCTACTTTGAACCTTAATTGGTTTAGATTTTCCCAATATTTGGCATATTAATTTTCTCTCTCCTTCTTAGCAAACCTTCCGCTTTGAATCTGACCTCTGGAGCGACAAAAACGCTTTTAACCGAGTTGGAGGCGTAACTGGGTTTGACCAGCAAGAAACCAAGTTACCGACCTACTGGAGCACTCCCTTTTCCAAGATCTGTCTCGGTATGAGGATTGGTAGTCAGATCAACTTCATTGTGATCAATCAGCGAGCAAACTCATTGCACTCACTAATTGCTGACGGGCAGTACCGCAACACGTCAGCAGGTCGAAACAATTGGAAGTCGCTGATTGGTTCCCAGGCCTCCCTACAGCATAATTGCAACAAAGAAGGGTTCAATGCTGTATGTAGTGTTCAGGGCTCCTCAAAGGCGAGAATCGGTTTTATTGCCAACAATGAGAACAAGTGCTCTTCTTGTGATTCTAGAATTGGCTTTGGTACTGGAGGGAATCCTGACAACTCCAACACGTGTGGTAACCAAGCAAAATACTCACCTGATAACGGAGAACAACACATCAAGGGAATGGGGTACATCTTGGTGCAGTGACAAGGAAAACAATGACAGTCACTGTCAAATATATGGCGCAAATGAACACACAATGTTAACTGGAAATAACGTCTTAGCATGAGGAGATACAAAGAAATAAGACGATCGTTCAAAATAGTTCGGTTTCTCAAACCATTTTTTTCCTCTTTTTTACTTAAAATCCCATCCAAATTAACGTCAAAAGCTCCCTGGTTAGTTCGATAGAAATGAGGATCGACGTTGCCACCCTCCACTGCTTAGAATCGCTATTTCACTTATAAAACTCATAATCTGTAAGCTATCTTCTGGCATCGCAGGTCAATGGAAAAGAAACGTTTGACAACATAACCTACTCATTATTGTAATGATTGTTTTAGTTAATATCATTATTACTATTCCACTCCATTGTTTGTTCATGTTTTTTCTCTCTTCTCAAAAATAATGTCCTAATTCAAAAGAACCAGCCGAGCTGACCATAAATGAATAAAATAGATAATAATTGATCCCCATAGCAGAACATTTCGTTGTAGCGTTCTAACTAGGGAGGCTCGATGAGGGAACACATCGTCAGATCAACAGTGCTTCATTTTCCGTGTTGATCATCCGCTGTATAGACTTCGATTAATCATGGTGCGTCGAATGTGTCTCATTCTCCATCAGTAAATAACAGGGTTCAAAGAGGAATTCAAGAACATTATTGTTTGAGAACAAAATTAAAATAATTCAAATGGCGAGTCGTTAATATTCATATTAAATATTACCTTGCAAACATGAAAACAATATTTCGGCCGATAACAAACACAAAAGACAAAATGCACATAAAATATGTTGAATACACTTTTTTAAAATCTTGAACCATCTTTTAATTCACCATCTTGCACTTGAACTTGTAAAGCTTGAATTTGGTTTCTGTTGCGTCTTACAGCAAAGTAAAGCCGAAAACATGAAGTTGTCATACAAATAAAACAAACACTTCAAATGCTGACTAAAAGTTCCGCTGGAATCAAGCAAAGAAAGGAAACTGCTGGAAGAAAACAACTCAAAACCCAAAGTAAATTGACTGTTCTGACAACACGTCTCTGAGTCACAAGTTCATGATATCTGAGACGAAGATAAATGGCCAAGAGTCTGTCCACATTCAAAGCTGACTCCAAAAAACGAAACGTGTGCAAGAGCAGTTTGAAAGACCAAAGAAATGAAGTACACAGATGTAAAACTTTGTCTTAAAATGCGTGCTATGAATAACGGCTGAGATACTAAACCAACAGAGAGATCAGACATTGCAAGACTCAAGAGCAATGTTTTCGTAGGCTTTGGTAAAGATGAAGTCCTTCTCAAGGCATGGATTGCCAAGCTATTCAATACGATAGCTGTACAAGGCGAGAAAGCTTTCAAGGCAATATTGACGATTCTCGTATTCGTTATCGATGATTTTTCGTTGATTTCTGTCATTCTGTACCAAGCTGCGAGGGACACCATGCGTATTTAAGAGAGAACACGGTAAACTAACCTCTCGGCAGGAAATTTAATAGCTTAATTCGACGTTACTCAAAATTTTGGACCCTTTACTAGAAGATTGCGTCAATTTCTGAAATAAATGAGAGAAGAAAAAAACAGAGTAGGAAGCACTAAAGTAAATAGCAGTTACTTTACTCAATAAAAATGTTATTTTTACTTATTTGCAGAGCGGTGAAAGGTAAATCAAACTCTGGTCATAAACAGGCTCTTGTTAGAATGAAAAGAAGATGATCCTTATAAACAACGACGGAAATTTAATTGAAGATTGTTTGGGCTACTTTTTCTGATGAAGTGTGTCTGATGAAAAAGCACTCAAACATTGAAATTTGCTTTCGCAGTTGTCATAAATACCAAAATGGAGCCTTCATTATAGACATTTCTGAATTTGTGAGGACTACTTTACTTGTGAGAAAATTTTCTTTCCAAAAACGCTCTTGTCATTTGCTGTTGAAAACAAACAGCAGAATCGATAACACTTTAACCAGCAGTTAATAACTCAAGGTTACCTGCGTAGCTGATTATCACACTCAAAACAAAACAAAAAGGAAATGTTGCGTTTAAATGATTATTCTCACGGGGGCATTTAAGCACAATGTTTTTGAGGTGTTGAGCCGACCAGAAGGAGAATTTGACTGGTTCTAGCCGTGCGTGCCTTGACATCTAACGATTAAGTAGGAAGCCTTTCAATCAGCGTTTAAAGTACACACGGCTACGAATTTAGGAGCTTTCAAAAAAAGGCCATGCAGGGAAAGCACACGGTTAACATCTGACAGTCTTTGTTCGACTTGAAACGTCTGTCCTCAAGCAAACAACTTCTCAAGGGTTCCATATCCGGTGAATCGTTTGTAAAACATACTAGTGATGATCCAAATTAAAAGAAAACATTTTCCAGATGGACTGTAGACATATACTTCCCTAAGTCTAACAATTTTAAGTTTCGATGGGAGTAAGTAAACACGGAGATTCGTGCGTGTTTCAGAAAAATATCCTAACGGAACCCATAAAGACGGGCACTTATGTTCGCATAACCTGATCTTAAAATTGGAAAGGGTTGAAAAACACTTTTCCATTGATAATTCATAAAATCCAAGAGATTCCTTACAGTTTATAGTACAGATAATTCGAATGCTTCCGACCCCATCATCTTGAGCCAGAACAGAGAGAAAAGACTGTGAAATTAAGACTGTAAGAGTATTCAGTTTATTCATATTTTTCAGAGTTCATTTGTCTGCATTTCGGCGCCACGACACGTTCATCGTGTGTTTTTCTTTTCTCCACGTAGTTCATGAATTCCTTTACATTCATGCTCACTGTTTTTCTATAGGACCCTCTGCGAATTGGCAAGGCTACGAAGTGACGATGAAAAAAAATAAACATAAGCTGTCAGTCTGCATTAGAAATTAAATAGAGGTTTCCTTTGCGTGTTCAGCCCTTAAATGCTTTGATATCGATTTGATATAACGATCAAAACTGATATTGCAACTGCAATAAATTTTTTCAGGGGTAACGGGTTGTCAGTTCGCTCAACCTTGCACTGGCTTACTAGTACACTATTTAATTTATTCAGCCTGGGAATGGCCAAGCCACGCAAGCTACGTACTCATAACAGACAAAAGATTCACACAGTCCTCTTATTCTCATAATGCTACGACAACTCGTCAAAATGAGCGGGTTGTTCCAAGTTTGTATCACCGCTGTGTTCCTTTTGCTGACCATAAATGGAGGCAAATCCTCTTCCCCAGTTTTCGCCAAGCCCTACGACCAAATGATGGCGTGTAATCTTATCTGTGACGTGATTTAAGACTCGGACGCCAACGATGCCATGAAAATGTTACAAACCAAACTCGAAGGTCTTATTGCAGCGATGAAGAATCATTCTCCTCCAAGATATGGCTCGGTATGAAGATCAACCAACAGTTCAAGTTCATTGTCATCAAGAAGCAGGTAAGCTCTCTCTCTCTCTGATCGCTTATGGAAAATACCGCGCAACCTCATTGGGTCGCAACGCGTGGAGGAAGTTAATCGGTTCACAATCCTCCTTACAGGCCATTTGTAATAAGGAAGGCTTCAATGCTGCGGGCAGAACCACTAGTACTAGGAAGTGCCAAAGGCTATTCTAGAGCAAGAATCGGTATTCTTGGAAATAATGAAAAAGACTGCGCAACCACTGATTTCAGAGTCGGTTTTGGAACAGGAGGATATGTTGACGGCTCTAATACATGTGGTAATGATGCTATAGAAGGTGACTCATCGGACAATGGAGAGAAGCATATCAAAGCTATTCGATATATCTTGGTGCAGCGACATGGGAATCGTTGAACTCTCCTTGACATGGCTTTCGAACAATGCCCAAAATAAACTCAAATATGTGGATGTAGCTCAAGGGATAAATGCCAATGAAAAACAAGTCGTTCAAAACTGATCACATTTATCTTGTTTGGACTTTCGTTAGTTTACCGTTGTTATCCAGTTTCTGATCAAAATTATTTCCTGACAATTTTCGACGGTCATGATTTATACAGCTACGTTACTGGAAGATGGGATATGGCATGAATAAAAAAATTGGCGCGAAAAAATATTCATTTTAAATGACCTATGCACATTCGTCATATGATCTAGTGAACAATCCATGACAAAGCCTATTTTCAGCTTAAACTACGATTTGAGGTGATGTTTGGCGAGTATGTGTCAGAATGCATCGAGTCTTCTATTATTAATCTGTTGAAAAATTGTCACGAGAGCATCTCTAACAGAGCACAGTAATAAACGTTTATGATCGAGAAGTGATTATTCCTTCACTAAAATTGCACATAATAATAATACTGCGATCATTAGCGATAAAATCTCAATAAGGAAGACGGTGCTAATCTAATGTCTAAATTCTAGTTCTCCTTCATGACTTGATTTTTCATTCAGAGAGTTGCTCTTTTTAAGTTGCTCTTTTTAAGTTGCTATACAAAGACAGCATTTCTTGTTCCCATTGCCAGTCGGTCACTTTCGCGGTTGTTGTTCGATTCGGTATTATCATAAAAAAGTGTCCGCCTCGCTAACAACCTTCAAACCTCTACTCATCCAAATAAATGAACCGGTATCTTGTTCTCTTTATAGATCTGAATAAATGTATGTTATTATGCTGAGAGGTCCATATTGGGAAAAACTGTGCCCGAGGTCTTAAGAACCGCCCGAGGCCGTAGTAAACATTTGCTGAGACGCATACACATAAACGACGTTACAAGCTAGCTACTCATAACAGACAAAAGATTCACAGAGTCCTCTTATTCTCATCAAGCTACGACAAATCGTTCAAATGAGCGGGCTCCTCCAAGTTTGTATCACCCCTGTGTTCCTTTTGTTGACCGCAAATGGAGAAAAATCCTCTTTCCCAGCCTGCGCTAAGCCATACGACCAAATGATGGCGTGCAATCTTATCTGTAACAAGATTCAAGACTCGGACGCCAACGATGCCATGAAAATGTTACAAACCAAACTCGAAGGTCGTATTGCAGCAATGAAGAATCGTTCTCCTTTACTTCCAGGTAGTCCAACCAGACTGAAGTGTTTTACGTGTCTCGCGTAGCAACTCACCATTGATTTGAGGGTTTAAACAACGCGCGCGATGGTTTCAAAAGCCACACAAACGGTGCTCGTTTTTGTTTTAAAACCCTTCTTTCTATTCTTCGTAAGTCGGATTGGGCGTTTTAGAATGATAAAAGCTATTTTTGAAATATTAACCTGCACTGTTCTTTTCATTTCACCAGCCTCTTCTTGCAAGGAACACTACGAAAAATACAAGTAAATGAATAGTGATACAATCATCACAAAATTAATGCAAATGTATCCTGTACTGTTACATTTAAGATAAGTAGACCTTTTTTAGACGCTTCCTCTTGGTTTTTACGAGGGCGGTAGTGACTTTTGTGGACACAAGTATTTCTGTTGTCCACAGGTTGGCAAGAGTCAAGTTTACTCCCTAATGTTTGGTTCACAAAACGTTCCTGTTTACTGTCACTTGGGAAACTTTGGAGATGCGGAGATGGAGGATGGACTTTGGCCATGAGGATTGACGGCAAGAAGGTTTGCAGCTTTATTATCATGGAATACCTCTCTTGCGAACTAAGCACTACCATAACTCTTTCCTTTTCTCAACATTTCAGAAAACCTACCATTATGATTTCAAGCTTGGGAGCGACAAATATGTCTACAACCTTCCCGGAGAAAAAACTGACTTTGACTCAAAAGAGACCAAATTACCAACCTACTGGAACACACCCTTCTCTCAGATCTGCCTCGGTATAAAAATCAACCAACAGCTCAGGTTTACTGTCATCAACAAGCAGGCAAGCTCTCTCCACAAGCTCTCTCCACTCAATGATCGCTGATGGAAAATACCGCAATACTGCACTGAGTCGCAACACGTGGAAGAAGTTGATCGGCTTACAGTCCTCCTCACAGACCAACTGTAACAAAGAAAGCCTCAATACTGCGGGCAGTTCCAAAGGCTATTCTAAAGCAAGAATTGGTATTCTCGGAAATAATCAAAAGGACTGCACAACCACTGATTCTTTAATCGGCTTTGGAATGGGAGGATATCAGGATGACGCCATCTCTTGTGGAAATTATGCAATAAAAGGATACACATCGGACAGTGGAGAGAAGCACATCAAAGTTATGGGATATATTTCGGTGCAGTGACAAGGGAATCGTTGAAATATCCGTGACATGGCCTTCGAGCAATGCCCAAAGTAAACTCAAATTTGTAAATGTAGCTCAAGGGGTTAAAGCTAATGAAAAAAAGTCTGATACCGTTTAACTAGTTTGGACTTTCGTTCGTTTACCGTTGACATCCAGTTCATGATCAAAATTATTTCCTGACAATTTTCAATGGTTGTGATAATATAATAATTGCTGGAAGTTGGGATTTCACATGAATAAAAAATTGGCGCAAAAAAATATTCCTTGTCAATGACGTATACATATTTGTGATATGATCCACTGAATAATTCACAACAAAACTTAGTTTCAAACTAAGATTTGAGATGATGTTTGACCAGTATGTGTCAGCATACATCGGATCCTTCCATCGTTAATCTGTTATAAAATGGTCACGAATAATTCCCCAATAGAGAACAGTAAGAAAAGTTTATGATCGAAAATTGATTATCCCTTCACTAAAATTGCGCACAATAATACTCCTATTGATATTTCATTAGCGATAAAATCTCAACACGGAAGAGGTTGCTACTCTTAGGTCTAAATTCTAATTCTCCTTCATGACAACAGTTTTATTCTGAGTGTCACTCAGTTGGTACACAAAGACAGCATTTTTTGTACTCATCTCTAGTTGGTCACTTTCGCGGTTGTTGAACGATTCGCTGCTACTAGTAGCAGGAGAATAAATTACCTAATGGAACACACCCTTCCCCAAGATATGCCTCGGCATGAAGATCAGCCCAGAGCAAGAGTTGGTATTCTCGGAAATAATGAAAAAGACTGCACAAGCACTGATTCTAGAATCTACTTTGGAGCGGGAGGATACCATGACGACAACAGAACATGCGAAGGTGTTGTTAAGTTCCAAATAGAGATGGAAACAATTTTGGCGGTGGTTTTGATCTTAGACTACGCAAAATTTGGTTATTAAACGTAGCGGTCCAGCAGATTACAACTCAGAAATGAACAAAGCTGCTTGATTGTTCTTATCATCGTTATGATATCTCTTGCTTCACTACGTTCTTGTCCCGACTCTTGTACTGTCCCTAATAATCATTTTAGAGCATTGACGGATTAATTAACCCTTTACCTCTCAAGAGAGAATTTCTCCTTACAATATCAAGCATAGCAGTGATGGGAATAAAGAAAAATATCAATTCGGTGTTATTAGTTAAACACGGCTGTGACGTTTAAGATTAGTGCGTGTCTCAGAAAACAGAAGTAGTAAGCACGGGCATTTGTGTTTACATAACCTAATAAAGACTAGAAAAGGTTTAAAAAACACTTTTCGATAGAAAATCCATAAAATCCATGACAGTCCTTTCAGTTTATAATACACATGTTACGAATTCTCCCTACCCAATCATCTTGAGCCAGAAAGGTTAAAAGACTATAAATTTAAGACTATAAAAGTATTCAATTTATTCATATTTGTCAGAGTTCATTTGTTTGTATTTTGGCGCTGTAACACCTTCATCTTGTGTCTTTTTGTCTCCACGTAGTTAATAAGTTTCTTTTATTCATGCTCACCACTTTTTTATTAGACTTTCAGCCAATTCCCGCCTGTGATTTTTTTCGGTTACCGTAAAGAAGTCTGATTACAAGTATCTCGCTGCTTGCGTCTTACCGAAAGTGTTTTCATGATGAAACTGCAAACTTAGAACAAGAAAAACATGGAGAACTTGGCTGATAACCCAATCAGCAAGTACATGAAAGTTTTTTATTCAATACATATTGTAGTGACTACTCTATAATGTTCTGAAACATTTTAAAACGCTACTAACAGCTGATAGCATTAATGTCACAGTTCTATGTAGACATATAAGTTTACAAACCAATTCACGTCGGCGAGGAACAGATCTCCTATTTACTAGCCAAGCTTTGTTTGAATTAAGAAAAATGTGCCCTGTGTTTGAAATTTGGCCTGATGTCGCATGCCCAAGACCATGAGGCTACTTTACCCTTATGCAGAGCCCAAGAACCCACATATGATATACATGGATACGGTTCTTGGCCGTCTACTGTACATTTCGTATAGAAATTTACTTGTAATCGACTTAGCGGGCAGTAAATTTGCAAATCAATGGATTAAGTTTATTTAAATTGTAAATAGTAACAACCTATTTTATGAATACCGTGCAAGAAATAGTCTTGACGATTCAAGGATAATGTTCCAGAGTCCAATGCCAAAGATATTTTTCGATGACTTTGCTCCTTAAATAGTCGTTTCGCATGCTAATAGGCATCCCTCAGAACTAAGGTTAGAAATAACGAAACAAAATCGGCGAAGCTGATGAAAATACAATAAACATTAGCTTTCAATCCGCATCAGGAATTAAAAAAGGCTTCCTTTGCGTGCTCAGCCCTTAAAAGCTCTGATATCGATTTGATACGAAAACTGATGTCAAAAACTGAACCGAGCATACGAAATTGCAACTGGAATTAACCTTTTTTAGGAGAAACGGGTTGTCTGTTTTCTTTGCTCTGGCTTACTAGTACACTATTTAATTTACCCAGCCGAGGAAGAAGCAAGCCATGTAAATAAATTTTGGTACTTGATGAAATAAGATGGAAAAAAAACTAAATCGAACGAAAGAAATAACTTCATCAAAGTTATGAAAACTAAATATTGACTATTGGGTTAAAACTCGGAACAGGGTCATTGGATTGCCGCCAACATCAAGAATATTTTCGAGTCAGGTAAACATTTGCTGATACACATACATAAGGTTACGAGCTAGCTACTCATAACAGACAAAAGATTCACAGAGTCCTCTTATTCTCATAAAGCTACGACAACTCGTCAAAATGAGTGGGCTGTTCCAAGTTTGTATCACCGCTGTCTTCCTTTTGCTGACCGTAAATGGAGACAAATCCTCCTCTCCAGCTTGCGCCAAACCATACGACCAAATGATGGCCTGTAACCTTATCTGTAACATGATTCAAGACTCGGACGCCAATGATGCCATGAAAATGTTACAAACCAGACTCGAAAGTCTAACTGCAGCAATGAAGAATCGTTCTCCTCCACTTCCAGGTAGTCCAACCAGACTGGAGGAATTTCAGTGTCTCGCGTAGCAACTCGCGCTATTGATTTGAGGGTTGAAACAACATGTGCGATTTTTTCAAAAGCCACACAAACGGCTCTCGTTTTTGTTTTCAAACCCTGCTTTCCACCATTATTAAGCGTTTAAGAATGATGAAACCTAATTTTTAAAATAATAACCTGCACTGTTCTTTTCATTTCACCAGCGTCGTCATGCAAGGAACACTACGAAAAATACAAGTAAATGAATAGTGATACAATCATAACAAAATTAATGCAAATATATCCCGTGCTGTTATGTTTAAGATAAGTTGATCTTTTTTAGGCGCTTCCTTTTGGTTTTTTACAATGGCGATAATGAATTTTGTGAACACTGGTATTTTTGTTGTCCACAGGTCGACAAAGAGTCAAGTTTACCCCCTAATATTTGGTTCACAAAACGTTCCTGTTTACTGTCACATGGGAAGCTTTGGATGCGGAGATGGAGGATGGACTTTGGCCATGAAGATTGACGGCAAGAAGGTATACTACTTTACTATCAAGGAATACCACTGTTGTAAACTATACACCACTATAACTTTCCTTTTCTCAACATTTCAGAAAACCTTCCATTATGATTCCAAGTTTTGGATCGACAAAAATATCTACAACCTTCCCGGAGGAAAGACTGGCTTTGACTCAGAGGAGACCAAATTACCAACCTACTGGAACACACCCTTCTCCTATGCCTTCTCCCGAGATATGCCTCGGTATGAAAATCAACCAACAGCTCAGGTTTATTGTCATCAACAAGCAGGCAAGCTCTCTCCACTCACTGATCGCTGATGGAAAATATCGCAACACTGCACTGGGTCGCAACACGTGGAAGAAGTTGATCGGCTCACAATCCTCCTTACAGGCCAACTGTAACAAGGAAGGCTTCAATGCTGCGGGCAGTTCCAAAGGCTATTCTAAAGCAAGAATCGGTACTCTCGGAAATGATCAAAAAAACAGCGGGACCACTGATTCCAGAATCGGCTTTGGAACAGGAGGATATCAGGATGACACCATCACTTGTGGAAATTATGCAATAAAAGGATACACATCAGACAATGGAGAGAAGCACATCAAAGCTATGGGATATATCTTGGTGCAGTGACAAGGGAATCGTTGAACCCTCCGTGACATGTCTTTCGAGCAATTCCCAGAGTGAACTCAAATATGTAGATGTAGATATAGGGGTTAAAGCTATTAAAAAAAAAAGTCGTTCAAAACTGATCCCGTTTTACTGGTTTGGACTTTCGGTAGTTTACCGTTGTAATCCAGCTTCTGATCAAATTCTTTTCAAACAATTTTTGACGGTCATGACTATATAGCTGTGTTACTGGAGGTTGGGATTTGACATGAATTTTAAAAAATTGGCGCAAAAAGAATATTCCTTGTCAATGACGTAAACACCTTTGTGATATGATCCAGTAAATAATTCACAACAAAGCCTAATGTCATCCTAAACTACGATTTGAGATGATGTTGACGGAAGAGGAAGAACTGACCCTTTAAAGCCCCTTTTGCAATTTATCAAAAGAGTATAAGATGTTTCTCCAAAACTCCCCAACGTTTCCTTTTATTAAGAATCCCCTTGATTGAAGCACATGCATTGTGATCTTTGATTACCAAGAAATTGTATCCGGACCAATTTTGCAACCATGAGGAGCGGTTCAAAAAAATCCTGCAGTGTTTGTGGGTTCCAAGAGCGTGTGGAACGCCTTCATAATTTTTATGGCCTGCTAACACAAAGTGTCCGTTTTGTTGATTTTTATTTGTCTTTTTGCCAGTTAATTAACAGAAATATCCTAAAACACTCTGCCTTTCAATCTTGATGCAATAACCGAAATCTTACGCGGGCTATCATAACAGTGAAAGTGTTCAGACGAGAGTAAACGGCTATGACGTTTTAGATTCGCGGGTGTCTTGAGAAATATCCCAACAGAAGCAGTAAAGATGAGTCATGAGTTTTTCTGCGCTGACACTTACAGCGTTAACAGAATTTCCAATAGTAACTCCGTTAAATCCATGGCTGCCCCTATTTTTTCTGCAGCCATGTTTCGCGTTCTCCCGATGCACTTGCGCGTCTTGAGAAATGGGAAGGAAATTGTAAGTAAATCAAAGGGCATTTTATATTTGGAATTGTTCATTTGTTTGTATTCCGGCGCTATCAAAACATATCTTGTTTCTCTTACCGCATGGTTAATGAGTTTCTTTCAGCCTTGCTTACTCCTCTTCTGTTTTTCTTTCTGCGAAACACCTTTGTGAATTTATTCGGTTATCGTAGAAAAGTCTGGTTTCAGGTCACTTGCTGCGTCCAACTGAAAGTGCAAAAATCTCCAGAACTTAGCGCATGAAAAGGAATGAGAAAGTTTCTTGATCAGTAAATCAAATTTGTTTCTAAATACATGTCTTAGTAACTAGTCTTTCAACTTACTCGTATTGTGTATATTTTAAATGCTCTAAAATGTGTCATAGGCGCCACTGACAACCGAGATAGAATGACACATTCCTATTTACATCAGTAAGTTTACAAACTGGTTCACGGCTGCGACAAACAGATGAGTTACTGGCCGATAAACTTTGTTTGGAAAAAAACATTCCACGCCTGATGTTGCATATTAAAGACCATGAGGGCACTTGCTGTATTCGGGTTTTCCCCAACCTGAGTTCACCGAGAGATAATATGCATGCGCATCATAGCCGTTCGCTGTAGATTTTGTAAGGGAATTTGAAGTTTCATCGGCTAAGCGAGCAGTCAATTTGCAAATCAATGATTTAAGTTACTTTAGTAGTAAATAGTAACGAACTATTTTACGAAAACTGCAAAATAAATCATGCATGTATATATTTTTTAGAAATAATACATAGACCAGATAAAAGTTTCGACGAACTGGCTCTCTGCTTGATCATCTCGTATACGAGTAACCAATCCTAAGACCTAAGCTTAAACTAAAAGGACAAAATCGCCTGAGCTAAAAGTAGACGGCAGAAATGCAATTATTATATTTTTTCGCTGTTGCATTTTCAGTGTGCACAAAGAGCAGATAACAGGCTTCCTTAGCTTATTCAGTCGTTGAAAACTTTAAAATCGACGGGGATTAAGAAAAATTTGATTTACGATCAAAACTGAGCGAGGCGAGCGAAATTGCTTTTGGCACATTTTTTTCCGCAGGAGTAAGACGTTGTGTGTTTGCTCAACCCTACGACTGTATTACTAGTAAAGTATTCTCTAATTTACTCAGCCACGTATAAGCAACCGATAAAATATATTCTTGCTATATGAAACTTGAAGAAAAATTGAGCGAAAGAAATAACCTCTTCAAAATTATAGAAGCCAAGATCTCGCCAGCGGCTTAAATTTAGAACAAAGGTTATTGGATTGCCACCGACAGTAGGAATATTTTGGAGTCCGGTAAATATTTACTGAGACACAATACACAGGGACACGGTTACACGCTTGCTACTCATAAGAGGGCTGGACAGAACATTCACAAAGTCTTCCTATTTGCATAAAACTATGACAACTGTATTCCGTCAAGTTTGTATCACTGCTACATTCATTTTGCTGACCGTGAATAGCGACAAATCCCCTTCCCCTAGCTTTCACCAAACTATACAACCAAATGATGGCCTGTAATCCTATTTGTAACATGATTCAAGACTCGGACTGACAGGATAATAAATTACCTAATGGAACACACCCTTCCCCAAGATATGCCTCGGCATGAAGATCAGCCCAGAGCAAGAGTTGGTATTCTCGGAAATAATGCAAAAGACTGCACAAGCACTGATTCTAGAATCGGCTTTGGAGCGAGAGGAAACCATGATGACAATAGAACATGCGAAGGTGTTGTTTAGTTCAAAGTAGAGATGGAAATCATTTTTGTCGGTGGTTTCGATCTTAGACTAGGCAAAATTTGATTATTAAACGTAGTGGTCTGGCAGATTACAACTCAGAAATGTTCAAAGCTATAAAACCGACACACAGAGCTGTTGATTGTCCTAATCATCATATCTTTTGCTTCACCACCTTCTTGTCCCGACTCTCGTACTGTCCCCAATATTCATTTTAGAGCATTGACGGATTAATTAACCCTTTACCTGCCAAGAGAGGATTTCTCCTTACAATATCAATACAATATCAAGCATAGAAGTGAGGAGAATAAAGAAAAATATCAATTCGGGATTATTAGTTAAACACCGTTGTGACTTTTAAGATTCGTGCGTGTCTCAGAAAAATATCTTAACAGAAGCAGGAAATACGGGCATTTGTAAAACTGTTCTAATGAGTAAAATCTAAAATCCAAGCTTTCGCCGATCAACGGCATCATCAGGGATGTAATCATTAGAACAGTTTTGTTTTAATTATGCTGCTGAAGGACAACATGAACAGATTACGGGCATTTGTGTTTACATAACCTAATCTAAAAACTAGAAAAGGTTTAAAAAAAAAACACTTTTCGATAGAAAATCCATAAAGTCCATGACAGTCCTTTCAGTTTATAATACAAATGTTACGAATTCTCCCTACCCAATCATTTTGAGCCAGAACGGAAAAAAGACTATAAATTTAAGACTATAAAAGTATTCAATTTATTCATATTTGCCAGAGTTCATTTGTTTGTATTTTGGCGCTGGAAAACCTTCATCTTGTGTTTTTTGTCTCCACGTAGTTAATAAGTTTCTTTTATTCTTGCTCACCACTTTTCTATTAGAATTTCTGCCAATTCCCGCCTGTGATTTTTTTTCGGTTACCGTAAAGAAGTCTGATCACAAGAATCTCGCTGCTTGCGTCTTACTGAAAGTGTTTTCATGATGAAACTGCAAACTTAGAACAAGAAAAACATGGAGAACTTGGCTGATAACCCAATCAGCAAGTACATGAAAGTTTTTATTCAATACATATTGTAGTGACTACTCTATAATGTTCTGAAATACTTTAAGACGCTACTAACAGCTGATTGCATTAGTGTCACAGTTGTATGTACACAAATAAGTTTACAGACCAATTCACGTCGGCGACGAACAGATGTGTTATTTACTGTCCAAGTTTTGTTTGAATTAAGAAAAATGTGCCCTATGTTTGAAATATCGCCTGATGTCGCATACCCAAGACCATGATGCCACTTTACCCTTATGCAGAGCCCAAGAACCCACATATGATATACATGGATATGCTTCTTAGCCGCGTATTGTACATTTCTTATAGAAATTTACTTCTCATCGACTTAGCGGGCGCTAAGTCGATGAATACATTTACAAATCAATGGTTAAGTTTACTTAAATTGTAAATAGTAACAACCTATTTTATGAATACCGTGCAAGAAATAGTCTTGACGATTCAAGGATTATATTCCAGAGTCCAATGCCAAAGATATTTTTCGATGACTTTGCTCCTTAAATAGTCGTTTCGCATGCTAATAGGCATCCCTCAGAACTAAGGTTAGAAATAACGAAACACAATCGGCGAGGCTGAGAAGTGCCGATGAAAATAAAATAAACATTAGCTTTCAATCCGCATCAGGAATTAAAAAAGGCTTCCTTTGCGTGCTCAACCCTTAAAAGCTCTGATGTCGATTTGATATGAAGATCGAAACTGAACCGAGCATACGAAATTGCAACTGGAATAAACTTTTTCAGAAGGAACGGGTTGTCTGTTTTCTTTGCACTGGCTCACTAGTACACTATTTAATTTACCCAGTCGGGCAATAAGCATGCCATGTTAATAAACTTTGGTACATTATGAAATAAGATGGAAAAAAAACTAAATCGAACCAAAAAAAACTTCGCCAAAGTTATGAAAGCTAAACATTGATCATGGGCTTAAAACTCGGAACAGGGTTATTGGATAGCCGCCAACAGCAAGAATATTTTCGAGTCAGGTAAACATTTGCTGAGACACGTACACGGCACAAAAACCCTTGTTCATCGTTAGTTTTCCGAAATGGTGAAAGACTGAAAAATTCGACATCATACTAATGTTTTCTGATATCTGAAAACGGATGGCAAATTTACCGTTCACCCTCGGTAAAACTCAAGAAAAACACGAAGTTCATCACATGTTACCCTGCACCAGGAAAATGCCAATGAACAGCCTGTTTTCTTGAAAGTTTTTCTGTAGTTTTCCTGTGTGCGCGAACGCTTCATTTTCCACGTGTTTTCCCACAGAATTACTAACGGTGAATGCCATGAAAACATGATGTTTTTCTATTGTTTTCCTGCTCCACGAAAACGCTAGTGTACAGCTTGTTTTCCTGAACGTTTTTCCATAGTTTTCCCGGGCGCGCGAACGCTGCATTTTCCAAGCGTTTTCCCACAGAGTTATCAACGGTGAATGCAATGAAAACATGATGTTTGTTGATTGTTTTCCTGCTCCACGAAAACGCTAGTGTACAGCTAGTTTTCCTGAACGTTTTTCTATAGTTTTCCTAAGCGCGCGAACGTTGCATTTTCCAAGCATTTTCCCCACAGAATTACTAACGGTGAATGCCATGAAAACGTGTTGCTCGTCCATTGTTTTCCTGCTCTATGGAAACAGTAGTAAACAGCTTGCATTGTTTTTTTTAGTTTTCGTGAGCGTACGAGCGCTGAATTCTCAAGTGTTTTCACACACAATTATTAATGGTGAACGTAAAGAAAACATGATGTTCGTCCATTATATTCTTGCTCCATGGAAACGCAAATGAACAGTTTGTTTTCTGGAACGCCTTGAAAACAACATGTTCATCGATCGTGATCATTATTTCCTGCTCTTGATCCTGCCCCATGAAAACGCCAGTGAATAGCTTGTTTAATATTCAGAGTATTGACAACGATTGGGTCATTTGAGCCGTTTGGGTCATTTGAGGCAGTTGAGCTTATTGGGTCATTTATGTGTATTGGGTCATTTGAGACAGTTGGGTCACTGGAACTGATCATGATTAGCTCATTTGAGGCACTTGGGCCACTGGGGCCAATTGGGTCATTTGAGGCAATACAGTTATCTCAGCTGGTTGGGTCATTTTGGCAGTTGGCTCATTGGAACTGATCGAGTTATTTGAGGCAGTTGGGTCACTGGAGCTGATTAGCTCATTTGAGGCAGTTGGGCGACTGGAGCTAATTAGGTCATTTGAGACAATTCAGTTATCTGATCTGGTTGGGTCATTTGAGGCAGTTGGCTCATTGGAACTGATAAGGTCATTTTAGGCACTTCAGTTATTTGAGCTGATTGGGTCATTTGAGGAAGTTGGCTCATTGGAACTGAGAAGCTCATTTGAGGCAGTTGGGCCTCTGGAACCAATTAGGTCATTTGAGGCAATTCAGTTATTTGAGCTGGTTGGGTTATTTTGGCAACAGCAACAACAACAACTTTATTTTTTCACCCCAAAATATACAATATGCAGTTAGCTAATTGGGACTGATTGGGTCATTTGAGGCAGTTCAGTCATTTGAGCTGATTGGGTCATTTGAGGAAGTTGGCTAATTGGAACTGATTAGCTCATTTGAAGCAATTGGGCCACTGGAGCTAATTGGGTCATTTGAGGCAATTTAGCTATCTGAGCTGTTTGGGTCATTTGAGGCAGTTGGCTCATTGGAACTGACAAGGTCATTTGAAGCAATTCAGTAATTTGAGCTGATTGGGTCATTTTGGCAGTTGGCTCATTGGAACTGATTGGGTCATTTGATGCAATTCAGTCATTTGAGCCGATTGGGTCATTTGAGGCTGTTGGGTCTCTGGAACTGACTAGCTCATTTGAGGCAGTTGGGCCACTGGAGCCAATTGGGTCATTTGAGGCAATTCAGTTATCTGAGGTGGTCGGGTCATCTGAGTTAGTTGGGTCACTGGAACCCACTAGGTCATTTGAGGCAATTCGGTTATTTGAGCTGATTGGGTCATTTGAGGAAGTTGGCTGATTGGAACTGATAAGCTGACTTGAAGCAGTTCGGTCATTTGAGCTGATTGGGTTATTTGAGGCAGTTGGGTCACTGGAACTGATTAGCTCATTTAAGGCAGTTGGGCCACTGGAACCAATTGGGTCATTTGAGGCAATTTAGTCACCTGAGGTGGTTAGGTCATTTGGGGTAATTGGGTCACTGGAACCAATTGGGTCATTTGAGGCAATTCAGTCATCTGACCTAGTTGGGTCATTTGAGGCACTTAGGTCACTGAAACTGATTGGGTCGTTTGAGGCAATTCAGTCATTTGAGCTGATTGGGTCATTTGAGGCTGTTGGGTAACTGGAACAGATTGGACCATTAGAGGCAATTTAGTTCTCTGAGCTGGTTTGGTCATTTGAAGCAGCGAGGTCACTGCAACCAATTTGGTCACTTGAGGCAACTCAGTCATTTGAGCTGGTTGGGTCAATGTAACTGATTGGGTCATTTGAGGCAATTCAGTCATTTGAGCTGGTTGGGTTATTGGAACTGATTGGGTCATTTGAAGCAATTCAGTCATTTTAGCTGATTGGGTCATTTGAGGCAGTTGTGTCTGATTAGATTAAATAATTAGATAATTTGTGTCTGTTAGATCATTCATGTCTAGTGGGCCACAAGTGTTGGTTGTTTGTTTCTGTTGCATCATTTGAGTCTGTCGGATTATTTGTGCCTTTTAGATAATTTTGTGTCTGTTGGATCATTTTGTCTATTGGATCATTTGTGTCTCTTTGATCATTTGTGTCTCTTTGATCATTTGTGTCTCTTGGATCATTTGTCTCTTGGATCATTTGTGTTTGTAGGTCATTTTTTCCAGTGCTCCATTGTAAACAATGTATTTTGCACCAATTGGGTCATATGTCCAGTTTGGTATTACTGGTCCCATGGCTCATTTGTGCCAGTTTGGTAATTTGTTGTTAATGGGTAGTTACATCAGAAATAGAATTATTATATTGATCATTGAAACATTATCATACTTCATTTTGCTGAGTCTCTCTATGCTTAGCATATACAAAATACAACAACATGGAAGACATAATCATTATATTTTATTGTTGCATTTCGATAACTTGTATGACAGTAATTTTTAAACTCAAAATAAAAAATCAGTGCAATGAAGCCTTCTATCAGTCTAACTTGTTACTCCAAGAACATTTTCTTGTTTGTAAACTTTTTCCCCTGAAGAACAGTTGGATTTAATTCTCTGAACTGGCATGAAACAAGCTGGGCCAAACAGATCAAATGAGTTACACCAGATTTCCACTGGCACTCCATGTGAAAAACGTTCTGGATGAACTGAGTACCAATTTACTCTTGCAAAGTAAAACATGTATCGCTGCTCTGGCAAATATGATTCTGCTAATTTAACCTTAATACGGTGACGAAAAAAAATGAAATAACTTGTCCTGGTCTGACATCATTACATCCACTGCTACAAGCTAACCGTCCTTCATGACCTGCCCAGTTTGCTAGAACAAATGAATTCCTTGTGGTCTGGCTTTGCGATGATCCATACACTACAGATCCAACTTTGAGCGATTTAAATTCTGCAATGGTGTGTGGCATTTCAAGGAAGGTACCCTCACCAAGTCCTAAGAGTTCTTTATATACTGACTCTAGTGCAGTTAAATCATCAGTGTCTAATGTTTCATCTCTAAATGTTGACATTTCAACTATATCATCACTTGCAGTCCAATCACACAAATGCAAGTCTTTGATGGATATCTCCCTGTGCTGTCGAAGACTGAGGAACTGTTTAATTGGCTCTTGTGTGTCCTTTACAGACCCTGAACTGTGTGAGCCCTCAAAAAACTCCAAGAAAGTCTCCTGAAACATTTCTGGGTACTCAAAGTCCTTAACTTTGGTTTGTGACAAAAATTTTCGCATCAACTGAATTTCAATAGAGCGATTGTTCGTATGAAAAGATCCCAGGATACCATTAAATCTTTCAAAACTGAAGCACCAGAAAGAATGAAAGGGGCCATAATCTAGAAGGCACTCTTTAAGGTGTCCATGTAGATGCATATTTGGAGTAACCAGATCCTTCCCACATAGTTCTTCAAATGTGTGACAAAATTCCATTAAATGTCTGTCCCCTTGCTCAATATCATCATCAGTAAGAATTTTCTTTCCAAGAGTTTTACAGGCAAGGACAAAATGACGCCAACACTCAAGGTGGTTTTCAGGGAGAACTCCTTTTAAAGCAAACAATGAATAAACTACTGTCCAGTTCTTCCATTGATCAGCAGTAAATCCTGAAAAACTGTTGGCAATCTTTCCAGGTATGCGTCCAATATCTTGAGGCACTGTCATCCCATCGACCAGTTCTTGGATCCTTTGAAAGTCCTCATCAGATATGAAATCATTTTTTTCATTAAGCCACACATTTTTCATGATGTGTTTGGCTGTTCCCAGATAAAGATTGTGCATGGGGTCCACAACAAAGTAGCGAATACAGTCAAAATAGTCTAGTTCTTGCAGAACTGAATACCTAGCACCTAACTGAGAACACAGTTTTTGTTGTGCAGTAGGGCTGGTTTCATCCATTGTTCTTTTTGCAGAACACTTATGCTCAGAGGATGTTCTGGGGCTCCAGTTTTCTCGATCAAAACCACTAAAATCGAGGCCATCTCTAGAACCAAAAGATTTCTTACAGCGAGAACACCCTTGTGATGACATGTGACTTAGAAATCCCCTATTTTTCTTGTGGCTGGAATGTCTGAGGAGACACAAATGAGTCCAACCTTTATTGGTCGTTTAAAAAACTACCATGAACTGAGAATCGTTCCTTACAAGCCCACAAAAAGCTTGTAACTCTCTCACAAGCGGTTCAAGGAAAGTGTTGGCAGTTAGCTTTGGCTCTGAAGGTCCAGGCAGAATTCCAGTTACTATGATGTTCTCAAGTCTATATCTTTCATGACGAGGTAAATTAAGTAGAACAAGATACACAACTCCAACTGATCCTGGTGAATGCTTATGAGGTCTGAACCAATCTACATTAAGCATGAAAGCTAAGCTGTTCGAGTTTGAAAGAAACCCAGTTGAAGACAGCTCCTCCAAACATTCCCTTGGTAGATATCTGTCTTAACATTTGCAGAGGAAACCTGATTTCTCCATTCTTGACATTTGTTCCACAGTCCAGGTCTAGCCAGAAGACGCTGCAAAGACTTCACAATCGAGTTATATGGATACACCATTCTTGGATAAAGAAATGTTTTTGTTCCATTCTGAACAGTCTTTAGTAGTATTTCATCACAAGGACCTAAGGAAAAGAACTTCAAAAGTTATACAAACCCAGCTCATGTGGAAAACCTGTAATTTAATATAGAAATAAAAAATTCTTTCTTACTGAGTACTCATTGCATACTCATTGAACTTGTTCACTTCTAGAAAACCCTCTCCAAGATGATGAGAAAAGTCCACAGTTTTTCTAATAAGCAAAATAATCTTCATTTTAAGAATGCAGCAACTCACCAGTTTTGCTCCCCCAATATCTTTGATGTAGTATATAAGAAAACAAGTGCAAGGGTTTGATTGTGGCATCCAAATGTTGAGAAACATGAAATGAAAGCACAAGGCTGCTGGTTTAATTTGTTTTGAGATGTTTGGATGCCACAACCAAACCTGAAGCAAGAGCCTTTTAGCTTGCTTCACAAACTGCCTATTTCAATCATCACCTAAATTGTCACATTATTGTTATGCTCTTTTCGTTGGTTGCATAATTTTGGACATTTTATCAGCAACTATCCATCTGTTGTCTCTTTCGGGTTTCTTTGGGGGATTCAAAGTGTGTGCTAAATTTATGGTAGTTTTGCTCATTTAGTTTATAGCTCTATGGTTAGTTGGAGCTTAATTATGGCAGAAAGTAATGCAGTTAACCGTTTTCACATCCCGAAAAGGGGTGAAGAGCAAGGTAAACTGCTAAAGGAAAGTTTTCCCTAATGTAGTGTAATTTTCTTATTTGCCTTACACATACACATAAATTTAGATATTCAGTAGAAACTTATATCCAGATCACTGATGATCTGGATGTGTTTTTATTGAATATCTGGATTCATGCATGTGACGAAATACAGATATACATATTTATCAAGTATCTAGTTTTATGCATGTGACAAAATACTTTCCACTCATTGGCCAATAACCTCAGAATAATTAATGAGTTTGAGGAGGAATACATCACATGCACATAAAATGAACTGACTGCTATGTAGTTTCTTACCTCTGCGATTCCTGTGTGGGTGTCTTGACCATGGTACAAACTTACATCGAGCTGAAACTTGCCTTCCACAACGGTTCTGGATGCAGTCTTTGTAATCATACAGGTTTTTGCACTTTGGGCACACAACATATTTAATAAATTCATCATTTCCTAGTAGCCCAAGGTTCTTCCTTAACTTGTAAAGCGTACTTGGCAAACGTTTTGAAAGTCTAGAAATTATACCATTCTCATCAAAAGTTCCAAGAAGCCCCAAGAAACGACTAAGAAATTTGAGTAGCATTTCAACAGCTGAGTCTGTCACAAAGAAAGCTGACTGCCAGGATACTAGAAACAATAACAACCAAAATACAAGAATACCGCATCTGTCGGAGATTGAGGGTGAATATTCATCGGCATTCTCAGTTGATTGATTCTGCTCAAAATCCTCTTCAGAGTCTTGAGCATTTGGAAAACCAGACCAGTCTTCGTTCACAGAATCTTCCCTGACATTTCTACCACTTTCATATGCTTCGATCTCTTCATCGTCGTCCTCAAAGTAAGACAGATCTTCTTCGCTAAAACGTTTCCTTAATCGGTCCTTGAGTCTTCTTCTAAGATCTGGAGACAAAGGGCAATCGATGAGTTCCGCCTCAGTTCCATCGATGCCCTCATCTACCTCATGGCAGTTGATCGGCGACTCTGTCTCAAGGCCATCGCCATTGCATAAGTTGCCGTTTGACAAAAGCTGTGGAGCATCATCAGCGTCTCGGTGGATTTCATCGCCAGAACTGTCCGGGCAAACGTGTGTCCTCGCTCCAGAATAGGAGTAACTATTTCCACATCTAGAACAATAAATTCGACGCCTATTCCGCCGATTCAGTTCGCGAGGAAAGCTTCTTTTGGCATTGTAAGGTGCTCCAATCAGCAAAATAACGAAAAAGGAACTTCGATCCCAAAATACAGGATGAAATCTTGTCAAATACTTAATAAATTTTGTTAATTGTTTAAATTGACCACTAAGAACATTACTTTGATGAAGGATTTTAATTTTTGCGTCCCTCTTGGCGCCATACATAAGACCGCTGACCATCATGCACGAAATTTTGACCAATCATATCGATTGTTATGACTGCATACTTCATTGGACCAATCATATTCCTTGTTTTAGTTTGTTCGTGAAGGAAAACTCACAACAATCATTCCACGTACGACTTGCAAGTCGAGTGAAAGCTGTCTATTTACCTAACTCTTTATCGAGAAATGGCATCTAGCAGAGCCTCAAATGTATCCGAATTTCGCCAAGTCTTGAGTAGACTCAAAGATTTACATGAGAAGTTGGAAAGGTCCGATCAATCTAGTCTTGCAGCTAAATTGTCGGACATAAATGACTCCTTAAGCATTATCGAAGGTAACCAGACTGACTTCTCCGATACAGTCCTGCAAACTTTGGAGAGGATCCATTCTACGATGGTAAATGGCTTTAAAACTATGGAAGACAGGATATCCACGCTAGAAGCCAAACTAACCAGCCATGAGACTGGAAGCTATGATGCAGTGACGCCGCCGAATTCTTCAAGAAAAAGAAAAATCGCACGGCACCCTGATCTTTCGGTAAGATATGTGAATATTTTCCTCTTTGCTATTTCTTTGCGTTGAGAATGTTAACCATAAAATTTATAAGATATATCAAAGGATTACCCGGTAAGAACATGGAAAGTGAAGTCAAAAGACGTTTTCAAATTTCGTGCGCATTTTGTGATTTATATCACACCTTTTGATTGATCAAAGCCGATCCCCGCCATTTTTGACTTGCTGTCGGTTGCGAATTTCTTTTATCATCCGTCCTCTTTCGGTGACGCTAACGTCCCCTTAGTTCAAAGATGTGTTTATGCATGTGAGCGATTGATTTGTTTGCTCTCTCTTAGAAAGAGAGAAGGAATGACAAACTTAAATTTTCTGATGTTTAAAACACTCAGTTAAATTCCTCTTGCATTTATTGATGATCATTCACAGCATTACGTCCGCTCCAAGATGGAACAGTTAGGACTGTCGTGGAACACGGAAAGGAAGTAAGTTCATAGCCAAAGGGGAGTAAAGATACTTGTAACATAGTTTGTGATTGAATAGTTTACAACGGAAGTCCATGTGGAAAGAAAGTGGGAGGTGCAAGTGGTTTGAAGAGCTACGCATTAATAAAATCTCAACCACAAAGGAAAAAAGTAGAATTAAAGTGGTGAGAGCAGAAGTAAAAATCATCGTTTTAGTCCCACGTTTTCTTGATCAGTCATGTTAGTCCATGGAAGTTCACTGTAAGAATACCATACTGAGGAATGCTGTGTCATGGCTCCATTTGGGCTATTTGTACCACTTACACCAAAAGAAGAGGTTTCTCATAAACCTAACCATTTGAATAATGAGTTACAGTTTCTATTTGGGGGAACCTATGCTGGAAATGACTTTGAGGTTTTGCAATTTACTTTTATATACACATTATATTCCAACAGGGAGAATGAGCCACCAAACCAAGAAGTTGCCAGAAGACTTCTTAAAGAAGTTCAAGAAGTTGAGCACGTAAAGAATGACTCTCTCTGCACAGAGAGGCGGATATTTGGTATGTTTCCCTTTGTTATTGATTTTTTTAATTGGTCAGGACCTTTAAGTCAACTATTTATCACTTATCGACTCCAAGAAATGGATATCTCACTCAACTTTTGCTTCATTGGGATTGATTTCTTTTAAAGTTAAACCGCAAGAAACCTGCTCTGTTTACATCACCTAAGTTGGCTCACAATGCCTACATGTTGTCTTTTTTTTCAAACAGAGTAAATGATTTTAGCTCTGGTACATTAACTGTATAAAGCTAGTCAAATAATTTCTCAGGTACAGCTTCAGTATTAAACCTTGGTTTCCTGGCCTGACCTCAGAAATATTTAAATTTTCAGATGCTGTCTCTCAAAACTTTGCCTCCAACAAAAGAAAGAGGAGGCAGATGGAAAATGGTACATATGAGCAGTACCAAAGGGAACAGAAGAGGAGGCAAAAGAATTAAAAGGGTAAGAGTTAGCTTGCTTCAATGATGTTTCTACAAAAAGTTAACTGTGGACCATTTCATTCACCTCTTAAACTCTTTCTTTTTCCTCTATTTCTCTACCCTATGTGATTGTGGAGATTGCCATTGATGATGTTTTTCTGCTTGAGCTTAGTTTAATATTGAAAATTGAATGTCATGTTAGTTGTGCAATGAGCCAAGCAGTTTTGGAAATGTCTTTAAGTATTATGAGTTAGAGAGAAACATCTATTTTAAATGATGATGAAACCACAACTATTGTTTATTTAATGAAAGTCTGCTAAGTCTAAAACTTTTCATGTTTTACCCTAGAAACTGGAGAAGAGACTGAGAGTGGTTACTGAGGAAGAAAAGGAGTCAGAATTGTTCGAGGCATTGCATTTGTCAATGATATCCTCAGATGAATCTGATGGCGAGGATGACACCCTGTCCACAAAGCATCTTGTCTGGAGGGCAGAGGAGGTTTCTTCTTTCTTCAAAGAACTGGACTCACGGCATAGGGCAAATATGTCCACCCAACAAAGGAGGCAGTCTGTAAACAGGCAGGTTGGCCTTCCAAGTACCAGAAGCCACAATGAAGTGCCAGAGAAATTGCTCTGGGCCATTAAATTGTAATTATTTTCTGTTTTTTTTTTCCATGAATGCTGTTATTGTTTACTAGGCAATTTTGGTTACAGTGAATCCATTAGAGTAAAGCAGTAATTAATGGATGTTCTTGATTTAGATTAGATATGGGATATTTACTTCTAGAAGCCCTGCTATGTTCCTTAAGTTCAACTGCAAAAGTTCTTTTACACTTGAGGATGGTGTTGAGTAGGATTTTTCAAACTCTAAGGTTTGAGCCTAGAAAATTTTTGAGTATTTTTGTGATGTTTATCAAAATTAAGGAAACAGCTCGAAATGTTGAACTGGATGATACATGTAAAAGCTTCTTTTACAACTGCCTGTGTGAGTCCCAATATAATCATCCAAATTTCACATATATGCATTTCAACATTTTCCCAATTTTATATATGATCCACCTCAGGTGGTGAACAGATATTAGGTTTCACTCATTTTTGTGCAAGGTTTGTTTGTGTCATTTAGAAGTCTCATTTTATTGACCAAAATGAAGCAGATTGTATTTGTTTGCCAAGGGTGAGACATACGATTTTGTTGATATTGTAGTAAGAGTGCATTTTTTTTGCGCTGATACTTTTAAAATTTTTTTTTAATGTTAGTTTTCAAGGTTTTCTGTGCTGTGAATATTTGTAAAAATTGTATAATTAAGAACTGATGTAACTAGGTGAATACTACTTTGGTTAATTGGTAATAAAAAGGCTTCAAAAAAATTTATGTCAAGGCTCTTATTACTTGCGTCACATACGGGAGGGAATGATTCCAAGTAGTTCAATGGATCATTTGATTTGCGAAGTGGATTCAGCGACTGGTAGAACTTCTTCAAAATCGTTCTAGAGCAAGGGAGCCTGGAGCTAAAGAAATTATGAGCGAGAGAAGTAAATGTAAATATAAATTTCCAAATGGTTGACAGTGTAAAACACCGATGAATATAGGAATACATGCCATTTTCCGCACGATAATCGAACGGTAAATACAAGAAAATGCGTGGGAATAACCGCATTCGGGTGGTGAACCGCCGCTAACAACGCGTTTCCTCAACGCAAACAGCTGCAAACGCTAGAAAACATTGTATTTCAATTTGTTAACCAACCCGTGAACGTTGGACGACACTTGGTTTTCAAGCGTTATCTACGCATTTACTGTCCTAGAAAATGGAAGAAAACGCATTGTCTTCAACGGAAAACGTCTGTGAAAACAATGTTTTGTTACTGAGAAAACACCAGTAAACAACGGAATACAAACTGTTTTCCCGTCTGTTAACCGTACTCTTAACACTAAGAAAACAATCGTTTTCATAGAGTTCACTGTGGAGGAAAACTGCTGGATAATGGAACGAATACTCCAATTTGCCGACTCGAAAACAACGGGAGAACGTTGGATTTTCTTTTCGGAAAATGTCAGAAAATGGGTGAATAATGCTGCGTTTTCAAATATTCACAACTTGTTTTCCGAACGGGTGAACACCACTTTTTTTGCAGTGGTACACATAAACAAGGTTACAAGCTAGATACTCATAACAGACAAAAGATTCACAGAGTTCTCTTAATTTCATAAAGCTACGACAACTTGTCAAAATGAGTGAGCTCCTTCAAGTTTTTATCACCGCTGCGTTCCTTTTGCTGACCGTAAATGGAGACAAATCCTCTTCCCCAGCTTGCGCCAAGCCGTACGACCAAATGATGGCATGTAATCTTATCTGTAACATGATTCAAGACTCGGACGCCAACGATGCAATGAAAATGTTACAAACCAAACTCGAAGGTCTTATTGCAGCGATGAAGAATCGTTCTCCTCCACTGCCAGGTAGTCCAACCAAACTGAAATATTTTAGGTATCTCGCGTAGCAACTCGCTCTATTGATTTGATGGTTGAAACAACGTGTGCGATTGTTTCAAAAAGCCACACAAACGGTGCTCGTTTTTTTTTTAAAACCCTGATTTCTATTCTTCGTAAGTCGGATTAAGCGTTTTAGAATAATAAAAGCTATTTTAAAAATATTAACCTGCGCTGTTCTTTTTCATCTCACCAGCCTCTTCTTGCAAGGAACACTACGAAAAATACAAGTAAATGAATAATGATACAATCATAACAAAATTAATGCAAATATATCCTGTATTGTTATATTTAAGAAAAGTTGATCTTTTTTAGGAGCTTCCTCTTCGTTTTTTACAATGGCCATAATGAATTTTGTGAACACTTGTATTTCTGTTGTCCACAGGTGGACAAAGAGTCAAGTTTACCCTCTAATATTTGGTTCACAAAATATTCCTGTTTACTGTCACATGGGAAACTTTGGATGTGGAGATGGAGGATGGACTTTGGCCATGAAGATTGACGGAAGAAGGTATGCTACTTTTTTTATCAAGGAATACCACTGTTGTAAACTATACACCACTATAACTTTCCTTTTCTCAACATTTCAGAAAACCTTTCATTATGATTCCAAGTTTTGGAGCGACAAAAATGTCTTCAACCTTCCCGGAGGAAAGACTGGCTTTGACTCAGAGGAGACCAAATTACCGACCTACTGGAACACACCCTTCTCCAAGATATGCCTCGGTATGAAAATCAACCAACAGCTCAGGTTTATTGTCATCAACAAGCAGGCAAGCTCTCTCCACTCACTGATCGCTGATGGAAAATATCGCAACACTGCACTAGGTCGCAACACGTGGAAGAAGTTAATCGGCTCACAATCCTCCTTACAGGCCAACTGTAACAAGGAAGGCTTCAATGCTGCAGGCAGTTCCAAAGGCTCTTCCAAAGCAAGAATTGGTATTCTTGGAAATAATCAAAAACACTGCGCGACCACTGATTCCAGAATCGGCTTTGGAACAGGAGGATATCAGGATGACACCATCACTTGTGGAAATGATGCAGCAAAAGGTCAGACATCAGACAATGGAGAGAAGCACATCAAAGCTATGGGATATATCTTGGTGCAGTGACAAGGGAATCGTTGAACCCTCCGTGACATGTCTTTCGAGCAATTCCCAGAGTGAACTCAAATATATAGATGTAGATATAGGGATTAAAGCTATTAAAAAAAAGTCGTTCAAAACTGATCCCGTTTTACTGGTTTGGACTTTCGGTAGTTTACCGTTGTAATCCAGCTTCTGATCAAATTCTTTTCCAACAATTTTTGACGGTCATGACTATATAGCTGTTTTACTGGAGGTTGGGATTTGACATGAATTAAAAAAATTGGCGCAAAAAGAATATTCCTTGTCAATGACGTAAACACCTTTGTTATATGATCCAGTGAATAATTCACAACAAAGCCTAATGTCATCCTAAACTACGATTTGAGATGATGTTGACGGAAGAGGAAGAACTGACCCTTCAAAGCCCCTTTTGCAATTTATGAAAAGAGTATAAGATGTTTCTCCAAAACTCCTCAACGTTTCCTTTTATTAAGAATCCCCTTGATTGAAGCAAATGCATTGTGATCTTGGATTACCAAGAAATTGTATCCGGACCAATTTTGCACCCATGAGGAGCGGTTCAACAAAATCCAGCAGTGTTTGTGGGTTCCAAGAGCGTGTGGAACGCCTTCATAATTGTTATGGCCTGCTAACACAAAGTGTCCGTTTTGTTATTTTTATTTGTTTTTTTGCCAGTTAATTAACAGAAATATCCTAAAAAAATTCTGCCTTTCAATCTTGATGCAATAACCGAAATCTTACGCGGGCTATCATAAGTCAGTAAAAGTGTTCAGACGAGAGTAAACGGCTGTGACGTTTTAGATTCGCGGGTGTCTTGAGAAATATCCTAACAGAAGCAGTAAAGATGAGTCATGAGTTATTCTGCGCTGACACTTACAGCGTTAACAGAATTTCCAATAGAAACTCCGTTAAATCCATGGCTGCCCCAATTTTTCTGCAGCCATGTTTCGCGTTCTCCCGATACACTTGTCTAGAGAAAGGGCATTTTATATTTGGAATTGTTCATTTGTTTGTATTCCGGCGCTGTCAAAACATATCTTGTTTCTCTTACCGCATGGTTAATGAGTTTCTTCCAGCCTTGCTTACTCCTCTTCTGTTTTTCTTTCTGCGAAACACCTTTGTGAATTTATTCGGTTATCGTAGAAAAGTCTGGTTTCAGGTCACTTGCTGCGTCCAACTGAAAGTGCAAAAAATCTCCAGAACTTAGCGCATGAAAAGGAATGAGAAAGTTTCTTGATCAGCAGAACAAATTTGTTTCTAAATACATGTCTTAGTAACTAGTCTTTCAACTTACTCGTATTGTGTATATTTTAAATGCTCTAAAATGTGTCATAGGCGCCACTGACAACCGAGATAGAATGACACATTCCTATTTACATCAGTAAGTTTACAAACTGGTTCACGGCTGCGACAAACAGATGAGTTACTGACCGATAAACTTTGTTTGGAAAAAAACATTCCTCACCTGATGTTGCATATTAAAGACCATGAGGGCACTTGCTGTATTCTGATTTTCCCCAACCTGAGTTCACCGAGAGATAATATGCATGCGCATCATAGCCGTTCGCTGTAGATTTTGTAAGGGAATTTGAAGTTTCTAAGCGAGTAGTCAATTTGCAAATCAATGATTTAAGTTTACTTTAGTAGTAAATAGTAACGAACTATTTTACGAAAACTGCAAAATAAATCATGCATGTATATATTTTTTAGAAATAATACATAGACCAGATAAAAGTTTCGACGAACTGGCTCTCTGCTTGATCATCTCGTATACGAGTAACCAATCCTAAGACCTAAGCTTAAACTAAAAGGACAAAATCTCCTGAGCTAAAAGTAGACGGCAGAAATGCAATTATATTATTTCGCTGTTGCATTTTCAGTGTGCACAAAGAGCAGATAACAGGCTTCCCTAGCTTATTCAGTTGTTGAAAACTTTAAAATCGACGGGGATTAAGAAAAATTTGATTTACGATCAAAACTGAGCGAGGCGAGCGAAATTGCTTTTGGCACATTTTTTTCCGCAGGAGTAAGACGTTGTGTGTTTGCTCTGACCCTAAGACTGAATTACTAGTAAAGTATTCTCTAATTTACTCAGCCACGTATAAGCAACCGATAAAACATATTCTGGTTATATGAAACTTGAAGAAAAATTGAGCGAAAGAAATAACCTCTTCAAAATTATAGAAGCCAAGATCTCGCCAGCGGCTCAAATTTAGAACAAAGGTTATTGGATTGCTACCGACAGTAGGAATATTTTCGAGTCCGGTAAATATTTACTGAGACACAATACACAGGGACACGGTTACACGCTTGCTACTCATAAGAGGGCTGGACAGAACATTCACAAAGTCTTCCTATTTGTAAAAAACTATGACAACTGTATTCCGTCAAGTTTGTATCACTGCTACATTCATTTTGCTGACCGTGAATAGCGACAAATCCCCTTCCCCTAGCTTTCACCAAACTATACGACCAAATGATGGCCTGTAATCCTATTTGTAACATGATTCAAGACTCGGACTGACAGGAGAATAAATTACCTAATGGAACACACCCTTCCCCAACATATGCCTCGGCATGAAGATCAGCCCAGAGCAAGAGTTGGTATTCTCGGAAATAATGCAAAAGACTGCACAAGCACTGATTCTAGAATCGGCTTTGGAGCGAGAGGAAACCATGATGACAATAGAACATGCGAAGGTGTTGTTTAGTTCAAAGTAGAGATGGAAATCATTTTTGTCGGTGGTTTCGATCTTAGACTAGGCAAAATTTGATTATTAAACGTAGTGGTCTGGCAGATTACAACTCAGAAATGTTCAAAGCTATAAAACCGACACACAGAGCTGTTGATTGTCCTAATCATCATATCTTTTGCTTCACCACCTTCTTGTCCCGACTCTCGTACTGTCCCCAATATTCATTTTAGAGCATTGACGGATTAATTAACCCTTTAACTCCCAAAAGAGAATTTCTCCTTACAATATCAATACAATATCAAGCATAGAAGTGAGGAGAATAAAGAAAAATATCAATTCGGGATTATTAGTTAAACACCGTTGGCACTTTTAAGATTCGTGCGTGTCTCAGAAAAATATCTTAACAGAAGCAGGAAATACGGGCATTTGTAAAACTGTTCTAATGAGTAAAATCTAAAATCCAAGCTTTCGCCGATCAACGGCATCATCAGGGATGTAATCATTAGAACAGTTTTGTTTTAATTATGCTGCTGAAGGACAACATGAACAGATTACGGGCATTTCTATTTACATAACCTAATCTAAAAACTAGAAAAGGTTTTAAAAAAAAACACTTTTCGATAGAAAATCCATAAAATCCATGACAGTCCTTCCAGTTTATAATACAGATGTTTCAAATTCTCCCTGCTCAATCATCTTGAGCCAGAACGGAAAAAAGACTATAAATTTAAGACTATAAAAGTATTCAATTTATTCATATTTGCCAGAGTTCATTTGTTTGTATTTTGGCGCTGTAACACCTTCATCTTGTGTTTTTTGTCTCCACGTAGTTAATAAGTTTCTTTTATTCTTGCTCACCACTTTTTTATTAGAATTTCTGCCAATTCCCGCCTGTGATTTTTTTTCGGTTACTGTAAAGAAGTCTGATTCCAAGAATCTCGCTGCTTGCGTCTTACTGAAAGTGTTTTCATGATGAAACTGCAAACTTAAAACAAGAAAAACGTGGAGAACTTGGCTGATAACCCAATCAGCAAGTACATGAAAGTTTTTTATGCAATACATATTGTAGTGACTACTCTATAATGTTCAGAAATACTTTAAGACGCTACTAACAGCTGATAGCATTAGTGTCACAGTTGTATGTACACAAATAAGTTTACAGACCAATTCACGTCGGCGACGAACAGATGTGTTATTTACTGTCCAAGTTTTGTTTGAATTAAGAAAAATGTGCCCTATGTTTGAAATTTCGCCTCATGTCGCATACCCAAGACCATGAGGCTACTTTACCCTTATGCAGAGCCCAAGAACCCACATGTGATATACATATGGATACGCTTCTTAGCCGTGTAGTGTACATTTCTTATAGAAATTTACTTGTCATCGACTCAGAGGGCGCTAAGTCGATGAATACATTTACAAATCAATGGTTAAGTTTACTTAAATTGTAAATAGTAAGAGCCTATTTTATGAATACCGTGCAAGAAATAGTCTTGACGATTCAAGGATTATATTCCAGAGTCCAATGCCAAAGATATTTTTCGATGAATTTGCTCCTTAAATAGTCGTTTCGCATGCTAATAGGCATCCCTCAGAACTAAGGTTAGAAATAACGAAACACAATCGGCGAGGCTGAGAAGTGACGATGAAAATAAAATAAACATTAGCTTTCAATCCGCATCAGGAATTAAAAAAGGCTTCCTTTGCGTGCTCAACCCTTAAAAGCTCTGATGTCGATTTGATATGAAGATCGAAACTGAACCGAGCATACGAAATTGCAACTGGAATAAACTTTTTCAGAAGGAACGGGTTGTCTGTTTTCTTTGCACTGGCTCACTAGTAAACTATTTAATTTACCCAGTCGGGCAATAAGCATGCCATGTTAATAAACTTTGGTACATTATGAAATAAGATGGAAAAAAAACTAAATCGAACCAAAAAAAACTTCGCCAAAGTTATGAAAGCTAAACATTGATCATGGGCTTAAAACTCGGAACAGGGTTATTGGATAGCCGCCAACAGCAAGAATATTTTCGAGTCAGGTAAACATTTGCTGAGACACGTACACATAAACAAGGTTACAAGCTAGATACTCATAACAGACAAAAGATTCACAGAGTTCTCTTAATTTCATAAAGCTACGACAACTCGTCAAAATGAGTGAGCTCCTCCAAGTTTTTATCACCGCTGCGTTCCTTTTGCTGACCGTAAATGGAGACAAATCCTCTTCCCCAGCTTGCGCCAAGCCATACGACCAAATGATGGCATGTAATCTTATCTGTAACATGATTCAAGACTCGGACGCCAACGATGCAATGAAAATGTTACAAACCAAACTCGAAGGTCTTATTGCAGCGATGAAGAATCGTTCTCCTCCACTGCCAGGTAGTCCAACCAAACTGAAATATTTTAGGTATCTCGCGTAGCAACTCGCTCTATTGATTTGATGGTTGAAACAACGTGTGCGATTGTTTCAAAAGCCACACAAACGGTGCTCGTTTTTGTTTTAAAACCCTGCTTTCTATTCTTCGTAAGTCGGATTAAGCGTTTTAGAATAATAAAAGCTATTTTAAAAATATTAACCTGCGCTGTTCTTTTCATCTCACCAGCCTCTTCTTGCAAGGAACACTACGAAAAATACAAGTAAATGAATAGTGATACAATCATAACAAAATTACTACAAATATATCCTGTATTGTTATATTTAAGAAAAGTTGATCTTTTTCAGGAGCTTCCTCTTCGTTTTTTACAATGGCCATAATGAATTTTGTGAACACTTGTATTTCTGTTGTCCACAGGCGGACAAAGAGTCAAGTTTACCCTCTAATATTTGGTTCACAAAACATTCCTGTTTACTGTCACATGGGAAACTTTGGATGTGGAGATGGAGGATGGACTTTGGCCATGAAGATTGACGGAAAGAAGGTATGCTACTTTTCTATCAAAGAATACCACTGTTGTAAACTATACACCACCATAACTTTCCTTTTCTCAACATTTCAGAAAACCTTTCATTATGATTCCAAGTTTTGGAGCGACAAAAATGTCTTCAACCTTCCCGGAGGAAAGACTGGCTTTGACTCAGAGGAGACCAAATTACCGACCTACTGGAACACACCCTTCTCCAAGATATGCCTCGGTATGAAAATCAACCAACAGCTCAGGTTTATTGTCATCAACAAGCAGGCAAGCTCTCTCCACTCACTGATCGCTGATGGAAAATACCGCAACACTGCACTGGATCGCAACACGTGGAAGAAGTTGATCGGCTCACAATCCTCCTTACAGGCCAACTGTAACAAGGAAGGCTTCAATGCTGCAGGCAGTTCCAAAGGCTATTCTAAAGCAAGAATTGGTATGCTTGGAAATAATGAAAAAGACTGCGGAACCACTGATTCTAGAATCGGCTTTGGAACGGGAGGATATCAGGATGACACCATCACCTGTGGAAATTATGCAATAAAAGGTCACACATCGGACAATGGAGAGAAGCACATCAAAGCTATGGGATATATCTTGGTGCAGTGATAAGGTTTAACCCTTCCTGACATGGCCTTCGAACAATGCCCAAAGTAAACTCAAATATGTAGATGTAGCTCAAGGGGTAAATGCCAATAAAAAAAAGTCGTTCAAAACTGATCACATTTATCTTGTTTGGACTTTCGTTAGTTTACCGTTGGTATCCAGTTTATGATCAAAATTACTTCCTGACAATTTTCGATGGTCATGATAATATGGCTATGTTACTAAAAGTTGGCATTTGACATAAAAAAAAAATTGGCGCAAAAAAAAGGTATTCCTTGTCAATGACGTATGCACATTTGTGATATGATCCAGTGAATAATTTATAACATAGCCTAGTTTCAACTTAAACTAAGATTTGAGATGATTTTTGACGAGTATGCGTCAGAATGCATCGAGTCTTTCCATTATTAATCTGTTATAAAGTGGTCGCGAAAAAATCCCAAATAGAGCACAGCAAGAAACGTGTATGATCGAAAACTGATTATCCTTTCACTAAAAAATGCGCACAATAATAATATTCTCCTATTTATTGGCGATAAAATCTCCCCAAGGAAGACCGTACTACCGTAGGATCTAAATTCTACTTCTCCTTCATGACCGCATTTTTATTTTGAGCGCCACTCTTTATAAGTCGATACACAAAGACAGAATTTTTTGTTCGCATTTCCAGTTGATCGCTTTCGCGGTTGTTGTTCGATTCGGTATTATCACAAAAAAGTGTCGCCCCGTTTCGTTTTGCACTGTTGTACTTGTAAAGTTTGAATTTGGTTTCTGTGGCGTCTTACAGCAAAATAAAGCGGAAAACATGAAATCGTCATACAAATAAAACAAAGGCTCCAAACGCTGACTAATAGTTCCGCTGGAATCAAGCAAAGAAAGGAAAGTGCTGAAAGAAAACAATTCAAAACCCAAAGTAAATTGACTGTTCTGACAACACGTCTCTGAGTCACAAGTTCCTGATATCTGAGAATCGGCTCTGGAACAGGAGGATATCAGGATGACACCATCACTTGTGGAAATTATGCAATAAAAGGTCACACATCAGACAATGGAGAGAAGCACATCAAAGCTATGGGATATTTCTTGGTGCAGTGACAAGGGAATCGTTGAACCCTCCGTGACATGTCTTTCGAGCAATTCCCAGAGTGAATTCAAATATGTAGATGTAGATATAGGGGTTAAAGCTATTAAAAAAAGTCGTTCAAAACTGATACCGTTTTACTGGTTTGGACTTTCGGTAGTTTACCGTTGTAATCCAGCTTCTGATCAAATTCTTTTCCAACAATTTTTGACGGTCATGACTATATAGCTGTGTTACTGGAGGTTGGGATTTGACATGAATTAAAAAAATTGGCGCAAAAAGAATATTCCTTGTCAATGACGTAAACACCTTTGTGATATGATCCAGTGAATAATTCACAACAAAGCCATCATGTCATCCTAATGTCATCCTAAACTACGATTTGAGATGATGTTGACGGAAGAGGAAGAACTGACCCTTTTAAGCCCCTTTTGCAATTTATCAAGTATAAGATGTTTCTCCAAAACTCCCCAACGTTTCCTTCTATTAAGAATCCCCTTGATTGAAGCAAATGCATTGTGATCTTTGATCACCAAAGAAACGTATCCGGACCAATTTTGCAACCATGAGGAGCGGTTCAACAAAATCCAGCAGTGTTTGTGGGTTCCAAGAGCGTGTGGAACGCCGTCATAATTTTTATGGCCTGCTAACACAAACGTGTCCGTTTTGCTGATTTTTATTTGTTTTTTTGCCAGTTAATTAACAGAAATATCCTAAAATATTCTGCCTTTCAATCTTAATGCAATAACCGAAATCTTACACGAGCTATCATAAGTCAGTAAAAGTGTTCAGACGAGAGTAAGCGGCTGTGACGTTTTAGATTCGCGGGTGTCTTGAAGATGAGTCATGAGTTTTTCAGCGCTGACACTTACAGCGTTAACAGAATTTCCAATAGTAACTCCGTTAAATCCATGGCTGCCCCTTTTTTTCTGCAGCCATGTTTCGCGTTCTCCCGATGCACTTGCGCGTCTTGAGAAATGGGAAGGAAATTGTAAGTAAATCAAAGGGCATTTTATATTTGGAATTGTTCATTTGTTTGTATTTCGGCGCTGTCAAAACATATCTTGTTTCTCTTACTGCATGGTTAATGAGTTTCTTTCAGCCTTGCTTACTCCTCTTCTGTTTTTCTTTCTGCGAGACACCTTTGTGAATTTATTCGGTTATCGTAGAAAAGGCTGGTTACAGGTCACTTGCTGCGTCCAACTGAAAGTGCAAAAATCTCCAGAACTTAGCGCATGAAAAGGAATGAGGAAGTTTCTTGATCAGTAAATCAAATTTGTGTCTAAATACATGTCTTAGTAACTAGTCTTTCAACTTACTCGCATTGTGTATATTTTAAATGCTCTAAAATGTGTCATAGGCGCCACTGACAACCGAGATAGAATGACACATTCTTATTTACATCAGTAAGTTTACAAACTGGTCCACGGCTGCGACAAACAGATGAGTTACTGGCCGATAAACTTTGTTTGGAAAAAAACATTCCTCGCCTGATGTTGCATATTAAAGACCATGAGGGCACTTGCTGTATTCTGGTTTTCTCCAACCTGAGTTCACCGAGAGATAATATGCATGCGCATCATAGCCTTCGCTGTAGATTTTGTAAGGGAATCTGAAGTTGCATCGGCTAAGCGAGCAGTCAATTTGCAAATCAATGATTTAAGTTTACTTTAGTAGTAAATAGTAACGAACTATTTTACGAAAACTGCAAAATAAATCATGCATGTATATATTTTTTAGAAATAATACATAGACCAGATAAAAGTTTCGACGAACTGGCTCTCTGCTTGATCATCTCGTATACAAGTAACCAATCCTATGACCTAAGCTTAAACTAAAAGGACAAAATCTCCTGAGCTAAAAGTAGACGGCAGAAATGCAATTATTATATTTTTTCGCTGTTGCATTTTCAGTGTGCATTTTCTTCCTTAGCTTATTCAGTCGTTGAAAACTTTAAAATCGACGGAGATTAAGAAAAATTTGATTTACGATCAAAACTGAGCGAGGCGAGCGAAATTGCTTTTGGCACATTTTTTTTCCGCAGGAGTAAGACGTTGTGTGTTTGCTCAACCCTACGACTGTATTACTAGTAAAGTATTCTCTAATTTACTCAGCCACGTATAAGCAACCGATAAAATATATTCTTGTTATATTAAAAACTTGAAGAAAAATTGAGGGAAAGAAATAACCTCTTCAAAATTATAGAAGTCAAGATCTCGCCAGCGGCTTAAATTTAGAACAAAGGTTATTGGATTGCCACCGACAGTAGGAATATTTTCGAGTCCGGTAAATATTTACTGAGACACAATACACAGGGACACGGTTACACGCTTGCTACTCATAAGAGGGCTTCCTATTTGCATAAAACTATGACAACTGTATTCCGTCAAGTTTGTATCACTGCTACATTCATTTTGCTGACCGTGAATAGCGACAAATCCCTTCCCCTAGCTTTCACCAAACTATACGACCAAATGATGGCCTGTAATCCTATTTGTAACATGATTCAAGACTCGGACTGATAGGATAATAAATTACCTAATGGAACACACCCTTCCCCAACATATGCCTCGGCATGAAGATCAGCCCAGAGCAAGAGTTGGTATTCTCGGAAATAATGCAAAAGACTGCACAAGCACTGATTCTAGAATCGGCTTTGGAGCGAGAGGAAACCATGATGACAATAGAACATGCGAAGGTGTTGTTTATTTCAAAGTAGAGATGGAAATCATTTTTGTCGGTGGTTTCGATCTTAGACTAGGCAAAATTTGATTATTAAACGTAGTGGTCTGGCAGATTACAACTCAGAAATGTTCAAAGCTATAAAACCGACACACAGAGCTGTTGATTGTCCTAATCATCATATCTTTTGCTTCACCACCTTCTTGTCCCGACTCTCGTACTGTCCCCAATATTCATTTTAGAGCATTGACGGATTAATTAACCCTTTAACTCCCAAGAGAGAATTTCTCCTTACAATATCAATACAATATCAAGCATAGAAGTGAGGAGAATAAAGAAAAATATCAATTCGGGACTATTAGTTAAACACCGTTGTGACTTTTAAGATTCGTGCGTGTCTCAGAAAAATATCTTAACAGAAGCAGGAAATACGGGCATTTGTAAAACTGTTCTAATGAGTAAAATCTAAAATCCAAGCTTTCGCCGATCAACGGCATCATCAGGGATGTAATCATTAGAACAGTTTTGTTTTAATTATGCTGCTGAAGGACAACATGAACAGATTACGGGCATTTGTGTTTACATAATCTAATCTAAAAACTAGAAAAGGTTTAAAAAAAAAAACACTTTTCGATAGAAAATCCATAAAATCCATAACAGTCCTTTCAGTTTATAATACAGATGTTTCGAATTCTCCCTACCCAATCATCTTGAGCCAGAGCGGAAAAAAGACTATAAATTTAAGACTATAAAAGTATTCAATTTATTCATATTTGCCAGAGTTCATTTGTTTGTATTTTGGCGCTGTAACACCTTCATCTTGTGTTTTTTGTCTCCACGTAGTTAATAAGTTTCTTTTATTCATGCTCACCACTTTTCTATTAGAATTTCTGCCAATTCCCGCCTGTGATTTTTTTTCGGTTACCGTAAAGAAGTCTGATCACAAGAATCTCGCTGCTTGCGTCTTACTGAAAGTGTTTTCATGATGAAACTGCAAACTTAGAACAAGAAAAACATGGAGAACTTGGCTGATAACCCAATCAGCAAGTACATGAAAGTTATTTATTCAATGCATATTGTAGTGACTACTCTATAATGTTCTGAAATACTTTAAGACGCTACTAACAGCTGATAGCATTAATGTCACAGTTGTATGTACACAAATAAGTTTACAGACCAATTCACGTCGACGAGGAACAGATGTGTTATTTACTGTCCAAGTTTTGTTTGAATTAAGAAAAATGTGCCCTATGTTTGAAATTTGGCCTGATGTCGCATGCCCAAGACCATGAGGCTACTTTACCCTTATGCAGAGCCCAAGAACCCACATATGATATATATATGGATACGCTTCTTAGCTGTGTACTGTACATTTCTTATAGAAATTTACTTGTCATCGACTCAGCGGGCGCTAAGTCGATGAATACATTTGCAAATCAATGGTTAAGTTTACTTAAATTGTAAATAGTAACAACCTATTTTATGAATACCGTGCAAGAAATAGTCTTGACGATTCAAGGATTATATTCCAGAGTCCAATGCCAAAGATATTTTTCGATGACTTTGCTCCCTAACAAGTCATTTCGCATGCTAATAGGCATCCCTCAGAACTAAGGTTAGAAATAACGAAACACAATCGGCGAGGCTGACAAGAGACGATGAAAATAAAATAAACATTAGCTTTCAATCCGCATCAGGAATTAAAAAAGGCTTCCTTTGCGTGCTCAGCCCTTAAAAGCTCTGATATCGATTTGATATGAAGATCGAAACTGAACCGAGCATACGAAATTGCAACTGGAATAAACTTTTTCAGAAGGAACGGGTTTTCTGTTTTCTTTGCACTGGCTTACTAGTACACTATTTAATTTACCCAGTCGGGCAATAAGCATGCCATGTTAATAAACTTTGGTACATTATGAAATAAGATGGAAAAAAAACTAAATCGAACGAAAAAAAACTTCGCCAAAGTTACGAAAGCTAAACATTTACCATGGGCTTAAAACTCGGAACAGGGTTATTGGATAGCCGCCAACAGCAAGAATATTTTCGAGTCAGGTAAACATTTGCTGAGACACGTACACATAAACAAGGTTACAAGCTATATACTCATAACAGACAAAAGATTCACAGAGTTCTCTTAATTTCATAAAGCTACGACAACTCGTCAAAATGAGTGAGCTCCTCCAAGTTTTTATCACCGCTGCGTTCCTTTTGCTGACCGTAAATGGAGACAAATCCTCTTCCCCAGCTTGCGCCAAGCCATACGACCAAATGATGGCATGTAATCTTATCTGTAACATGATTCAAGACTCGGACGCCAACGATGCAATGAAAATGTTACAAACCAAACTCGAAGGTCTTATTACAGCGATGAAGAATCGTTCTCCTCCACTGCCAGGTAGTCCAACCAAACTGAAATATTTTAGGTATCTCGCGTAGCAACTCGCTCTATTGATTTGATGGTTGAAACAACGTGTGCGATTGTTTCAAAAGCCACACAAACGGTGCTCGTTTTTGTTTTAAAACCCTGCTTTCTATTCTTCGTAAGTCGGATTAAGCGTTTTAGAATAATAAAAGCTATTTTAAAAATATTAACCTGCGCTGTTCTTTTCATCTCACCAGCCTCTTCTTGCAAGGAACACTACGAAAAATACAAGTAAATGAATAATGATACAATCATAACAAAATTAATGCAAATATATCCTGTATTGTTATATTTAAGAAAAGTTGATCTTTTTTAGGAGCTTCCTCTTCGTTTTTTACAATGGCCATAATGAATTTTGTGAACACTTGTATTTCTGTTGTCCACAGGTGGACAAAGAGTCAAGTTTACCCTCTAATATTTGGTTCACAAAACGTTCCTGTTTACTGTCACATGGGAAACTTTGGATGTGGAGATGGAGGATGGACTTTGGCCATGAAGATTGACGGAAAGAAGGTATGCTACTTTTCTATCAAAGAATACCACTGTTGTAAACTAAACACCACTATAACTTTCCTTTTCTCAACATTTCAGAAAACCTTTCATTATGATTCCAAGTTTTGGAGCGACAAAAATATCTACAACCTTCCCGGAGGAAAGACTGGCTTTGACTCAGAGGAGACCAAATTACCGACCTACTGGAACACACCCTTCTCCAAGATATGCCTCGGTATGAAAATCAACCAACAGCTCAGGTTTATTGTCATCAACAAGCAGGCAAGCTCTCTCCACTCACTGATCGCTGATGGAAAATACCGCAACACTGCACTGGGTCGCAACACGTGGAAGAAGCTGATCGGCTCACAATCCTCCTTACAGGTCAACTGTAACAAGGAAGGCTTCAATGCTGCAGGCAGTTTCAAAGGCTATTCTAAAGCAAGAATTGGTATTCTTGGAAATAATGAAAAAGACTGCGCAAGCACTAATTCCAGAATCGGCTTTGGAACAGGAGGATATCACGATGACACCATCACTTGTGGAAATTCTGCAATAAAAGGATACACATCAGACAATGGAGAGAAGCACATCAAAGCTATGGGATATATCTTAGTGCAGTGACAAGGGAATCGTTCAACTCTCTGTGACATGGCCTTCGAGCAATGCTCAGATTAAACTCAAATATGTAGATGTAGCTCAAGGGGTAAAATTCAATAAAAAAAGTCGTTCAAAACTGATACCGTTTAACTAGTTTGGACCTTCGTTAGTTTACCGTAGATATCCAGTTCATGATCAAAACTATTGCCTAACAATTTTCGATGGTCATGATAATACAGCTATGTCACTGGAAGTTGGGATTTCACATGAATAAAAAATTGACGCAAAAAATATATATATATTCTTGTCAATGACGTATGAACATTTGTGATATGATTCAGTGAATAATTCACAACAAAATGTAGTTTCAACTTAAACTAAGATTTGAGATGATGTTTCACGAGTATGTGTCAAAATGCATCGAGTCTTTACATCATTAATTTGTTATAAAATGGTTACAAAAAAAACCCTAATAGAGCACAGTAAGAAAAGTTTATGATCGAAAACTGATTATCCCTTCACTAAAAATTCGCCCAATAATAATATCCTCCTATTTATTAGCCATAAAATCTCCACAAGGAAGACGGTGCTACCCCAAGGGCTAAATTCTACTTCTCCTTCATGAATGCATTTTTATTTTGAGTGCAACTCTTTGTGAGTCGGTACACAAAGACAGCATTTTTTGTTCTCATTTCCCGCTGTTCACTTATCGCGGTTGTTTTTCGATTCGGTATTATCACAAAAAAAGTGTCGCCCCGTCCTCCGCCCCGTCCTCCCCCCCGCCCTCCCCAACAGCTTGCAAACCTGTTACTCATCCGACTCCCCAAACCGGTAACTTGGTCTCTTTGTAGATATTAATAAAGCTAAATATAAGAATAAAATCAGAAAGAATACAAAATAAAAAATAGGGGGCTTTGTCTGTTGGAGTGTCTGAGGTAAGAGTGCCATGACTTCTCAGAGTGAGTTTGGGCGTTTATGAAAATAAACAACTGATTCAGCAATTGACAGAAAATGTGGAGGATCCCTTGGGTTAGTGGATAAGTATCAGGACCTTTTCATCTTCCCAGGCTTAGTTTCATTAAACTAAAGAAATTAGCAAGTTGTAGGCTATACGATGGCATCGCTAGAAAATGTGTGAAAACCGTGAGATATTCTTAAAAAATAATTTTCTGGCGTGACTAAGTCAACATAAGCTTTTTTCATTTTATTAGCAAGAACTATTGAACTGGTTACTAGAGATCACCTTGGAAACAAGATAACAATATCTCGGCAAATAACAAACACAGAAGACAAAATACATATAAAATATGCTGAATGCAGATTTTTTTAAGCTCGAGATAAAGATAAACATCCAAGAGTCTGTCCATACTCGAGGCTATGACTCCAAAAAAACGAGACGTGTGCAAGAGCAGTTTGAATGATAAAAGAAATTAAATACACAGATGTAAAACTGTGTCTTGGAATGCACGCAATGCCGGAATAACGGCTGAGAAACTAAACCAACAGAGAGATCAGGCACTGCAAGACTCAAGAGCAATGTTTTCACAGGCTTTGGTATAGACGAAGTCCTTGTCAAAGCATGGATTGCCAAGATATTCAATACGATAGCTGTACAGGCAGAGAAGGCGTTCAAAGCAATATTGACTATTCGTTATCGATGATGTTTCGTTGAATTCTGTCATTCTGTACCAAGTTGCGAGGGAAACCAGGCGTATTCAAGAGAGTACACGACAAACTAACCTCTCTCTCTCTCTCTCTCTCAATTGATACAATTAAAGTCGAACCTGTTCTAAGCGGTACCGTATTAGGTCACTCTGTATTAAGGGGTCGGTTTTCTAAGTCAATAAACTTTTCGCCACAGTTACAGCAATTTTCACCTCTATTAAATGATCGCGTTTACCCTTTTCTGAGTCTCAACGGTCTGTTTGTATTATTTTCCCCCTGAATTGAAAGGTCACTTTAAGTGGAACCACCCAGTTGAAGCTATGAACAATTTTTTAACTAAAATTTGAGCCATGTTTATTTCCAGAAATCAAAGTTAGCAGAATTTTTGAGTGAGTTTTTATAAATAAAGAAGTCAATTACGAATAAAAGCATGAAATAGCGTTGTTTTCGTTTTTTTCTCTTACGACAACCCTATTCTATGGAAGCCGTATTTAACAGTCATTCCGTGAGTAACTGCTTCATACAGGTTCGACTGTAGTTATTTTCCTGTTTTCCTAAGCCAATATGGTATGATGTTTTAGCCCCTTCACCGAAAATTAAACAATTCCTGAAATTAAAGGGGGAAAAGCTCTTATTTAGCTCAGTGAGAGTTTTATTTGACTTATTTACATACCGGTAAAGATTACATTAAACTTGGGTCATACACAGGTCTTGGTGAAACCGAAAGAAGACTATCTATCCATTTTGACAATGTGGAGAATTGAAGATTGTACACAGTACTTGTTGTTACGTAGTGAATCTGATGAACATGTGCTAAACAATTAAATTTTACACCTTAATCAATCAAAATGAGGCTCTCATTAGATTTGAGAGGATTGCCTTACTTACGCGAAAAATACTTTTCCATCCAAAAAAATTACTTTAATAGCTGTAAAAAAAACAAACAACATAATCGTCACTACTTTCACCACCAGTCGGTGACTCAAAGACACCTAGGTATTTGATTAACAAAATAAAGAAACGTCGCGTTTACATTATCATTATGACCAGGGCACTTAAAACCGAAGTCTTTTGAGCCGAACAGAAGGAGAATGTGGCTGCTTCCGCCCACGACCACTTTAACATCAACCAATCAGGTGGAAGGCCTCTATTTCAGCGTTAAAGTGCATGCTACGAGTTAACGGTGATCTTTCGGAAACAGCCAGAGAAAAGCACACTTAATATCTGACGGCCTTCTGCATCTAGAAAAGATCTTTCCTGAAGCGATCAACTTCCAAAGTAGTAAATGTCTGGTGCCCTGTTTCTCAAACATACTAGGAATGATCCTAATCTAGAGAAAAAAAATTCCAGATGGACGAAGTTGTCCAGTCTAGTGAAGAGAAAGAACTGTCCCTTAAAAGCTCTTTGTAAATTTTATCAAAAGAGTGTAAGATGTTTCTCCAAAACTCCCAAACGTTTCCTTTTATTAAGAATCCCCTTGATTGAAGCAAATGCTTTGCGATCTTTGATGACCAATAGATTTTATTTTGACCAATTTTGCAACCATGAGGAGCGGTTAAGCAAAATCCTGCAATGTTTGTGGGGTCCTAAGGGCACATGGAACGCTTTCATAATTTTATGGCCTGCTATGCGTGACCGTTTTGTTGATCTTTTTTTTTTTTTTTTGCCAATGAATTACCAGAAATATCCTAAAATCTTCTTCCTTTTAATCTTAATGCAATAACCGAAATCTTACATGCGCTCTCGTTGGACATTAGGAGTGTTTAGATGAGAGTATGTAAACACGGCTGTGACGTTTTAGATTCGCGGTGTCTTAAGAAATATCCTAACAGAAGCCATAAAGATAAGTTTTTCTGCGCTGACACTTACAGCGTTGGCATAATTTTCAATAGAAACTCCGTGAAATCCACGGCGGCTCCTTTTTTTTTTCTTTACGGATGTTTTGCGTTCTCCCGATGCACTCGTCTTGAGAAATGGAAAAGAAATGTAGGTGAATCAAAGGGCCTTCTATATTTGGAAGAGTTTACTTTCGGTGCCGTGAAAACATATCTTGTGTCTCTTTTCGCATAGTTAATGACAGAGTTTCTTTCAGCGGTGCTGACTGCTTTTCTGTTTGTCGTTCTGCGAAACATCCTTTGTTATCCATTCGTTACCGTAGAAAAGTCTGGTTACAGGTCACTTGTTGCGTCTGACTGAAAGTGGAAAAATCTCCAGAACTTAGCGCATGAAAAGGAATGAGAAAATTTGTTGATCAGTAAATCAAATTTGTTTCTCAATGCATGTTTTAGTGACTAGTCTTTCAACCTAGTAATAGCGAATATCTTTTAGAATGCTCTAAAATGTTTCGTAGACGCCACTGACAACCGTGATAGAGTGACACATTTCTATTTACACAGGTAAGTTTACAAACTAATTTACGGCTTCGATAAAAAGATGTGTTACTGGCCCGAAAAACTTTGTTTGACCTATAAAAAGTCATTCCTCGCCTGATTTCGCATAGTCAAGACCATGAGGACACTTGCTGTATTCTGGTTTTCCCCAACACTGAGCCCACCAAGAGATAATATGCATGCGCATCATAGCCGTCCGCTGTAGATTTTGTAAGAGAATTTGAAGTGTCATCGGCTTAGCGAGAAGTAAATTTGCAAATCAATGGTCTAAGTTTACTTTAGTTGTAAATAGTAATGAACTATTTTACGAACATCGCGAAAGAAATCATATACGTAATTATTCTATAGAAAGAATACATAGACCAGATAATAGTTTCGACGAACTGGCTCTCTGCTTGATGATCTCATATACGAGTAGCCAATCCTAAGACCTAAACTTAAACTAAACGGACAAAATCGCCTGGAACTGGGACTAGACCGCAGAGATGCAATTTTTATATTTTGTTGTTGTTGCATTTTCGTATGCACAAGGATCTGAGGGGAAAATGGCTTCCTTAACTTATGCATTCGTTGAAAACTTTAATTTCCTCAGGGATTAAGGGAAATTTGATTTTTCGATCAAAACTGGGCGAAACAAGCGAAATTACTACTAGAAATTTTTTTCTTCTCAGGAGGAAGGTGTTGTCTATTTGCTGAACCCTGAGACTGGATTACTAAAACACTATTCTCTAATTTTATCACCCGCGGATAAGCAACCGATAAAAATACATTCTTGGTATATGGAACTTAAAGAAAAATTGAGCGTCAGAAACAACCTCTCCAAAATTATAGAAGCTAAGATTTCACCAGCGGCTTAAATTTAGAACAAGGTTATTGGATTGTCACCGACAGTATGAATATTTTCGAGTTGGGTAAACATTTACTGAGAAACAATACACAGGGACACGGTTGCACGCTTGCTACTCATAAGAGGGCTGAACAAAACATCCCCAAAGTCTTCTTATTCGCATAAAACTATGACAACTCGTCAAAATGAGTGTATTCCGTCAAGTTTGTATCACCGCTATATTCCTTTTACCGATCGTAAAGGGCGACAAAAGCCCAGAGCAAGAATTAGCATTCTCGGAAATAATGAAAAAGACTGCACAAGCGCATATTATAGAATCGACTTTGGAACGGGAGGGTACCAAGATGACAACAGAACATGCGAAGGTGTTGTTAAGTTCTAAGTAGAGATGGAAATAATTTTTGTCGGTCGTTTCGATCTTAGACTACACAAAATTTGGTTATTTAACGGTCTATCAGATTGCAACTCAGAAATGTACAAAGTTTTAAAACAGACGCACAGAGTTGTTGATTGTTCGGGTCATCATATCTTTTGCTTCACCACATTCTTGTCCCGACTCTTGTACTGTCTCTAATATTCATTTTAGAGCATTAACCCTTTACCTCCCATGAGAGAACTTCTCCTTACAATATCAAGTATAGAAGTGATCAGAATAAAGTAAAATATAAATTCGGGGATTATTGTTCGATCCAATACCAAATTCTCCAAATTTACGTCATAATAATTGTATGACAGACGGTAAGGAGAATTACCAATGAAATCTTAAGAGTTTAAAGGTTAAGAGGACAATTCAACAATCATTTTTCCCTCTATAGTAAAACCTCCGTAGATATATTACGATAAGGTATATATCGTTTGTGCCTCGATTACTAAGTCACCTTCCATGTGAATCGTGATGCTCTGATGTCATATCTCCGGTCTTCTTCATCCAACGAGGTCGACTGGTCAGGTGTCACCTTATGAAGCAATAAACTTCACTGTGATATTTTGTTTTAGACAGCTGGGATTAGTTATAGCGCACCGTGATGATTTGTGCCAATAGTACTTTCTTTTTACTGAAGCACAAGTTATGAATTTAAGAATTATCAGACCGCTTTTCAAATTAAATAATATATCTAAAAGGTGAATATATATATGTGGTTACGCGAACCTGCACGACTAAGAGGTTCAAGATACAAGCCCACGAGGAAACAGTTGCTAATGTTCTTCCTTTGTTACAACAACATTAAATGAGGAAGCATGGTCGTTGGAAAATGTTTTATTTCACAACTGTGAGCTGAGTTAAGCGGAGGTTTGCAAAATATTCTTAAACACTAGGAGAAAATAGTACAATTTTCTTTTGCAAAAGCGTAACTATTTCACTATATAGGCGTCAAGATAAGTCATAATCAGTTTTGAAGACCCTGGATTTCCATCACCGAAGCCATGGTAATAAAAAGTAGTTCATTAACAAATAGAAAGCAGATGTTTTGACGAGATTAGTGGGTCTTCTGAAAAAAAAGCAATATACTTAATACCCGACTATTCTCCTTCCAAAGAAAGTTCCATTAACCACAATTGAGGAATAAAAACCTTTTATAGGCCATATTTCAGAAAAAGTTTGTATAGTAGTAATACAATAACATCTTCAGTTAATCCTAATTTGCAAGTCATTTGCAAGAACGACAGTTTTTTAGCATGGCACGTCATCCGAGTAATTGTGTCGTAAGACAGCATGGACAGAAAGAACCATTTGACAATTTATAAAATTCTAGTCCTCCATTTCTTCTTCACTGTGAGTAAAGTCAAGTAAGATTATGCAGGGAAAAGAAGGCCTTTCGTGTCATTTACAGATGGCACTTTTCCTCTTTGCCTTCTTGATCTTTGTCTTAAATGGAACGTTAATGTTTGTCAGTCTGGTGAACGCAAACAAAGCGGCATTTCCCGATGATGTAACGTAGTACGTTTAACGAAGAAGATAATACATCAACTGTAAGGCCCTTTGTTAATAGATCTGTGTTTTTACCGGATATACTTCGTTTTACAAAGTGTGCAACGACAGAAATGTCAAGTTAGACAAACAAATTTACCCGCATCTAGAGGTTCCCAAATGGATGGTAGCTCAAAAATGGCCTAAACAAGCCTCAGCTTATTTTAATGAACTAAAAAGGAAAAAAAATACGTTCTTTTTATCAATATCGAAGAACCTTCAGTTAAGTTTAGGATTCTATCAACGGGTTGGCGGAGTTCAGTGACGCTTGTGGAAAACGTGTAACTGGTCCACAGTCAACTGATATTTAGCCATGTTTTCAGCTTATTTCTGTGTTCTTTTATTGGAGATCTGTTCCATTACACCCTGGCGAGTCACTTCAAAAGGTCAGTCTTCGTACAATTCATCGTAAACGAAGTTCCTATTGTTTAAGGAACTTTTAGTTGTCATTCTGTGCCGAACTGAAGTTATTAGATGTTTCTCAAATGTTACTTCATAAAGGAGGGTAATACGCTGTTGTGAATCTGGAAAGCTGACGTTTTGAACAAAAGCCTTTTTTCGAAGTAAATTTAAAAACTGTTAGCAGATTTCTTCTTTCCTTTTTTTTTTCTTTCATGATAACTTGGTGTTAACATTTTGACGTTTTCACGTACAATTTTGGAGGACTTAATTTAACAAACATCAGTGAATGAAGTGGGTTAAAAGAACAAATACGAAATAGATAAATGTCTTTCTCACGGAAACATTTACAGCTAGCGAATTTTTTGTTACTTACAATAGAATCCTTTTTTTTTTTTTACTAAAATTGCGAGAAGGAAATAAATCGCGAAGACGGTAAAAAACGAAGATACATCTAAGTTTCAATCGCCAATATTTGTTGCATGAATAATGAAAGTAAGAAAGCCAACATTTATCTCCAGTTTGGATCACATATCATCAGGCGGTTTCTACTTGATCAATACCTTCGCTTGGCAATCGCCTTTCATCTTAAGGACGGTTTTCTCCCTCAAACTCGAAAAATGCAGACCTCAAACACCGCGTAGACTACTAGAATCGTATTGGACGCCAAGCATGTCTTAATGCATCAATTTACAGCAATATTTTTAAGCATTCATCACTTCCTTCCCCTTCTAGGAAAATTTCATGCACTTTAAACAGTAATTTAAGACCAGCATAAGTGTCAGTTATCCTTTGAAATCCTATATCTTAATTTATCTACGTCGCTGTCTGGACTATAAATCCAAACTACATGTCGCGGTTGCCAATGTTGTTTTGGTACTTTTAAAATGCAAGGCCATCTAGCTCAATATGATATCAGAAGGTTAAAGACGTCTTGTTCGTCTGTAACCATGGTGACCGTTAAATTGGTGGTTAAAACTTCGTCATCTTGCAAACAGCCCTCCCGTATGCTGTATTTAAATTTTTCGCGGATTTATCGTGTTTATGCATGCAGTGCAAGAGAACAAAGCTATTGACGCAATGGTAACCGAACGCATGCGCACAACAGAGGACGTCATCGATGATAGGCTATAAGAATGTAGGTGCAGACAATGAATATTTAAAAATTCATGCTTAATGTAATTTGACCTTTAATCGTCAAGGTCAGAATACGAGCGTGCAAATTTTGCCAGCATTCAAAATTACAAATAGATCCTAAAACCAAGCTGAAAAATTTGATATTCTCGTCAACAGAAATTGACATTTCGGACGACAACGACATAAACTTCAGACAACGTTTGTTCGCAGTACACGAGTTTCATTACTTGAACGTGCTTCCAGTTGGAGTACTTATGGTGTATGACGACTTAGACTGTACCTTCAAATGTCTTTACCATCCTACATGTATTTCTGTGAATCTGGTCGCCGAAGGAGGACTGTGGTGTGAGCTACTGTCGTCTGATAAGTACAGCAATCCCAAGGAGTTCAAACAAAACAAGAGCTCGCATCATTATCAAATTGTCGTAAGGACTACTTGTACAGAAAATGTATCTTTTCTTTTATGTTGCGTGGTAGAACCCTATGAAATCAATGTTTTGCTTACAACAAATAACAGTTGTCACCATTATCTGTTTGTTGTGGTTGTGTTAACCAGCCTAGGCATCGTGAGTTTAATCCTGTCCCAATTCATTGCTCTTTTAGTCGCCTTGTTCCAACAATCCATGCGACAATGGTGGGACTTGCGTAGCCTACCACGAGGATGAGACGTTTAAATGCGTATGCAAAAGTGGTTTCATCGGAGAACAATGTGAGAAAGGTATTGGGAAGATGTGGTGGGGACAGGAGGTTTAATCTTAACAGCCAAGTGTACAAAAACTTCCATCTCTTAACGCAGATTTCTGTAGTATGAAGCGATACGGAGTATTGTAATACGTAGTCATGTTCTTGGTAAGGTTCCACGCGCTTTCATTGACAAAACAGGTTCAACAATTTCCGAAAGGAGGCTGTACGCGGTAGCGTGAGTGGGGCAGGAAAAGCCCCTAATCAAGGGAACCTTGTTGATGTTTCTAAATTAACACGAATAATCTTTCCTTAAGACATAGATGAGTGTTCTACAGGAAATGACAACTGCAGTGCTAACTCTGAGTGCAGCAATACCAAGGGTTCGTACAGTTGTACTTGTAAACCGGGATATTCTGGAGATGGACGAACTTGTAAAGGTAAATTAACTATCGTTGTATAAGACAACTGAATGAGTGTTTGTTGTTGCTCCGCGACCCGCTGATATTGTAAGGTTAGGAAAAATTCCATGCTGATCATTCCTGGAAATTCAGGGTTTAATCGTGTATAGATATGTAAGTCCTTGTTCTCGGAGGATACTCTCGATACTCGAAGCTAGCAGTTCAATGTAACTGAACGTCTTTGTTTGAAATTGTAGATTTCGACGAATGTTCAACTGCAGAAACCCACAACTGCAACGCTGATGCAGTATGCAACAATACCATGGGATCGTACACCTGTTCATGCAAAACTGGATACTTTGGAGATGGATGGACTTGCCAAGGTAAATGCCCTCTCTTCGCTTGCGTCCCAGGTAAACCGAGTGAGGGTTGAAAAGCTTGGAAATCAAAAGTTTTTCTCCTCGTCACTTACAAGGGTTTCAAGTGTTCTAACAATATCTCAAATAGATTGTTACGATGCGATCCTCTGCTTTTAAAGAAAAACGATGAGTTTCTCGGTACAATAAAACGAGAGGGTTTTAACCAATCAGAGTTAACATAGACTCTCATCTATAAGTTGATGATTTTGATGATGACTGTCATTTTCAATTTCGCTTGCCAGTGAGGTTTGAGATCAGTTTTACAATGTTAAGTTTACAATAACTGATTTTCTTACAGATATTGATGAATGTGCTACAGGAAAACAGAAGTGCAGTGCTGATGCAGAGTGCAATAATACCAAGGGATCGTACAACTGTACATGTAAACCTGGATATTCTGGAGATGGACGGACTTGCAATGGTAAATTTTCGCCGTCTTCATGGCGTAAAAAATGCAGTAGTCATTTACACAGTAACTGACATAAAAATTGTTACCAAATATTAGGAAATACACCTTAGAAACCCAATTGGCTATTTACAGAGTAAAACCAAGGAGTTAAACTCAGGGGACCAAAAGTAAATCCAGCGAGTAGCAGGACAAAGGGCTTAAACAAAGGACCTCTCTTACAACTCGGTCACGCTACCACAAGAGTAGCATACATCCATCCATTTCAGTCTCCTAAATATTCAATCAATCAAAAGGCAATCTACCAATCAATCACTCTAACTCTGGTTGTTGAGGCTGCTGACCCCTCAGCCTAGTGCTGCTATAGTACATTAAATAGTTTAGGATATATATGTGCCATTTGTACATTCAGCTGTCTTCGAGATTAGTCACAAACACAAGCACTGTCCTTAGATTTATTCGTAACGATGACGCCTCCTTTCTGTCGCAGTATCGACGTGCAAAGAAATTTACGCCAAGAATATGTAAGTGATGATTAAACCACCACTTTAAAAAACAGTTTAAGAGAGTGTAAACTTTAGTTAAATGAATTTAAAGGTCTCACTAATAGAATGAGGAGACTTTGGGGGTGGAGCGGAAAGAATAAAAATGATAACGGTAACGATAACGAAAATGATAGCAATGATGCTGATTTTAAGTACTGTAGTAGAGTTTCGTAAAAGGTTGAGGGATAAAAAGTCAAGCACAGCTGGAAGTTGTCATTAAAACACCCTTACAGAAGTTATTCGGGATTGAAAGGGGTAAGTTTCTGAAGAAACTGTAGTGCTGCGTCGGTGGGAGAGTATATCAGGGTAATTCAGTTTTATCAACTGAGTTGAAAACGTAAATTGGCCACCATAAGAGTTTAAAGGCTGACGTTCCGAGCGTTAGCCCTTCGTCGCTCGAACGTCAGCTTTTAAACTCTTTTACGGTGGTCAATTTACGCTTTCATGTCTAACAGAGATTGAGGTTGTGTCATCAACAGATCGAACGTGAGTGGAGTGATGACGCTGTACCTCGATTCAAAACCGATTTCCATTTTCTGTCATATGGGAAATTTTGGTTGTGGAGATGGAGGATGGACTCCAGTTATGAAAACTGATGGCAATAAGGTATAAACTAGCTTTGTTTAGCTACTGAGGTTGAAAATGTAATTTGATTTAAAAGAGATGGTCGCCCAGAGAGGCACTTTAATTGTCAGCTACTGCCTCACCTCTCATTCTTTACTTTCTTTGTAATAAAAATGTCAGATACTTAAGCGAGCCATGGTCATTTGTTGTGGACAGTGAGAGAGGTTATATGTACCTCATTGTTTAATAGAACCTCTCACGATTGACAACGAGTAAGAGCTATGAGTAAAAGCAGGGCAGAAATAAATGCATCCTTCTAGAATAGAAAACATGGTATGATGCACGATAGATTAGAAGGGAAAAGGACTACAATCTAATTTCCAATGTCGTGCTGATTATCATACGATAAATTGATAGTGGTTCGCTAATATCTTTCCCAGATTACTTTCCATTACAATTCCAGCCTTTGGATAAGCAAGTCTGACTATAACCTTCCAGGAGGTGCGACTGGTTTTGACAGGCAAGAGACCAAGTTACCAACTTTTTGGAACACACCCTTCGAGAAAATATGTCTCGGTATGAAGATCGATAACCTTACTAACTTCATTTTAGTCAATAAGACGGCTGTCTCGCTACATTCGCTGATAGCTGACGGGAAATATCGCAACACGTCGCTGGGTCTCAAGTTGTGGAAATCGCTAATTGGCTCCAACGCCTCTTTGCAGACCAGCTGTGTAAGAGAAGGGTTCAATGCTGTGTGTAGCGACAAAAAAGCGTCAAAAGCGAGGATCGGGATTATTGCTGACGATAAAGAAGACTGCAGCGACTGTGATTCTAGAATTGGATTTGGTACAGGGGGATATCAGGATGATAATCACACTTGCGGAAACGAAGCAACATACTCCTCAGACAATGGAAGTAGGCACATCAAAGCCATGGGATATATCTTGGTGCAGTAACTCTCACTGCCTCCCTACCCTTTATGCAAAAACGTCCTTGACTGTTTCGCATGCTCAGATATCAGTGCACTTAAAAAATAGCTTCAAAATAGGATTGAAAAGCGCTTATAGGAAGCCTCTGTAGTAATAAAACGATTTGATTAGTTTCGCCTATTCAATGTTTGATCAGCGATATCCGTCATATACACATATATCAAAGAGACAGCGTCATATACGCGTTTATCAAAGAGACAGCTTCAAAGGGCTTCTTTGGAGAGTCCTTCAGGACTGGGATCAACAAGAAAATGAAGGATGCGATGATACAGACTATTCGTATTTAACAATGTTTTAACCATGTTTAAAACCATCAGAATAAAAGCGTTGTCCTCTAAGACAAATATCGCACACCCCAAGTGAACTGTTGCCTCTCCACACCTGATATCTAATGGACACTTCCTCTCCTTAAACTCACCAAGGCTGCCGAAAAAACAAGCCCATAAGCACGTGCGTTCCAGGAAAGGAATGGAAAGACCACAACTACATAGGAACCTTTAAGATGAATCATTGAATATTGAAAACAATAACAAATAAAATAAAAATAGGACCAAGTCGCTGCAGCTAAGCCCAACCTTTTCCCCTTGGGAAGGCTCTTTCGGAAATCAGTTCCGTTGTTCATTATATTGTTTCTCTCAATTGGTACGTGCGCTACGATTCGTCAATCTGGCGGACCGAACTTCACTGTTCGGTCCGCTAAATTCAACAGTTTGTTTTGAATTGAAATCTTCTTCAATCCTTGTATTTATCTACTCGGATTTGTGGCCCGCGTGGAAAAATCCGAGCGGGAAAAACTCCGTCTGAAACTTACAATTCACTCAATCGCCAGCTTGTTCGGTCGGTCACCCCACTAAACGATAACATGGAAGACAGGTCAAGGTTAGAAAAAAGATGCTTGTAGGTTTTCAGTTGTTTTGAATCAAACGAACACAACAGCAAAGAAGCAAATCATGAAGGTATGCAAAAACCAAAATATTTCAGAGAACTTATAGCCTTGCTTTATCTCCATCATTGGGTAGGCACGAAAGGCCAACATCGTAAATACTACAAAATTGAAAGACATTTCATGTTTAAAAGGTCTGAAGAGGGCTTTAAAATTCTTGGACTATGCAAAATTGACTAAATTTAAGCCTTGTCGTATGAAAATCGGCGTTAAATACGCCAATCGATTTATTATGTTTTCCAGCCTTTTACTTTGTTTCCTTCCTTCTTTGGCGAGGGTTTGTAAGTTCGAGTGAACATCTGCTAATGTGATTCCGAAGTCTTGGAAGGATCAAACAGATCTGCGAGTCCTGTGGGATCCTCGTATCCTTTAGATTCTGGCTTGGGTTTTATTTTGATCGGTGGAAGATCTTTAATCCTGATTTCGTTTTTGAACAGTTCGCCAATGTGTTTCTACAGAATAAAACACAAAGCGAAAAAATTATTATAATGACAACGTATTTACGATAAAACTGACTCAAAAAAGTTGGTACAGAAATCAACGAAATAATTGGTATATGCACCCACCCGAAGATGTAACCATTCAAACAAGACCTTACCCTTTCATTACTGGAGTTTGCTGTTAAAATTCGGTTTAATTGGAGATCTAGGGATAGAGTTTGGGGATGAACCTCCTAAGTGTGGCACCATTTCAATGAAAACTTTTGCATAATCCCACCTCGCCCCTCAGTACTTGAGTAAGCTGCTGGAATTTCTTTTAATTTACATATTTGGACATAGAGTTAGGGGATGAAACTCTTTGGTGTGGCACCATTTCAGTGAAAGCTTTTGGATAGTATATTCAAGTGCAACGGTTCCACAACATGGCTCTAAATAAATGCCTGCAAAAAAAAACAAACAAACGTGATAAGACAGTTAAAAGTCTCACCCCAACAATCCCAGACACAATTTTTTTAAACTGCTCTTTCTTTCTCTTCTCGGGAACTTCTCTTCCTTCCAAACAAGACGCTTCAAAGGCCTGTGAAAGAAAAGAAAGAAAGCTTGAGGAACTTATTGAAAAGCAGGTGAAAATCCTGCTTGAAAGGAAAATAATTTTTCACATGCTTTGAATTTTCCTGCGAAATAGGTGTAAAAACAATAAGAAAACTGTACCTAGACCTTCACGAGCACCTAGGTACACGCTGATGTCCATTTTGTCTTTTTTTTGAAAGATTTCACAACTAATCATTACGACTTTTAGAAGGCGGCAATCTGTCAAAGAGGGAGACTTTGACGAAAGGAGATCCAACCTTGCAAGCTTTGTACTCGTCAAACTAACCCAAAAACGTTTTACATACATGTAAATCTTCCAACGAACAGTTCGTTTGAAGGAGAAGCTGTTGAAGTGAGGTGTACTGAGGTCTCTGAAATGCGAAAAAACATTACATAAAAGGGAGCCGGCTTTTCTCTTTTAATAGGGACAAGAAACGTCAGTTACAGCGCTTGAAAACGATCTTAGTTTTAAGCCTTCAAAAGTCTGAATGGGATTCTAGTGAATAAGCGCTCGCAGTTTGATGTTCACAATCAAAGCGCTTGAAGAGGTTCTCAGGAATAAATAAAAGTTTTCCAGCAAAACCCCAATTAGTCGCAAAGCACACGGGAAGAAGAACTTGTGGCTAATTCAGATAAAACTACATTATGAGAGGTAGTGACGTACCAATACCTAAACATCTCGAGTCCTCGAAGGAACGTCCACTCACGCGTACTTTTACAAGTGTTGAACTATCGCCTCTACCCTAGGTATATCAAATCATGATTGCTAGTCCCAAAATGGATGCCTAAGGAACCCTTTAAAACCCCTTTCCACATATCCCCCGGCAAGTAAACGATAATCCGGATAAGCTAACTATTAAAAATGATTGATTTTGGAAACACAATTGTTAAAATATATTAACAGCCTTCTTTCGTTTCTTCCTTGTCAAATGAGGACCGTTTTGCAGGTTTTGGGCACAAGGAAAACTCACCAGAAGTTCATACATATTCTGTCCAACGTAAGTCAGATATGTTTCTGTAGATCCATGGCCATGCACATGAAGACCCTGAAACAAAATGCCAATCAGATTAATCAAAACTTTTACTCTATGTGGCTGGGCTTGACAGTATTGGAGAAAGTGTGTTCTAGTCTGCTTAATTTCCTGCCGTTCGTAGGTCGGTTTCATCGCTAGCTTATTTAATTGGTGGTTCGCCGACAAGGAACGAGATGTCTGCGTATTTCGTATGAAAAGTTGGATCACTCGAGGCCTCAAAACCAGCCTAACACTGCTGTTTATCCTTTCACCTTGTATCTCCACACAATCAAGAATAAATCCACAAATAAATGAATGGAATAAATATCTCGTTCCAAGTATAAATCGCTGCTGCGATAAATTGTTCTAGCGATATATCGCTACAAAGATATCATGTAAAGTGCGCAAACCATCATTACCAATATATCGCTCCAGTGAAATGTCGCTTTGACGATTTAACGCAGAGCCAGGGATACGTCATTGCGATATATCGCTGTAATGATATATCGCACAAGCGAATTTTGGTTTGGCGACAAACGCATGCCTTTTATATACCGTTAAAGCGAAATTGCTCCTCTACTTTGTTTAATGTGTTAAAAACAATTTGTCTCTGTGGTCTCATTGCCTCAATGAAAGTAGCACTAAATGACAGCGTAGTAAAAAACATCATCATACTCAAAGAAGCCCAGTAAACTGTTTCGAAACATAACGAGTTGAAGTTTCCCTCCGCTAGAAAATCGACCAAACAAGCAGACAATGCCCACCTTTAAGACCTGAGAGAACAACTGTTCGACTACAGAGTCAGCAATCCGTGAACCAGCCTGACTGCTTAGCATCATAACCTACAAAACGAAAGATGAAACCATATAATTGTCCAAGAAACTGTTGAAAAATAAATATTGGTATCCAAGTGCCCTCGAAATTTTGAGGATAACAGACTTACACCCTGATTTAATTTAAAGCGAAGGAAAAACGTACCCCCTAATTTCCTTTACTTTTCTTCTCGACTGTTAAGGCTGTATAGGAGTAACGAGTAACGGACAGACAAAGGACATCGACATTCTCAATTCCTAAACACTTCACTCCTGTTATGAGCTGAAGGCAGCCTTACCTCCTTGAGGAAAGTCGTTGCAAGTCGTGTAGCCTTGTGGCAGACAGCAGAGTCCGGCCAGGTCAAACAGGTAAAAACTGTGATCAGCATCTGCATGTTGACACTCTAAAATTCACATAAAAATCACAGAATATTTAGAAGTTTACTAGTTTCTTTTGTTTTGGTTTGCTGCGCTTGTTCGTTTGTTAGTTTGTTAGATAGTTTGTTTGTTATTTCCTATAACAGCCCTCCAGTCTGTAATCTTAAAATTTACAAATGAAGATAGCTACACTTCCTGTAGAATTTCCTAAACTGAACTCCGAGCAACATTTTTTCTTCGTTCATTTCCAGGAATATTTACCTGAAATGGTACAAGAAAAAAAAACACCAACAAACTAATCTCACGAAACTCAGCTTTCTTTTTTACCTCTGTCCTGAGAAGAATGAATCCCAGCGATCCCATCCTGATATTGTATGGATCTATACCTACAAAGAAAATCAAAACGGTGTGCCAACTTCATGACCGGCTCGCAGCCCACAACTGGTCACCTTAGAGCCTTCAACATCTTGCACTTTGTACGAAACATTTACATTGATCTCTAGTTACCTTTCATTTCTTCTTCTTCTGTGACCTCCATTCTTGACGAGTCATCGCTTTCCCTGTTTACTATACACGCCAGAGCTAAAATGGAAAACATGAATCCAGTTCTGCAGTTGGCATTGGGGAAAAAGCTGACTAGCCAAGCGGTGAAAAGGAAAACTTATTAAAAGTAGCTGAAATTCACGTGAGTTAAATAAACGACCACATCAGCACTTACTGAAGACATCCAAGTAGTCCTTGCTAATGATCGACACCAGCTGATCTTCTATAATCTCTTTTGATTCCAAGTTGACTTCCTCATCTGCAGCTTCCGTGCTGTGGGTTAAAAAATACAGAATACAGCTCACAAGAGAACCTATCGGCGAGTTTAAATATTAAAAGAAATACCTTTTAACTCGTAATACTTCCCTACAACGAAGAGGCTTCGTCGCAGTCGCAGAGAATCTCTTTTTTACGGAATAAAACCTTGAAGTATTCGTTTTCCGGTGTAAAAAGCACCCAAAAGATCACTGATGATAGCGAATGACCAACTTGGAAAATCTATTTCAATCTTTCAAGATCTTCAACCCGAGCGAAACTCGTTTGACAGACGACGCTTCCGTTCCAAGAAAATATCAGCTTTTTGTCTATTTTTTTTCTAGTTTGAACATACGAAAGCGATCCTCGACATTGGAACGTGTGTGAGGCGCAGCAGCTAGTAGATACAATGGTCTCGCACAGTATAAACTTGACGCGTACAACAATTTAAAATCACCTCTCAGCTTGATGTTGTCGGACCATTTGCCACTGTTCTTCAAGGTGCTGAGGAGAGAACGAAAGTGACATATATTGATACTACTTTAGTACACCTTCGACTTTCCAAGCTCACGGTTCAATAACACAAATTTAAGACATTTCGAGAATTATCCTGGTTTTTTAATTCCCATAAATCAGTCGAAAGCTAGAGTCTCGCTGAAACAACAACAAAAGAAAAACAGCAGTGAAGATAGCTAGAAACTAATAAGATCGCCATAACTTCAACTTTCCGCGTTTTTACGTGTATGTTTTTAATTGGCTCTTAGCTACCTAATAAGCCAATCAGCGTGCACCACTTTTGATTTTCTCAGTTGCAATGGCACTAGTCACACGTCCTTGCTCAGCGTTGTGACTTGATAAGTATTGGCTTTGCTTTGGGAGAACAGAGTATCTTAAGCTCGCCAAGAGGTCCTACCTGAAGCATATGACCGAAAAAAGGAGACAGCACTGGGACAAGTACATTCTGATAGTCACACTGAGGGCAATGCAAGATAAACAACTTGAAAAAATTACCTGAATTGAGTTAAGGAATGCAACGGTATTACATCAAAAGAACATACAACTTGGCAATCGTATTTGCCCTGCTGGTCTCCAAACAAATATCTCATTCTTATTTGAAAAGTACAGAAAATTCCTCTGCAGGTGATTTCCCTAACAGTTAACCTGTACTCATCAACTCCTCAAAGACCAGAGGCACTGGCACCTAGGTTCGAACAAAGACCACTCTATCTGGGCCGGGATGTTAAAAACACGAACAGATTAAGTCATGAAATTAAGAAATCCTCGCAGCTAAGAACACTACTGAAACGAGTAGTTGTAAATAGGACCTGAAAAAAATTCAGGCCCATACGGGATTTGAACCCATGACCTCTGCGATGTCGGTGCAGCGCTCTACCAATTGAGCCAACAAGCCAACTGGGAGCTGGTCAATGAATTAGGCCCAAATAAACACCCAATTGAATGATGATTTTAGGTATATGAAAGTTCATATATTTGCACTGCGGTGGAGAGATGAAATTAAGAGATCCTCGCAGCTAAGAACACTACTGAAACGAGTAGTTCAGTTCAGTTGGCTTGTTAGCTCAATTGGCTGAATTTTTTTTTTTTCAGGTCCTATTTACAGCTACTCGTTTCAGTAGTGTTCTTAGCTGCGAGGATCTCTTAATTTCATCTCTCCACCGCAGTGCAAATATATGAACTTTCGTATATCTAAAATCAGATTAACTTATGTTTAAGGTATTTTTTCTCTTTGAATCCGTACCTTTGCGGAGAGTTTTCCTAATTACATTTCAGGATTTAGTTTAGCCATACACTAAGTCAAAACCTTACAAAACTCGTGCAAACGAAACGCTTTTACAGAAGAGAAATCAGAATAAGTTACATCTTTTAATCCTGAATAAAAGCTGGGTCTCGAACTACCGGGCCCAGGAATCCGTTGTAGGCAAAACCAGAAAACAAATGAAATGATTTACGACTGCGAATGGAAAGTAACTACGGGTCCCTCTGTTTCTCTTTAAATTTTTCTTTTCAAAACTTCACTGAATCAAGAGCACGTAAGACCCTCTTCAAGCTCATCCCATCTAAGACCAGTTGTGTTGTTTGAGTCCTACGCGTTGATTTATTCATTTACTTATTCATTTATTTATCTGAATGAAAAGCTCTACTCGAAGAAAATATCGTTGCGAAAGGATACGCACAACAAATCTCAGTCTGTAATTCGGAACATGCTGCAGAGACTTTACGAGATTATCAACCAGGAGTTGCGCTAGTCCGGAAATACTATAGAAATCATGGCCAAGACAGACCGCAGAAAACCCGAGAGTATGGTAACTGAAATAGAGATAAAGCAAATGTCAGTTTTGTATGGAACGACACTGCGAGCAATTTTGTCGTTGTATGTAAAATTAGTAACTTTAACCCGATGAAAATTTTCCCCCTTAGGTTGTCGAGACGTAAGTCACTGCAACCGACAGTAGTCCTTTCAAGCACTACTCTCACCCAAGAGATAAGACTTCAAGTTCAAATGACGATCGTTGGAATAAAATGCAAGTGGCGTCAAAATGGAAGTAATAAGTGGAATATGAAGTTAAAAAGGTAAAATGCAAGCCTCAAGACTGGAAGTCCAACCGGTGTTAAGAGTTTATGTTAGGGAGTAATTTAATAAAAAAAAGAAGTTCTCATTTAGTTATGCGCGTAAGGGAAAAATCTACATTACTACAAGGATTCGACCACGGCTAGTTTCGATTTCCAGCCTTGATGCTCTACTCACTAGGCCATAGAAAACTCACTGGCCTAGAGCTAATTGAAGATACATTACTGGGTCATAGACAAAGTTCGAATGAAAAGAAAGTCAAAGCAGATTTCCTAATTTTAAGCAATGAATCTCTTCTTAAATTTCTTAGACGTTGGCTTGGTGAAAAAACATTTGGCGCATGATACAATCTTTTACTCACCATGAATCAGCTAAATGATATAAGAAGCCCTTTGTGACTGAAATAGGGGTTGGAACGAAGGGTGCACCGCCTTTGTCTTTGTTTTCCTGTCCCTGTGGGAGAACTGAACGGACAGAGAAAAATAGGAACAGTCTCGAGGGGATTATCAAATGACTTGATAACAATTACTGACCAAGCCTTCGATTGAGTTATTAGCCCACTTTGTTATTTATCCATTCGTTTATTTATTCACTCTCCTTTTCTTTTTTAAATAATAAAAAGGGGCGAAACGAAAGAGGCCAATATCCAATAAGGTTCTTGTTTCCTGTAACATCGCGCGGCGAGATAAGTCTTGGTAAGATTATCTTAAAAAAGGCTGCCTCAGTAATTAGGTGATGGTATAAATTTCCCCAGTGCAGTTTAATATTGCGGGGTTTGCCAAAAAATCGGATCTATACTTACCATATATGGCGCTTGTATCGAGGTCGTGCATGCCAAGAGATGCTAGATACTCAGGAAAAATGGCGGCTTTGACTGATGGATTATGTATTCTGTTTACACAACTGGAATATGAAAAAATTAAAAGGGAAAATTATAGAGTTTGTGAATTCTTGAGTTGAGTGTCTTAAAAGTAGGACTGGTGTTAATGATCAGAGAGTTTCCAGATTTTGCCGACATAGATCCCACTCCAGTTTAGTGACATGGAACCAAGAATACGAAAAATTATAACCCCCAATCAGGCTCCCATTGTTCGAAGGGTGAATAACGCTATTCACTGGATGATACTCTATCCTTTGGATAGCGCAATACGTTTTGTTAACACTTATTCCACTGGAAAGCGATTTATCCAAAGGATAGCGTTTTCTGCCCTTTGAACAACTGGGCTTAGAGCAGAGGCAAATATCACACCCAGCCAAAAATAATTAAAATAAAAGCAAGCAAACTGCTGACAGGGAATGAAAACGTTAGGGAACAGATCAAGATTAGTCGAGAAAGAAACTCGCGTTTTTCAGAGCTCAATCTCATCGCGAAGCGAGGGAAAACCTGGGTAATACCACATTACTTTCGGCACTTAATTGAACATTGTTTTTTTATCATGAAATTTATAGCATTCAGAACCGCAAATTCTCATGATATTGAACGAAACTTCAAACAAGCAATGGCAAATGGTATTGAACTCGAGTACTCGCCGACGTCCTTAACAATCAAAACTGAAATTTCCATGTATATTGAGTGATCATCGATCACTGCAAATCTGGAAGGGGGAAGTAAATAGAAACGCTCTAGATTTTTCTGATTAGTCCTTGATTAACTCAGGCTATCGTAAATTCCTGCCATTTCGAGTCTAACGGTAAAACCACGATTAACGATTACCAACATGAACTTCAAATACAAACTCTGTTTTGCTGTTTTCCTACTTCTCAGTTTTTTTTTTCAATGCAAATACAAGTTCATCATAAATCGAATAAATCATGGAATCATTTGCTGTCGAATTGTTTTCATTTTTTCTACCATTGAACATAACGCAATGTTCTCAGCCCCTTAATTCCACAGAGATCGCGCCAGAAACAGATGAGACACCTAGTTATAAGACACTGGTGAAAGTATAACAAGAAAGAGTGCAGCCCCTTCCACACTACGCTGAATAAATTTAAAGATGCATCTACAACTTTCCTTAATAATCAGTAAAAACTATCCCGAGGAAAAAAATCTTCCCTAAAACGCACTGAAAAGTGGATACAATACGAAAGACCAGTTTTGTGCTAGGAATGGACAAAAAAGAATTTTGAAAACCGAGCCTTTTAAAACGATAAGGTAATTCTGTCCATAAAATTAGCTCCTTTCAGTGCGTAAGGATATGTTCAACCACTTCCGCCACTGATGATCATTTTGGCGAGGACCGAAAAGACCGTTATCCAATGTGGATAACCCCGTCTTTAAATTGATTCAGCGTGGTGTGAACGGTACCTGAGACAGCGTTTGTACTTACTTTGCTAGCAGGATTATATTGCCGAGTAACGGTATGACATGAGATGCACATGGATTGTGCACATAAGGAGTTCCATTAGGTATCGACCCAATGGACAGCCCCTCACCGGCCGCCGCCGTCTGTACAGAAACAAGTTATAACCGGTTTATAACAGACGTACAATGACCAGTGAGTACTTTGGAAATATATGTGGTTGAGTGATTTTAGGTTGATTCCCTACTGATAAAACTAGCCAAGTTCCTCCCTTAAAGGGGGTAAGTCTCTAAAGAACCTGTGGTGCTACGTCGGTGTGAGAGTATAACAGTATATATAATAATATAACAGTATATTAACTCAGTTCAACTGAGTTGATAACGTAAATTGGCCACCGGAAAGAGTTTCAAAGCTGACGATTTGAGTGTAAGGCCTTCGTTAGAGCGTGGGACGAAAGGCTAAAGCTGGAAACGTCAGCTTTGAAACTCATTACGGAGGCCAATTTACGTTATCAACTCAGTTGTTAATATTAAATTACCGCGTTCCTTCCTACCTACTTACGAAATGCACAGAAGATGGTGTGCCCAGTAATGTAAGCTATGTTGTAGAAGACTTCATTTTCTTTTAAATTGAGTTTTAAGAACAAGACTAGGACTAGGACTAGGACAGAGTGCTCTGGCAAGGGACATTCAGTTTTCATATACACCATCAAGAAGTAGCTTTTTCAGTTTGGCAATTCCTTCTAAATGTAACCATGCTTAAACGAATGACATACGGTGAACGGTAAGAGTTGAACTCCTACTGTTTACATTTCAACAAAAATTGACAACATTTGCAATTTTTGCGAATTGGAAACACTTTTCGTTGTTTGGATCTGTCTTGGGGAGAGATGAAAAGAAAATCAAGGGAGACTTTTTCACTAGCACTCGCAATGAACGTGGTTTTGAGTCTTCTTAATGTGACGCCTTCAGACTTAGAGAGGGATACGTCTAAAATACAATATTGAAAAGCTAGTTATGGTGTGGTTCCCAAGAAACATATCCCACTAATGGTAATGTAGAGTAAAATGATGCACTGAAGTTATTCTCGGAAAACAACAACGCCAAAAGCAACACCTATTAATCCAATGAGGATGGATTTCACCTTAGGATTCTTTTTTTCTAGAGGGAGTGCAGTCTTACTTCCTCTAGAACCTAAAGATCGTCACCAATCTGATTTTTTTTCAAATAAACCGTTCGATGTTTTTCGGGAGCTCTATAGTGCGGGCAATTTGAACTCTCAAGTTCTATGGCTCTTTCTTTAGAATAAAGCGAAAAAGATAGACTACCTTGTCAGCATTCTGGTCGTTATTTTATATGTACAGTATCTTAAAATGTAACTAAAGAAAAACTTGATATCAATACCTTGGTATTGAGCATAGCACAGCTTCGCACAACTGCCATAATGGTGGTCACAGCATACATTATCTGAAAAGAAATAAGAGTGTAAAATACTGACTTGTAGGAACAACACTAACATAGAGATCCTAAACTATAAGAGAGCGCAATTTTTAATTGAGGAATGAAAGTAAAGCAGGATTGCTTTGGTTTTACTTTACTACTTAATACGATTGGTTTAGAAATCTTTCGCCACACTCTCAACTAAAACAAATCATGTTTAAATCTTGTTTTACTTCGTCTAAAACATGTTTAAAACCGTGTTTAATAAAACTACCTAAATGAGGTTGTTTAACTTTCGTGTTTAACTAAACACATTAAAGATGGCGGTTGCCAAAAAAACCCGCGGAAGGATTTGGGAAAACCAGGAAACGTTATTGTTACTACAGAAGTGGGGGGACGAAAATATACAAATGAAGTTAATATCTTGTACCAGAAAGAGGCCTATATGGCAAGAAATAAGTGATTTTATTCGAGCGGCAGGCTACGAAGACCGTGATGAAGATGCCTGCAAAACAAGAGTACACACATTAGTAAGTGCGTATCGCTCCTACAAAGACGAATGTGAGAAGACCGGAAACGGACTCCAAAGAGGAAGCCGGCGTTTTTCGACGAAGTCGATGAATTTCTCAAAAAAAAACCATGTACCAAACCGAAGGTTGTGGTAAATTTTCAAAATTATCATTCAGGCGGACAACGAAGAAGAAGACAATGAAAAAATTAAGAACGATGAACCAAACGAAGAGTTGCCTTCCTTCATCGCAGCAACAACGAAACAGCCGGCAAATTTCCTCAACCAAACAAGGGTGAATGTTTGACAGGTGAGCTTTGAAAACTTTCGCTGATTGGAGGGTCAGACAATAGGCCAAGAAAATGTTTCAATATCGGCGCCTACGTTGTCTGTAATCTCAACAAAATTTCTTGATAATTTTACTTCCAAGATGAGTTTGAACAAAAATATTGAGATAAGTATTAGCTCAAACTTTAACCCCTTTAAAGATTTTTTGTATTCCTTCACAGAAAGAACAACAGATGCTGGCAAGCCATTTTTCAAACCCGCTACGAAGAAGCGGAAGGTTCAACGACGGATGCCTTAACATGACAAGGCGTTATTTTGTTTCCTATCAACAAGCATGGAGTTTTCTTGAAAGGCTCGTGAAAGACGAAAGAAGAAAGGGAGGAGAGAAGAAGGAAGGAAGACTTTTCTGCTGAAATTGGCGCAATGAAAATAAAAAGTACTGCATCGTTTTTCAGTTGGTTTAATTTATGCTGTTCTCAATGATGTCGTTGGAGAAGGCAAGAAAAAAAAAAAAACTATATTGAACTTACCGATTTTTGATGTTGACATGTTGGTTAAAAAAATTGTCTTCTATAGTTATCTTCAATTGAATGGGGTTTTTTTCAAAATTTTCCGGCAGAGCCTAGTTGTTCAGAGGCCGATTAACACTAACCCAGGGTTACATTTTGATTCAGCGTCTTTATTTCTTAATTTTCCCTATTCCTTTTAGACCATCTAATCATCAAATTGTAGACAAAAAAAAAAGAAAATGGATTTCTTTTTAAATTTTCATATTTGAAATCAAATTTTCACTAACCCTGGGACAACGACCTGGCCCAGAGTATTTAAAAAATGCTCAAAGTTCAGAGAGAGAGGGTTATGAATGATGTCTTTTAAGTCTCCTTGATAAATTTACAACAGAGAGCCATCAGTAATTTTAATTTACACTCAAATTAGTATTTTATGTGAACATTAGATGCATGGCTAAATTTTATGTCACACCATTTTCAAACTCTCCCTATTTTTTACAACAGTGCTAATATGTTTAAATGGAAAAGGCAAACTTGCTGCATTTTAATTGTTCCCTCCAGGTTTTGAAATGTTCAAAAAAAATGGGGGTTTCAAAGTCCTCAAAGTTTGCCAAAATTTTAATTTACACAATTGACAATTTACTTTTCAAATCTCATTTATACAACTGTAATTACAAATGGAACACTGCTTGATTATTCCTTCAAAAGATCTTGAAATTTATGAAACTATTTGCACTGTATACAATAAACCTTAAAGGGAGAAAGTATTCATATAAACGACTTTTTTTGAGCTAGAGATGTAAACTCTTTGATGGATTATTTGCCTGTGAGAGATGCTTATGTTGAACACTCATGTTCAAGTGATGCATGTGACAATGAATATTTATATTAAGAATCTTTTAATTGCATCTCTTATTGCAACAGCATTTGTGTTCTGCCTTTGGTTTGGATCACCTGGACAAACTCCAGCATGAATGTGAATATCATTGAGCCATTGGTCATCAAAAGACTCGTTTCGCATCTCACAATAATTATGTAAAACACAACACGCTGCGATGACATTGCAGGCATTTTCAACTTTTAAGTCCAGTCTCTTCCCAATGCTTCTGAACCTTCCCTTTAATCGACCAAAGGCATTTTCAACAACTACTCTAGTTGTGCTGTGTTTTATGTTGAAACTGCGTTCCTCCGGGGTCAGATTTCCACGATCAATATATGGTTTCATCAGCCAATTGCTGAGAGCATAAGCTGAGTCACCTAATATAAGGGGAGGAACTTGTACACCAGATATCATCACCGACATGTCGAGCGGAAGAAAAGCTCTGGCACAACACAAGGCAAACAATGAAGAGTTCTTGAAGACACGTGCGTCGTGTACTTTACCCGGCCATCCAACACATATATCAAGAAATAGATAATTACAATCTACTAGCCCCTGAAGGATTAATGAGTGGAATCCCTTCCTGTTAACATAATCATCTGGACTTTGCCGAGGTCCAATGACTGGGACATGGCAACCATCGACTGCTGCAACCACCTGGGGAAAACCCGCGCGACTTTTAAAACCTTCAATTTTTTCTTGGACTTCATGTTGATTTTGGGGAACGTTTATATAATTGGGAAGAAGAACGTTCCCTATCACCTCGCATACCTGTCGCACAATACCACAAACAGTGGATTTTCCGACACCAAATAGATTTCCGATCGTTCGAAAGTGAGCCGTGTCCGCAAGCCAATAATATAATGTTATTGCAACTCGATGACGCACTGTAATGGCTTTCCTGTAATTGGTGTCCCTTTTAGAGATATGTGGCGAAAGTTCTCGGCAAAGGCGATTAAATGCTTCTTTAGACATGCGAAAATTCTCATTCCAGTCCTTTTCTTCCCAATCTTGGCAAGTCTCTTCCCAAAATATCTGCGACCGGAGTTTTAGCCAAATACGGCGAACAGGAAGATGTTGGAGAAGAAATCGAAGCAAAAAACGGAAAAACAATGATGAAACGAGACGTCTCCGACGAACATAGCGATTAAACCGTCTCTCTGCGTTTCTCTATCGGTTTTGTGTAATTCTGAGGTTTTCCCTCAGCCGTGACTGCGCCAACAACAGCAGGATATTGTGATTTAAACTGACCGCCATTTTGATTGCGTCTTTAATTTTGTTGGCAACAATTAATATCAAAACGAGGCTGCGTAATACCTAACCCAGTCTGCAGTGTGAACGGTTCTTGAGCAACACATGTTTTATAAAACCATGTTTAAAAAAACTACGTTTAATGAAACTTGTTTAAATTGGTGTGAACAGGGCATAAGCTCGATTTCTCGGACCCCGCCTTTGAGCCTCACGAAATAGGTTCGAGGAGTAGCGCGGGCTCATTTTCTGAACAGCCACTGCTAATGGAGCATAGACTTCGTCGGTCGTGTTTTTTTCTTCGCATGAAGTCAGCAATGTGAATTTATTTTTAGTTCTCATCGGTGCCTTGCTACGTATCACTTTTCCCTGATTGGCTGTAGTGAGTGCGCTGGTAAGTTAGTTTCGTTCTATAGCTGATCGTGATCTTAGAACAGCAGCCCTTCCATCACAACGCAAAGATTTGTGCTGGCTGACAATTCCAAATCTAAATAAACATGGAATGAAATCAAATACCTGAAATCTTCTTCCCCTTAGCTCATCTGAAAGTTAGACGAAACCATAAAATCAGCAAATTCAAAATCTTTGAACATAAATAAGAAACACATTTGGGTAATTTAGCGCGAGTTTCGTGCGTTCCCGCGGGTACAGTTTTCGAAAGAATTCCACACGCTCGACGCAAGAGCAAAGCTGCCATGCATTCGTTTTAAATTTATACTTTCGTAATTTTCACCGTGTAGCATGTACGCTATACTCTGTGGGATGTCAAAAAGTAAATTGGAAATTGAATTAAGCGGCCAGATGGACAAACATGAAAGGAGAACTGAACTGATACGTACCGTTTTGAAAATAGCCTGATGGATCTTGGTCCATTCCAATAAATGAAACAAAATTCTCCGGAGATGAGATGGCCCTACATAGAAAAAAAGGCACAACATCAAATGTACATTTTAAAGAATTTATGTTGAGTTTTTTGGGGGGGTCAGACAGTATCGTCTATCAGTAGAGTGCAGTTTCAATGGAACCGTTTTTTCACGTAGAAAATTACTGAGCTTAGAATAAACCAAGGGAGAAAGATTGCAGACGATGGAGAATGATCTACCACGACTACGGAATGACTAGCTTGACAGTTTCGGCTAACTTTTTCGACATAGGAAAAACATGGCATAAATCCTCTAGGAAAGTGAAGATTCATCTGAAAACAAGATTATATTAAGGTACATTATACTTAGAGAAAAGGTTAAAGTCACCAGGAGCCACTGAGCTGGAGCTTATAATCACTTAAGTTAACAGTTTTCACCGGCGAGAAAACGCGAGTTACCGTGCGGTGATTGGTGTTAGTTTTGCATCTGGTTGGTTGAGAGGCTAGTGCATGTTACCTAGACCGATCACAGAGCCAAGCCACTGAACTAGAACTTATAATCACTTATGTTAACAAATTTTACGGGCAGAAGAACTTGAGTAACTATGCGGTGATTGGTTTTAGTTTTGAATCTGATTGGTTGAGAGGCTGGTGCTTGTTTCCTGGACCAATCACGAGCGAAGCAAAGCAAAACATCGGACGATAAATCAGAACTCGCTCTACAATAATTTGCTACTCACCCTTGTATTTTTTCACCCAGCCACATTTCTCTGACGGGAGTTAACAGCTGAACGAGGAATTCATTTTGCTTTTCTTTGCTTAGCTTATTGCTGAAAATCAAGAACCGAAAAAGAGAGAGGAAATACTTATCGGCTACAAGCAAAGAGAAACCCGGAGGAAATTATCAAAGCTTATACTTTAGTTGAAGGAACAAATTATATTTAATGCAGATGAAACGCTAACAGTTTCCCAGTTTATTGCTAAAACATCGAGACCAGAAAAAAAAAAACAACGACTACACGAAAAATACAACAAAGACACACATGTTCGCCAGGCCAACACTTGTCGCGTACATGTAAAGAGCAACAGAGATTCTGGCCTGAAGGAAATTACAAAAGCTGATACTTAAGCTTAACGTAACGGTTTCACTCGAAGCACATTGAAACCTTAAACAATTTTATTGAAAAAAAATTCGAGTAGGTACGAACTGAGCCATTACGATAACTTCAAGTCGGTTTTATGTAGGCATACACTACTTTAACGCCTGAGCACAAATTCGAGGATTTGGGGAAACTTGTTGCATTCCTTTGAAATGTCGGGTTTCTTGTATAGCAACATTGAAAGGCATCAATACCTGGCAATAACCAATGCTTCTGTTAAAGTGCATCTGTCTTTCACGGGAACTAGCTCACCAACAAACAACGACTGTATATGCTCTTTAAGGGCATCAAATACTGGCTGGAAGACATTAAATACATCCAGAGCTTACTAAGCTATAAATAAATTCGTTCACGGAAAAAAGTTGTTTCTCAGCTTGCTAAGCTAATTCACTAGTACTGACAAAGTTTCCGCCGGACAGACAGCAGTGCGCACTCTTTTTTTAACAATAAAATTAATTCCTCACCACCAGCAGCTCCCCGAATTCTTTACAAATCTTTATTATTGCGCCACAAGCGTGACGGCGAGCATGAAGAACATCAGGACTCCAAGGACCCTGGAATCACAGCAAGGAGGGTGAGCAACACCTAAATTTCTACGTGCACAAGCAATAAATTTGCTATCTTGCTTGAGCACAGAATGCTTCTCAGGCATTACCAGTCATGCTGTCAAGTAAATCAGCAAGGAGATCGGTTCAAATTTTCACTTGTTAGAAATTTTTCAGACAAGTTCAATTGTTACTTTCCTTTCTCTCAGATTCTGATAACGCAAAAAAAACAAAAAAAAAAAAAAAGGAAAAAGGACTATGAAAAATAACAGTCAACTTCATTGAAGAATTCTAAAAATCAAGAACATTGAAACAAAATAAACACAAGTACCTTGGGTTCACCTGTTGTGTTGAACAGTACAACTTGAAACATCTAAAAGAACAAAGTTTAGGAACTTTTCAATGTCCTGTATTCCAATGCTACTCTAGTAATGTCACGGATTTTCATCCGATTCAGGCATGAATTTTTCAGACTTTGTTATCTCAACAACTACAGCACGTTGTAAAAAGAATTGATCGATTGGCAACTTGACTCTACAACTGACAGAGGCTATAAATTACAAGAAAAACGATTGAACATTCGTTTATCAACTGAAATGTATTTACGTTCAAAGAAATCTGTTTTTTTAGCTACAGGATTTAAGTTGCTGACTTTTGTATGTATGATCTGCTCTGACGAAGGACTAACGCTTAAAACGTCATTTATAGAAAATTCTTTACGGTGGCCCGTGTATATCATTAACCCGGTTGATAAAACCTTTTAATCTCGTTTAATTTAAGCCTGTCAGGGATTAAAAAAATGCATCTTTATCCCAACTGATGGCAGCTGAATGTAACTCTGCTTTAGGTCACCTTTTTAAGCACTTCCATCAACAAGTCTTTGCTGTATTTCAGGAATGGATAAAGAGCTTGAATAGCATCTGTCACACTTGACAAAATGTCAGGAACCTGATAAAAATGAACACAAAAACTCAATCCGCGGTTGTTCAAAGGGTAGATGAAGCTATCCAGTAGATAGCGTTGCTGTCCGGTGCATAGTGCAGTACGTTTTCTTAACAGTTATCCTCTGGATAGCGATTTATCCGTTGTATAGCGTTATCCACTCTTAGAAGAACTGGGCCCGAAACCTTAAATGTGACTTCATATTATAAGTTGACTTTAAGTTGACTTTAAGCGTATCTAGGCTCTTAGTATAACTTAGTTTATTCTTACCTTTGAGTCAACATTCAAAGTAGTCTGGATGCATTCTCTGACCAATTCAACAAATGTCACAGACGTCCCACGGAACATCACCTGGCTGTGAATGATCTCCTAGAGAAAAAAAATTGAACACAGTGTTATATGCTTTAGAGCTTATTTGAAGGCGAATGTTACTTCATTTTATTGTATTTCAAGGTCTGAGGTTCGATTCCTCATGGGGACTCTTTGTCCCCCGCTCAAGACAACACGATAACAATATTTTCCCATATCTTCTCTGAACTCAAAACTTACTATCTCTCTTATTCCATTTACAAAAAATGACGCTATCGACATGGCTGATCCTAACAGTACGCAGGATGCGTGTCATATGAACTTTGCAATGGGCCTTGCTCGCCATAGAGTCTCTGTGGCGCAGTGGTAGAGCATCGGGACGCGGACCCGAAGGTCTGAGGTTCGATTTCCCATGGGGACTCAGAATTCTTTGTCCCGCGCTCGTAACAAGACAAATTTAATTATTATATTGATTCTCCGTTTCTGGAATACACACAGTATACACACTGTGTATTTCCAAGTCGTAGTGCTGCCGGTTATTTAAAGCTTGGAACTTTTTAAAGTTGTTTTCACCTAACCTCATAATTGTCTACTTTAAAGAATCTTGACATCACTGCATCCAAGTAACGAGTAAGTCCATCCCATTCTTGTATCATCTTCTCTGTTTCTTGTGCACTGACTAAAAAAAAACAACAGCAGCAATGAAATACGCACACAAACAAACAAACAAGAAACAAACATCATCAGAGCTGGAAACTTAGGCCGTCCAAACGTCTGGGATGGATAAATTTTCCACTCGGACAAGAAATAATTTCACTCGTCCGATCGCACTGCCAAAAAAGCAAACATTTTTTTATTACCCAACTTTGGACATGCAGTAAATCCTTTTTTAATATTTGACACCTTTTCGGCCTAGAAAAATAAGTACCGCTTACAGAGAGTCGACTAAATTTCATTTTGTGTATGTTATATGTGCTAGCATCAATTTTCAAGTGGATTCCACTTCTTACACAGGTTTTCTGGACAAGTAAGCATGTGATCCGGGCAAGTAAAATACGTGTTGCAGTTGTTTGACGGGGCATGTGAGTTGAAAAGAAAGTCTCTTGCCCTGATCATTTATTTTGAATTTAGAGTCACCTAATGTCAAAGATATTCGCTTGGCCAGAATTTCATTTTCATTTGAAATCGTACGTTAACTTCTGCTTTAAATACTGTGCAAGCAAACCACTTCACCGGGAGCTAATTTGGGATAATAGCTTGTGGTCATCCAGGAGAGATTTGGTCTGTTCTCAGCGCTGCACGACCCGCGTTTCACGCCCAAAAAATATTTGAGACGAGTTCGGGAAGTGGTTTGCCAAGAGTCTAGTAGTAATAGCGCTGGATTTCCTTGCAGATATCTCGTCGGTTCCCAAAGCTCAGGGCCTCGTAATGTCATAATTTCATAATTCTGGGCGAAGAACCACTCACGCCGAAGCGCTTGTAACGAGGTCTCGCTCACGGGCTGAGGAGGTGGGAATGTAATAACTGATGAAAGTTTTATCCAAAAATAGGATTGAACCATACTTTTGACATCAGGTGCAGGGGTTTGTGTCACCCTCTGTAATAACCAGTCAGCTCCGTAAAGGAAAGTAGCCACAGGGTGCAGCATTGTTAAGTGACGTATGATGTCCATGACCTCTCCCCTCACCTCTGAAACACGACATGGCAGCATGGAACAGTAAGCATCGTAAACGGGCTTAAACGTATACACTGTAAATAGAGACAGAGGCAAAACCAGTGCCCATGGGTACTCGAACTGGGTGCGAATCGACTGAATTTGGATACGAAACGACTGTGGGTACGAAACGACAGGATACCCTTGCTCACGTGTGCTACGTTGTCATGTGAACACTTCCACTGCGAAATGGCAGCAGTTTTTAAATTCTGAGCATCTGTTTTCCTTTCATTAGGCTTTAAAGCCAAATCATAAAAGCTAACTTAGGTTTTCGTTTGCAAAGAAGTTTCTCAGAATCCCATCCTATCATATTCATTTCTTGCTCAGTGGAGCCGAAAGTTGCAGACAAATGAAAGTTTGGAAAATGTTGTTTAAATTAAAATTATTCTCAATTTTATATTTTTTTTAATTCCGTCAAGCCAACATTCATTTTTAATTCAACTACTGAAAGGATAACAGTAAATACTTACGGCCATTAACAGACGTAAATTCTCTCTCACTGTTGAAATCTTCTCTGTTAAAAACACTCCCTGGTGAGTCTTCCTCTTCAGGGTGACCAACCTTAAAATGTCATTTGTGAGACCTGTTCAGTGAAAGCACTCTTAATCTATTTTTATGAGATTTGTTTGTTAACTCAAATCCCAAAATCTGATGGGCAACTTTCCTTGTTACTGAACATTTCTATGTAATCATTGAATTTTGATGGTGTGACTTTTGAGACAGAGTCTGAGAGTCTCTTGACCAAAACTAAAGTGGTACAGATAGTCAGTCAATGAGAACTCCAAACAAGAAAAGTGTATGAAGAGTGGAAAATTGGAGGTTCCAAATGACTAGTTTTTTTCCATTTTTATTCGATTGCAAGTTAGGGTGGTTTTCTAGAACAATCACAGAGTCCAATGAAGCAAACATGATGAAAATTTAATATCACACTACTTTAGACATGCAGATGAAAATATCACTAGAAGAGAATTTGCTCTTACAACGTAAATAGACAGGACAGCCTTCAGCTCAGGGGTCAATGTCTGCCCAATCACATAACTGCATTACTAGGTAATGTTTGAACTTGTGGAGGAAAGTAAAAGGTGCATTGGCAGTAGGATTTATCCCTTATAGATGATAACTCAGGAGTAACTGTTGCAAATTGCAGTACGGGAATTATGAAACAGACAATAAAGTGTTAACCTGCTTGTAAAAATAATGCATGAACACCAGCTCAAATAAAACCAACAAATGCAATACCTAATCATTATAATACAAGCAAATTGTTCACCTTAAAAAGCTTAGCTTTGGCAATATCCAATAGTGATGGGAAAACTGCTTGGAATGTTGTGTCCATAGAAATCACAGGACTTCTTAATAGTGTGAGCCAGAGGCCATTTGCTAAGTGTGGCAAGGTCTGTAAAGAACAAGGTCAATGGTTTTAATCAAATGAACACGGATTCCTACATTTTAACATGGGTATGCAGTTTATATTTAAAAAAAGGTTCAGTGCCTCCATTGTGCATGCGAGGTTTGAGGCATTTCCCCAGACACTGCAAAAGTCAGCACAGGAGCCTAGCTCCCAACATTGCCGGGGCTTCTCTCAGTTTTCCCAGCATAATGTGGCAGCCAAGAAGAGTGTTACTTATTCCCATGAAGAGGATGTTAGTCCATCATAAACTACTTTGGACAAAATATACATGTACAAGCAACCCTTCATACCCCAACTACATAGGTGGAGAGAACCAATTTACATAAGAGGAAAGTTATTTTCTCATAATAACAAAAAATACATCAACAAAACAACTACTTCAGACAGGGATCACACCCACAAAAAGCAAACACATCCCCAACTAATGTTGTAAAAGGGGTTATTTCAAAATTTAAGTCTTCTTAAAAAAATTTTTAACTACAGCTGTGGAAATACTGTAACCCTGGTCAAACTTTACCCTTCTCCACCACACTCAAACTTTACATCTGAACAACCAGGAATAGTTGAGTACAGATTCCAATGTTGTTAATGATTTTCCTTGTATTCTGTTCCTTTATCACAATAACCTGCTCTTAACTCTTTAACCCTTTAACTCCCAGATCAAATTTGTAATTCTCCTTAGGGTCAACAATACAATTCTTATAATGTTTGTCTAGAGAATTTAGTTTTGGATCAACTAATTCTCCCCAAATTGATATTTTTCTTTATTCTCATCACTTATCTGGCTGCTACTGTATCGATATTTTAAGGAGAAATTCTGTCTCAGTCACTCATAGGAGTTAAGGGTTAACTCCATAAGTGACAGACAAGTGATAGGAATAAAGAATAACATCAATTAGGGGATCATTAGTTGATCCATTACCAAGTTCTCCATATGAACATCATAAGAATTGTATAGCAGACAGTAAGGAGAATTCCTGATGAGATCTTGGGGGTGAAAGGGTCAAAAGACTGCGTGGGCCAGCCTGCATACTTAATCTCCTTAATAAACAGAAAGTAGCAGCACATTTTCAAGTTATAATATATATCTAAAACTATTAGCAAATCAACGTACTAGGCTTTCATGTTTTGAAAATGCAATCATCGCTTCCAAATACTGCCTGAAGTTTGGAGGTTTCTCCTTGGGCTTGTCACTATTCTAAAAAAAAAGAGAGAGAAAAAGATTTACAGCTGCTAAGTGTAAAGCATCACCACAAGGCAATGACACAGGAACAACCACTCATAGACACTCAAAAGTACGTAACCTTCATTCTGAACATTTTTGCAAGATCTGCTTACTGACTCAAGTTCAGCATCTCATCTCTGGACATGAAAGAATCACTAGAGTAGCAAGTTTGGTGCAAATTTTACCAAAATTTTGAAGACCCAAAAATATGCAGTTGCATTTGATGAAAGTGTGCACTCGGCCTGCCAACCTTCAAACAGAGCCAAAGTTATTGTCCTTGATATTTCTCAAACAAACTTATTGAAACCTTAAATTGATCAGGAAGGACCTCAGTTTTACTAAAAAGGGATGCTTTTTAAAAGTAATTTTGACTCTTACCCACAGGTGGAAGAGCTGCACCTCTCCAAGTGTCACAAGAACCTGGCAGAGCCTCTTAAGAAAGAGATACTGTCTCTCATCAAATTCTGCGGTAACCGATTTTCTGAGAAAATAGAGATTTGATTTTTTAAAAAAATTTAATAAATTTCAATCATTTTTATGTCGGCAAAACTGAGTATTGTTTAAGGAATTTACACCTGCATGAACATATATTATCAAAAGATCAAGAAGCAAAAATCTCATTCTCTTATCCATTACATGTACATTATGATATCCCCTTTGGCAAGGTAAGCATGAGACAAAGAAAAAATTCTTCATCACTCCTATGCTGAGTACCACTGAGCCTCAGAGACTATAGGCTGCTTACTGCTGAGATCAGCAATGTCTAAAGCATCATGGACTAGCATCCCATAAACATACACTGTACCCTCACTTGGCTTGAGCACAGACTTAACCATCCCACCCATGTTTGTACTACAAAAAAAAACCCAGACATACTGACAAGGTGTAGTATTGTTAAGGGCCCAAGTAACTTAAGATAATTTTAACAAGAGAGAAACAATGTCATTATAAATTTCAAGATTAGGAACAAATTCTCCTTACTGAGCAGCAGACAACATGACACTCATGGCATCCTCACTAAACAACTTCAACATTGGAATCCTTTGTTCGTTTTTACCCTAGAAAAGCAAATTAAACAGAAATTTCAACAAACAGAAAATTGCTCTTTGGCATGATATTTTCATTGGTCACATTAAAACACTTTTCCTTTCTCCTGTTTTTCTCTTTTGTGTACTCCTTATGTGATCAATATGATCCACAGACTAAGGCCCTAGGATGTATTTTACAAACTAAAATCTAAATGCTGAAAAGTGAAATAAAAGTGGATTAATAAATTGTTGCTCGTATTTTCCTTGCCCCTTAGGACTCTGAAAAATACAACACAACTTGCAAAACATCAGTGCATATTTTATGTCAAACCATCAAATAAAGTGCACATTATTAAATAAACTAATATTATTGTAGTAATTACCTTTCTACTGACAATAATCAAAAGACATTCACAACTTGGTATTTTCAGTGAGTCTTCCTCCAGTAGTAAACACAACATCTGTAGTATGATACAATCCTTTATATACAATGTTCCGAACTTCACCCAGTCTACAAATCCAGCTAATGTCAGGAGGGTCTGCTCAGCAAGTCTCTGGTGCACTGCCGCCTTGGAGAAGAGAAATTTCAAATGTGAATGAAGGTTTGAATCAATTAACCTTTTTCAGTAGTGGTGTTCTCCCCTAGTTTTAAGCACCACAGGTAAAGATATTATCAAAACATCTGAAAAATCCCTTTACCTCTTGAATTTTCAATGATTTTAAGCAATTTTAGATGGTAATAAGTAGTACTGGTACTATAGGTGGTAATTCTTATCAGAGACCCCCTAAAAAAGGGAAACACTGCAGTACTAAAGGCACTTAATCATTAGTAGGCCCCAGAAAAGCAGGGAAAAAGAAAAGTACCAAACAATTTCACTCTCCCTCTATCCTCTACTTGCAGCCATTCACTGGCAGAATAGAAGCCTGTAATGTATCATGATGCAAAGCATTTTTTCCATTATCTTTAATACATACACCTGATTTGAAAAGAGAAATTTAGGCATTAGAATTATTAAGGGCTCATTATTTGCTGCTTTCATCCACAAATGACTGAACACTATATACAAAAAACTTCTAACCTGAGCCTTGCAGCTGATGTCCCCACTTTCAACCTGGCTCTGTGAAAAGAAACATGCGCATCAAAATAAAATCATTGATAATTATTACAAGCCAGAGTGTAAAACCTAATTATTATTATTTTTATTCAAAACTAATCCTATACCGTAATCATTCTAATGATGCTGGGGCTCCTTTCAAAACTTTCAGAAGGAGAGCTTTATCACAGAGAGGAGCAGGAGCTTGTACAAAATCACTGAGGGCCAAAAAGGGAGTCATCATTTTTCTTCTAAACACACTGCCCTGCTTTAAAAAAAACAGTGTGCATTTCTTCTGTTCGAAAATCCTTGACTATTCAACACAGAAGCAAATACAGGCTTTGAAATACACCCTGGTATTTTCCACCAAGGTATTACAATATTATGCAGTGCAGTAAATAAGCATTTGTATACCATCAAAATGAATTGCATGTGCATTTTTCCCCTACTATTTTAACTTGATAGACTCTGTCTCAACCAGAAGCAGGGTTGGGGAGGGGGGTATTCAGAATTTTGCTCCTTTCTGCTACAAGTTACATACAGCTATAGCTGTCAGTTACAAAACTAGTTCAAAGATATGGGGCTCACCTTTAGACTCCTAAACCTTGCAGTATTTTGCTGCAGTGAGTCAATGAAGAAAGTGAACAAGCCATCCATGTGAGAGTGTAATTCTTGTGTAATCTGTTTCTTTCTATTGGCATGCAGATTGCTATCCATTGACATTACATCTTCCGCAAGTCGCAGAAGAACCATCAGCACCATTTCTGTTTGCACATTCTGAAGGTCAGAAAAGTGAAAGCTAGTCAGCTGATGGTGATCTGATAAGGAACATACAGCTGGCCAAACAGCCACTCCAGACCATTCTGTCCAATGTCATGATTTTAGATTCTTAAGAGAATTTTGGCAAATTCTCTCTGTGTCCTTTGGATGTGAAGAAACTTCTGAAGTTCGGAGCTACCACAACACAATGAAATACTGACACTTCCCCTTTACAGCATCTCATCACAATATCAAAAGAGTGAAATCAAGCTTATGCCTCACCCCCATTGTACAGATGTCATTGAGGTCTGAAAGCAGTGATCCCCATTTCTGTGGCCACTCCCTTTTGGTTATCTCCACCACCAGCCTTGCTAATGCTTCCTTGATGTGGAATGGTTCATCTGGCAGGGAGCCACTTCCCTGGTACAAAACACACAAATTGAACAAGAGACAATGGAAATCTTTGGACAATAAAATTTACTTTTGCATCTGAATTATATCCAAGCTTGGTTTGAGATATAAATATACATGTATAATGTCCACTTAACCACATCAAAGTTAGTTTCTCCTCAGCAATTTCTAATTACTTCTTAATGACTGTACAAAAATTAATTTACAAAAAAAGAGGCTAGAGTCCAAACTCTGAATATATTAAATGTATTAAATTTGTTAAATGAACCACAACATTTGTCTAAAATAAAAACTCTGAAACTTCTTAAATTCCAAACAAAAGGGCTGCACTAACAAAAACTCAAAAACAACTTATTAAAACTCAGCCAAAATAACGACAAAAGTTCATGAAAAAAATGTCCATGTCAGTTTTCAAAAGTCAAGGTTAGAGTTCTTCTATGTGATTGGTTAATTTGTGAAGCCACATGCACCACACATGAATACAAAAAGACTACAAAGGGGGGAGAGGAAGAGAAAAATTGTTACTTGAAATTTAAAAAACAAAATTTTTTTTCTACAATGACCTAAGGTGGGGCAAGGGGAACCCTCACTCTTGTTTGAAATCTTTAATTTCATATCTTTTAATGACTCAAAGTGAATTAATGTTTCTTCCTTCTAGCTCCAATCAATTTGGTAAGTTTGGTGCTAATTATTAAAGATTAAAACCTTCACATGATAAGTATAAAAAAGCAAATGAAAGCAAGTGCATTTCATCATTTATGGGCGAAGTAGTTTTTGAAAGTTCTTGCAATTGTGCAAGCCATAGGACTCAAGAAAAGAGAGAAGTTACCTCCTAATTCAATAGGAAAATCTGTTTGTGCTCTAATACAAACTTGAGGGTACAGTTACCACCCCTGAATGGATAATAATAGCAGATATTGTTTTCAATGTACCTGTGCAAGCAAGTGAAGTGAGATCCCTTTCAATCTTGCTTGTTCATCTTCACTCATTGAATTCCAATTGAATCTGTCATTAAGACAAAAAAACAAACAAACAACAAATGTGAGAATCGTCCCTGAGGAACCTTCCTGTCTTGGCAATGGTTGCTAGAACTAGATCCAAAAAATAACTTTCAAAAAATTTGACATTAAAACAGATAACTGCACAGGTTCAACAACTGTCTCAAACTACTTGTCTCCCACCCTGTTCTTCCGTCTTCCCCCCCCTTCTCCCCCTTCCCCCCCTTCCCCCACTTCCCCCCTCCAAATTCCCAAATTCCCAACTTGTCAAATGAATTGGTGCCTGAAGTACAAAATCACATTCCTAACCTCAACCAGTATCCTAAGCTCTTAATGTATTAGAGAGCAGGCAGCTCATTTTGCATCAGGAGAATATTTCAGTTACTAAAAGGAATTCTTTAGCTTAGTTGCAATGTTCTGAACCTTTTTACTTTTATAAGTATACCTCTTGCTGGTCAATATCTAAATGACTTGATCTTAGAGAAGATAGGGGATTTCTTATAACCATAAGCACAAGAGAAATATTGACTCCAAAGTAATATTAAGAATTAGCTTTACTTGACTGCGTGTTCCAAAAGTTGAAGACCAGTATGTCGCACCATAGCAGAATTTTGACGATCAAACAATAGCTTGCCAACAGAAACACACAGTGGTGAGCTGGCCTTGAACTGCTCAATAAACTGAAAGATGAAAACAAAACAAACAAACAAAGGATAAGTTTCACATGTAAACAAACAGAATGAAACATGCATCAAGTAGATCCTTAGATCTCTTTTTTGCTTCTTTCTTTTTTTTCCCAGTAAAATGAAACTTTATCAAATAAACAGTACCCTGCACTTAATAAGCGGACACTAGCAAGGGCCCTTATATGTTTAAACACATATTTCTGCTGGTGTCACTCCTGCTTTCCATGGGAGTTTCCATAAAAAAAAAAAGTAATGTCACTCCCTCAGGAATTTTCCATTTTTTTGGTTTGTGCTTGGATTTGCCACATGCAAAAAGGGTTTTTATCATTTATTTATTTATTTATTTATTTTTGTTTATTCATTTTCTTTTTTCTATTGATGTCATTTGGTCTTTGAAGAGACAAGAACGAAACGAAAGCAAACTTCTTTTCTCTGCTCCAGATTATTACTTTCGCTCTCCTAAAAGTAAATTTGTGATATAAAAACACTACCTCATAAGCCTCTTTTCTTTCCTGTTGTGTAGTTAACGGATTCAGAGCCGCCTCGATAGCTTTTATCATTAGCAGCGCCACTTCCCGTTCAGCCGCCATCTTGCGGTGGGCACGCTTTTAACAAAACTTTGTGTAATGAAAATATAGTGTCCTTCCAAATGAAGTCCGCTGATAAATACATTTACATAGGCGTCTCCATCAGCTGGTTTATACTTTGTCGCAGCGCTCGCATAAACATGGTTTCTAGTTTCCTCACGAGGAAATAATGATCGCTTTTTTTCTCTATTAGGGCTTCATTTTTTTGCATTATATATTAAGACATTATCCATTCATTCCGAGGCTGAATGCGTCTCGGTAGGCAATATTTCGAAGAACGAGTACGCGCGCGAGAAATCGCGTGGAAGACGATGTCCTTGATCGATGCAAGTGACATTTGAATCTCGCTGTTTAGTGTGATTGTTTCCTTCCGTCTTAATGATGGCGGATGAATCGTTCACTGATGGCAGAGCATCGGAAGAACCATACACAAGGGTACGAACCTTGGGACGTGGGGCATTCGGCGAGGCAGTTTTGTATCGCAAAACAGAGGTAGGAAAATGGGAAGTCAGTCTGCGTTTTGCCACAACAAGCTAGTCTGCATCGATCTAGGCAAAATGTGCAAACTCTATCCATTTTGCAAATTTTATCTCTCTCCAGCGATCTTTACAGCAGAAAAGTGTTGATATATTTTTTAAGATGCTGGATATCAGATATTTTTCTGTTCGTGGCAAATTTATTTGATTCTTAGAGAGACCACCTGCCGAAATGATTGAAAAAGATGGAAATCGCTTTTGTTGACTTTGAACGAATTGCAATTGTATTTGATTATAGGAGAAGTTACTTCTTCATGATAAAGCCTGCATCTTAATTAATTAAAATGGCTTTGGCAAAGTAATGTTTTAGATATAAAAAAATGATGGTAGTTTGAGCGCATACTTGTATCAAGTTGCCACATGTTGAAAGCTCTGAATAAATTTGTGTTTTTAATCAAGCTTAAGTGATTAAAGTGGCTAAAATTCCGCATTGGTAGCTAAATTTTCCGCTTTTATAACATAATTTCTCTATTTATGTGTACATTTTTTTCAATACTCAGAGGGATATAATTTACCAAACCTACCTATCAAGAGGCTAAAATGCCTACTAAACGTTTTAAAAGAGAAAAATTTACAGCTTAATTTGCAGTTTATTTTTTCCAAGACCAGAGACGATTTCAAGATCATTCAATAAATAAGTTTCACACAATTTTGGTAGCTTATTTAGCAGTGTACAATATTTTACTCTGAGTCAAAGAGATCAAGTTGTCTCATTGTCCCCACGTTAGTAAGGGTGTAATTTTCAGCATTTTGTTAATTTCAAATGTGGAAGTATACTCAAGTGACCTTTGAAAATATAAGCTTGCCTTAATCTAGCACTTTATTTAAATTTGATTAAAAGAAATAAATTTAATCTTCAGAGCATCATGCAGCGAACTATGGAAAATTAGTAATTCAGGAATCAGTAGAAGTGTAAGCAAGTGGTTATAATAGTGATAATCAGCTTATGATAATGCAGTGTTGGTGAGTTTCAGATATAATGTTACTCATCAAAGAAATGTGAGAGGTTTATTTTTGGAAAGCTGCACTTGAAATGTTTGGTTTTATCATAAGCTGTTTAGGATAACTAATCCTGTCTGGATTTAGATTACTGTCATTTGATATCCAGAGAAATAATAAGACAAGACAAGTTAATACTCAGAGGATTACACTGCATGCTTATAATGAGTGGATCTGCAGAGGTCACTACTAGAGAAATACTTCAAATTCTTTAACTTGTTATTCTTATTTGTTGGGCAGAGCATGTCTCATTTATCTACACATCAAGTTGTGGAGATTTTTAAAACCAGCTCCTCTTTGCCCGTGAATAAGCTGGCAATCATTTAGGATCTTGTATTGTTTATTCAAGTTTAAAATGACATTTTTTCACCTTTGGAATCAAAGATTTATATTACAACACATGACACACAAAAAAAAAAAAAAGATGGATGCCTATTAACTTTGATAAGCGAGCAATTGTTGAAATATTGTAATTGGATGACACGCAATTAGCACTAAATAGTGGGCACTTGATTTGTACTGAAGTGTTTGATAACAGTATTTTGAGATAAGGTAACAAATCCAATCCAACAACATGTTGGCAGATGCATTGGTCAATACATCAGCCTACAGTCGATGGACTGCCTATGGACTGGCAGCCAACTGTTGGCCCACTGGCCAGCAGATCCTAAAAGTTTCTGTTTTGCTACTGTGTTACAGCGAATCAGTTGTGTTTTTAAAGTTAATGTACTAAGCCTTCTTTGGAGTTTAACAGGCCTACATGGTTAACTGTCAGTAGGCTGGTAGAGTCAAGGGTCCTTACAATGTGACACTGGCAGAACCTATAAGTTTCTGTTTTTCCTGTTGTGTTACAGCCAATCAGTAGTCTTTTTATAGTTAGGTCTTTTTCCAATGTATCAAGCCTTCTTTGGGGCTTAACAAGTCTGCATGTCATTCTCTACTACCTCTTCCCCTGTGAGTCCCACCTGTCAGTCATAATCCTGCCATTGATTTCATCTCAATATTAGCAACCATTTTGAGAAAAAATCAGTCTGCTTTTAATAGTTCAAACAGATTTTGTTTTTGATTGGTAAATTTAATGTTGTTTAGTACTGTTTGCGATTAGTTGTTTTGTTATGTGATTTCCTATTTAGGACAATGTGCTTGTTGTTGTAAAGGAAGTGAACTTGAGTCGAGCAACTGACAAGGAGAGAGTGGATGCAGAGAAAGAAGTGGAAATTCTCTCCTTACTAAATCACACTAATATTGTGACATATTTCAATCATTACATTGATGGTACATCACTGCTCATCGAGATGGAATATTGCAATGGTGGAACTCTGAATGACAAGATATATGGTCAAAAGGAATTATTTGCTGAGGAGGTACTCTCATAATTCTCAATGTCCTGTTGACCGGTTAAGTTTTGTGTGTTTTTTAAGTTGATATTGCTACCCTAACTAATGGTACGGTTACTGTACTTATGGTAGTGATGAAATAAATCACAGATGTATTTTCAATGGTGAAAACTTTAATTTCGTTTTTCATTTCAGATTGTGATCTGGTATTTCTTTCAAATTTGTTCTGGAATGAGTCATATTCATGAATGTGGTGTTGTTCACAGGTAATTGAGTCTTTTCATTCAATACCTTTTGACGTTGAATACTTTTCTCAAAGCTAATAGATACATTTATCACGTTCATCTTACTGAGTGAATGGAGGGGAAAGAAGAGAAATACTGGGTCACTTTTTTTTAAGCTAATACAGTAAATATTATAATGTCCTTGCCAACTGAATAAAGGGACAGAAGAGAAAATATTTGGCCAGAAGTTATGAAAAACAGAGGGAGCATCATTACTAAGAGCCAAATACTCCTCTGCCCCACCCCACGTTATTCATGAGTGATAAAGAGTGATGGTCAGTTTTATCAAATGACCATCACTTTTTGGTTTTCTTCTCTCTTCTTTCAACCTGCATCTCACAATGCCATACACTTGAAGCTGAAGCCGTCCCATTTGGCCCTAAAACTGATATTTTTGTCTAAAGTTTTCAAGAAAGCAGACAATTCAGGGGCAGTGCAGGTCATGATATGTTAAATTTTAAGGCATGATAATGAAACACTGTGTTTGTTTTTCTTGTTAGAGATATCAAGACCCTAAACATCTTTCTGACCAAATCTGGACTGGTAAAACTTGGAGACTTTGGCATAGCAACTGTGTTGAAAAGCTCCAAAGAATACATGGCAGAATCTGTAAGAAAAGTGCCTCAGAGTTTATTTTTTTCTGATCTATAAGAAAGGTTGGGGTGCTATATAATTACATATCAGTGTAGTCACCTTAGCCTTTAACACGAATCAAAACTCAGAAACTGTCAAGCAACTTTTTATTCTTACGTATATGTAAGCTTTTAAATTACTACTGATAATTATTAAATAAACTAGGTACATGATTGTATTTTGTCTTAATTGATCTCAACAATTTCTCATAAATTCATCGTTCAGTTCAAAGAGCAGAAATTGGGGTTGAACTGAGCAACAAAAAAGTTGCAAGAATTAAGATGCTATGTACATCAAAATATTAGATTTATCTTAAAGGTTTTTTTTTTTTCATTTTTTTTTCCATTTCAAAGCAATTCATAGTCTGTGATGGTTTTTAGGTTGTTGGAACACCATATTATATGTCACCAGAGATTGTTCAGGGACAAAAGTAAGTACTTGTTCTTGGGTTTGATTTATTTCTTATATTTAGTTCATTCCTGTGAAGGGCCATTGTTGATTGAATTTAACTTTCACTTAAAGGTACAACCAAAAGAGTGACATGTGGGCTCTGGGGTGTGTCCTATATGAGATGCTCACCTTAAAAAAAGTGTTTGATGCAACTGTAAGTAATAATTATAATAATAATAATAATAATAATAATAATCACAATGATAATGATTAAAAAAAATAATGTAATAATAATGTTGGTAATAATAATAACAATTGAGGATAAGCTAGACTGATCTTCACAGTAAAGAACAAAAGAACGCTACTTATAAGCTGTAATGAAAATAAAGCTTGAAAAAATTTTCATTATGAGTTAGACTTGAAGTGCAGAATTACTGCATGTAAATGAAGATGAGATCCTCGCAATGATGAGCATTACTTATTAATGAGCAGGAGTGAAAATGAAACCTAAAAAAAATTTGGCCATGTGGATTAATAAATGAGCACGAGAACAATCTTCCCAATAATGAAACTGTAATTCAGCAACATGCTATCCTTACATTGACAGTCATTCAATCCTCACTTCATGGGTTTATTACAAACAAACAAAAAGACCAACTCCCAGATGGTTTGTTAGCTTGGTTGGTGGAGCTCTGCACCAATATCTCGGAGGTCATGGGTTCAAATCCCTTACAACCTGAATATTAAGAGTGCCCATTTTATTCAGAAATAATTTAATCAAACAAAATTATATACATTATTTTGTATATCAATTTGTACCTACTTTGAAAAATAAGTGAAGGGATTAAAATTGAAGCTGTTTCTCAGATGATTGGGTAACAAATTGCAAAGCCTACATCACGTCTTATACCTGCTGCTAAAGTAATGATGATCTAGAAAATTAAAGGGGTTCTTTGTGTTTCCTTGTAAAAACACTAACAGTGTTCTTCTCTCTTAGAATCCTCTTAGATTAGTATCTGAAATAGTGAAAGGGAAATATGACGATATTGATCCACAGTATACTCAAGACATGAACAGCCTGGTAAAAGTCCTGTTGTCGCAGGTCAGGAGGAAAGAAATTTCATGCACATTAGTTTTTAGTCTAGAGGCCTTCAGCTAAACTCTACATCTTTGAAATCTGACCACATTGTATTTCTGAAACAATTACATGTACTTTAATTTGACACTAGAATCCTGAAGACCGGCCATCAATCAATGGAGTTCTTGCTATGCCTTTGTTGAGCAATTTAGGAAGGTATGTGTGACTCACCCATTCCTTTTAAAGATCTCCAAATCAGTTTGTGTAAGAAATGGAACGTAGGTACATGTTATGACTGGTAATCATTAATTACATAGTTATGTTTAATGGGTTCCTAAAAGTTATGCAAAAAAATTATGGAAATATTAACAGAAGGATAGCCAGAGCCATTATTAACACTGAAGAAATATGACCCAAGAGTGACAGCAATAATTTTTTTCAATCAATGTTTATTCAAGTAGCTTTTTTTTTAATTTTTGCTTGCCAAGAAGGTTTTGAGGTGCACTGAAATCAAAGCAGAACAGAATATTGGATCATTTAAAAGTCAGTTACAGGAAAAGCAATCTTATAATTCTCTTTTTTTTTTGCCTTTTCATATTCTTCTTCTTCGTGTGCTCAAAGAGAGATGGAAAAGAAAGTTTGGGAACTAAATTCTTCAACCAGGCGGGCCAGGTACAGTATGTGTATTCTTATATTTTTAACTTTCCTCTACACCAGCAATATTTTAACTCCAGTGGAAGACCATTTCACAAAGTCGTTTCATTAAAATAATATTTAACTCTGCTAGTTACAGCCTACACTCAACTTACGATGTATTTCTCAAGACTCGCCGATCTCATGCACAAGTCCTCGAAACTGAAAGGGTTTTTTTTCTACCTCTACTTTTTCAGGCTAGTCAGTGGATCAACTGAAGTTGTTCCTGTGATTACAGCCAAAACGAGCGAGGTAAGAAACTTGATGAAGCGATCAGCCCCTTATGTAGTGTATTTGCATCAGAATTTCACTTTCATGCAACGTGCCTGATCACTTCAACAATGAGTAATGCATTTCTCGTCCTTGTGAATAAACTTTAAGCGTTATCAGATCCGTCACATGTCCATTATTGCAGAGGATATATGCGTTATTGACCAAGCGTGAGATAACGATGGTTTGACATTGGCCGAGTTCCTTTTTGTTCTTTTTGCGTTTTTATGGACTGAGACGAGTTCACGTCAATTCTCTGTTTTTGTTTTCATTTTTGCGCGGGATCTAAGCGGGCAATTCCGAGCGGGCAAGTTGGGCTCATGTTTCCCGCTCAGGTAACCAATCAGTTGTCCAAAGGCTCATGTTTCCTGCTCAGGTAAAAGCCAATCAGAAAGCACAGGATTCTTCCCACTTCTCTAATCGTCCAAAGGCGCTGCCAGTTCCGTTAAATTCCCCATGTATTACTTCAAAAACCATCAAAGTTCAAAACCATCAAAGTTCAAAACCATCAAAGTTCAAAAACCATCAAAGTTCACACTCTGCGATAGTTTACAAACTAAAATAATTCGGCAGGTCGAATTTAACACTTTTGCCTGAAGTTTTTAATTCAGAATCTTGAAGTGAAATGTTAAGTGAACTTCAGCCGAATTATGGCTCATAAAAACACGCGGGTTTTTTCACATGACAAGGTAGAAAACAAACTGTTCAAGGCGAGTGTTTTTTAAATGAACGACAGCCGAATTCACCGGAACATGAAGATCGCTCGGGATGACAGCGCCGCAAAACTCGGCTGCAGTGACTGAAGTGACTTTCCACTCAACACATTGGAAAGGATATCAGAGCGAGCACTTATTTTTTCACTCGAAGGGCGGCCGATGTAGTTTCTGAGGCTTGCTTTACTGTGATGACCGGAGATCGGCATGATAAGTGAGCCGCGATGGACTTCAGCATGATCATATTTGCTCAGACACCGTCATGATTAGTATGAATTTTAACAATTATGCCAGTTTGGTTATATTTTTCATCATTTCTGTTTTGTTCTGTTTTGTTTTTGAACTTTGAACTTTATATACTATACGAGTGTTGGCTGTGTTTGATTTTCATTACCGTACGTAAGCTTGCAATCTAACTGAGCGTGAAAATCTTTAAAACTCGGAATGTCTATTTTGTTTTTCCTTTGAGGATTTTCGTATCTGCCTACGTTTTAATAACGTAAATAACGGCGCCTGGTATGTTTACAAACCTTTCTTTGGTTCTTCTGTTACTACTTGCCGGCTCGCTTGTTCCGAAATTTCACTTTCAATTATCGGAAAAAAGCTAAAAAGAAGTCCCGGAAAAGGTCGAACATGGTACAATTTGGCAGATGGCGTGACAGCTTTAGCTCAGTTCTATGCTCTATACTCTCATAGAGCACGCTCTTTCAACCAATGACAGCACGCGTTATATCCGAACTTTATTATAAAATAAATTATGATATTGCAAGGATATACTTTTTTAATTATTAGATATTATGTTATTGGTTAGGGTAAGGATGAACATCAAACAACATATGTATTTCTCTTATTTTTGGTTGCAGGTATTCTACTGGGGTGGTGGTAAACAAACTCCTCACAAAGTTGACATGTTCCAGGGAGGTCATTCTGCCCTGCAGGTGAATTTACCTTCTGTTCATTTTCTTTTACTCATGTCAGGTTATGCCCTGGTAGGCCAAGATCATTGTCAGTACAAACGTTAGAATATGTTAAATAAATTGCCATGGAGTTTAGCAGTGGTACATTCAACGAGGCCACCTGTTCCAACTGAAACATTTTTGGTGTTTCGTTCTTAGTGGATAGAAGGAGAGACCTGCATATGGGACATTAATTTGGCCCACTTGTGTTTCCAGGGTGAAGAATACAAGGTTTATTCTAGGACACAGGGATTCCGCAATGCAGTAAAGAATTGAAGCGAAAAACTAGCAATATGCGTCTTAAGGTCAAATAGGGCAAAAAAAATGCGCCTTCGTACAAGAATCATTATAAAGAAACATTTTGCCTTTAAAACAAAGTGCATGCACACTTAAGAATTTAAATGACATCAAAACTGATACGAGAGCAGCTTTATCGCCTCACTGTCTAATTTTCCTCTCTCCTCTTCGTTTCCTCACTGAATATACGCCGAAAATACGTTCAAACACCTTTTAGGGCACCCATTTCTAGAATAAACCCTGGGAATAAGGAAGCGCCACAATGTCAAGAGGCGAACGTTCTCACTCCTGTGATCGCGATTGCCTGCTATTTCATTCTTTCCTAGACGCTTCACTCTCAGCACCTAGGTCTCCCCAGTCTCCCACTCATCTACTACCCTTGGCACGATATGACATGCTATGATATGGGGTTACCGATGTTGCTGTTGACCATTTGGATAATGTTAAACGATCACAAAATGTATGACGTGTTTAGCTCTCCCGGCCAGAGCTGCAGGGTACTAATTTTGAGTGATTTTCACAACTGTAATCCAGTTTGACTTTTCTGTTAAGTCTGCAATCAGAGATATTTTCATTCAATTTCAGCTTGCTGTTGGTCAGTCTCATTTTGCTGTTGTCACTGTTGAAAACGAATTATTTACATGGGCTGTAAGTATGAAATTTTCTTCAAATTCAAAATACCTTTTTTTTTTTATTAGTAACCTCTTCTAACCGTCGCCTGTTTGTTACCCAGATCAGTGATTTTTTTTGTGTCGATATTGGAATGGGACACATGTGTGAGCATCTTTATCGAAAGTACTTTTTGCCCCTAAACAAACTGAAGTTCCTTTGGTTTCATCAGCTGAATTGATGATGAAAACTGGCCGCCGTAAGGAGTTTCTAAAGCTGATGTTACGAGCGTTAGCCCTTTGTTAGAACGAATGACGAATTGTCAGTGCTCAAAACGCCAGTTTTAGAGAATTTTTCCGATGGCCAATTTATAAATACTGTTGTTAAAACCAAATTGTCTACAAAAACCTAAACCCTGAAACTGAAGAACTAAGTCGCTCAAGGTGTTATTTTGGAAGGTTCGTCGAGAAACCAGAATCGCTTTGTAAGTAGTCGGTCAAAGCCGATCAGAACACGAAAATATCACTTTTAGCCAATAGGATATGAGAGCATAAACCAGGAAACTACCAGAAACATGAGTGTCCATTGGATGTAGACTTGCATCTGATTTGTCGAGGATGGTTGGAGTTTTCTTGACCAATCACAGAGCCTTGTAAAGCAATACCAGCGTAATCCTGGATTAATTTCACCTTGATAATATCTCTCTGTTTAAGAATGCTCATGGCGGTAAGCAGATGGTGGGGCAATTAGGGCATGGAGATACCGCCTCTTATCGCATTCCCAAACCAGTTGAAGCTTTACACGGAATTCCTATCAAACAAGTGGGCTGTGGAGATGAATTCACTGCATGCGTAACAGGTACAGTTGTATGTCTTGTAGCAACACTCTTGTGTAAGTTCATCAAAGGTCGACATAGATCCATTACGACGTGTTTCCACGAGAGTTTTCGACAATAAATTTTATTGTTTGGCCAGGTAACTGGTGAGATGAAGCGGATCCAGTTTTCTGATTAGCTAACCTAGAGGGAACATGGGGTAAATTGGTACTCTGTCTCAATCTTCTTCATCCCTAAACATCTTGGCCCTCCTCTACTTTCTTCTTACGTCAGCGGTGTCTCTCTGCCCCAGCGACTCTATCAACCTCAGGGCAATCCTCTTTGGCTCCTAACGTTAAATCGTTTTAATGTAATTCTTGACCTAAAATCGAATTCTCATAAACCAATATGTAGGAGGTGTATTAAAGCTGTTGGGGAGAATTCTGATACAGATATCCATTTATTTTTCACCAGAGGAAGGTGCTTTGTACACATTTGGGTCTGACTACTGGGGCTGCATTGGTTGTAATAACGAGTTGGACGAAGAAGTCGTAACGCCTTACAAAGTGGAATTCTTTGTTGATAATCCTGTGCTACAAATAGCGTGTGGCGAGTGCCATGTTGTAGCTGTTACGGGTTAGTTTGCATCGCATTCTAGTTGTTAATACTGGCCCTAAAACTGATATGACCTCATTTTGCCAATCACAACATGTTGATAGGGCGCGGCGATCCAATCAGAGCTCATGGTGAAATTTTGTAAGCCGTGTCCTGCACGGGTAAAATACATGAACCGAATCCGCCATTAGTGTTGGTTTGTATCCAGTTTGGTTTCAACCACTTCTTGACAGAAAACCCGATGAATTTAAACTAAACCCTTGCAATGGCAAATGAAGCGAATGAAAGTACGCTTAATTTGCCCTACTTAAGAATAACTTGTTGATCGTGTTCACCGTCGTTTTAACCTTTTCCTTGTTGCAGTTTCGAAAGAAGTTTATTCGTGGGGTTGCGGCGAATACGGTAAGTTTACCTATCTCTGAAATTGAACTTAAGCGAATAAGGACAACGTTTTGCATTCTTGAGTTTCCGCTAGGAAACAATTCTATACAACCTCACGTACTCGTTGTTAATATAAGTGGGAGCATAGCTTTTCAGTCGTCTACTCCGTTTTTTAACTCGTGAATTGCGCGCATGCGCAAGAGCGAGTTATAGATATGATGTGGAGAATGGCACTCGCTCGCTCGATTGGTCGATTCCTGTAAACTTTTTTTCGATTTTAGGCTTTTGAGTGCATTTGATAGTTTTTGGCGAGCAATAAACAAACGAAATGGCGACCTTTATTGCTAAGAATAGTGGTGGGGTGAAAAAGAAGCCAATGCTAATCTCAAAAGAGTTTTTTTTTTCGTTTTAGTTTCAACAAGCGGCGCCAGCGACTGGCAGGCATGCAAGGATTCACACTTAAATAACAGAACAACCTTCGCTTTTCATAAAATTGTAATTTACATTCCTTGAACTTGAAAACAATTCGAAGATTCATTGAAAATATCACTTCCTGCGAAGCGCTCGGAGTTTACAGATGTTCAAAAGCTTTTTCTGTCATGGCGTGAGATTGAGGACAAAATCGATCATTACGTTTCGTATCGTGTGTTTTTCCTGTGTGAAGTAACAAAAGATGCCGGCGACTGACAAAATTACAAGTTATCACGAAAATCAAATAACACCTAAACAAACAATTTTAGCTACCGATTTTCAGTGAATTTTTAAAGAACAATTTTATTTTAAGTTTCAAGACAATTTGAAGATTCAAAATAAATACTACATACTAAAATGCGAAAGTTATACACCAAAAAATTGATAAATGGGCCTGAAATGAAATTTTATCTTGTTATTGATTATACGTTGCCTAGCACGTGACTAAAATCTACCCAGGCGGAGATCCAAACTGACGGTGGCAGTCTTGGCTTAGTTATATCACTCAAAACTCGTTCCCGTTTGCCTCATTTGATAAAGAGGGAATCGTTAATGTTTTCATTAAGAGAGTACTGCCATGATTTTCTAATATTTCCAATGATAGACAGTAAATTTCACTTTTTACCCACATTTACTTCCAACCTTTTCTTTTGAACCAGAAGCAAAAATGATAGACGTTTAAAACACATGACATCGTCCACCCTTGTCAAATGTAATAGCACGATCATTTCAGTTGTAATTCCTTCTTATCCCAACGTTAATTTTTTCTTTGCTACGAACACTGAACTACTGCTCGTACTCTAGATATGACAATCAACCACAAAATTCCCTAAACCAGCTAACATTAAACATAATCCAAAAAATCATGTGTCAATTCATGAGTTTGCTCACAGAGCACTTTGATTTTTGTAATCTTTGCATGCCGTCAGGTCGTAGCAGTTTTCTAATTCAGCTGTTTTTTTTTTCCTTTCAAGGTCGTTTGGGTCTTGGAAATGAAGACGATTGTGCTGCCCCACAAAAGGTAAACTGCACTGATTTGTTAAAATTTATTTATTTTGTTATGACGATGAATCGGCTTCCATAGAACTCTATGCTCGCAAATTACGGGAAGAATTGAAATCCCTCACTCGTAACAATTCAAATTAATCGTACTCTTGATGTATTTTGTGCCAGGTGGCTGTACCACTGCAGTGTAAGGTTACGTCAGTGTGCTGCGGCTCAGATTTTACGTTCTTGCTGACCTCAACTGGACGACTGTTGGGTTTTGGTAACAATGAAGATAATCAATTAGGACTTGATACACCACAGTCACTCAGGAAAAGACAGACAAAGGTGCATGCGTTTTACTGCTAAATGTGACTCTTTAGCACAAAGAACTCTAGTTCGCTTGCCTCTGTGGAAAATCCAAATTATCTACGAGATTAATTTTGCAAAAGAGGGAATAACATAAGCATGAAAATTCTCTGACTTTCTTCTACCATTCTTAGTGCAAGTCTTGAAGCAGAAAATTTAGCATCTTATTAAGATATTTATAAACAAGTGATTCTGATTTTATGGAGTACAAGTTTTGCGATTAGCTATTGAAGTTGTTCTGTTTTGAATTGCCCTTTTTTTCTGTTGAATTGTGCGGTGATCAAACATTCAAAAGCCGTTTGTCGTACCTCTACGTCATCTAATCGGTGACGTGTTTGTTTCATTTTCAGTCAACCACAGGTCACATACCATACGTCACTCTTCCTAAACCTGTTATGCCTCTTAACAAGTGAGTACTTTCTTAAAAATACTAGTTTGCTCTTTCTCCTACATTTTTTCGTATTTCAAAGGCGCAATGCTGAGGGAGGTGATCTGCAATGAATTAGTATCCCAGCTAAGGGAAATAGATTTAATCTTAGTTGTCGTTGGGAAAAGCTATGACTGTGTGGGCCCATTTGCTTCTGTACAAGACGTAACGATAAGAAGTTGCCAGGCAACCGTTGAATTTAGTGGTATTAAGATTACGTTGACTGACACCGCCTTTAATGATGTTTTTTTTCTTTGTTTGTTTGTTTTTTGGTTTATTTTTATTATTACTTTTTCAGGTACAGCATAACCTTTGTTTCAGCCGGGAGATCACATTCAGCTGTTATAGACGGTAAGCTTGTCGGCCACGGAAGGCGAAGTTTAGAAAAAAGGGGTCGCTAGCCCATAGCTCAAAGTGTCTATGTCTAAATTTTGGTTGTTTTCTCGTTAGAAGAATGATCTGAAATGACCTGCAAGCACTCTTGGTAGAGTTTCGAGTTCTACATTTATATTGCTTCGTATGCTGCCTTTTATTGGTTGTAACTTAAGCGCGGAAATTGTAGACGGAGAAACAGCTAATCAGTGGCGCTAGAACATTTCTGTGAAGTTGCTTCATCAGGGTTCAGCCTCCTTAGGAGTTTCGAGAGAGAAAGCGAGCAGGCTGAAGTTTATTAACTTTTGAAGAGTAGCTTCTGATTGCTTTTTACTTTTGCACGTAAATTTAAACGGCGAAACAACCAATCAAATGGGCTAGACAAATTTCCGTATTATTGTCCTTAGGGTTGATTCTTTATTTTCTCGCAAGTTACGAGATTGAACTCGAGCACAACGAAGTCACTTTAATTTCAAGGTTAGCTTTCCGTTAACCTTTTTTCTTTTTGACTTGTTCACAGCCTACGGCCGGCTGATAACAGTGGGGTCCAATAGGTTTGGGCAGTTGGGGGTGGGGGATTTCAAGCCCCGGGCGGGGCCCTCTATCATCGGTGGAGAAATGGTCGGTAAAAAGATTGTACATGCTGCATGTGGAGATGACTTCACCGTTGTTGCTACCGCAGGTAAGCGATTTACACAGGCTCATATAGTCTGAGTCTATGGATATTTACTCGTACTGTTCTGTTTAAAGCACAGTCAAATGATGTGTCTGGAAAGCGAAAGTCCGTAACAACGGAGAGCACGAACATACCGTTAGGCGAAAGTTCAACCAGAGCGATGGTCCAGGAAAAAAATTGAAGTTTTTTAGATGTTTGGCGGACATAGCGATCTAGACCACCTCAGATATAGCGTGGAAATCTGTAACATCGTCGCATTTCAATTTTGATTAGTGGCTGAAAGAGCGCAAATCAAATCAAGCAATTCTGCTTTGATATCCAAAGATGAAGACTAGCGTCCGAAACAATAGCATTATACTTTTAGGACCGAGGAAGGTGTCCAGAAGTCAGAAATAAAAGAGTTTTTTCGTCAAATATGTATAATCTCGTCTGGAGATTTGCCAGGAGTTGTCCGTTAGATGAGAACTGACTGTATGGCTAGTTTTTTTTTTTTGTAACATGCTCCCCTTTTGTTGTCTCAGATAATCAGATCTACTCGTGGGGTAGGGGCGACAATGGTCGACTTGGTGTATTGACTGACAGCCTCGCACGGGCAAAGGGTGGAATCCCGTGCACAGCTGTCCCCAGGCCTATTTTTGGTGCCTTACACGTGATGTCTTGCGTGGCGTGTAGACACTGGAATTCTCTTATCGTGGCTGGTAAATATGAAACAATTCATGACATACTTTTGAAAACAAATTTATTATAATAGGAATGGCCATTTTTTACTTGCTCCATTTATTCCCCCCTTCAAAGAAATCTTTGTGCAGACTTCGGCCCAGTAATAGAGCCATATTTTGGTGTTGATGTGCGGTCTCCCAGCGGATATTTTAGGTGAAGTGTGAAGAAGTTTACGAGGACTGGGGAGAGACGTTTAGCATGGGTTCCTCACGCAACGCATTCTCAAACAGAGCAAAGATGGAGAGAATCGTTTGTGAAAAATGAGACTAACTTACGTGTAGCGAAAGAAGTGAATGGTATACAGGGTTATGGTATGTGTTTTTGTTTAAGTGAATTTCAGAACATGGAAATTACCTCTCTCATCTGTGAACTGAATTACAAATGTGAAAGAGTGGACCACATTTTCGTGCAAATTTTTGACTTCTTCATTCTTATTTCCACAGAACGTGTCCTCAGCTCGCGGACTGTCAAACGTGGAGGGTCCCAAGGACGATCTCTGGAGTCACAGTCATGTGAGTGCAGTTGCTATTTCTCAGGGAGGGGTGGGAGACGGAGAGCAATAGATCCTTATGACATGCGTATCAAACATGTCACAACCTGTTTTTTGATTAGCTTGTAGTTTGAAAACCAACAAAAACTGCAAATTGAGAAATGAAATCCGTCTAAGTATAGATTATTTTTCGTTATTTTTTCCCCGTCGGAGGTCTTTTAGGATAGACTCAAAGATTAATGAACACACCTAAGAAAAGATAAGCCATATCCTCCTGAGGCGACAAATTTTTATGTACCTTCGACAGCGGGTGATAACGGCGGAGATTCAGTCTTTTCAGAGCAGATGAGATTGGACATCGATCATGACAGTGGCCCCGCCCTTCCGAATGTCCACTTTAGCGAAACTAAGGACTCCGGTGTGGGCCGCTCGCCTCGGGACCCTGGGCCCGGCTCCGGCCTCAGGAGTCTGGGAGAGAGCAGTGTACCACCAGCGTGGCTCCAGGATGTAAGTTTTCATTTATTGTTACTCTCTTAAGAAACGCCTGTAGTCTTTCTGCTACGAGTGATTTCGTTTCGAAGTAAAATTTGTGCTATGTGAACAACGGATAAGTAAAGCAAACACATTAACACTGGCACAAAAGCAAACACAAGGAGTGAGAAGCGTGAACCAAAAGTTAAAATTTCCACTCTCAAGATGTAAAGCTTCATCCTCTGCACTGTCTGCCAAACATCTCGTATCATTGTGACTCTTAGAATGTGGTGTTACATTGAACAATATGTCCTACAGATAATTCTTTTGTTCGTGACACCTTTTTTTTACTGGAAAATGGATTGATATTGTAATGAGATGTGCCATTTTGGTCATCTCTGGAAAAAAAAAAGATAAATAATCAAGAACAATGCTACGGATTATGAAGATCTATAACATTTTTGTGCCCAGTTTTTTTAAGCTATCGTTAAGAGATGAAAGTATTTTCAATACCTCTTCTGCGACGTGTCTTTTTAATCTTCTCTTTCTTGAAATCCTCTGCTATATCACGTTACACAGTTTAACATACCCGGCTCAGAATTTTTGGAACTTTTAAAACTCAACTCACTTCCTAATTAGTTGTTTGGAACTTACTTCCTGTTTCCCTTGTAGTGCTTTGCTAAGACTTTACGGGCTCAGTAACCGCGCCATTTTGATGTAGATAACTCTGACCCTTCCTTCCCTCCTTAGGAGCTTGATCAGGCGGAGTACATTTCCATTGGTTCAAGCAGCTCGCACAACTCCAGCAGGAGCCCGTCCCAGGCTAACACATCCAGTAATGAACGTAGTTTGTCCAATTCTGAGAGCAGTGTCCCAGGCTGGCTGAAAAATGTATGGATGTTAAATGTGCACTACCATTTGTTAGAAATTCCAATTCAGTTGTACTGATACATTAGTATTTTTTCGGAGTAGTTGTTAAATCATCGGTGGGTTGAGTCTTTGTTGTTTCAAATGAGTAAGGTATTAGTTTTCCCTCATTTCGCTCTGTTGTTGCTCAAGAAAACGCACACCTCTTTCTCAACCATTCAAATTTAGATCTGAACAAACCCCTCCATTGTTGCTCATTTTTCCTTCACTGTAGGTTCTCAGTGGCCCCATGTGATTTTTTTCCTGTGCTCTGATTGGCCATAGGCACTACCTTGTTTTATATTTTACGACGCTTAAATGATAAGCGTTCAATGAGGCGATAAAGAGTTATTGGTCCAATTAATCACCTATTTTACTTTTACAGGAACTTCGTGAAGCTGAGTATATTCCCAGACATGGCCCGTCACCAACTCCCCCTCCAAACCAATGGTAAGTAATGAAGCCACCGTCAACTAAGTTATCAAGTTGTGAAGTCAGATCCCCTAATCGAATTATTTCAAAGCTCTCATTGTAATGAATGGAAGCTAAATGATTGAACACCAAGAAAAAACAAGGTATTAAAGAGGGAACTGGATTGAAAAATATCTCTGGAGAGGTCGTCACACAGTGTGAATAAACAATTCTTGCGTTCTTCGATCCTGAGTATTAAGCTACCTTCCAATCGTTCATTGATAGCGGAACTTGAAGCGCGCGCAGCGAAGTCCTGTACTTATCACAAATAGTAGTAACTCATCGAGCCTGGAACATTTTCGGTTGCATTCCTATAAACAATGTTCAAATGTCGGAAAACTTTCAAGTGGAGCAAATTTATGACTTATAGTTGATGGTCAATAAAGCAACTACAATTGAAACAATTTCGATACGTTGGTATGGTTGGAACCCATCACTTTTTTCATTAGTTATCTTTATTTGACAGGAATCCTAGCTTCCTTTAACTTTGTAATATTACTTTTATAGTGAAATCTCGATGACGTCTGTAGCGGTCCAGTGTGATCTTCAGCCAGGTTCGTTTGCTATTTCATGGCCGATGGGAAAATGAGTGGTCGAGTGACTCGCAAAGTCGAATTCCATGGCCATTTGGGCGGTGTTCATTTCATATGAATTGGGGCGTATTTTTTTTAATCAATTATGTCTGTTCCAGCCATCTTTCACTCGAATCAATGTTTTCATCTTTTTCTTTTAACTTAGGTGATGTTCAAGAAATGGCAGCTCGGCTTTTACAGCTAGAGCAAGAGAATGCAAAGGTAATAGTTCGTTCTTGTTGATGTGCCCGGAGTGAAATTCTCACACCCAAGATAAAATATTTGTCTTTAACGTACAGAAGCGACTAACATATAATATCAAGGTGTTATAAGTAGACAAAGTCATCAATTAGAGAGTGTAATATTGATGAGCCACCAAATTCTCTCAAATTAACCCCTAGGAAATGCTTGGCAGCAATTAGGGAGAATCCGCTCTCAAATCCTGGGATTAATTGTATTTTTCGCGTTTTTATGGTTACTTGCGTATTTTAGGACTGAAATATATCTCTCGGCTAGTGAAAGGGTAATCAATGCTGGATTTCAAAATTCACAATTTACAACATCCTCCCCTTTGAACCTGTGATCAGGTCACGTTTTCTCGCCAAATAATGAACCGCGTAAATACGGCAAAGTCCATTTCAGGCACGGTAGATATAGAGAATAATGCATGGGCGCGCGTAGATATGGAATTTCTCTTTTATATCACACACACAAGTAAAAATTATAGTAATTTCACACGTGTGTTGTTACGTCTTTTCTCAGGGCTGGAAATCCTGGTAAAACAAGGCATTTATAAGTTGAAAAATATTTTTTCTTTCTCAAGAGCAAAATATACGACGCAAACTAACTTCAGCTAACTTTTCTGCCTTTACCTCTGTAGCTTAGAGAAACTTTAGCTCAGCAAAGTACCAAAATGAGGACTCTAAAGCGAGAGGTACGTTTTACACGATATAATTAATTAGCCAACGCACACAAATCACATGTAAAGGATGTTAGTTATTTTAAAAATAGCTTTAACGCATTTCCCTTGAAAGTAATCAGTAGTATCTTTTGGTTTATATGTATTAAAAAAATCAGAAAAACTGACCTGTTATACATGAAAACACAGGAGGAGAGAAACAGGTTGATTAGATAGGAAACTCTTGTTTTTGAAGTGTTCGTTGTTTGTTTCTACACCTCAGAATGCCACTTACATCGCAAACCAGAAGAGGTTTTGGGAATTAATCGATTCGTGGCACAAAGATTGTCAACAAGCCTCTGCGCTGACTTCCGATAATAAAGCGGTAATTTCGATTTTTTTTTTTTTTTTTTTTTTTTTGGCGTAATGTTTCTCGTGTTTTCTTGAAGAACAGGCAGTTTAAATCGTTACGATTGTGCTAGCATCAATTTAAATGTGTTTTATTTCGACTGTGTCAGTCTCTCAGTCAATGGGGACGAATGAATGAGTGGGCGGGAAAGAGTCGGTGGGATTTGTAAGAGGACCGACAGGGGATAGGGCTAATCGTTCCTTCCCTCTCCCGCTTGCCCAGCTTTTGCGGTCTTCCTTTAAAGGTGGTTTCCTAAGACAGGCTACACTGAATGATGTTCATAATGTATGTACACATTTCACTCTAGGAGAAATATAGCAGTGGTCCAGCTCACAACTTTACCGACTCCTCCGATGAAACTTGGGATGTGTGATATACCGGTGGATATCGCGCGTATTTCCCTCGGACTCCGAAAAAGGGGTTTGTGACTTCAGTAGCTGGTTGAATCTCAGACTTTCGTTAGAAACAGAGAATTCATCACCAGAGCTCGGTATACCAAACCATGACAACATAGGTAGTGATATTTTCAATATGGTCATTTTGTGTCTAGCACGACGTGGAGGCAAATTTACTCTCTCAGTCAGATTAGTCGAGAACCTCATTCTTAGTGGCTGTGTATTGGTAGGGAGTGTTATCCTATGGCTCTCTGTCACGCCAGGTTAGAAGGTCACGTCATCTTAGTGTAACTGTATGCTTAATTTGTTGTGCCGTTGCACGTCTTGGCCAAATTTCCATAGCGAGATGTGAGTTAATCAGTTATACAATTTCGTAACCTAGCCACATCTTCACGAGAAGTGAAATTAGTGTGTCACGCAAGGCGGTAAGCCCTTGTTTTTTTAGCTGAGCTAAAAAACTGGCTTTAATTAACGATCAAAAACTATGAGGAATGTGAGACTGCGTGACTGATCGATCATAAGTAGCGATGTAATTGACATTTTTATAGAAAATTTGGTTAACTATCGGTGATGTAGCTTGCGAGCAGGCTCTCATTACCAGCGCTGCAGCGCGATTTTTTCCGCCCGCGAGAAGATTGGAGACGAGTCGGGTAGAGGCCTGCCAGGGGTCTGGCACGGCTCATTAGCAGTGCTAGACTACTTGTAGAACTCTCACTGGCTTGTGTTCCTCTAGGCTTCAAACTTAGTTGCGGGCGAAGTGAAATTAGTGTGATACGCTCCCACAGAAGGGCGGGTGATGAGAGCCTGCGCTGAGGCTATCAGGCTATCAGTGATGTAGTCATGAATTCAAAACAAGATTTCGATAACTAGGAACCCGCTATTTGAATTTATTTAATAGGTAACGGGGATCTCTCTTGGAAATTGAAACAAAGGCAACAGCGTTTTATTTATCTTTGTTTATATTTAAGAAAAAACTCCAGGTTGTAAAATTTCTTATCAGTAATGTTATATTTTTTTAAGAATCGAAAAGGTTTATCAAGGGAGGAGAGCTGTTTATTTTATTGCAGATCGCGGAAGTACATTTTATTTGTTCGAGAATGAACGAACACTAAACATATGAAAATACCTTAAAACAAATGCACGGGTGAAAGCAATAAGCACTTTATTTATCATGAGATGGCAGTAGAGCACGTATTTATAGTAGACTAGATATTGTAATATTTACTCATAATTAGTCAATCGGTAAATGGGTTAAAACTTGTAGTAGATTTATTTATTGGACAGAGTAAGTAAGAATAAATTGAATTCAATCGTCTGTTGTCTGTCGAAGGCGAATCCGAGAAATTCATTGAAATAGCTTTTAGTTTCTTTGTATGTACAGTCTAAAGTACTCAGCTGTCGACTGTAGAGGCAGTGCAAACGAAAAAAAAACAGTAATGATACTTTGTTTATTGGCAAACTGTTTCGCTCCTTTCTCGTAAAATCCAGTCCTTGATAACCATTGATTTGGGCCAAATGTTTCCAAATTTGTCGAGAGCACTCCGTGTTCACAACTTCCACCTATAAACTATCTTTATTCCCTTATTTGTTTACTCGGATTACTGAAGAATTTGACCACCTTGGAAAACAATTATTGTTTGGTGGCTAGAGGAATCGCTCCCACGCAACCTAAATTGCAGGTAGTGCATGACTACCAATTTGTCACTTAGTAGCTCTGTGATCAGGTTGGTGCTACCAACAGATATCTTAACTTTGTACTGAAGTGCTAAGGGCCTTTCCAACCCCTCAATTTTTACATGCAAGGTTAATTTTATTGTAGAGCATCTGTCTACACCCACTTGTAATAACGTTGTGATGGTGAAAGCAAAAAAGGAAGACGCCAAATAGAAATTAATTAGCATATGAAGCTACCTTCTGGCAATTTGACGGCAGCCGCACAAGTTCCACAGACTTTCCACCGAAGAATTATTTCAAACTTCTAGACAGTATTAGATGCTTTTCAGAAATTTCAAAAATTTCCAAAGATTAAAAAAATATATTTATATATATTAATACGTTATATGCCTACGCTATATTCTCACTTTTTTAAATTTAGTTTCAATTTTCCCTTTTCGTTTTTGCACTTTTCGATTTCAGCGTTACAGCACTGTAATTAGGCGTGTATCACTGAACTAGTTTCCGACGTTGTGAGGTAGCGTCGTTATGATGACAATAGGGACCTTAAGCAAACCACGACGGCGACGACAACAAGGACATGGAAAAACAAAAGAACTAATTTGCAGAACAATAGCTCAGCACGTGCGTTTTAAAACTTTCTACATTTCTTAGCCGTATGCAAAACAACATCGTGAAATCTCCACAATCTGCGTCTTCTGCGAAACGAAACCGCGACGGCAAATTATTTTAATTCCCATTCGGAACTCAACGCTTCTTTTATACGTTATGCTGAAGTTGAGGTGTGGCGCCGTATGAGACGGTAAACAAATGCAGCCATTTTTTAAATTCTAATTTAGGGCAGAAATTCATTTTTTAATCGAAGTCTTCCTTGGCGTTGCAGTTCTGACTGCTTAAGGTCCCTAATGATTTGAGTCAAAAACCCGCTCCTTGATATCCCAATTTATTGCATGGGCTCCGCTCACTAAATTGTGCTGTCAGGCTTTTTTCTTAATTTTGTTTCGTTTGAGCGTGTGTTTGCCGTTCCATAGAAATCTGAAACATCCCCATCCAACCAATAGATTGCTGCGTATTACAAAGACTATTACACCAATAAGAATTCAGCTGCAAGCAAGACATAGATATTAGGTCGTCAGAAGATAAAAAGCCAATACTTAAATTAAATGGCGACGCTTCAGTCCATAACCTGTTTTGTTCCCCTATCCTCCCGGCGCACTTTTCCTCATTCACATCGGCCCCCGTGCGTCCCTTTTTTTTTTGATCGGTGCGAAAGGATCTATGGGACTGTTCATCAGCGGCACGGGACGAAGTTACATGGAATTGGTTTCAGTGATTGTTATCCGCACACAATGATTTTAAAAGCCTCAAGAACCCCCTTTTCAAGTACCATTTAGTATGGAAGATTTTCAGCTAAGTTCGTGCCGCTGTTGGTTGAATAAACTTTCAGCCGGATGCGTTCGATTTCCTGTCGTGCCATATCATTTCTCACTGAATGGCTTTCGAAATTAATCACGCACTCTGTAGATGGCCGGAGTAATCTTGCAAAAAGAACAGCGAAAAAAAATCTTTTTTTTTCTTTTTCCACTGTCATTTTCGACAAGTTACCTCACGCGTTTGAGGTCACAGAATTCTTCGTACAAGCATTCGACTCGTGAATTAACTGTATGCGTTCTCATTGTCAGGAACTCAACAGCAGTTCGCTTGTAAATTAAAACGTTTTGGTTATTGCCTTTGGCTAAATTCTTTTTTTTGTGTGATTCAGTGATTCAGTGCATCTTGAATAAAGCTCATGATAGGAAAGAAGAAGTATTTCGTGTTCTTAAGAAGAAGATTTGCGTGTTAAAAGCAATCCTACAGTATTAATCCCAAGAACAAAAGGAAAACTTAAATACATACAAAATTTAATTCTATGAAAGCAATCTAGATGACCTTGCTAAAATATGTATTATTTCGTCGGAAGAGCTTTTTTGAAAGAGTTTACATAGAGACGAATTAGACTTTTGACATTTATTTATGGTAAAGGCAGTAAACGCATATCTAAACTTTTTTTACCAGTTAAAGAAATTTGGAAACCAGTCAATATTTTGAGGTTAGCCACACCTTTGCCTCGGCGGCCATCTCATCAAACTTTATTTAATTTTGATATTTCTTTTCTTTCCGACAAAAGAAAAGCCGATGTCAACTGTAATATATGTAGTTTGTGCAGTCCATCGTCTCTCTAGAATAAGAAAAACAAAAAGCTCTCTTCACTGAAGAGGCTTTCCGCAGTCAAGTTTTTCATCGCCCAAGGGCCATTTTTTACCACCAAACTTATAGTTTTTTCTTGAGGCAATTAAAGTAATTTCTGATAATCAATTTCTCGTGGTCACGAAATAGAGCAGTGTCTCTTTTCTTCGCGAAAATAATGTTTTTTTGTTGAGTACTCCCGGAAAAATTTCGAATCTAAGACAGAACAAGATTGACACGTAAATCACACGCGTTGAATTTCCTCTGTTTTGTTTACTTGCCAGCGGATCCAGAAAGTTCGGCGCTTTAAGGATGCAGACAAAAGATTATCTAGGAGTTATTGATAATTCAGAATTATGCCATTAAGATTGGGATATTAAGACAATGATTGGCCACAGTGGTCAAATAATTGCAATGTGTATTACATTTAAATTTAAAACACCGCTTTATTTGCTTTGCGAAAGTGATATTGTCGAATAGAACTAAATTAAAATTGAAACTTCTTCCAGACCCCCCAATTGTAAACATCAACTTGTGTGATGAAGACCGACGCTTTGAAAGTCTGTCTCCGTTGAGTAATCTTTTCCTTGAAAAAACGTGAGTAGCTTTCATGCAATTATTTATACTCAAACTTTTTCTTTAAAAATTTTTACTCTCAACTTCAAGAAACCGCTAGAGGAAAATTTTTCCATATCGCGTGAGCGCCCCGTTAACAATGCGTCTTAACGGGCTGCCAAACAATGCATCACTTCAGATGGGAAGGATTAATTTCTAGAAATCTTGGCCATGTGGTGGGAAATATGAGACTTTCTCTCTCGAATTCTGACAAAGTGAATTCTTCTCTGTCAATTCCTAAAAATGAATAGATTCCAAGCTCTGACGTGGCTGCATGAACATGTCTCTACTGAAAATGTTTTCTTGAATTATCAACATTGCAAGATAAAATTAAAAAAACAGCCTCTTTTGACCTGTGAGCATAAAATGCGAATTCCAAGCCAGTTTAGTTGATCAAATAAATTTTAAACGCCAGAAAGCAACTTAGAGCTAAAAAGCTATTCACTATCTCAAATTAAATTTTTATTCCTCCAAAGAAATCAAAACAGTTATCAACCTCAGGGATTGTTTGTAAATTCAAACATACATTAATTTCAGTCCTAATTTTAGCCCGAGTTTAACCGGACCTTGTTACTCAAAATCACAATAGTCATTATCTTATTTAGAATATTTCAAGTCACTGAAACATTTTAAGTGGTTTTTATGTGTGTTTATTTTCTATACGTGAATTAATTAACATGAAGCTCCAGGCTGAATGACAGAAGTCCAAATCTGTCTGCTTATGTCTGAAGATCTGAATCGTAACGAAACATCAACAGTTGACAGTATTCAGTGTAATAATAAACCTTGGCGGCTCCTTGGAAAATATTCTGCATCGCCCGCTTACGAGTTTCTGAATTCGTTCCTTTTTTTTCGTTATAATATTATCAAGTGAGTTTGATTTCAGATTTTACTCAATGGTTACATCATTTACATTATTTCATCGAGTTTTCAAACCTTAGCCATTTTTCCTAAGTGTTTTCCTTTGTTTGACTTTCATGATCAGTATTTTGAATAATCAGCATGCGGCAAGTAACCTCTGTCATCTTTAAATATCTAGACTGGTTTCTCTTTTAGATCGCAATCGTTGTAAGGAGGCAGGCAGACAGTTCTTTCTCTTAACGAATAAACATTTTGTGCCTGCGCTTTCATCAAGGATAATCAAGATAATTTATTTTTTTATGGTCTAGCGTAGTCGTCTCACGCAACCGGTTTCGAACCAGTTCAACCAGATGAAAGGTGAATCATATGATTTCTATATGTTTGAGCATTACAGCAGAATTTTATAGTAAGACTCCAGGAAAATTGCAATTTGAATTACCTCCTATTCATTTTGCAGTTTGACTAATTTCTCAGCGACGTAAAATGATTTTTTTGGTGAACTTTTCTGTTGTGGACGAACGATACCTGGATTCTTTGTTTGATCAGTGTAAGACTGGCGCTTGTCATCAATGTCAAAAGAAAATTAAGGCGATCAAAAAAGTATACACTTATATACGTTTTTGTCCTTGATTGGTTCTCAGAAAAACATACATTTCACTGATTTATTAATCAATGCCGCTCCTCGAAGAGAAACAAAAACGTACCACACTGCGGGCCATAGACGACTTTGTTCAGAATGAACGCTGGGATTGGCCAACCCTGTACTAGATCCCTCAGGGGGTATGTCGTTTCGCGCGGCTACATCCTGAAAGATACAAAATTTTAACGAAAACCTTTGATTTCCAATTCTTGGGTTCCTGCAGACGGCCTAATGAAGTTGTTACACCATAATTCCGTCTCATATCGATCAAGCTATGCCTATAAGAGCTCAAATTAAAACTCCATTTTTCGGAGAAAAATAAATTTCGAAAATAAAGGAAATTTAAGTGTTATAAGAGATTGAATTAGCTTTGGAGGAAGGGGAAATGCGATTCTCAAAGGCGACAAAACAGAACTTGTTTACTTCAACTGAGGCTTTGCCACATCTGAGGCATTACGTGGATTGGTAAATATGATTTTCAGTGTTGATGTATCCTAGAAAAGTACGGTTTAATCGTAGATTTTGTCTTTAAATTTTTCAGTTTCTAGAATTCTCAACATAACCCTACGCGATTTTATCGCTGTGAAGTCATACAAACAGCGGTTCAAGCATGGTGAGGCTATCGCTCAGGTCTCGTAATACCAAGAAACTCGTTGGTTTTTTTGCTTCTGAACGGTCGAGTTTAGCACTTTTTTAATAAAAATATATTTTTAGGTCTTTTTTTTTGTCATTTTGCTAATAGCTTCTGGTACCACGTGATTATTTGGTAACCCCAACAAATTTGCATATGGACTCAGTTCATATTCAGGGATTTGCGTCTAATGTTTATTTTCAAGAAAAAGCAAAGGAGTAAAGCAAGCATTAAAAATTGGGCAAAGAAGAGAAAAAAAAAGGCGGAGTGTGCATCAAGAAAACGCTGATACAAATGTAATGGAAGCTGAAAATGTTATAAACAAAGGATGCTACTAAACTGTGGATTAGCAAACCGCGGAACTTCCGGAACAAGCGAAACCTGCGGAACCTATATTTTCCTTCAAAAAAAAAAGCTAAAAAGACCTTAACATTGTTTGAAAGTTTGATTTCAGGATTAAGAGGATTACCTTAAAAGAAAAAAATTTTTCTTATCTCCCTTTATCTTCCTTGAAGTTCAACCACAGGTAACCCAGGCTCACACAGTGAGTCTCTGTCAAACTGCAAATGTGTTCAGCTTGCGCGATAGGCGAGAGCATGGGAATAAACAATGGCGATTTCAACCTTAAAAAGAACCGACCTATTTTGAATAGAGCCAAACTTGCCTCGCTCAAGTGGTTGTTCCTTTGAATAGCCTGAATTTCATGGGCTAATTTTTGGCCATTAAGCTTGATTTTAGTTCACCTCCATTGCCCTCTAATAATCCTCTCCGAGGTAGGTCTGTGAGTTACGCCAACTGAACGAATCCACAGGAAGCAAAACGCTGTAAATAAGCTCCGGACGCGCAAATCAAATTTTCTAAGTATCACGGACGATGATGTTACTTTATGCTCGTGTTCGTCTTCTAGGGTCATGTACAATGAAATGGGTTCAAAGGCCGCCAATTCCGGCCTAAACGTTTACTGAGAGCTTTCGGATGAGGCGTTATTCGGATATTGCGGAACTCACTTTACTAACGCTCGGTGTAGGAGACTGCTGATTGCTCTCTGTAACATTACGTACTTTTGTTCGGTGAATGACGCCACAATCAAAGTCAGTTATTTCTAGTCGGACGTCAAGGACGATTAAGAAAATATTTCTCCTTTAACGAAACCTTCTTTATACCCGAAAATGAAATTTCAAACACTGTTAAGGTCTTTTAATTTTGGATTTTACTTTATTTCATTACTTTCCTTTTACAGAATTATATAGCTAGTTCCGCAGGTGGCGGAGGTTCCGCGGTTTGCTGATTCAAAGGAACACCCGTAGAAAAAACGTTTTACCGCGACTCGGAAATGTAAATAAAATATTTTCTTCACTAACTTACAGGTTTATCGTTACCTGTTTCCCTCGACCCATCATGGATCGAAAGAAGGTCTGCAAACATACACTTTTTAAAAACATTTGAGAAGTTTTTTGAGGCTAAACAATCAAGGTCGTGCGAAACGGGATGAAAAAGAACTATGGTTGAAAATAGCCACATTACCTGATTTTCGCCATAGCATGCGCTTTTTTCGAATGACAACCAAGAATAGGAATGGTGCTCCATAAATTCACATTATATTGGGACTTTTATCTGAGAAGGAGTGTATGCTAAATCGCTTCGTAGCTTTATCCTGGCCTGCTTCAATTAACAATCATTTTATTATTATTTTTCTTTCTTTGAAATCGCCTTTTTTTTCCAGTAAAAAAAAACCGTATCTGACACTCCGGCAAAATACTAAATGAGCGAGCTTTTTCCCCAAAGAATTATTGATCTAATACGAGAGAATAAATTCTCTTGTTCAGTAATAATGTCCGGTTTCATACATGGTATTTTTCGCGTTATCACAATAGTGTCACCCAAGAGAGGAAGTTTCCTTCCTTGTGTCACCTGAATGTCGGGAGCAGGGAGGAAATATGTCCGGCTATCGCCGATTATCGATGAAAGACCCCATTCTACAGCAACTTTTATTTTGATATGTCATGCTAACTATCTTGACCTCGAAATGACAGCTCGGTCAGATAACAAAAATTACCAATCAAGTAAAAACAAACTAAGAAAGAAAACTTTGGCTCAGGATAAAGGGGTAAACAACGACTGCACAGATCGTCAGGGGTGCAGATCTCGACGCAAAGAATTCCATAAGTTCACAACGGTAAAATACTCACTAGTCTTATCCCAGATAATCTAACGTAGTTCCTTAAAACTGTGGCTGCGGTTTTTTTTGGGACTGTCTCCGTCTCTTGTCCAAATTGCAGCTTATTATCAATCATTTGCTTAAATGAGACAAATTTTATTTGCCTCCGCTTTATCTACTTGTTTATTTTTCATCAATCGAAATCGACGCTGGTCATTTGCATGTCTGGAACATATTTGATTAATTTTTTCGCTGAGAATTTTGATTTTTTCGTTTTACACTAATCATAAATGATACTGGCTATTTTATACTCCTGCACACTCTCTTAAACGTTTTCACAAGGAAAACAAGAGGAGATAAGTTTGTGTCATTCCGATCGTCAAAAAGAATCACCTTTCCGTGAAAATAATTCTTAAATCATTTTTCTTCAGGGCGGACAAATATTAATTAATAAATAGCCAAGAAGAAATCATAAAGTCCAGGGTGACTATGATTATGATCGATTGAAAGTTACGGTCAAGAAATTTTTTTTTGAAGGAGGAAAAGCTTTGAAAGGAGAAACGTTGTTTCCGTACCAACACGAAAAGTAATTCACGTCGGTTACAGTGCAAAAGGGTGCCGCTAAAATTGGTTTCTTAAGGTAATTGTTAATCCCATAAAAAAATATACATACATACGTATGTCTCTTCTCTTGCGTAATAACAATATTTTGAAAGAGTATTAGTATATCAAGCTTAGGTGATCTGTGGTTTACCTCCTGTAACAAGGCCAATTAAATTCTCTCTTCAACATAACGTAGTCTCTGTTTTCAGACTCCACATTATTTTGTTATTTCACTTTTTCTGATTTGCATAGGACAGAGACAGATCACAGAAAGTGTTGCAAAGCACATGTAGTGATATTGTTCTGCTTATGAAAACTTTGGTTTTATCACGTGAATGTTGCCAATCACCGACGTGGCCTCTTTGCAGTCTTTCTCTAGAAACATGTTTAAAATTTGGTTGAAAATGTCGCTGTTTTATTTTCTACTTTTCTTCAGGACTATTCCACACATTCATAAATGTGTGACATGGGTTGAATTGAAAGAAAACACTTTGCGACAAAACTGAAAAAAAAACTTGTTTTAAAACTAAGGTTTCCTGATGTTTAGAATCGTTAATAGCATAAATTTTCGCACGCGAAGGCAGGTTTATTTTACGCGCGCCTCAAACCAATGTAAGCTTTTCCTCCTTCCACCACCTCCAGTTTTCATTCAGTTGCTTTCTCGTTCCTAGCATTATTTCGAAATGCCCTTCTCGAAAAAGCATATAGGCTAAGAAAAATTAATCACCAGGTTACAAAACTTCTTTGTTATGAATATTGTAACAGGGAAACTGCCACAAAGGTCTTTGGGAGCGAAATCCCAGCATGGTCACAGAAACGGTTATTTACGTTGGCGCTAACATGTAAAATGTTTGAAGAATTTCGACAAATTAAAAGGCAAATGAAATTTGACAACTTTTAGCACCAGCAAACATAATTTCTCATAGTCATTTGCTGGCGAAATTATGGTCGGGTCGAGTCAACTTATTATGTGTCTGTCTGGACAAACATTCTGATCCACAGATATATTAATAAACGTCGCTATCTATTTAAATCCTAATGGCTACGTGACTTTGGGTGTGAAAAACGGCAACGTTTGTTGATTTACCTGTGAAAACAATTTCATTGACCGCTTGACTGCCTCCAAAGCCCAACTCTCTCATGCTATACGACGATAATTCACTGGTAAGCTAATTTTGCTCAAATTTTGAAAAATTTAAACCACATTTTTACTTCCAGGCTTGAAAGATCTTCAGACGAATGGCATGTCTGCATTTCATAGAAACGTTTCCGTTTTGTAACCTGAAGTTCATATTTGTATTGAAACGCATGGTACACTTTCCTCCAATACAGTTTATTTCAATCCCATTTAAATTTTGGGCGTGTTTAGCTTTTTTCTCCTTTCAGATAGAGACATATTTTTCACAATTTTCACGGGTTAAACAATTTTTCGATATTTTTTTCTGACCAACTGTTCCACGTTGCATAATAGATTACAATTTCCTTACGCTTTGGGATACAACTATTCTTGAGTAAAGACAGATGTGTGAAAGATCTTGCTATAAAAAGAACAAACAAAAATTACCGAAACTAGCTCGCTTGTAATACAACAGTGCCTTGATGGCTCAGTTTACAGCTCCAGAGCGACCAGTCTTTTATAATTAGCGGGTGGAACGGAAGAAGTCCCATCGAAGAAATATTTTCTACTTTTAAGGGGCTCTATCTGTGGTTTACCTGCAGGTGAAATTTCATTCAATTTCATTTATCTTTTTGGGATGCCATATCATTTTAATTTCAACATGATTATTTCAGTTCCCGATTAAGATTCAACGATTTTTAACCCAAAACCGTCCCGAAATAATTTTTAGCTCAAACGGCTTTTCAGCTTTCTCTGAGGCACTCGTAATTATGCCAAGCCTGATTCATTATGCGTTACGTGCTCTATGCCTATAACTTCTAACGAAGTTGATGGCTCAATGGTGTTACATACTTGCTGTCCGTTTTGTCTTGATTGCATTTCCAAGTGAGTCTCGGATTCATTGCTAATTTGAAATTTCAAGTCGTCCTTCACGTTCCCATGACTGTTACCATGGCAGGCGGTTAGAACACTCATTGTAATAGTTTATAAATATTTAATATCCATCGGACAGGTTGCAGTTCCGTGAGAAAGGTGTCAAAAACTACGGCAGTCTTCGCTTATAAAAGCTGCCTATTGAGTGAGGTACTCTTACAAACCCGAGAAGCTTGAGGCCTATCTGTTCATATTTTGGTAAGTGACCGTTTTGTCTTTTAGATTTTATTGATCTGGTGTTTTTTTTGTCGTGGCTGATATTCCCGGGAATTTTTAGAACATGTCTGCTCCAAAACAAATTAACTCCTTTACTGCTGGAATAATTTAAGGAACCTTCAGACATTCTTACTACTTTGCCGCAACCCATACTAACCTCGTGCCCTCATCGCGTATTAAACTGGCATTTCTATATCAGAAAGTCTTTGTAAATGTCCCTCAAGATTACCTTCAGGGAAATGTTTCTTTGAACTTTTGCGAATTTATATTAGTATTGCATGCTCGGCCTAAAAGCTCGCAACGTGGAAACTAATTAATTTATTTAAATTTTTGAGAAAGATAACAAGGCAGTGAAACGCGTGTTGCAATTATTTAGTTTGTAGTAAGATTCACAGCACATATAAATCTATAGTTCCATAAATATCTTTACAGCTCAGTGGAATGGAAATCTTTTAGCGATATTCGACTTCAAAAAGGCTTATTTTCTAGGCATATTCAGTTATCAGTAAATTAACATCGATATCCAGGGTCAATATCCTACCTGTCTAGTTTTACTTGAAGTATCGAACACGATAGATATCATTCGCTGTATGTGCGTGCAGAAGAAGGCGATTTCATGAACTTAAAAATTATTGTTTCAATAAATTACTTTTAATCTTTTGCCTCCTTTAGCAGGGCTTTTTTCGGTTTAGTTTTCATTTTTGATTAAAATTTAAATAACACGCCAGACATTCAAGTCTCATTTCTCATTGGCATCGGAACAATAGCTGCACTAAGTAAATAAACGGGCATGCAAACGTATTTTTCTCAACCAAATACGTCCTGTTCAAACCAAGAAGTAATAATAGTTCCTGAAGGTTTCAATACCGCGAATAAATTGTGTCGTGCTATGTGCCTAGTTTCATTCTAGTCCATAAGTTCAGTCTTCAATTGTAAATTCATTCATTTATTTACTTTACAATTGTTTTGTTTCAACTCGCCCGTTAATTTAGCTCACTACAAAGTCACGTACGAGACATCTGTAGTTTGAGTGGTATGAGCGCGAATCAATTACTCTGCGTTATTGAAAAAACCGACTTATGAACGCCAGTATTCTCAGCTGGCGTTCGGGGAACGCACAAGGTCATTGAAACTGTCTCTCTGCGAACTGAATTTTGCGTTTTTTTTGTTTTTTTTCTTTGGAGCTCATAACTCCAGGACAAAGAAGCTCTAAACATCCGTTGTTTCTCTATTGACAATATCGACTCACAAAGAGACGTTTATTTACTTTTCTTGAAGTAAGTCGTCGGAATAATATCTCTCTTAGCTGTGCTCAGTTTTCTGGGCTGAAATATTACGGGTAAGGGTTCGGGTAGGGAATACATTAGCAAGCGAGCAGGCGCTTCCAGGCTTTTCTAGAACTCAGGCTCTCTCGATTAATTTCGCCTTTTTTAACACCTCGCTTTTTGTTTGACCGACGAACGTAACACTTCACGAAAAGAATGGTAAATAGAAATTAATAGAATATTGCCATTTAAATTAAACGGGATTTTTCCTAGTTGCTGCCAGAAATGAATACCGCATAATTGGCTTGAATCCCTTTGGGCAATTTTCAATTGAGGATCGAGAGTTTTTACCCGACAACACTCTATGATTTTATGACTGCTTTAGAAAACTCATGGCACCGTGTCAACCAATCAGATGAAAAACTGAAACCAATCGCAACCTAGTCACCCGCGTATCCCCGCGCGCCTCAGGTAACTCGCTTAATTGTTTTCATTCTGAGTTCCTCATTGGCTCCTCTAAGATTTACTCCTTTGTTCAAGGTAGCCTTTTGGTTACTAAAATTTTAGCATGGAGAAACTCGATAGAAACGCTTTCTAATAGAACAATCAATTTATTTAGCTCATCTCGTTGTTTGCACAAAGTCTGTTTGCTCTTCCGCCAATTATTTCCATTAAATGCTCGTCATAAAGCGGTTTTTGGTGTTTCTATGTAAACGAATAGCCTTTTTAAAACAAACAGTAACGATCTACTTTCAAGATCTCATTCCAAAGTTTTTCTCTGTCTGCAATGAGTCAGAAGTTTCAAGGATAAGCTGTTAAGTTAAGCTGCCCATTATTACTGATAAATAGTGACACAGTGACAAAAGGTGGTGAGCTAATGATTCAAATTTTACCACTTCTCCATTTGACAACCGGCGTTCATGTCTTTGTTGAAGCAAACGCGCTTTTCCGGCGCTTCATGTTAGCCCTGACAACTGCTCCGGTTTAGTTTCTAAAATATCTTGTTTCCTCGCTAGCCCCCGTTTCGATAAAAAAAAAGGTTGATATTTTCACATGAGAAAATGAACTTGCCAAGCTAAAGTGATGGAAATTTTAATTTTGAAAGTAGATATGGGTGAAAAAGAAAGCCGAAATTTCTCAAAATTATCTACTTCAGCCTAGTTACCAATTCAACGAAACCGCCTTTTTCATCGAATATCTATGCAGTGTAGACACATCTCCTTCCGTTAAGGTTCTGAGGTGTTCAGAGGGTATCTTCATCCTCTACAACTGGGCCATTTCGAATAAAACACGCATGTTTAAAAGGATTCTTTAAGCCATCGACCACGCCTCGAATATAATTAGCCGCCTCCTTTGAATTAACCTTTCTATATTGTTGTGGCAGATTTTACTTTCACCTTGGCCCGTGTTTCATTCTCTAAACACGTTTTTAATTAAAATTAGTCCTCTTATCTTGCCTCTCCTGTGTCTGCAATCAAAATTATTTACATATGTCAACGCAAAATAACGAAATGATTGATCTGTTGTTTGGAGAGGCGTCCGATGTGATCTTTGATCGGGAAAACAACAAGTTTGATCTGTTGGCTTTTCTTCGCCTGTATCTCGCGCATTTGTCCTATGAGATTGGAAGAAACGGAACAACCTGTACGATCATAACTAACAGTAGCTCTGAACAAAAGAACACTGCTCCATGTTCTCTAACACTGTCGAGTCGAGTGCAACCGGTACATTTAGTGAACTTACGTGCCCAGCTAAACTTTCGGTATACTTTTCAAAAAGGCCGGCCTTGCACGAATAAGGTTTAGTAAGACCTGACCCTTCACCCGCGCGATCACCGGAAATAACAAAACTTCTCATATTGTTATCAACAAGCGTCGGTTTAACATAACAGATTTTGAACGGACATATCCACCAGCCTTTGGCTTAAAGTTGCGACGAAAAATTTTCAAGAAATTTACCTAAACAAATGAAATTCAAAAGTTATGCCCCCGCACTCATCCGTAAAGAAAGAATAATACATTTCAAAGTTTACCACCATTCTCGTAGACTGACATGCAGATTATTTTTGTTCAGCTCCGCCTGGTGAAATTTCAGTAATTTTGGTCTTTAAATATTTTTTGGTCAACAGGATGTTGATTGTTCCAGAAAAAAACATTGTCGATTGGACGACTACATTTCTCAGCTCTTCGACTCTTTCCTTTTATCACTCATCTTTGCTGTTATTCCTGTTACCTAATCTGAGTTAAAATAAGCCCAGAACCATCCAGTTTTATCTTCGACGCCAAAAGGTATTTTAAAACGTGGGATAGCTGGGTCGTACTCTTTCTTTTCAACAAGGTTGTGCAACTTTTGAGCAACGCAATTGCGAACTGAACATTTGCGATTCAGCTTGAGTCTCAGTCGAGGGACAGCAGTTTAAATCTTTTATCATAAAAAAAGAAAAAAATTCTTAGTTCACCGACATAGAACATAAGCTACATTTGCGAAGAATCGAGCGCCGGATCTTAAATTCCGTTTTGTTTTTGCTCTCTCGGACATCCAATTCAAAAGGGCTGTTGTTCTTTATTCCTCGTTATTAATTTCGTTTTTACAGGCAACTGATATGCCATCAGCTCACTTTTATAGATCCCTTATCACTTTCCCCATACCTTTCTATATAATGTAATCTAGTTACAGAAGTTGCAATGGTAAATTTATTGATATCTAAGATGATGCGATATCAGCTTACGCATGTATGTATTGTAAGTAATTCAATGCATGGGCGGTTGATCTGTAAGGCTGTCGACTTCTGTTTCGAGTGTAATATTTGTAGCTAATGATATATTAAAAATATTATTTCTTTGTCGTACTTTTGATAGTGACATCAATGCCTCGTACGTTTTTCCACCAATGACGTTTTTCGTACGTAGATTAGATGTAGATGGTTCTCTTAGTTCTAAAGCCACTGATGATCCTATATCAGGGAAGGAAGAGAAACGCCCGAATGACCTTCGTTAGGTAATTATGAGATGATGGACGACGGAATAGAGGAAAATCAACAACAGATATATCTGCCTTGATCTTCCTGCTTTAGTTTTGGTAATTTTCCTCCTGCACTCATTGATTAATTTTGTTTTTGTTACAAATCAAGAGCGTTTGCATTCCCTCCCCCCCCCCCCCCCCACGGCATAATGAGCTTCTCACTGCACAAAAAGAGAAAAATCCGTGGCGTCAGCTGAGCAGATCATAGCCAAAGGCAAGAAAAATGTCAACTGCAGTTGATATTCTCTTGCCGGCAGGTAATCGTGACAATCGTAGAGCGCTTAGTATTCAGTTTATTTTGAACGCGATCGAAATCGGTAATTTTGCCCCTGTGATCTCAAATCACACAATTACATTTTGAACCCGATGAAATTCTTCAACCTAAATTGTGAAAACGCCAGATTCCACTTTCGCTGCGAATTTGCGTCATCGTTTACGAAAAGTTTCATTTTTGCCGCCACCAATCGTCATTTTCAAATTCCTCTATTTTGGAGAGAATGAATATTTGAATTTCTTAGAGCTAAAGCTCTTTGTCAAGATAAAAATAATCTTGTTTTAGATAGTTTAACGTTTTGCCCAAATTGATATGGACATACCATTTCATATCTAACCACCCTCCAGTTAGATAGCGAGACAGGACGTACGGGGAATATTGTCACATGCTTTATTACACAAGCGGTCTGACTTATTTGAATAATTCAGCCATTCGTTTTCATGAAACACGTTTTTATTGGTCAACCTCTTTAAATGAATCAGCTTGGTACAAGTCAATTAAGTAAATGCCTGTTAGATCATTTTTCAAGGTTGTTTAATCTGTTCACCTGCCGCTCACATGTACCATTTTACACTTAAGAAACCCTGAGGTGTTAACTCATCACTTTTATGGATGATCAAGTGAAATCACTGTGGGGCTTACGAACTGGCGCAAATTTAAATTTAGGTTATGAACTGATTCATGCAAATCGTGTTTTCTTGGTTGTGTTGTGTTAATGACGTTATTAGCAATCGAAATGTTTCAAGAATGCTCTTTATTGATTTTAAGATCGCTGCTGGTGCGGGCCATTGCCGGTTTCGCGTGACCGATCTTTGTCCAGCCATCCACCAGACGAAATTGCTAGGTTAAAGCTGCAATTGTCTGTCGGGAAAAACTATTTTACAAAATTCTTCAAAGATATCCCCGAGCTTAAGCCAGATAAAGTTTCAAATTCTCTTATCGGAGATAAAGTAAAGTGCAGCGGGCATGTGATGGGCACGAGAGTCGCAAAATTGAGTTAATAGCAACTCGGTCCGTTCTTCTTTGTGTCTGTCCCGCCCCCTCTACTCCCACCGGGCTAAGTGTCGGGCCAAAGAGCGACATTTTTTTTGTTTTTACAGTGTTTTGTTTGAATGAGGCACGAATTAAAGTCCAAGTTCTGAAATTGATAAGTGAATCGCATCTCTCGAAAGGTCGCCCCGTAGATTCCACGATTCAACTTGTGAAAGAGAGCGCATAAAGTGCTTATGTTTGTGAAACTTGGTAATATTCAGACATGCTAATTTGTACTTTGCCATTTCACGAAAAAATCGAATATTTTATCTTCGGGGTCACGGCCGCACACTTGTCACCGGCTGTCAGCGCAGTGAATGGACTGTTTTCACTTACAGCAGCCAATCAGATCACTGCAATTTGGTCCCATGAGCTTTATTTAGTGCTCCAGGGTGTTCATTTACGTCGCTTGCAAACTTCAACTGGAAGCAATAACGTACGATGGAATCAACATTGTGAATTCTCCGGCTTTCGCTGAAAGGTATGCCTTTATTGAAACTTCCTCGTACTTGCCTCGTTGAGCGCATTTAGTCTTAAAATGTTAAGCTCTCTAATGTCGATAAACGCGATAAATGTGCCTTGTACACGCACTTTGAGAATGACACATTCACCGTGAACGGTATCGTCTCAAACGTTCTTGGCATTCTAATCGTTGTTGTTTTTGGTAAAGAAATATTTTGAATCGAATGGCCGGTGGTGCCTTCGGTACTATCTAGTCCAAATTTAGGTTGCCGCGGGGGATCGAAAAAATAGAAACGGCGAACACGCATTTCTTTGTCAACGGCACCTGGTCGTCATTGTGAGTTAGAAATGAACTTTCGTCATGAATTTGCCACTCGTCAGCCTTTCCTCTGAAACTTCTAGCTTCGACAACTTTCTTCAATTTAGTGTTTCAATGCCTGGTCGTTAAACGTAATGCTAGTACTTTTAAGATAAAGCGAAATTTTAAGTATTTTTCGAGGGCCCAACCACCCGTCCTCTTTCCTGAATTTTTTATGCTCTCAGAATTGTACGACTTCCCTCTCCTTGTGAATTAAAGCTTTCCCCGACCGCGTTTAAAATTTGTGAAGTTTGCTCGTAGAATTGTGCCTAGTCTATGTTTACCTCTGTATTTTCCTTCTTGGTTCGCGAAATTTATCCTTACCGTCAAACTCGTGCAATGACAACGATGGTTGAAGCTTGAGTTTAGATAGCAGACCTCGTTCTAAATTTCGAATTGTGTGCTGTTTTCATTCGTGTGTTGATAGTTCGTGAGCTCGTCTAACTAACTTTTACAGTACTTTTATTTTGTAAACGGAGGGCTATAGTACAATGTTTAGCTTGATATATCCGTTTATAGAGGAATGGTAGGCAGCAGTGCCGGTTAAGCTCATGAAATATAAAATTTAGTTGCATTGACGAGTTGTCTGGGATGATCGCTATCCAACCGCAAGAAAGAGGTAATGTATTTCAACGAGTTTTGGACTCTTGCTGAGAATAATAAAAGGCTTGAAAGAACTTTAGATTGGAAAGCAGTAGCCTTGATGTCGTAAAGTGTAATTTTTCATAAAATATTGTTTTTCTTTCTCCGAATAGGGCGTCGCGACGTCAACATAATTGACGCTTCTCGCGGGAAAAAGGCTCTTGTTCCCGCCATCAAACAGTTGAGCAAGGATTTCTCATCAAGAAAGAAATGCTGAAATTTTTGGCTCTTAAGTTGAAGAACCAATCCATCAATGAAGTCAAGCCTTTAGAACCACAGGTAAAAGTACGATTCCTTTTCCTTTGCAACACGGTGTTGACACGAAGCTCATTTGTTCTTATGTATTGAAAACTATCCGTGCAGTTTATTTCAATTTCTTTCATTATTTTTCAGTTACTTTTACAAGATGAGTCCGACGTAGAGGGAAGTACAGACGAGGACGACGAATTAAAAGAGATAAACGGAGGTAATTGAGAGATTTTTTCCCTTTTACATTTATTCACAACAACCAATCACTAATATTTGTCGATCTCACTTTCGCCATCAGCGCTGGCCGACAAACCTTTGAATAACAACTATGTGCAAGATGAACCGCTGAAGATCAAAGCGACAGCTTTCGCAGGACTTGAAGAGGAAGCGGCGAAAGAAAATATATTCACAGAGAGAGACTCAAAGGGGGACAACAGAGGCAGTTTCTTGCCGATCGATATTCCTCTAAGGGAAAGTGGTGCACCGGAAAAGCGAAAGTGGTCTCAAGTAAATGCTCACAAACTATTGCAACAGTTTGCCTCTGGAAACGATAGTTCATCAAGCGATGACGAAATTAAAGAACTGTGCGGTAAAAGTAGTGGACCACTTGTTCTCAGCTCAAGTCCACCTGGCAAGGTGACTGTTCTGTCGAAACATTCTGCATTTTCGTCACGAGTGCGGCCCACTACATTCACAAGTGAAGGACACTCGAGGAAAAAACACCGTCTTGTTTTCGCCGAAGACAAGGGATATTCATCAAGACCATCATTAAATTTCGAGAAAATGCAACAGGTATGGTTCACAAGGGGTGAATTTTCTTCAAAACAATGAGTTTTATTGTTTGAATCTTGTGCCAACTCGTGCATCGAATCTGCCATTTAGCTATGATGATATTCTTTTCATTTGGATCCGTGAAGCGTAAACAACGCATTTTATTAAGAGCAGCAAAAATCCTTTGAAAGCATCAGATTTAATTGCTGTATTCTCTCGATACGTTATTAGAAGGTGCCAATTTTGTCAGCCCTTCTGCATTTTTGATCAAAGTAATCGTACAGGGGCAAGATTTTCCCTCTCTCCAGGAGTTCTATTGAGTTTTTTTTCTTTGTACTTGTTTTCTCCAGACTAGCCACCACCAGTGTGTTACTGGATAACATATTACGTTGCCCTGGCTCTGAAATTTTAGAATATGTGATGAATTGGCAGATTCCTCTTCACAAAGCATGCCTTTTGTGTTTATTTGTATGTGAACTCAACCTTCTGAAACTCGTTGAAATGTTTTGTTTGGATTAATGGGAAGTCAAGATGTGATTGGCTGGGCAATTGAAAAGAAAATTTTAAGGGTGAAAAATAATGTTAAACTCCGTTGAATGTACATGTCAACTTATAATTTGTCAATTGATGGTTGCCATACCAACTTAAGGAATTTAGCTGAAGTCTCTTTGTCAATACAAATATTCAGTTAATCCCATGTGGTCCAAATTCTTTTGATGAACTAAGTAACCCTGAAATTGTAATTTTACTCTTGATGTTGATATTGTTTTTCTGAAAAATTGCAAATTTCCAAGGGATAACTATCCTTGTTTGAAGACCTGTCACTTAGGCATGGAATCTTGCTAGTACACATTTGTGTTCACCACCAGGTTTTAGGATAGGAACAGAAACCAATCGCCTATTCTCACATCTTGACCCTTGTTGATTTTAAGAGAATTACAGCATAGCCCTTGCAACTAAGATTCATTTTTTTTCAAGTCTATCTTTTACAACAAGTGTCATTCTCTTTTGACACTTTCTATTTTCATCTTTGAACCAAACTGTTAGTGGCATGTGAAACTTGACCATACATTAGTTGGAAATGTTTAAGGGGTGAACATAATACATGTGTGGACGATAATAATATAGGGTCTGAAATGGCAAGCAGCTGGTTGTCTACGTGACTGAAAATTGACAGAGAATGATCAGAATTTTAATGTTAGTTGCCAGTACGTGACTAACTCAAAGACCTGCTATTGTTCCTGTAGACGACAGATCAAGAAATTACAATGTCCATCACTTTTTTTAAGTGGTACTTTATTTACTCAGTTTACTCAATTTACTCAGTTGTTTGATCATCCACGAGTTTGAATGTGTTTAAAGCAAACAAAACATCTTCAAAACTCTGCATTTCTGTATTTTTACTTAGAAACCAGAGTTGTAAATTGTATAAAGGACCAAACTAATTAATTTGGTGATTGGATTAAAAAGGTGTAATTACAACTCGGCACGGGCTATATTAATAACTTTTGCTATCATTGATCAGGATTTTTTTTATCTCTAGAAATCTGTCTTCATAAAGAAGCACACTCATGGAGTGTCAAGACCCAGACCAGTTAGAGTAAGGGTAAGTTCAAACATCAGTATTTAAATTCTCAATACTTCTCTGTATGCATTTCCTATTGTATATACAAAGAATTTGTCCAACGACCAACAGTTTTTTGTGTTTGCTATCATGTTCTTTATTCTCATGACCTTAATATTTGATTTAAGGGGATACAATTGGGAGAAGTTTGATGCTTGTCACTTCTAGAGCTTAAAGGGTTAGCTGAACAAACTGTTCAGCCTCCAGTGCTCCTGTGAGGTTATTCAAACAAGATGCCAGGTTACATCTTTACAGCTGTAATTTGGCACAGAAGGGGTACTTATGGTATTATGTACTGTTTACATGATTTGATGCAAACACTTGATCAGTTTCAAAGGAAGTTGAACTCACCTTAAATCAAAGTTATTTTTAACTTATGTTGATATAAAATGTAAATTAAGCCTTTAACTCCCATGAGTGACCAATACAGAATTTCCCCTTACAATAGCTATACAATATCAACCAGATAAGTGATGAGAATAAAGAAAAAGATCAATTTGGGGATAATCAGTTGATCCAATACTAAATTCCCTGAACTAACATTATAAGAATTGTATGGTTGATAGGGAGAATTACAAATTTGATCTGGGAGTTTAAGGGTTAAGTATGATGCCATAAAAAAGCATGAAAATCTTGTTTTAAATTTTAGGCAGATACTGCCGGAAAGATGAGTGGTTTTGATATAGGAATTAAAAGATATATATACAATAGTGTTGTTCCTATTTTGTGATAAACTGTAATTTCCTAAGATGCTGACAAGGAAAATTAGTTTGATTTGTGCCTGAAAGTGTGATTCAGAGGTTTCAGTGGAAAGTGAAATTAGATGTTATTTAAGCTTAGCAGCCAAAGAGTTTATTGAAACTTTGAGTGAAAGAAAGGAGAAGTATTTATTACAGTCACCCTCACTTACATTAGCCATGTGATTGTTCATTAACACTGTAACACTGTATTGTTATGCTTTAAAATTTCAGGGTATTCCAAGTGCAAGACATAGTCGCATCTATGATCCAGCAGTACTGTCCTTCAAGCCTATACAGATGAACCCATCATTTAGTCTTGCACCTGTTGAAGAACCTGGCTTTGCCTATTAAAATGCCTAAGCTGACCTCTTGGTGAGATTTTGTGGCAGAGTACTGCGTGATTAACACAGATGTGGATGCGTGTAGTTTTGGAGTTTTCATGTGTTTTGTGCAGCTCTTCAACATAACTGAATCATTTTGATGCAGCTAGAGAGTCTTGTGTGTCTCATCGCCTCTCCTTTGTTCACCACTGACTACTTGCAGTTTTGTACAAGTTGGGGATCTTGAGGTTAAAGATATTCATTTATCAGAGTGTTGATGTCGGGATTTTTTTGAATCATCATAAAGACAAAAAAAAATTCAGCGCCCATGTTTTCAGGGCTCATCATTAGACATTACTCCATTATTTGGAGCATTTAGATAAATATAATTTTAAAGACATGTATAAATTCAGGTTTCCACTCAGTAGTTGTCATTTAGCAGTCACTAAAATCTGTCCAGGGTAATATCAAAAGAGAAAAAGGGTATAAACAGAGCCTTTAAAAATTACCCTTATTATTGCTACACTGCAAATTCAGGTTTGTTAGGAATTTACCTTTCCTGTGTAAAACTGCTTGATTTTCTTTCACTGAAATAAGCAGTTGTAAACATGCCCTTTTTTTTTTCTTTGTTGTTCTTCTTCCCACCAAAACTTTAAAAAAAGATCTTTGTGAATTTTTCAAACATATCTTCAAACTACTTTAAATCTATTTTAACCGGCAGAAATTTGATGAGGAGCACTGTGAATATCTCCCAAGATTAAATTTACAATTCCTGGTATTAAGGTTTTGAGATTTTAACAGCTGTTCATCGTAAGAGTATCTCCTGAAAACTTAAAAATTGCTTGCTTTTGCTGAAAGTAACTCAGCACACAGCTGGTTAGGGGTTTCGTTGTTATGTCAATGGAAGGAAGCAGGCTTCTTTCTCCTTCTGTGAGGGAATTTGAAAACTTCAACCTACTTAAACCAGTTGTAATACTTGTACAATACTAGTTACAATTACCAAAAAATTTATTGATAGTTCACACTTAGATACAAGTGGAAAAGGTTGATTTTTTCCTTTCACAAAAGGAAACTGCATAACAAAGAAGACATCATTAGATCATTTGCTAAGATGATAAGATTAGGAAAGAGAGAGCTGCTTGGAGACAGAAATGAATATGTCAAGCATAAATTTCAGTTAATTCCGAGCAGTTAATATCATTAGCATAAAAACTAAGCTGGGTATCATAAGGGGGCAGGTCCACTAGGACCTTTAGAAAGGTTGGAATTTATCTTTCATATTCTTAACATGTTGATTGAGCTTTCTTGATTACAAAGCTTGGAGAATCATTTCTTCTTACTGAACCAGTATTATGTCTTTATAATTTTCTGTACCTATTCAGACACGTGAATATGAGTGATTATTTTGTAGTGTTACTTACACATTTTATTTTTAATGTATGATTTCTGTGAAAGTCTGATAAAACAGTCAGTATTCTAATATGGTAACCAACAAATATCCACTTGGGTAGAAATGCCATTGTATACCAGAACAGGTGATTTTCCTATAATTCTAGAGGAAAATTTTTCTTGCAAGTAACTTAGGGCAATCCATGTGGTGTTGTTAAGTAAACATTTATTCTGTGTAGGTACCACAGCAGTAAAAAGGTGGTTTTGTTTACACAATTGTTTTAGACCTTGAGAAGTGGGATGTCAGAGTGTTTTGGAAGTGTTAACATTTTTTGAGTGGTAGAGGACACCAATGGCTTTCTCACTAACAACATCAACATCCTTAGCATATCTTTATGCAACTGGGTTTTTTTTTTTTTTTTGGCAAATTATGCATTTTTCTTACTTGAAGTTTTTCTTTTTTCTGTGATTACATTTTCTTTTTCGTTATATTCTTGATTCAAATTCTTTGCTGCTTGATTTCAGACACAATATTAAACAAAACATATCCAAACCTATGAAAAGGTATGGTTTAACTGTGATTTAAAATGAACCTCAACCAAAACATTCCTAGTGATGATTTTATTTGTGTATTTTCCTGTGATAGCTGTTCAAACTTGTGTGTGTTGTGAAAAAGCCATAATCGGTTTGAGACTGAGCTTTGTCATTCAATGGGTAGTTTGTATAACTGTACACTAAATATTTATCTAGTTAAGTATATTTATACAGATGTTTGTACATATGTATTTTATAATTATGAAAGAGTTTGTCAGCAAATATGTGAGAGAGTTTGAAACTTAGAAAGAGTATTTATTCAGACAGAGACAAGCGTTGTAGAACTTTATACAACACATAGTTCAAGGCAAGTGTGTGGTTTGTTTGCCTCAAACTTTAATAAAAATGTGTTTTTAATTACTGTGGTTTCACTCCACTCTGGTGATGACCACCAGTGAGGTTGCACAGGTGATGTTCAGTTCACCCTCCTCCCAAAACTCCTCCAAAGACTTCCCTAGGTTGTGGCAAGGGAAAATTTTTCCACCAGTATTAAATCATTTACTGCTTGTATTTCCTTATTCCTCTTTCTGTCCAAAATTACTTAAATGTGAATCTATTTCAGGTGAAGTACTTTCATTGAAAGCTAAATACTCTAGAAAGCTTTGTTTCAGTAATACCAAGAACACTGTCAAAAGAAGGCAACATGGATAGTTTGATATTCTTAACCTCTTAATTTCTTTAAGTGACCGAGACAGAATTTCTCCATACAATATCCATACAATATCAAGCATAAAGGTGATGAGATTAAAGGAAAACATCAATTAGGGGGTTATTAATTGATCCACTACCAAATTCTTAGAACTAACATCAAAGAGACTTTGGGAGTGAGAGGGTTAACTTCATAATCATTACATCGACTTCATTTCAAAATTTTGTATTGTAACACGCTATTATCATTATACCGATATCACAAACAGAGTTTAAAAAATCTTGGTCTTCCTGTAGAAGCACTTCATTCAAAAGCATTTCACAATATGGTTTTAAGTCAACCCCAGAAAAACACACTCTACATTCTTTAAAACTTGAACTCATAAATATCAATGTTGATTTTATCGTTTCTTCCTCTTTAAAGGAGCAGGTTTGGCCTTTATGTCCTTGCATTTTGGTATGTGTCTCTCTGCAGCAGCAGCATTAAACTTTCTCTCACAGTGTGGGCACTTTACATAGTCTGGGTTTTCTGCAGGTGGAGGAGGTGTGTCGCTTGCTCCCTTAGCATAGCGGATTGCTTTGATGAAATTTTCATGTTGAGCTCTCCAGTCTACCTTGGGCTGAAATTAAAAACGAAATTTACTTTTGAAGTTATCAGACAGGGAAGTTAAAAAAAATTTTAGTTCTCAAATTGTTGCCATAAAAATTGTCTGTTTGTTTGGCTCTGGTAGATAAACACATATTATATTTGAGGGGTTGTTGGAAATTTTGGGGGTTTAAGAGGGAATTAGTCTTCAAAATTAATTCATATAAATTTTTTTCACAAATTTTCAGAGGGACAGAAGCAAAAAGAGCCAGCAGAAGGGCTTGTATCCCTGGGACAAATACACATAATAAACCAAACTGGAGCAACAGAAGACTTTGATGCTAAATAAATTTTCTTAGAAAGATATACTCCAGCCTCAAAACACCCCCTGAAAGTCCAATACTTATCCTAGCTTCATGCATGATTCAATTATGTATTTTGAATTCCGCCATCTAGCAAAAGTTATTATTATGGACTTGTGCAACAGACTTTGCCAAAAAGGAGGGGTTGCTTAAAGCCTACTGTTAGCAGGCACATTCAGAAACTTTTTCTAAACAAGGTGACCCTGGATTTCTATGCAAAGATCTCTTGAAATCTCTATGAATTTCATGCTTCACTCCTCTGATAGATTCTCTTGAGGGAAAATTGCCTGACATTCCAAAAGAATAGGTGGGAAGGATGAGTAAGCAGACACCAACCTTTGCCTTGGGCTCCTCAAGATATTTTCCACTCTGAACATATTTTTCATGTTCAGTACCCTCACTGCGATGCTTTCTTGTGTCAAAAACTTTGCGTTTGGACATTGAACTTTTTGCACAAATTTTTACATGCTTGGCCAACCTGTCTACAGCAAACTTGCGCCCACAAATTGAACAAGGAGAAACATCCATGGAAACCTCACCAACATCTTGTGTTTGTTGCTCATAAAAATCTCTGTAAGCATTGTCATGAATTTTTTCAGTTGTGTCAAGTTCTTCTCCCTGGAGTTGTTGAAGGGGAGTTTTCACCTTTCGTGGTTCCTTGGGCAATGTTGAAGCCTTTTTTAAGGCTACCTTTTTTGTCTGATTAGAATCTTTGGCCAAAGTTTGCTTAGAAATGATTGCCTGCTCCTCCAAGCTCTGCTTTTCAGCTAACCATTTTTCATCCTCCTCTTTTTGTCGTATCTCTTGTTCTACCAGTTCTTCCCTCTGCAACTTTAATTTTTCAAGCCTAAGTTGTTCTTCCTGTATTTGTTTGAGTAGTTCATTTTCCCTCTGGGAGAGAGACAACTCTGATTTCTGCTTGTGTTTTTCTAGCCTTTCTATTCGTTCTTGATCCTGTTCCATTTGCCATTTTTGAAAGTCGGTTAATTTGGCATTTTCCTGAGTTTTATTTGTGTCAATTAACTGTTGCTTGCTTAGTTGTCTTTGTTTCAGTGCCTTCGCTTTTAGTTTGCTCAGATTTGGAGCTATGTTGCTATAATCAGTAAGGGTGCTTTGTGCATCATCAAAATCACTTACTAAGTCTTCTGCACTTGGGGGAGGCAAGGGAACCTTTGAACGCTTTGGTCGTCTCTCAATAGGAGGTATTGGCAAATTAGATGGGCCAGAATACTCAAAAGCCTCCACATCATCCTGTTTCAAAACAGAATGTGTTTCGTATCTTTTATTTGGAGTTGGTGGTTTTCTCCTTGTTACTTCAGACTGACCCTTGTTCACTGGAGGAAGAGGATCTTGTTTATCAACACCTTTTGTTCTCTTTCGCACAGTGACACCAACTGTCTTTGTTTGAGTCCTTGATGAGTATTTTGTTGGCAATGGTTTTTGTGATGGAAATGGTTCCTGTTTCACACTGAATGGCTTACCATGTGTCAGATTTGTTTTTGAATTTTGTCTATTTCTAACTACGTGTTCAGGAAATGGCTCCTGTTTTTTATCTCTCACCATTCTGAAATGTGACTCAATAGGGGGAAGAAGTTCAGGATTTTTCTGCCCTTTTCTTGTAGCCTCCAGTGCTCTTCTCTCTGCAAAAAATCCACGTACCATTCCGCCATTACTGCTACCCTGATTGTGACCATTCTCCTGTTGAATAATTTTCAGTCTACGAATCTTCTCTTCTCTCTCAATTTGAAGTTTCTTGCTGTAATCACTTCGGAGCAATTCCAACCGTGACAACCTCTTCTTTGGAGAACCTTTCTTGTGACTCATGGTGTAGTCCACTTGCTCTCTGTTAGCTGAAACTGACTTCATTGCATCAGGGATGTGGGATGAAAGCTCTGGATTACTCTCATGATAGTTATATTGATGCAATGGCCATGTTAGGGAGCTATCATAAAGTGTCTGGGCCATCAAGCTCCTGTTAGATGGGTCTCGGAAGGATTGAAAGAGAAAAATGATTTTCTCAGCATGCAAGTAAATGGTATATAGAAGAATGCATACGCGTTTTTGCAAGTTTTTGTGTTTAGTCAGCGAAACTTTAAGGGCATTGTATCAAGTATGCACCGATGATCATTTTGCAATTGTAAATGTTTGGCAGAAACAACTTAAGGTCATTGGGACAACGTTGACTAAATGTTAAGTAAATAAGTCCATTCAACGCTCTTTTGATCACGTTGCTTTTAGAAGTGTTAAATACGCGCTAGCCCAGCAATCAAATTGCAAAATATTGCCTGATAGAAATAGAAATACCTTGTACAGACTTTGTACATGCAGTTTGTACAAGTCTCCATGGAGACCTATTACCTGAAAAGATCTTATCAAAACTTCAACGTCAATTACTTTTTTGTCTTCACGTAAATATAGCGCGTGTCAACAACCTAATTCCCGCCGAGTTGATCAAAAGACATTCATCTGGCATTATGAAGTGTTCCTTTGGTGATTATTTTCAATACTTTGATTTAAGATTACTTCCTTTTAAAGACACGGATAAAAGCTGAGACGGAACACCACTGAAACAAGTTTAGGTGGAGATGTATTTCTGTTTTACATTTCTAATCATCTCTTTATCAATTCGAAAAAACGTGCTTACAAATCTTTCAGTTCAATGAATGTGTGTATGTTGATTAGGCGATTGCAATCAAATATTTCAAATTTACACTTTTTGTCTGCCAGAGATTCATTTAAACGAGAAAAGGTTAGCGTGTTTTACAAATTTGTAAACCAAAGTTTTTGATCAAGGAGACATACTATGAGAATCTAACGAACAAATCATCAAATACTTTCAGAAACGTATATCAAAGCTTATATTTGGTACGTGCCCATCGATCGTGATTTGGAGCTGTGAAACTACTCTGAGTCTTGAAGAAATCTATGCTTGAAGGAACGCAAGTGTCCCTTTTAATTTTTCTTACGATCCTGATGAGGTTTGAAGTTTTATTAGCGGCAAGCTTACAAAAAGACAGCTAATTGCTTGTTATACTCGCTTCGCTATAAACTTCTCTGTGTCTGAAAGAAAAGGTACATTTGATCACTAATATCGATTCGAGAGATCAGAGAAGAAAAATACACTTTTTTCATTTTCATTCAGTCAAAATACGCATTGAAATAGAAAACAAAATACTTACCTGCGTACGTAAATTGTCCTGCTTGCTTGTGGCTTCGAGGTAGTAAGAGGGTTTTCTTAACATTGTGATGGTAAGTTTCATTATTCTTACATCTTCAGTGAATAATTTTTACACGCTATTGGTGTTGCTATGTAAATAAAGTCCTCGTTGCTAGTAATCAACTTACGAGCCTCCGTTTCCTAGCGACCAATAGAACCCAGCTTTCCTCGACATTTAATTTCAACATGGCGGCCGCTTCGCCTAAAAGGGTTAAGTCTCCTAAAACTCCCAAAACGCCATCCAAGAAGACAAGTATTTCAAATTCACCATCTCCAAGATCATCTCCCAGTAGAAACCTGTCAGATGTTGCTAGAAAGGTTAGAGATTGTTGTGCCAGCTGGCATGAAAACGCTAAAAATTGGTCAAAACTGAAGGAAGCGGGATTGTCTCTGGCTAACAAGCTGGTGAACTTACAACTTCAAAAAGAGTATGTGACATCAAGTTTCTTACAACTTATGTAAACTTCCGTCATTTACTTGCCTAAATTTCGATCAATTTACTTATGGCGACTGCTGGAAATTTTTGGGTTAATAGATACAGCTCGATGGACGACAACACTACAGTTTCACCAGTTGACCACGACTCTGATTTGAAGTTACATGATGAAATTATGAACACCTCTCAAGAACTATCACGAATTTATGATTCTTTGGTAAGTAAAATTAAAAAAAAAAATAATGAGGCGTTAGTTGTTGAATGTCATTACAAGTTTTAAATACCCTTGATCCGAGAATAGTCCATCTGGCCCATTTGACAACTATTAGAAGCCAAGTTCAGTGGATTTGATAAGAACCACAGATAAATAAGTTGGTTGATGGGTGGCTGATAGTCATTAACACACTACTGATAATCAGACAATGTCTTGAAAGACATTTCTGCTACTTGGGACAAAATTATCATCAGATGATACTGGCTCAGCCCTGTCTCTAACCATGGGTGTTTTTGTGAGCTCAAAGGGGATGACGCATGCACCAAAACACCCCACAGCTGTAGATTGAGCCTTGACATAGGGTTACTATCAATGGAGTGTCATCTACCATCAGATGCCTATGGGTCAACCATCAGGTGAATTCTGGTCAACTGTGATCAAATGAGTTCTGCCTAATGCATTGAATGAAGCTATCCACATGTACATAATGCAGCAGAGTTACCTATAGGGGAGTTTTTCAGTGGCTTTTGTAAGAATACATCAGGTGTGCTTTAGTGAGATAATCATGACTGGTTAAGATTAACTTACACTATCCTCTTAGCAAATCTGATGCAAATCAAAAATACCTAGTAATTACCTGCATATTTGTGTTCCTGTGAGCTCTGACGAGTATCACCAGTATTTACTTCAAGTCGTGAGTGGCTTGTACAGGTGTTAACCTTTGCTCTTAAAAGCAGTTGTGACTCTTTTAGCATTGGTTTTCACACTCAATGAAGACAAATAGATTATTTTAAAATGTAGTTAGAGACTGAAGACCTTTACTCTTCTCCTCCCCCATAGGCTGAATTACAGACTAAGATGAAATCCTTAGAGCAGAATTTCCATGCCATAGGAAACCTGAAGGCTCTTCAAAGAAAGGGAGAAAGCTCTGATGATCGAATCTTCAGCACGTGGACTATTGAGGAATTCTGTGAGTGTTCCTCTTTAATTGCTGCACATTTCCTTGATAATTAATTGCAAGAATTTGGTGTTAGATCAAGATAACAACTTCTACCTGATAAGTTTCAGTATTCCCATTACCTGTTTGCTGGATAATCTATGGATTGTCTAGGGAGAATTTACTCGTTAATCACTTCTGGGAATTAAAGGCACTCAATAATTATTTTTTTTCCTCAGGTGATGCATCAAAGATACTTCTTGATTCATATACCAAAGAACTTTCTTTGAAGGAGAGACTAGTAATGGAATTTACTCATTGTAAGAACAGAGATGAACTGATGGTATATCTGTCACTATGGTTACACGAGCCACTCTTAAACGATGAGAATGAAGTTCTTCTAGAGAGCATGTTGATTGAAGCTGATTTAAGATAATGTCACAGTCACAAATTCTAAATACACTTTTTGTCATCCTTTTGTGGCTGTTAGAGTAGCACAATGTGAGGCACTCTTGAAGGATTGTTGGATGGACTTGTTGTCATCAAGACCAAGATGCAGGGCTGTAGTCAAGAAATTAGCCTGCCAGCTGAAACTTTAGGAAAGGCAGCTCAGAGATTGCATTCAATAGAAAGTGACTGGGTAACCTCAGAGGTGACTGCCCTTTCAATTGTCCAATCTCACTGGCAGCTAAGGCTTAGAGACAACCCAGATGATGTACAGCTTGTAACTAGATAGTCACACTATGCTTGATATTGTGTGAACCTTTTGAGACTAGAAGCTCAAGAAGGGAATGATGGTGGCAGGGAAGGATATCACATAAAAGATCTTGTGTGACAATCATATGATGCAGTAGTAATCTTACAGCAACTACTTTTTAAGTATAACAATGACTTGCTTGCAATAAGTCATCAATCTTTTATGACAGGCAAGAAGTCAACTGCTCAGAAAAAAACCCTGATTCTCACTCTGTTGTAAGCAGTTTGTGGCAAGAAAAAATGATACTATTGTTTTATGAAGAATCACAAGATATTAAATTTGGAACTTGTAATGTACTGTGTATGCACCTAGTCTGGTACATTGGTGTTAACCTGTGTTGAGGTGCACTGTATTAAGCTGCCACCCAGTATTAAGTGGTTGGTTGTCAAAGTCCCAAAATTTTTACCCCTTCATTAGAGTAACTTTAATTTTCACATCTATTAAGCAGTCACTTGTATTGAGTGATTGTGTCACCCATTATCAAGTTCCAATGGACGGTTTTTGTTTTCTTCTCCCTATATTGAACTATCACTTAAGCCTTTAACTCCCATGAGTGATGAATATAAAAATTTCTCCTTACAATATGAATAGTATATCAACCAGATAAGTAATGAGAATAAAGAAAAATATCAATTTGGGGATAATTAGTTGATCCAGTACCAAATTCTCTGAACTAACATCACAAGAATTATATGGCAGGTAGTAAGGAGAATTACTAATGAGATCTTGGGAGTTGAAGGGTTAAAGCAGAACCACTCAAATAGAACTAGGAATTATCTATCAAGTAGAATTTAATCCATATTTATGGTATCTCCTTAAGTCAGTGTTAAACTTGGTAATGTTTTTGAGCAAGTTTTTGTACATGAAGTGATGTTTTTCATTATTTCTTTATAATACCCCTATTTTATGGAACCTGCATTGAGCGGTTACTGCACCATTCCCCAGGGGTGACAGCTTAATACAGGTTTGACTCTATTTATTTTCTAAGTGACTGTCTCTCAAATGACACATTCCTCTTTCCATGCCCAGTCCTACTTTATTTCCTTTCAAAAACAATACTACATCATAAGGACTGCTTGATGTCCAGAAGACATAAAGGACAGCTAACTGTATCATAAAAGGCTTTTACATTGATTTCCCTCTGTCCCCAAAATTTCAGATTGACTTTTGTTGCCTGCTAGGTGAGGTAATATGACTAAGGAACCACCTAAGAACTCTCAGGAAATTAGCCTGTTTTCCTCGGGCTTCACTGCTCCTTATGCCCATATAATACTTTTCCCCATATACTGCATGTAAAACATGGAAATATTAAAGCCACCCAAGTTGTTCAATTTCCAGGGGTTTTAAAACAAGCCAGCAACCACTAGAGTTTTGTCAGCTTCTTGACAAGATGTTGCCAATTATCCAGTTAAAAAAATCACCTTTTGGCAATGAATGAACTTTTCAGACACCTACCTTTGCAGAGTCTGATGCCCACTTTAAAACATATTGAAACCTCTGAAATTCAGTGAAAATCAAAGAATTCTGATTTATATGTTCCAATCTGTGTTTAATATTAGCTCAAGGTAACTACTAGGTGTTATTTCAGTAATAAATTAATATAACAAACTGTAGTGGTTAAATGCAGTCATTTGACTTTGAGTCAGGACCCATTTGTCTTTGTTAGGCACATGACACAAAAGTGCAGTGAGTGAAAAAGGCTCCAGAGCCACCTGTATTAGCTACACTTAATTTTAAAATATTAACTGTCCACTGGTCAGATTTGTTTAAAGCTGCAGTAAACCGAACAGAGCATACTCTAAAAAGTCAACTGCATATTCACGATCCCTTGAGCTTAACATGAGACCATGCTAATTTTTAAGTAAAAGTGTTGGTTCATGACATCCATCCTTAGCCTTTTAACTCCCAAAAGTGATTACCATACAACTGCTCCATATAAAATCCACACTTCATCCAGTAAACAGGTACTGAGAATACTCAAACATATCTTGTAGAAGTTATCTTGTATGAACACCAAATTCTCCTCACCAATTTACAATGAAATGTGTAGCAGATGGAGATGAGAGTTAGAAGGTTAAAGAAAGTTGTCTCCCCCTCTTGTCTCTTGGACCCTTCTGGGTCCAAGGGAAGGTTGCTAATAGGGCAGCATACGGTGAAATTTAACTGTACTAAGAGACAAATGGGTCAAAAATTTCTAAAGGTTACATGCCCATACAATAAATTATTGCAGCCAAAATATTCAACCCTTTTTTTCTTCTTTTTGAGTTTCTTTGTCACTTTCTTTTATGCTGGATGATGCCCCTGAAGTAGGGGATCCTCCTGCTCTTTGAAGTAAACTCGATGCTAAGGGGCTTCTACTGCTGCCACTGAGAAGTCGGCTTGACAGGGAGCTGCTAATATTACTAAGGGTGCTGGTGATGCCACTTGTCTGACGACGTGACAGAACTGGTCTTTCAAGGCGTTCCTCTAAAATGGGAGCATTGTCAACAGTTTGTTCTTCACAGGAGGCCCAATCTGGGATCTTGTTATCTTGATTGTATCGTTCCTTAGTTACTGAACGGTCAGCCAGGACTTCAAGAGCACCAAATATCGCACCTGGAAGAACAGTGTTACTCTTAAAGTGATAGTAAAAGAGAAAACAGAAATGCCTTGATAATGCTGAGTGTTGGCTTGAATTCAACAAAAGGAGTTGTATTCATCACAAAAATACTGGGATCAATATCAGTATCTGGGCAACTGCCCACCTACCCCTCCCCTAACTCAACAACAGTCAATTGACAACAAGTTAAGGTTAATGTTGGGCTAGGGGAGGGGTAGGTGGGCAGTTGCCCAGATACTGATATTGATCCAAATACTGTGTACTGGAAAATGTCTAAGGTTAAAAGATGTGAACAGTACATAAGAAGAAAGAAACTGTATACAAACTCCATACTTAGATCCATGGCCTATACCTATGTTCAAACTAGACATGAAGAAATTCAATACAAATCATCATTTCTGTCCACCTACTCTGTGATGCAGGCTTTCTAACCTCACTGGTTTTTAACAGTGGCACATTCACAAGCTGGCTCTTTGTCAACTAGCATGTCCATAACAAATTAGAATTGGAAGAAACAAGAGGAACTAAATACCACTATGTGACACAATTGTAAATTTCTGAGAATGACTCTGTGCAAATGACTGAGGTAAGTAAAAATGAATGAATAAAGGGTATAAGTTTCTTAAGAAACTGTAGTGCTACGTTGGTGGGAGAGTATAACAGAAATTTAGTATTATCAATTGGGTTATAATGTAAATTGGCCACTGTAAAGAGTTTCAACCCTTCAACTCCCAGATCCAATTTGTAACTCTCCTTACTGTCAACTATACAATTCTTATAATGTTAGTTCACAGAATTTTGATTTGGATCAAATAATTATCCCCAAATTGATAGTTTTCTTTATTCTCATTACTTATCTGGTTGATATTGTATTGGTATTGTAAGGAGAAATTCTGTCTTGTCACTCATGGGAGTTAAAAGGTTAAACTCTTTACAGTGGCCAATTTACATTGTCAACTGGGTTGATAATACTAAATTACCCTAAGGTATCATAAAGTAGATACACAAGCCAAGGGGCCCACTCAGCCCAAGCTTATCGTGGTTTCCTTCCCATGAAGTGGTGAGGAGTAGCACTACTCCTGACTAGATGAATGTACATCCATCGCAAAGGATACACCCCAAGCATTTTATAATTTTACCTTGTATCCACTGCTCTGACCAATAAGTCACTGCTTCTTCCAAAAACAGTGGAAACTTATAAAATTATGTCAATAATGAGAGTGAAAAAGAGAGAAAAAACAAAACAAAACAGAATACAGGCCTACCTCCAAGCCATGATGTACAGTTGGCAGTGACAGGTATCTGATGCATTTTGATTGTTTTCATAAATAAGTTCTCTTTGTATCGAGGTGATTGAAGTAAACAGTAAATTTCTTGCAACAGACGATGTCTACATGTTAAAATAAACATAATTATTATTACAAGCCAATTGCCAAAAGTGAAAAAAGTTTTGAAATCCTACATTCAAAAGAATCTGATGGACTTTTTAACCCCAGCTTCACTCCAACATTTGTATGCATGTTCTCTATACTGTTCAGAATACATCTCCTAAGGTGCTTACAGGGAGAATGTGTTTCACAATCAGGAGCTACTATTAGACTTAATTGAACATTTCCTTTACTCTTGTGACCTAAATATGTGATTCAGGCATGACATTGTAGGGAGGGATTAGATGCTAGTCACTCTTAAAGGATAAACTCTCTCATGATATGAGCATATTTTACACAAAATGTTGCAAGATTAATGATTGCAGCCAATAAGAAACATGATTTTGGAATTTAAAATATTAAATTATCACATAGATGTGCAAAATACATGATTGTCCAAATCATGCTCATAATAAAACTCAAACCAGATTTTTAATCCCCTTAAAATTCAATATTTGCAAGCAGAGTTTATATGTTACTGCCAGAATCAAGTCTTACCCATGAGCATATATACATAATTAATATATAACAAGCAGTGAGTTAAAAAAAAAGAAAAGAAAAGAAAAGAAACACAACATCTCATAATTTCATAATTAACAAAAAATCTTTCAGACTTTTGAGTGGAGAAGTGTGCCACACAGACAATCGTTACAATACACTGAGAAGCTTAGCTTACTTGAATCCTGGGGTCATTACAGTTCCACCAACAAGGACTATATTCTCTGCTAACTGCTTCCTTGTGTCAATAGGGCACTGCAGAACAAAAGTTGACAATTTTAAATCATTGAAATGGTAGTGAAAGAAATAATAATCATAAAAGGATTAAGAACAAATAAAATTAAGAATGAATGAAATAAACTGATGAGTGAATAAAAGAAAAAAGGAAAGAATGAAATATCAATTAATAATTAAATAATGATTATGGTATCCAGTGTACCTTAAGTATTGAATCCAACAGACATGTTGCAATAGATTTTCCTTCCTCATCCCCATCAAACAAAATATCAAAAGTCTGTTCTCTGCAAAAGAAACAAAATCATCCCTTTACATAAATGTTTCCTAGCTCGCAATGCAGTAACAACATTTCAGTTGTTGACAAGCCTTTGAAAGGTGATGACATAAACTGGAGATAGTTTGAAAAATTATATCAATTTGTGTACTGATAGGAAGCTTTGTTGGCATCTGTGACTTAAAATCCTGGCACTGATTTCAAAAGTTTGAAGATTGTGTTTGTGTAAATAGTTCCCTCTTAATTTTTACCTTAGGGAAAATGTTTTACCAAAATTTTCCTTAAGTTTGGAGACCTTTTCAGTTATTTTATTTCTCTTATGATTTTACCTGATTTGACCTTCAATTCTGATAATCCTTCCTCCATCAAGAGGATAGTCAACCTTTGGCACCTGTGAGGCAGGGCGTGGCTCTCCTTCTGGTCCACTGAACTTTGGTGCCACAAAGCAAGTACGCACTAATAAACAATGATGAGACAGTTATGGCCTTGTCTGCTCAGAAAAATATTATTAATTAAAAAAAAGTTTAACTGTAATTCTACAGGGTATATACAGGTAAGACTACATATGAGACTGGTTCATATATCCTGGTTTCCATAGCAACCTTGCTAGTGAGCCATGGGATGCTGGTATGACTTATGTTATCCTCAAACATAAAGGTGCTACTGAAAATTTTTCCATTTCTTCAACTGAATATATACTTCTGGGGGGAAAAGCAATGTGAGAGAAAAGAGTCTTGCTTTTCAAAGTGTAAAGCAGGGATTGCTTGCAATGTTCAAGCCCAGAATTTAGGATCATTCTGAAGTCCACAAGCCCCAGTTGCTCAAACGACAGACAACAATTCCACCACAAACTATAACCTTATTTCACTGCTGCTAAAAATTACGAAAACTACCTGATACAGAGGAATACCAATCATATTAAATGAAGATTTGCTTATCTTACCTTTAATGTCCTCTAGGGTTTCTGTTCCAAGAGAATCTGGGAAAACATACAAAACATACTCAGCTTTAGAGGCACTAAAAGACATCTGTTCGATACATTTTTAAAGAAAGGGGTAAGAAACAGTGTTGCTGTGTTAGTGGGGTCAATATTACAAGATAATTTGATTTGGCTTTATCAAATGAGTTGATGATGCTAATTGGCCACTGCAGAGTGTTTCTTAACCCTTTAACTCCCAAGATCTCGTTAGTAATTCTCCTTACTGTCCGCCATACAATTCTTGTGATGTTAGTTTGGAGAATTTGGTATTGGAACAATGTATTATCCTCTAATTGAAATTTTTCTTTATTCTCATCACTTGTCTCCTTGATATTATATTCATTTGATACTATAAGGAGAAATTATGTCTAATGGTCACTCATGGGAGTTAACCCTTTAACTCCCAAGAGTGATTAACATGTAACTTCTCCCTGTAATACCTAAACATTATCTGGCAAACAGGTTGTGAGAATACTCAAACTTATCAAGTAGAAGTTGTTATCTTAATCTAACACCAAATTCTTGTAACTTATTTACAAGGAAATATGTGGCAGCCAGAGGAGGGAATTGACAATCAGATCTTGGGAGTTACAGTAAAGGGTTAAAGGGTTAACCTGGTATTTCAGCTTTACTACTAACTCAGCATCAATAACGAAGGGCTAATGCTGGAAATTTCAGATTCAGAAACTCTCTACAGCAGCCAATTTAGATTTATGTAATAACTAAGTTTATAAAACCTGGAGAAAATAGAGGTACATTTGCATTAAGCTAGTATGATCAATTTTAATTCATAAATATGTGAATGTTCATGATAGGTTTACATGCTCAATCCATGTTATTCAAGTAAAAAATTTGCAAATGAAAGATTGAAAGAGTTTATGTTTGAGCTAATTCACAAGCTTCAACTGACTGCCTTGATAACGAATGTTTAAGTTGTCCTCTCACAATAAAGAATTGTAGATTTTGCCGTCTCAGTCCTTCTATTAACTGTTGGCCTTAGTCAGGCAAATGACGGCTTTCTACACAGTCATCAACCAATGGTGTGCTATAGAATAAACTCTTAGACTTAGGCCAAGAGGAGTGACCAAACTGCAGTGTCTCAAGCTTACTCATAACAGATGACAAAGGCTTTATTCCAGTTTCTATTTGTACCAGACTTCTCTCCATCAGCTGTTCCTCCAGATGCCTGTAATCAAAAGGGGCAAAACATCACTGCATGGATTTATGTAAATTTGGCAAAAAAAGAGATTTGGGATGTGCAATAAACTCAAACTTAGCGTACCGTGCTCCATATCAAAAGGTCAAGGTTTGAAGACTACTTGATCACAGTGTTGTGTTTTTTTCAATCCAGCTTCAATAATAACATTAGTTACTATTACACACAGAAAACCATGTGGAATACAAATGAACATTTACTCACTTGTGAATGGCCCTTGATCCAAGAGGGATTGTTTCTACAGCTTTGAGAATAGCCGTCCCCTCACAAATGTAACACCAGAATCAACTGAGTCAAGTAAGTAATAAGTAGTCTAACATCCAATGCAAATAAATTTAAGTGGATCTATTCAGGTCATTCAATCATTACATTCACTAAATGACAAGACTGTTAACACGATGATGCACCACTGGTTATTGTCTAGCATAACATATTCAAGATTGTTCTGAAAATAAAATCCAATACTAGTCTGTCACCTAAAAAGAGAGAAAAAATAATGATGAACAATTTTTCAATCCTCTTTTTACCTTGAACCTTTAATCCCTAAAAGTAACCAGGATATAATTTCTCCTTACAGCATTGCTGCTGAATCAAACATTGAGGTTAGAAGAAAATGGCTGTGAACCAGAGAAGCTTGAGATTTAGAATTCTCTTTGTCAGTACCATAGGAAAGGAGCAGTATAGAATATATATATATATATCGATGTGAGGGTATTGCATCTTATTTCTCCCAACTGTATAACCCCTGCATCAAACAGTAAGGTCACAAAAATTACAGAAATGATCACCAACTAAATATTCTCTTGATTTGATTAACAAATTCTCCTTGTCAGCACCTTAGGAAATGTATAGAAAACAGTATGGAGAATATATATACTGATGTTAGGGTATAAAGGGTAAAGGGTTACTGGTAATCCCATATGCAATGATACATTTACTGAAAAGGATATTGGTAAAACAATGGTCTCTGTAAAGCCACAGTCCAAGACTAGTCCTGATGGTATTCCGAGGGTAAAGAGCGCTAAAAGGTGATGGGGTGCAAACAGTACTGAAGGCACCTGGCGATGAAATCGTAATAATTTGGAATTGTTAAGAGAAATGTTAAGTACTAAATGGAGGGGACTGGATTGAGGCTTCAAGTCAATGTATTCCTTTTTGTTCCCAAGCTTTTGGCAGCCTCTGGCCTTGTCAGGGAATGAAAAAGAATACAGTAGCTCAAGGCCTTAATTGAACCATCCGTCTGACTGGCATGCTATCGAAGAATAACTTCAAATGTTTATTATTAAATTAAATAAGGATGACACTTTCTGGTTCAGCTGAGTCTTACATATATTGAAATGTGGGCTTCCTGTAATTATTTTTAATCAGAAAAAATTTTTTTATGTATGCATCACCTCAAAGTGCTTGAAAAGGACCTTGGCGATGGTATTTCTCCAAAGTGTAGAGCAAAGCACAGACTCACAAATAACAACTCGTCTGTCTCGTGGGTTGACAAGAAGGTACCTGAAAATGTCAATGATCAGACAGAGGACTTATTAACTGGAAACTATTTTGCAAGTCCCTTCCCTTACTCTTAGAAGTAATAATACTATGATCAGCATTATTAAATTTTCTGCATCCCTCACAACACAATACAGACCACTGACTTTCTTCTTTGTCAAAACTTTTTGCAGTTGGTTGTCATTGGGTGCTATAATTATCTTGAGCTGTGTAGAGCTAATTTTTAATTCATGGAAAGGTACATTTGATAGACAAATCAAGTTTTTTTTTTCAATGTTAGGAAAATCACTCCTACAGGAAAACCAGTTTCTATAACGTGTGTTTTACACACAACCTTACCATACCTGAAATAAACTTGATGAAGAAAGTCTCTCAGGATAGCATATAATTCATCTGGCCTTTTGTCTTGTTCATGACTGACAACATTCACAGTTTCCGTCTTAACAAAAGGAGGAAAAAAGAGCAAATTCGATACCATACCACAAGTTCAGGGCGTGAAATTAATTTTTTTTTCTGATAGCCACTTGGCTCCTAAATTCTTCAAAGTAGTAGCCAATTCAAAAAAAGTTGGTCGCCATTTTCAAAGACAAACAAAACCTTTTTTTTACGCTGTCAGAGTTCTAGATTGACCCTCAAAAATTAAGTTAGGGAAAAGATCTTTAAGGAGCTACGAAGTGGACACTAGGATGGTTGATATACAACGTTTAAGCTCAACTAAATCCAAGATGGCATCTAGTTATCGTTAGGGATGCACGTGCTGCGTTTTGGAAACAAACTTAACGACGAAGTTTAATTCACTCTATCTCTTGGAAAGGTTATGATAAAACATTCTAGTCGCCAATTTGGCAACTAATTTTCAGGATTTGGTTGCCAAAGTGAAAAATTTAGTCGCATTGGGGCCTGTGTTAGGCGCAATTTCACGCCCTGAAGTTAGGCATTAAACTTACTGGAAAGGCATTCATTTTAACCCTTTCACTCATGACATTCTATCAGTAATTCTCTTTAATGTCTTCTGTATAATTCTTATGATGTTGGTTCAGAAACTTTGGTACTGGGTCAACTAATAATCCCTTGCCTAATTATCTCCCAGGATAAAATACCAGTCTATTCCAGGTCTCCCTCCACCCACCCCTGCATGTTTTTAGTTTTTGTTTTTTTTTCACAATCCACTGGTATCCAATGATCCACTCCAAGGTGGGGAGTGGCACTGTGAGGGTAGGGTGTCTCAAGCATGCAACAAAATGACTTAGTCTGGTTCTGAAACCTGCACCTCTGGACCCAGAGTCCAGTCCCTAACAGTTGGGCCACTATGTCTTCTACCATTTATTTACCAGCTGACCCTTTAACAACTCCTAGTATTTATTAATTAATACATCTTCCTGCAATATACCAATAGGTGATGTTTCATGCATACAACACCAAATTCTTTCAAATCTCTCAATCGATTTACAAAGAAATTATAGAATGTTGATCATGTAATGGGAGACAGTATCTTCCAACACAGATTAGTATAAGTAGATACCTCTCCATTTATTGTGTGCGTAATGACACTTCGAATGATATGACGAGGACTTGTTTCTGAGGCAAAACCACATCTGAAGGATTAAAAGAATAAAATCGGATTTAGATGAACTTTAGATACGTTTTTACCTAAATGTTGAAGACAGAATGAAGTAAAACGTATCTTTTTCTTTTTATACCCAAATGGAATGTCTTGCAAGTGGTGATGAAACACTACTGGAAAACTAATTGATCATTTGTTATGGGAAAGAATCATCTTCGATCACTGAAGACATCAAGAGGAACACTGCCCAAAACTACCGGTATTACCGAGTACCTTCTCAAACTAGATCTACAAAAGGTTGATAAATGAGATAACAAACAAGTAAAAAAAGATTAAAATATGTCTATTGCGATAAATTTCAACAGCTGATTTCTACCAAAATTGGCTAGCGCTAGCAAGGTTGACGACATTAACACCCAACTTTTCACAATGTTTGCAATACATGAACCTTTCTTACTTCGTATAGGCGGCCCCGATGTCAATAACAACCGCGTGCTTTTCTGCTCCAAGTCCAATAACGTCAAACAAAGGCATTATCCGTCTCTCATTTCATGTCAAACACTCAGAGTCAAATCCTCAATACATAAAATTGTCGGATTCTCTCCAACTCAACTCTTTTGCAAATGCAATATAGACGACCGCAGTCACAGTATCAGCGGTTTCATATTGGAAAATATTAGTTCCGGTCAACCTCAGTCCTCTCGCCTCGGCCTTTCCTTTCCCTAGGGGGTTTCCGGTTACGACTTACAAGACTTGCTTCAGGACCCGCTTGTCTGACCCGCTTTTAAAATGGCGGGAGAGGCGAAGAAGTTTGATGTGGTGGTTGTTGGCTCTTGCATGACAGATCTCGTGAGGTTGGATACGAGGAGACGTTAGAATGTTCATGAATAGGTACGTGGATTGTTAATTTATTTAACTGAGTCGATCTTACTTTTTTCTAGCTATGTTCCTCGGCTCCCTAAAGCTGGCGAAACCATTCATGGTGATAAGTTTGTGATGGGGTTTGGAGGAAAAGGTGCGAATCAGTGTGTGATGGCAGCTCGGCTAGGAGCTAAAACTGCAATGGTTGCCAAAGTGAGTACAATACATTTATCTTCCTGACGAAGATGAATGCAATATTTAATATATGAATATGCAAGATGCAGTCAAAATAAAGTTGTACGCGCCGGTGAGCTAACACGCTCGGCGCACGTTAAAATAGTGCTGTGTGTGTTTCTCTAATTCAGGCTCCTATTTCTAATTTCGTTTTGTTAACTGCGCTGTTTTACATAAAATGTTGATAAGAATGCCAGGAAGTGATTTCCCTGATCATCGGGTATTGTGCGGTACATTTTTCCATTCAATAGCATTTGTGTGTTTAGTATAAACCTTCTAATTAAAATGAGCGGATCAATATCTATGTAGATTTCAATCTGACTTGGCTTGAGTTCTTGTTTATAATATTACGGATCGGGTGAAGTTATGCGCTTGAATGTTTCGCATTCAAGCTCTTTATATCAAACACTAAAAAGTGTTCTAGAAAAAGGTATGATTTAAAATGACTAGGTGTTATTTAAAGTACCAGTAAATCGAATGTATAAGTTAAATTTTGTAACATAGCTCGAATCGTGCATCTCAACTCGGAAATAATTGGGAATTAGTGCGATAAATTTGTAAATAGCCAGAAATCAAAACCGCACAATGCGTTAATCTTTCTTTTTTCCAAATTCCTTGCTATAGATAAACCGGTTTGTGAAACCATACTAAGTATTTATATTCAAATGCTGTTTGTATCAAAGCTACAAAGTAACTCTGGGATAAGTCATTTGTTTATACGATACGTTACAGAAACTGTGTTGTGCAAAATAAAAATTGTACAATGAAGAAACATTCCTTTCACAACTGATCAATAAATGATGCTGTTTCCTTTGGCTTCAGTCATTAATCTTCTGTTTCTCATGGTAGTAATATAATTGATTGCTCGAAAACGTCAGTGATTCTTTGTGAGTACACTTCATTTAAAATGCAAATGTTTTAGCTCCAGCCGAGCAGCTGTCGCGCAGACTGAGGAAAATTGAAAAATTGAGTACCCTTTGGACTCAAGTGCCTCCGTTCTAAAAGGGACCATTGAATGTTTGCCTTGTTGCTTGAGTGTCAATGAAGTTGACAGAAAGAATGTTCGTTATAACAGAGATGACTAAGCTAATGTCCTTTCCACCAAATTTAATCATTTTCAGTGTTTAGCGTTTAGGTGACAAATATTTGAAATCATTGTAATCGATCCTTGTTTGAAATGTTTTAATTTATTTCCCCAATCTCTAACAAAAGAGTGAAATTTTGAAAAGCTCTTCCTTTGGAATCTAGGCTGTTTACGGAGGCTTCCTGTGGTTGTAATTCAACCCTTTGTTGATGTGTATTTAAATGGGATAAGAAAGTGGCACGACCTACTCAGTGTTGGTGTATTTAAAATATTATTTTTGTTCCCACAATGAATCTGTTGATTAATCTAGAGTAAACATTTCAGAAGATAATCTAATTTTGCTTTAATTATTGAAACATAATCTTTTAATATTTATAATTGCACAGTTGTCAACACAGCCATTTGTCTACTTAAATTTACTGACAGAAGGAAATTCTTACTTTTATCTGTTAGGCTTATGCAAGGATGTAGCGAAAGTTTTTAACAGGCAGGAATCTCGCAATGATAGCATAGTATAAGGATATTATAGGGAGAAGCTACATGCTTATCACCTCTGGGAGTTAAAGGGTCAAATGGAGTTAAAGGGTCAAATGGTAAAAGATGGTTAAAGAAGTGATTCAAAATAGATTCTCATGCACACTTTATTTACGTACTTTCATGAGGAAAGGAGAACAGGATCTTGACATAAAACCAAAGTAGCAATTCTCTTTTTAAGCCGTGGCATTCCTTTGTGAGTGAGTGAAGAGATTCTAGTGTTAAATTAGAATAATAGTATATAGTGAGGTGATGAGTTTGGCTATTCTCATCACCTTCTGGTTAGATAAGGAACTGGTGATTAAAGGAGAAATGAAATGGTGATCACCTGGTAGTTACAGAGTTTCGTGAATCTTTAGTTTTAAAGGAAATATAAATCTTGCTGTATTTTTATAGTGCTTCCTCTGTGATTTTGTCTTAGGTTGGTGATGATTCTTTTGGACATCGATATATTGAAAATTTTAAACAACATGAAGTCAACACAGGTAAGCACATGGTTAGAAAGTAGTTGGAACTTACTTGTTGCCAAGATCATTTCAATTCTCCCTGGAGTTAGTTAGAATTAACATGTTGATCAAGTGCTGGGAGACGGAATTCCTGATTTATTCAGTTTAATTTATTTATTACCTTCTTGTAGATCATGTGGGAATCACTAAAGAGGCTGCTACTGGAGTTGCTCCTATCTCAGTGAATTCAAATGGTAACTGAATTAGATTTGTGTAATGGTAGTAATGTTATATTATGAAGCTACATGTATACTTGAGTCTTGAGATAGACATCTTGAAAACACTTGTCATTAGATTTAGCAAAATAATATTGACTCTGAAGACTAACCTTTCTGTTCGTTGGACTCAAGTTTGTTATGGATGGTTGGCATTGATCAACAATTGACAACCTTCGTGATGTATGGTATTTCTATGATGAGGGTTAAGTCTGTACTCAAACCTATTGGCCCACCCAGCCAGAGCTTATCCCAGTTCCCATGAAACATGAAGTGACGAGGAGTATCACTACTCCCCCCTAGAAGGGATGCTAGTTCATGTAGAGGTTCCCCCCCCATAGTATTTCATCAGGCTTCCCTGACAATTTGCTGTTACCCATTTATACTCCTGGGTAGAGAGCGGCACTGTGAGGGTAGAGTGTCTTCCCAAGAAGACAACACATTGACCTGGTAAAAGTGAAGAACAGTTCCCAAAAGATACTGCCAGTTGGCCAACTGTCGGCAGACAGTTTTTGTTATGTTTCAGGCCAAAGTTTTGGCTGACTGTTAGCCAACACTCGGCCGACAGTTGGTAACCTGTTGGCCACTTGTCAGTAACCTGTTGGTGGGTCGTAAACTGAAATGATTGTAAACATTTACCTATCTATTGCTTCTAAAACTACATAAAAAGGGGAAAAATCATTTCAAAAAGATATCCAGCACTGTACTCTCAGTAGCTACTATGGCTTTTGCCTACTTTTTTAAATTGGCTTGCAAACTTTCCCAAATTGGTTTGATTTCATCTATCTGCCATATTGAAAATTTTTTCTAGTTCCAAATTCCCTAAATGCACTGCCTCCAAAACCCTTTTAAGAAAGTCTTTATTTGGCTAGAACTATTTGGCCTGTTAGTTCATTCACTTGCAAAGTGGAGAAAACAAACTATTTTGTGTACAAACAAGGATATAAGAAATAGGTACTAAATTTAGTACTTGATTTTGGTACTTAAGGTCGGGAGATAGGTTAAATAAGCTTGTTTTACCATTTAAACAGAATCAAGTAGATAGGTACAAACAATGCAATCGACATGTTTCTATTTACTGTTTTCAACTGGAAGAGTTTTGACTCTGTTTTCAGTCAATTTTTGGTCTACTTAACACTGTGGGTGGACTGTTGGTAATGTATCCATAACCTGTCAGCGGACAGTTGACTGACAGGTTACCAAAAGCCAAAAATGGGAACCTTTGTTCACTATTACCCATTGACCCAGCCAGGTCTCTTGCTCAGACCTATCAACCTGGGGTCCAGTGCACTGACCATCAGGCCCCTGCTGTTTCTATAATGCTACCAAAAATGATATGTAGGGTACGTAAGATTTAAGACAATCTTTCCCCACTACATTTAACTTTAAATACCTCACTGAAGGTATGCTGCATTTACAGGTGAAAATTCTATTGTCATTGTCAGTGGAGCTAATGATATTCTGTCAGAAGAGGATGTTAAAAGAGCAAAGTCTGTTATATCATCAGCATCAGTTTGTGTTTGTCAGCTGGAAATTAATCCAGAAGTAACACACTACACTTTATCTCTTGCAAAGAAAAATGGAGGTCAGTATGAGTTTGTGGGAAATTCCTTCATATAGTCAAACCTCTCGGCAACAACCTCCTTTTCCTTCTACACCCTAACATCAGTTTGCAAGCTCTCCATACTGTTCTTGATATATTACCCATGGTATTTACAAGGTGATTTTGCCCAATAATCAAGAGCTTCTTCACCTCTAATGCCAGATGAAGGGGTCTTGGAGTTCTTCCTGATGAAATATTTATCAACCCCTATCAGTGACTAACTTAATGCTGTTTTTTATGCTTGCAGTACAAACAATATTCAACCCTGCACCAGCTCTGTCATGGCTGGATTATTTTTATTATGCTCTTAGTGATGTATTCTGTGCAAATGAAAGTGAGGTAATAATAATGATAACAAAAATATCAAGTCTAAATTGTAGATTGCAGAAACATAGTACATGATTTCATCATTTTCAAGTGCATGTTAGAATTTCAGGTTATGTTGTGCATGTCACCAGGCACTTGAATTAACTCGAAGCAAAATTTTTATTTTCATTTAACCTGTTCACTTCCAAGATCTCATTTATTTAGTCATTCTCTTTACTGTCTGCTATGTTCTTTTTATGTAAGTTTGATCTGTAGGAGACATTACTTGTCTTCAGTTCTACATAGTCTTAACCTAAAAAGGTACTCCTGTTCGGTGCAGCTTTCTATTTTTAATAGTGCACTTTAATTTGATGGTGTTCTTCTTTTCCCCCATGGCTTTACCGTTTGTTTTGTAAAAGGTAGAGATGGTTACACCCCAAGGATTCCATCTTGTTTCTAACCTGCAGTTAGGGGTTAATTTTTGCAGGGAGCACGATCATGTTGCAAGGGGGAGGGAAGGATGAAATGAAACAAAAAAATGCTTTTTTTTGCTGCCTGACCTCCTGTTTGCCTTGCTACATTGTCAAGCTTAAAAAAATAGAACCCCTGGGACTGTTTGCAGGCATCCTTCTACACTCAACTTTAGTGGAGAGCATGCATACAGTGAGAATGTAGTGTCTTGCTGAGAACTCCTGCTGACCCAGGCTATGTCTCTTAGCAAGAAGTTTTGATGTGGACTCCAGCATGCAAGACATCAGATCCCCCCACCTTTCATCTCATGTACTTTGCAACTAAGACCTCATTGGCAGTAACTTCTATTGCAGGCTGAACTGCTAACAGGATTATCAGTAAAAACTATAGAAGATGCAGAGAAGGCTGTCATCATGATATTGGAGAGAGGGGCTCGTAGGGCAGTTATCACACTTGGCAATAAAGGCTCTGTCATTGGAACTAAGGAAAACCGCATACCCAAACACATTCCTGTTACAGCAGTGGAACCTGTGGATACCACAGTAATGCTGAATATTCAAACCTTTCATACCAGGAACTTTCCAGAAGTAGTCACTGTTTACACCCTACCATCAATAAACATGTTCTGCCTTCTGTTCTCTTTACATTTTATAACGTTTCGATAAGGAGAGTTTGCTTAGCAATCAAGAGTATGTGCACTTCTGATAGATAGATATAGATGTGTTTTATCTTGGATTTTAACCAACCAAATACAATCAATGGGTATGTTAGAGTTAAATTCTTATTTTCAGAGGTTTCATTGAGAAATTTGTTAACAGGAGAACACTTAATATAAACTGGAGTATATACTCTCTGTCTCTGAATAGAAATGAGCTCAAATCCCTGAAATTTTTGTTCTTTTTTCATGTGGCAGTTGTAGAATTCTCTAGTCTTCTGTGCGCAACACCCTCATTTTGCAGTTCCTTTAATTTATAATGTCCATTTTCACTGCAAGTTACACCCTTGACATTTTTTTTTTGGTCTTGTTTAGGGAGCTGGAGATGCATTCATTGGGGCTCTTGCATTTTACATGGCAAAATTCAAGGACCTCCCTTTTGACGAGGTTGTTAGGAGATCTGGCGAAATTGCCAGAGCAACTGTGTTAGCTGTGGGTACACAGTCTAGCTATCCTACTAAAAAAGAACTGCCATCCTCTCTGTTTAGCAACACTGTTTCAAGGGACAGAATATCCTCAACATAAAACTTTTAGCTACTTTCAACAAATCTTAAATTAAAAATATTACTATTTTTTAAAATTATTGTCATGTGAATGACTCCAAATATACCTGTCTGAGGTGTAATATGAATGAAACAAGAACACTACATTTATGAGTGTTAGGAACAAACTGAAGAGCATTATACAAAACAGATGGGTTGCAAGTCCATTGTAAGAACTGAAGTCAACCCTGTAATTTTCATGATCTGATTGATAATTCTCTCCTATTGCTGCTAGACATTTCCTTTAAATTAGTTCTGAGAATTTGGTGTTAGATCAAGATAACAGTTTCTACCCAATAAGTTTGAGTATTCTCATAACCTGTTTGCTGGATAATGTATGGATGTTATAGGGAGAAGTTACATGTTAATCACTCCTGGGAGTCAAAGGGCAACTACGCATCTGTAATGTTACAGCTTTGTCTAATTGTTGGCCCCAAAGATGAAGTTTGTGCAATAATTTAAGGCTCCACTCCTTTTTGTTGCATAGATTGATCACTGCTATTGTTATGATAATTCCTTTAGAAATACAAGTAATCAACTTGTATACTTACGAGCACACTGTTATTGTGGATTAAAAAATTGGAGAAATGAAGATATTTGGTGTGCTGATGCATGGCATTTAAGCAAGGTATAATTTTTGTGCTACACCAACAAGTAACTCTGTAATTTTTTTTGTAGAAAGAATTTAAGGAAAGATTAAGCATGTTATAACCAATATGGTGACTCACTGTTGCCTGTTACTGCTTTTGTGTAAACTACTAGTGAGCAACCTTTTTCTTGAAACCTTCTAAAAAAAACCCTGTTATCTGGCACAACAAACCAATTAAAAGCTGTTGGTCAGTAATATTTTGTTTGAGAATGGACAATAATGGAAAAAGTATCTAATAACTTTTGTCTTCCTTTACTGATATATGTTTATTATTTACATTAGGAATTGAATTCTTGTACAGTAAATATCAGAAAATGACCATCAGTAGTAATGTTAATAGTGACAAATATCTGCAAGGTTACTTGTGAGATTGCCATTGGCTGGGTATATTCTGATCCATCAACTACCTTTGTACTCAAACCCTTAAACTCCCAAGATTTGCTTTTTAACTCTCCAACCAATCTCCAACACATTTCCTTGTAAATACACAGTGAGAATTTGGTGTTGAATCAAAATAAAAACTTCTACCTGATAAGTTTGAATATTCTCTTTACCTGTTTGCTGAATGGTGTATGGATGTTGTAGGGAGACTTTACATTTTTATCACTTCTGGGAGTTAAAGGGTTAAAAGTAATCACAAGCAATTTTATTGGGTGTTATGCAAAGAATATTTCATGTGATGATAAAGAATCAATAAAAATCTTTAATAATAAAAATAACACTTCTTCCTGTAAATTTCCTTCCTCATTTAGTTGTCTTTTGTTTCCTTAATTCACATGTTACACCCTTGAGCCTCATAGAGAACTGGACATGAAGAAGTTACATAATGCACTATGAATTTGCTACACTTCATGTTGTAAAGGGGGAATGTACCCAAGTATGAAACGTAGAATGCAATTTCAATCTGGTGGAAAATTAATTATTTTGAGTCCATGAATACTCTCAACTTTCCTTTCTCTGTTACCATCTGCACTTCACTTTTGTTTAATTTATCAATGTCCTTGCTTACTCCATTTCTGAATATTCCTTTGGATTGAACTTGTATTTAAATAGTAACTGTACATCTGTCAGCAATTCTTACAATGGTTTCCCATGGGCCGTCACTTCCCCTTTTTGACTTTTTGCTCCACAAACAGCACATGCTTGTTCACTAAAGGAAGAAGTATTATAAATATCAGGTGGAACATTAAAAATGGTGTTATTATAACAGGCTATCTAACTTTCTTCCTGTGAAGATCTGAGAATGATCATTTACTGTTACTAAGCTAATAAAACCCAAATTCCAGACTATAATTGCTGGTTCATTTGGCTTCACCAGAAATTACTTTTCTATAGAGGAGGATGCTTGCATTGCCAACATTAGTTTCAATTAACAATTGGTTCATATGTCAGTGTGCATTCATTGAGATATGAAGCATGCGGGAAGTTTGGAGAGCACGAAAGATGTGTAAGAGTTGCTCGAGGCATAGCCTCAAGCAACTCTAGCTTCTTGAGCGCTCTCCAAACTTCCCAAGTGCTTCATATCTCGATGAACGCACAGCTGACCCATGAACCAAATGTTTTATAACATTTTCAACCCAAAGGAAAATTTTTTTCTTGAGGGATTTGTTTGCTGACATCATGAGCGTGCACCATAGAATATGAAGCATGCTCACACAATTGAATTTGATTAGACAAATTTACTAGCTATGTTGTAAAATAACTTGCATCACCGTAGTTGTTAGCATGAAGATGTACACATTACTATCTGGGTCTAGACAACATCTCTATGGTAAACCTCGACCTCTAATCCACTAAATTGATGTTCAACAGTATAATGAACCACAAAACAAATAATTCGTCCGCAAAGACGGACATCTACCCTCCCTTCCATCACCAATTTACCATGTCCTCAGTTCACGTGGACACTGCTGGCCTGCTGTCTATCTATCACTATTCCAACCACGCTGTTATCAACAGGCCGCACTCACCGATTGGATCGTATTTCATGAACTCCAGTTTGGGTTTGAGTCTGTTCCTGGACATCATGTAATAATATCCAGTACCAGCCATACTAACAAGTTGCACAATAATGCGCCTACAAAACAATTAAGTAATAACGAGGTTTTTTTTTAATGGTAATAACGAGGTTAATTCTTACGATCTCGGTGGATCTATGCCGCTGTCACAATGACAGCGTTATCGATCTCTCTGTTGTAAGTATGAACCACATCATAACACGCCTAACTTTAATTTCAACAAGATTGCGTATTCATTCGCCAGGATCTCAAACACAGAACTGAAGACTGTCCACGCATGTTTTTTTCTTTTCTAAAAAGACCTTTTTTGCAGCCGATCGCGACTCAGATCATTACCAATTAAAATTCCATAACGAAAGATCACTCACTTTGATTTTGATTTGGCCACTGCAGATCAAAAGAGAGAAAACAATTTTAGAAAGAAAAAGGCAAAAAGCAACGAGTCTACTAGGAACGAAGAGAATATACTTACTTCTACTCGTAGAGAGCAACATTTTGCTGCCGGAGAATCAAAATGGCGCCTTTTTTCTTCTTTATGTATCAGTCCCAAAGAGTGGCCTCACAAGCAACCCACAAAGGTCCCTGGGATATCTTAGGCGCGCAGAATTTCATTATGGCGCGTATCGGCAGAGATCTTGCGTGCAATATTTACATCATGACACCTGAAAGGTATAGTGATTATGTCTGGCCAAGTCACTTAGTTCGAAAAAATATGTAATCTCTTTCTACTGCCAGGTATGATCCGCCCTCTGCAAGAAGAGGTGCGATCTCGTCTAAGATCAGGGGTCGCCATCACCAATTTCACGCAATGCGTCGAAGAACTTGTTTTGAACAGCTTAGATGCTGAAGCTACCTGCATCACAGTTCGGATAGACATTCCGAATTTTAAGATCCAAGTGTGCGATAATGGTATTGGTATAACCCACGGAGATCTGAGATTTGTTGGAGAGCGATACTCGAGTAGTAAATGCCATGTGCTTGAAGATTTGGAACAGCTGAGTTTTCATGGTTTTAGAGGAGAAGCTCTTGCAAGTATACGAGAGATTTGCGATGTGCTAGAAATATCCACTCGTCATCGGTCTTCTCATCAAACTTACTGCAAATTGTTTCGAACTTCTCAAGTCCTTGAGCTCAAAGAGTCCCGATTTCCGAGAACTATCCGTGGAACAAGTGTAACAGTTCATGGGCTTTTCTCAAACCTTCCTGTGAGACGTAAAGCTATCATGGAAACACTTGACTTTGACCGTGTTCGGCATAGAATTGCATCCATTGCTCTTATAAACCCAAAGACTGCATTCACATTGATAAACGATTCATCGGGTGTGAAATGCCTTCGAACGCATGACTGCAAGTCTGTTGTCTCAGCATTCTCTCAGCTGTTTGGCAACCAAAGATCAAAACATTTGCAACAAGTACAATTTGAACAGGACAACTTCAAAGTTTCTGGTTTTATTTCAACCGACACACACCATAGTAAGAGTCTGCAATTTTTGTATATAAATAGGCGTTTAATACTGAAGACAAGACTTCACAAGCTTGTGAATAGCATTCTCGCAAAATCAGAGCATTTAAAGAGATTGCCTTTGCCTGAGGAGAAAGATACTGTCAGATCAGAGAACCACCAGAGTAAAACAACGAGCCCTCAGAATACAAAGATTTTTGAGAAACATGGTATATTTGTTCTAAATATTGACTGTCTTGTCACTGAATATGATGTTTGCCTTGAGCCAGCAAAGACATTGATTGAATTTCAGAATTGGGACAAAGTCCTCAGTTGTGTGGAAAAATGTATTGAAGAATTTCTGGTTGAACAAAACTTGCTCTCCAACCTGGAAGATTCAGCAACCTCAGATGTATCAGAGTCAAATGAGGATGGACCTGTTATGAAAACTTCACGTTATGCTAATCTTGAGGCTTTTGAGTACAAAAGGGAGATTGAAACCAGCAATGTTAACAAGAGCTTGCACTCTTCAACTGTTTTGAGGCCAAGGGGAGTTAAAAAAGTTGAATCACTTCTTGACACTTCTTGTTCAGAGAATGAATTTCCTGTCTTTTCTAGCTCTGATAAAGAAATTAAATCCACTGATGATAAGAACAAGACAGATGAAAGTGAAGATCAAATAACTTCATCAAGGAATGTTGTTGCTTCAGGTTCAAACCCTGTTTCAGGACTGGTAAATACTAACACTTTGGCTACAGCTGCAGACAATAGTAGCTCTCTCCTCACTAAGGAAAAATCTTTCTGTGTTTCTTTGACTGGCAGTTCTTTTACAGACAGTGAATCAGTTCATTTGAAAAAAAAATGCTGTCAATCAGGAACAATTTTGCTGGAATTAAATGATGTTTTTCCATGCCTGGTTATAACAGTTTTAGCAAATTTAAACTCCAATCAGGAACACAGGATGCCTGTACTCAAATAGCTCCATTGTTAATCGGTGACTGGCTCATTGTTAACACTTGAAAATAATGAAGGTGCAAAGAGAGAAGCTTATCAATCTGATTCTAATAGTCCAAAACACAGAGGAATGTTTGTGCATTCAACACGCGAAAACAATCATCAATCCTCGGTTGCTTCTACAAAAGGTGAAAGGAAAACTGGTGTACTGTCAACTTTTACTTCTCCGAGTCCTATTTTTCTAAATAGGCAGTGTACCAGGAAGAGATTGCTAGAAACCAAGGAAGCCTCAGTGGATGAGTTAGCATCGCCATCAAAGAATAGGAAGGTAATCACCCTGAAAGGAAACTGTAACAGCAGATTTGTTCTAGACAGGAGAAAATCAATGAATGTCAAGAGAAGTGACTATGATGCAGGTGGTGCTCCTGTTAATGACAATTGCAATACTAAGTCATCAGCATATTCTAGCAATTATTTTGTCAAAGAAACAATTGCAAATGACAGTTTGGATCATAATGCTATGTGCAGCATTGAAGTACACAGTGCGGGAAACAAGGCTGGTGTGGCTGTGGTTGCTGAAGAGACCTGTGGCTCAGGTGATTCTTCATATCTCAGAAAACATTATTCAGATAAAACCACAGATCAGATTTGTGTATCAAAATTTCCTACTAGGAAAGATACCTCTGCAGTACCTGGTTGTTTTGAAAATGAATTGTATTCTGAGCAAGTTGATAAAGGCAGATACATAGAAAAATCTCCAAAAGACACCAACAGCCATCAAAGAGGGAATCCTGGAAAGACTGAATTGCTTCCAATGAAAGACAAATCTAGTCACCAGTCATTGACATCAGAATCTAACATGAATCCTGATACAATTGAAATCCACACAGGAATGTTAGGTTCTTCAAACAAGGATTGGTTTTGTACATTTGATGCATCTTTGGGAAGAAAATTGTTCATCAACAGTCGAACTGGACACTCTTCCTTTGAAGCACCAAATGAATTCAGTATTAAAGATGATGACTGTTCAGTGTTAAGTGAAACTGAATTTTGTGGGAAAGAAGAGGACCGTAGACAGCATGTGCCACACCCGTGTGCCTCTCACGTGTCCTTTTTGTGTACCCCTTGGCTTCCACGGGAGGATAGGAAACAGGAACCTGCCAAAGGTACTGAGGGTAATGTTGATCTTGGCTCTGTCGATGAAATAATATTTTATAAATGGATTTTAAAAAGTTAGATTTGCAATTTTTTTTCTACTCTTATTTTGAGGTATATGCATTGCTACTCCATTTTCTGGACTACAAGAGGAAATTGAACTATTGACTTTTCCGTAAAATTTACCTGAATGTCCTATCTTGCAAACAGGTGACATTAGAGGAGAAACACTTTCATTCAGTGGTTTGACTGTGAATATATGAAAATCATATATGTGAACTGTGGTTTAAGAAATGAGTACAATAGCAATATTGGCAGTAATAAACACTACTAATAATAAGAAGTCTTGAAAATAAGACCTGAAAAAAATTCGTGCCTGTATGGGATTTGAACCCATGACCTCTGTAATCACCCTGCAGTCCCCTACCAACTAAGCTAACAAGCCAACTGGGAGCTGGTCATTGTGTGGATTTGTAATAAACCAGTGACGCAATGAATAAATGACTGTGAATATATGAAAATCATATTTGTCAACTGGGACTAAGAAATGAATATGGAATTGATCTTTGTTGTAAGAAACACTACTACTTATAAGCAGTAGTGAAAATGAGGCACAAAAAAAAATCGGGCCTGTACAACATTTGTTGTCTTGCAGTGTGTGTACATGTATCAGCAAATTCTCTCAACTAGTTTGCAAGTAGATGTTTGGCAACCAGAAGAGAGAACAGAACTTCATCGCTAAGAGTTCTAGTTCAAAACATTTATATCTGGGCAATATGTGTGTGGCAGTTCCTTTCAAACTTCAGTTGCTCTTTAGAGAAACAACTTTGCATGTTTCTGTACATTTTAGGAATGGGTGATTCTCACTTGGCCTTTTTATACAAGAAACACTTGGAAGAACAAGAAGCAGAAGAGAAGCTTTGTAAGTGGACTGATGCAGGTGCCCTGCAAGCTTATGAGCAAGACCTACTTAACAATGGAGGAAAAACTGTGACACAGCTGCTTAACAATTGGAAAAATCCTGTATTTGCTGCTCCAGAAAAGGTCAGGAAATGGAATTTTAATTACACTTGCATAGGCACTAGTGGCGCACTGACAATACATATGCGTTATTGACCAGCTTTGTTTGGTCAACATAGCTGGATATCGGCCAAGTTTTATTTTGCAGTTTTATGGCCAAAGACTAATGCCACGTTGGATTCACAACTACACACGTGTTTTGATGCCATACCTTAATCGTTGTGATAGCCTTATTGTCATAAACAACAATCAAGCGCAAAGCTTCTTTATGATTTTATTCTGGGAAAGGCCAAAAAATTTTCGAAATGTTCCTCAGTATGATGTACTACACTGAAATAATTCTTGATTAGCCACAAGTAAAGCAATGGAAAGAAGAGCTGCACTCTTGCCAGCACCATAAATTGTACGGAAAGGGAATTGGCATTCCTTACTAAAGCAGCTTTGCATGAGACTAGGAATTTTTGGGAAACATGTTCTAAAATTTAAGGTCTACTAAACCAGTTATGTTTCTCTCTTGAGAGAGCTGTCTGAGGTCAGCAAAGTCTCACTAACCCCTTTTTGCGGATTCTCACAAGTGGAAGTGTGTTTTCAAAATTTTAGGATATACTTACGGTCAACAAGCCAGGCTTGGATAAATCGCAGATCTCAGTGCATAATGTGGCTCATCCGTACCGTTTCACAAAAGAGATGTTGACCAGCATGAGGGTATTGCGACAACTGGATGAGAAATTTATCGTGGGAGTTGTATCACATGAAGGTGAGATGCTTGGCTTATCAAAAGCAGTCATTGATTTGGCAAAGTTCATGACCATTCAGTAATTATTGTTTGTGTCAAATTAACTCGACAAGGAATCGTGTAGTCTGATCGTCTGCATGGGTGCAGTCCTGCGATGGACTGTTGTCAGTAGTGGTGACTGATGTTTCTACAACCTGAGTGGAATCATCATCAAAGTCAAGTGAAGAGTTGTTGTCAGTCGGGTGTACTAAGTCCTGTTCGTGTATACTGGTCTATTATAGATTATATTTCGTGTATATTGGTCAGTTTAGCTGCGATGTTACTGGCTATAAGACTAAAGTGGCGTAAGTCGGTCGTGATAGGATAGATTGAGAAAATTCAACTTGAGGGCATGGTTTGGTTTAGCACTTAATACTCAAAGCCAAAATATTATAGGAAATATACGGAGGAAGAGAATTGATGGTGAAATCATTGAGATCATTGGGTGGAAAGGGTGAATAAGTAGTCTTCTCGAGTTTAACAAGGGAGAAAATCAAGACAATACTGATCAATCAGATGGTGACTTCCACTCGGGTTGCCAAAACATTAGTCTTAGTCCTATCTGTCTTTTGTGGACTACTCCAGGTGGTTGATCGGACCACACGATCATAGATAATATGATGATTTAAGTTTGTTGTAGTACATCAACAACAGCAACAACTGCAATTTGCTTTATTGTGAACTTTCGCTTTTGAGGGTTAACCCAGCTATACAATTAAAGAGTATTATTTCAAGAAGAAAAGGTTATCAAGTTAAATGTTCTTTTTGATTTGTTTTTAATTGTTTAAAAAATGTGCAATTGTGAAGGAAACGGATCAGAATCACAGATTATGACATGTTAATTGACCTCAAGAAAGCACAACACTGTTTGGGTGGAGAGAAGCAAAAGCAGGAAAGGTTCGATAAGAGGAAATTTTGATGTGCATGTAAGTAAGTGGAAGCCCTTTTACTCCTTCTAACTGATACTTGTTGAATTTTTCTGGTCTTCGAAAATTAGAGGGAGCTGATGGCTTACTCGTCCTGGTAGATCAACACGCTGCGCATGAGCGAGTTCGATTAGAACGTCTTCAATCAGGTATGGTTGTGCTGCGAAAAATTTTTTACGACAATGTCATGATAGGTTTCCTTTAAGTTGTGAGTGTATTATGATTGGTCATCAGTGGTGTTACAAATAAGGAACATAGACACATGATTATAAGATTGAATTGTTAGAAGTTGGGATCAGATTCCTCCTCGGAAAGAAGAACTCTTTAACACTGCGCCTTGTTCCGATCTTGTGGCTTCTTAGCCCAGTTGTTTGTTGAGCCCAATTAGTATCCGGGAGACATGGGTTCGAATCCAGTCGAAGCATGAAATATTTCAGCTGCCCTGTAAGGATCATTACTTTACTTGATATTTCATGCAATAATAATTGTCTTTTGATCATAGAACTCTTTGGAGATGGCAGTGACACAAAAACTGGAGGAAAACCCAGGATCAAGTCCTCAACAGTCTCACCTCCTCTGAAACTATGTTTTTCTCAAGAGGAAATTTGGCTCTTGAAAGCTTCTCAAGCTGAAATAGAACGTATTGGGATACGTTTTCTGATAAGCCAATCATCAGAATCCTCTGAGGACGTATCAGTCCTTGTGGATAGCGTACCGTCTGTTTTTGTCGAACGAGAGTTTTCTGAAGTCAAGCGTGGAAGACCTTCAGTTGCTGTCGATAACGTGAAGGTATTATCAATTATTTTAAATGGGAGTAAACTCAAGTTTGGCAAAAGTTGTTCTTGTTATAATTGGAAATACTTGTAAATGAAATTCCCTTTAAGCAGATACTTGCCTTTTCTTTTTTTGAATTGTTGTGTTTTAAATAAATTTAAAATAACCAGGCCATTCTGGACATCACTTAACTTAAATCTTGCACTCACAGTATTGACAAACAAATAATTTCTCTTAACAGTATTAATACATGTGTAACCAGAAATGTTGGAGTGATCTAGTCACAGGGCTCTAAACTCAGACACCCCAGGGCAAGTTTTGATGAAAAAAAAAAACGTTCACCCTATTAAAACAAAATAACGCTTAAATCGTAAGGGAAAAAAACATGGAAAGGGACAATTTGAGCAATATTACAAGATACTTTGTACAAATTTTAGCTCCCTTAAACGTTACAGCTTGCTACAGATCACTGAGTACAAGTTTCCTCAGAAGGGAGACTTTTACTGTGGATTCAATACGTAAATTTTTGCTCGCGGCTATGGATACCAAAATGGCTGTAGCGTAGAATACTGAGTTACTTCTGTGTTGACTTTACAAGTCTCAGTCTGTAATCTGTCACATGTAAAGAATACCTGTGTTTTAATGGGCATTATATTTCCTGATTAGGGGCTGATCAGAGAACATCTTGAAGTAAGTTGCACTTTTTGATAAGGCTAAAAATATTTACATATATCATTGCAAAATTGAACATATAAAACAGTCGTTCATAAATAGGTGCAACTTAGTCGCTTTGTTCAACACATAATACGGGCGGATATTTCACGAGTGGCTTAGTCTTTTCCAGGCCCCGTAGGAAGGCAGAAAAATGCGAGCAATGAGCAGAATGTCTGCTCGTATTTTTTTCAATTGCTAGTATTTTAGCTTTTAGTTTTGGAAATATATTCATTTCTTCATGGGTTCAAATCCCGTACAGGGTTGAAATTTTTTTCAGGTCTTATTTTCAGTACTGCTTAAGTTGTGTTCATTACTGCGAAGATCGCTTTCATATTCATTTCTTAAATCGCAGTTCTCATATATAACTTTCATACGTTCACGGTCGAGTAAATCGGAAGTGCTTAAAAATTTTTGTATTAAAACCGAAGCCTAAAAAAACAGAAAAATCCAAGTTTGGATCGTTCAGTGTTTAATGTTCGAGCAAGTCAACCTTCAGTCCTTATAGCAAATAGAATGCATCGCTGTTGTTGAAATGAATATGAATGTCTTGAAGCAAGAGGACTGGTATGTTAACTGATTTTTGTGGTCTTTGTAAATTTGGAGTAAACAGTTATTGACACTTTATGTGGCCAACTACTTCTTTAAGGCAGTCATTAGGGTGGTGCAGTCTGAAAGCATTTAATTTCTTATAATTATAACAGGATCTTTTGATATTGTCAACAGCAATTTTCAAGGACACGCGGAGTACCTCCTGTTATTCCCAAGGCTATTTCTGATGTGATCAGCTCGCAGGCTTGCCATGGTATGAACAGATAGCTTAAGCGCAGAGATTTTTACATACACGAACTTTTTCTTGCTAAAATCGCTGACATGTTATGATAAAGAGAAGGATTTCTCTGATGCTTCTGTTGTCAATTAGAAGTTGCAGCTTTTGATTAGTAGCAATGAGAGGTACCTGAAACGACTCATATATTTCCCACAAACTATGTTTGAAATTATTTCATGGAATTCACATGTAATCAAAGTTATAGTTGTGTGCTAATTAGTTGTCCAACAATTCCTCCACTTGGAGAACAAGTCTTCACTCATTCTAGCTGAAGGTAGAGATAAACAAAATAATGCTATGTTTACTGAAGAATACATGTAGATCTTAAGTAAGCAGAAAATGAACTGATTTATTTCCTGTTTCTTTATGATGTGACCTCATTTTACATGAATTTCAACCATTTTGAAGGAATTTCTTTATTTTGCAGGTGCTGTTAAGTTTGGGGAGCCTCTTGGCACAGCTGAGTGTCAGGAACTAATCCATAGTCTGTCTAAGTGTCAGTTACCTTTTCAATGTGCACATGGCAGGTAAGTGATGCAACCACCTGAGCCTGTCATTTTTCTGTATATACCGGTATGCTTTATCATTGGCTAACATATAAGCACTAGGTTAAAAACAGTCTGGACCAGCGGCCATAATTTTTTTCAGGAGTCCTTTAATATGACTTAAACTGGCTTGGGTCTCGAACTTATCCATCTTATGACCCTCACTGCCTTGCATATGCGTGTGCGTTTTATGAAAACTCATTTAAAATCCTTTTCCGATGGCTTTAAATTGTGGCACAAACGGACAAGGAAAACCCTACGGCTCTTGAAGATGCAGGCTGAGAGAGGAAAAAAATGGTAGTCTCATAATAAAATTATTATTGACTGAGTTAATTTGGGTAAGAAGGGAAAATATTTCGTTGTCGTTCATCGGTACAGACCTTAAGACCTCTCGCAAAATATTTGCCCATTCGGCCTTCCCGTTCAGTCATTACGTGCAGGGTACTCGACTCAATGTTCTACTTCGGCTTAATAAAGTAGGGTTTAAATGACTGTGGTTATATGAAAATCATATTTGTGAAGTGTGGGTTAAGAAATGTTGTTTTATTCAAAGTAGGGTTTTCCACTTAATGTGTTTGTCAGTCCTTTTAATGGTATATGCAGTGTACATGCAGTAATACATGCAGTGTATTACTAGGATTTGCTATACTTTACTCATTTAACTATTTAATGATGACGATGATATTGATCATGACAGTAATGTTCATGATGATAGTGATTGCACCATCGGTGACCGTTGTTTGTTTGTTTTTTTACATAGGCCATCTGTTATACCATTGGTTGACTTCAAGTTTGTAGAAAAGAAAATGAACCCCAAGGCAAGTAAAAGAACACCACCAACAATTCTATCTTATAACGTTGTTTGAGTTGTGCAGACAAATGTCATTGTCAAGTGGAACGTGTCGTGCTTAGTTGATTCACAATTTTATACAACTCCTAAGCCAAATTATCCATGGCTGAGACCAAGAGACAAAGGGAATCGAGAATCAACTTCAGTGGAGTTTGCAACCAGAATTGATATTGGTATTAGAACCGAGTGGAGTCCAATTATGTCTATAATCATGAGAATGATTAACAAAATTGAACGACCGCGAAGCGGGAGTCTGATTTGTTAATCACGAGTTTGATTAGTTAGAATTGGACGACACAAAGTCCTGTTACCAATTAATCATAACTGTTACAATATCCGAAAACAGCAAATGCATTTAGGACAAATATGTCCAGTAGAGACAATGCCTAAGTAAAAAATTCCTCAACTTTAGAAATTCCACTATTTTTCAGGATAAGTGGTTGTTGCTATGGTTATTGTGATTAATTGTGTGATTAGTGGATTTCGCTAAGTGGATTTCGCTAAGTGGACTTGGTATGATTGGCTACTTGAACTGTCCAATTACACGTGTTCGATTACAGCCAACTGGCCGATTATACTGTCCGATGACAGCTCTACAGAGTGATGAGTGAAAAATAACACAGCTGATGCAACAATCACATTTTAGGAAATTGTAATGGTTATGGTTAAACGTTTAACTGCCTAGAACATGTGTTTATAGATACTGAATAGAATAAGTCCTTATGATCTTTTTTCAACAGGAAACTGTACACAGACCAACATTAGCAAACCTGCAGCCTGTTCGTAAGAAATATTAGAACCTTCAGATATAACAAGAGTGGTCGCAATTGGTTAATGTAACATCTTGTATCTGTTATGTAGATACTAGGTCGGTAAGCGGGTTGGTTTATGCGATTTTCCAATTCTATCATGATTCATTAACCAGTTTTATCAGAGGGATTATTTTGATCAAATTCATTTACTTCTAAGTTTTCATCGTTGTTATTTTATTGTGAGAGAGTTCTTATTGCTATTATTGTTTTAATGATACTATAATTTTATTATCTACTCTCAAGTACTTAGTGAAAACATGTAGGACATGACTATGACTCGACATATTTTTGAGGAAGCAAAAGGTGAAAAACCTTGCAGCATTTTACATTGGGACCTTGGGAAAAGGCTATCTTACAAGGATGTGTGAATGGGCGAAGAGGAAGGAGAAAGCCTCTCCTGGCAACTTAAACAAGTTTCTAAACCTTACAAATATTGTGAAGTGAAAATTACAGAAGGATTACGTTTGCATTTTCCTTGAAGCTACTAGTCTGTATTTCACTAAAATCGAGCATGGCAACTTTTCGCGGCAGTACCTCACTTACCTCCATTTTTACCAAACGGTGCCATACAGTGAACCACTTATTCGTACTTTATTAATCTAATGAATCTAACGGTGGGAACGAGACGCCATTCATTTAATTACCTGCGAGGCTCCACTTTCTCCTCTTTTTGTGTTTGTTTGTTCGTTTTTATTATTTTATGGCAGAATCTCTACTTTTTTTATTCTTCCCAAAGGATACAAGACAGCTAACCACTTGTATGTAATTCATCGATCAGATGAATCTGAGCAGAGAAGAGTGGGCACGACTCACTACCCCCAACTGCGTTGAGGGCTTCTGTTCTTTCAACCCTCCACCCCTCTCCTTAAGGACTAAAAACGAAAAAAATTTTACTTTTGATCGGGAAACAAATTTTGTAAATTCGATTTGGGAGTATAAAAGCAGATGGAATTTGAATACTACAGATTTGGTGTCCAATTTCTTTGTGCCCAGTTTGATACATCTACATATCTACGAGTCACGTTCGACTGGCTTCAGTTTTATTTTTGTAAAAATGCATTGATTTCCATGTCACTGCACCAAAATGTACCCCATGACTTTGAGGTGTTGTTCGCCATTGTCTGGCTTTGTTCCCATATGTCTTTTAATTTTTCAGGCTTCCCTCCTGTACCAAAGTCGATTCTAGAATCACAGCTGTTGCAATGCTTTCTTTGGTCGGAAATTATGCCGATTCTTGCTTTAGAATAAAGACTGTAACCGACAGCATTGAAACGGGCCGATCAGCGCCTTCCACGCGTCACGACCTAATGACTTGCCACGGTATTGTCCGTCAGCGATCGGTGAATAAAGAGAGCTCGCCTGTTTTTGGATGACAATAATCTCCATTTGGTTTCCGATCTTCATACCGAGACATCTTACAATTGCCTTAAAAAATAGACTGCCTTAGATTAGCAAGATTCTAAACGAGAACAAGTTTCTTTTTAATAAATTTGCCTGTTAGTCGTTAAAATTCGATCACTGTTTATTGTTTATAGAGTTAAAAAATATATATGCCTCGAAGTATATTTGCTGAATATTTACAAGACTTATAACTTTCACGCCAGCTCTTGAAGAATCTTTCACCTTTTTTTGTCTTTTTTGTCCATCTGTTGGTTTTCAGTTCATTACTAAATGGCATAGTGAAAATATATGATAATCTTAAAATAGTTTCGTTCCGAAACGAGGTCTTCATGGTAACTGGGTGAGAATCGATAATGTTGCTAGCGATCTTATGTAGCAAAACCATCTATTATAACATGAAGGACGAATTTCGGCTCTTTATATGATCAGGTAGAATGTCATGAAAGCGATATAAGGTGACCTACCTCGGTCACAACTTTCAGTAAAACAGACTAGCAAATAATAAAATAAGCCTCGAAATATCTGAGAATTTACTGGGCACAGAAAGACGATAGCAGCATTTTGGAAATTTTATTTTGTAGAGATAACCCTCTTGGAACATATATGTTATGTAATTTTGCTAATATCAACCATTATTTTGTGCACCACAGCCTCATTGTAACATCCTTCGGATTGATAGGATTTGTTGTTCTGTACTCATTTACTTAAGTGATGATGATGATAATAATGGTAGTACTACTGGTGATTGATATTTTTTTCACAAGGCCATCTGTTATTCTATTCGCTGACCTCAAGTTTTTAGAAAAAGATAAATGAACCCTGAGGTTACTAGACGTGCACTACTCATATTAACATCGAATAATTTTGTGATTAGATATTAAATACGTTTTCCATAAAACATCGGGCTGTTATATAGCATTCTAATCATTTTAGAATTTCAATCGATAAACTATTCAAACCTCGTATTTGTTCATGTCTCAGTCACTGATCTGTACTGCCGCTAGAGAAAGAATTGGATGATACATTCGATTCATTTTGCGGAGAAACGTCCTATAGTAACTTTAATTAAGAAGTTAGCGATTGCAAACCCCCTGATCTTGGTAATATCATTGAAGAATTATATTTTTCATCGCCAATAAATTCAAACTGAATTGAAGAAGTTTAAATAAGTTCTGCTTTTTTTCAGGCAGACGCTTAAGCTGTAAATTAAGTAAAGAGGATTGAATAGCGAAGTTATTACATCTAAGAGTGAGTCCAGATCAGTGAAACCGGCAAATGAAGCTGCCTGTCAGGTAGCAAGTTTCAGATTTCAGTGCACTTCAAGTTCACGGTGTCAAACTAAACCTCGTTGTTCAACTCGGTGAACTCTTGGCCGAAAAAGAGCTATTTAGCGACTGCACCGCTGAAGAACCTCTTGGTAGGACTTCTAAATACTACTCAAAAGCTATTTTATTTGATGAGTTGACAACTTGTGTTTCTCCCATAACCATGAAGGTTTTATCGACTTACTGATGTGATAGTTATTACCCGAAATACATGTAAGAGTTAAGCCAACCAATACAGTGGACGCACAGTAGAGGAGCAGTGCAATAAAAGGATCTTTCGCGGATCATCGGGCGGCTACCAAAGACCACGAGCTTTGTCGTTTCTGCATTAAGCAAAGACAATCCTCAAAAGCCAACTACGGATTAGATGTAAATCATTATGGATCATGTATTTTGCTTAGCCAGCCTCCCCAACCTTAAAAGGCATAAGAGGCTTGGTGTCCTTCACGTAGCCTCTTGTTAAACTCAGTCAGCTTCATGGCTTATCACTTTTATGAATGACGGAGAGTTGGATAGATAATCAAGACTTTTTTCACACGAGCCCCTGCCACACGGTTTGCGAGAAATTGTAAACACCAACACGTTGGCAGACGTTAAGCTAGCCAAACCTACGGTAAAGCACGATTATTTGTTGATTCATAGATCTGTGTGTACAAAATGAAAAACACATTTCGAGAATAAGAAGTTACACTTCTTTACTCAAAGTTTGAACGCTGGAAACCGCAGCGACATGATATCGAGATTGTTGACCGCATTATCATGAAGCAAGTTATTAGAATAACATTCCAGCGTGGTGCGAAATTAAAAAAAAAAAGACTTTAAAAATGTCTCATAGGTCACGGGGATAAGTTCTCTCAGTTTATACCCTCAAGTCGAAGTGTATTACAATTAACGTCATTGAATATAAAAAAGGAATATTTAAGAAGAAAGCGTCAGGCTGAAGTTGGTCTCGAAACAATTGTCAGTTAAAACAGATTAAGATAAAAACATGAAAACCTCTCGTAATTTGGTCGTATAAAATAATAATGAGATTCACTTTGCTAAAGGAAACCAACCACCCGTTCATAAGTCCACCTATAATTTTCTAAGATAAAAAGTTTAGGAGTTTTAAGGAGGTTTTAAACCGCGGATATTGGGATTTCTATAGTGAAGATGAAGAAAACCTATACCTCATTCAAAGAAATGACAGGTGTTAATCGACAAGTATGACAAATAAGAATCTTTTTTCATATAATTTTAATTTACCCTCACCATCCTCCACTCAAAATAAGGGACAGGAAAAACTAACCTTGAGATGAGACAGAGGCAGACATCAAAAGGCACAAAGGAAAAAGAAGACTGATCGTATTTTTCATGGCGCGCATTGGATTTTGAAACCAACGTCTCGATGATGAGCAAGCTGATCCGAGAATATACTTTTTAGAATTTTTTCCCTAACTGATTGAAATTTTGTGATTCTCTTCCAACCAATAAAACGT